GGTCGAGAGTTTATATAGGAAAAAAACCATTTTGATATTAAAATGCGCGGATCTAGGATGTCAGGACCTCGGCGATTACCTAGTATATAGTCAACCTTATTTCTATAGTCTAGTCACTCTTTACCTAGCTATTAATAATATAGTTAACGCTTCTTCTAAAACCCTAGTTCCTTTTAGTAGTAGCACCTATAACTATAACTGCCTATTGCTTAGTACGACATCCTAACTGTCTCGCTAACATAAAACGACATTATCTCTATCTACCCTGTAGCTCAGAGTTGACCCTAACGTCACATCTAGGATGCTAGGATGTTAGGATATCTCTACTTTTTTAGGTCACCCTTAAAGGCCGGAAAAAGCATAACAGACTTAGTAAATACAATCTTCGCAAACGGGGTTACCTGTATTATTAGAGTATAATGTAGAAATAGCGTTTCCCTCTATATCCCACACTTCCTTTCGTAATACAGGAAGGTCATACCTTTAACTCCCGCACTAAACCACCTCCTTATGGGATTTCCTTTGTTTCGGTTTTGCTAGTATTGCTTATCCGACTGGCACGTCGCGAGGTTATAAGGCCAGTTTCAGGATCAATCACAGCCCTTCCCATCTTGGAGGCCTGGACGAGGCTCGGGTTCTCTCTCTGTATCCTGGCAAAATTCTCCTCGGCATCCCATGTCCAGGGGCTGTCGCAGGCAAAGACGAGATCCATTTCCTCGAGTGTGCGTTGATTAGACTCGGGGTAGAATGCCCAAACGACAATGATACAGAAGACGTTTATGCCGCCAAAAATGTATAGCGTCTTTTCATTCAGGCGTTCAAAAATGGTAGGTAGGAGTAGTACGCACCAACCGTTTCCGATTGACCAACCAACCACACCCCATGCATTTCCCTTGGCGCGGACTTGGAGGGGGAAGATCTCGGCAGGGTACAGCCACGGGACGGTTAGCCAGGTTGCACCGAAAACGGCAGTGTACAAGAACACAAAAAATGTAGATGCACCACCGACTCCGGCCTTGTTACCTGGGTCGGCGTTGAGAGTCGCTCGGGCCAGACCGCCAGCTAGGAACATGCACACAGCTTGTGCGCCAGCTCCCCACCAAAGCGTCCAGCGGCGACCAATGCGATCAAGAGTGAAGACGCAGATGAGGGTAGCAAACTAAAAGTCGTAGATTAGTCATAAGCTGTATCAAGAGTCGCATGTTTCTTGGGAGGAAAGGGGAGAAATTTACCATATATGTAATGTTGTTCAATCCACTGACCCAGAGGCGATCTGCAGCTCCAATGCCGGCAATTGTAAATATCGTGGGCCCATAGATGGTAATACCTAGTCAACGTTAGCATAGCATCCCGTTTACGAATCGTAAAACCTAGTATCATAACAAGTATAATATGAAGGACTACCTGCGATGCCGACCCATTCCTGTAGAATTTGAAGCCAAATGACGAGCTGGACGCGGCGCGCTGTGTGCAATTTGCCAGAGCCGATGCCAAAGAACATGGCAAAGTAACTCTGCTGCTTTGCCGTATTATCCTCCATATTTCGGACATTGATGATGTCCTGTAGCTCGGCATCCGCTGCCTCACGCTCCTCGCCCTCAGATCCGCGAAGGCGTCTCAAGATGTAACGCGCTTCATCCTCACGCCCCATGCGGACAAGCCATCGTGGAGACTCAGGCATGAACCAGACGGCGGCAAATAGGACAATGAGGGGGACTATCTGAAAGGCAATTGGAAAGCGCCAAATGAAGGAGGAGTATTGGTTGGGCATCTTAGAGGTGCCGCTTCTGGGGGTCAGCACAAAGCTACATGTCAATCAGCATGGTATGAAAACAAGCTTCACTTACAACTGCAGCCAGTAGGCCACTACGACACCGAAAATGTTCAATGTAAACTCTATAGCCACAAATTGGCCACGCGAAGTATGTGCAGCCGTCTCAGTGGCCCAGACCTAGCAATGGAAAGTTAGTAAGGGGTTGGTGTTGGTGTCGGTAATCCTCGAAGCATGTGCTCCAAAACAGATCTTTCTACTTACGGGTGTAACAGCATTTAGGATACCGGTTCCGATACCATTCAAGACACGGGCTGCCATGCATATTAGTTGGTAGGTCAAGGTACTGGAATATAGAGGCAACACTTACCAACAATCATCCAGTCTGAGCTCTGGGCAGCGGACTGAAAGGCAGCAGTCGCAATAGACCACAGGCAAGCCCATCCTATGGCAGTTGTCCGTCCATATTTATCTCCAGCCCAACCACCTAAGAGGCATCCAAACAGAGTTCCGGGGAGGTAGTAGCATGCGTTGATGCCTCCCTGGAGCAAGGTGTCGTCAATGTGGACAATCCCTGCTTCTTCATCCCAGTGGCCAAATCCCATAAGCTCGACGTAGTCTCGTGAGGTGTTGACGCCGCCCATCAAGCCTTGATCATAGCCAAAGAAGAAGATGGAGATACCAGCCACAAGGCAAACTGTGTTGAGAAGGGCTCTCTTTTCTAGCTTATGGGCGACATTGTATTTGCCCAGCCGCCCCTTAAGCTCGCTCATGATAGACGTTGGTGCTCCACAAGAGATTCAAACGTGTAAAAGAAATATAGGCAGTCCCTGCTGTAATATGATAAGAGATGCCGGGTGCCATTTATGTATCAAGAGACAGGAATTGCGGAGGGTTTATCGTAGGGGAGCATACCTGTAATATAGTAAATCAGCAATGGGGAGAAAACTGAACACACAGTAGCGGACCCGCAGAGCTCGGCATCATCTTCTCCGTTGGATTGAAGTGGGGAATCCTTATTTGCATTGCAAGGCAAGAAGACGCTTGACGTCGTTCAGGGCTTGATAGACATCTTAGGATGGGAATGTCTTTGGCCGTCGGCTTTACCCGGCGCTGGAATTTATGACTCGGCAATCTAGGGAGAGGCGGGGCAGGCATGCATGGGAAGAATAGAGAAGGATGGTGTTATGTCCTCCTTGAAACATCGACCATCTAGCCATTTCGTGGGCTAGGATAACTCTACGAGGCTAGGTATTGGTCAACTCCACATCCCAGAGTAATCCACAGGAAGATGCAATCGCTTGTGCTTGCATGGACATAGTAGCATCTGGAAAGGGAAAACGCATGCGCTCCGGCGTTGCTATCAGAATTTTATGGGAGATCATCATCTTACGGCATCCCCAGTCTACATGTTCTCCTTATACTTGGCGTCCTAACTCATATGCAGTTTCCATCTTCTGTCTGTTGATACCATTATTCCTGTTTCTCCCTGTTATTTCACAGGCCCGGAAAAAACCATTCTGTGGAAACTTCGAAGATGTTGCAGCCTAGAACATCAATGTACTATCATTACTCCGCACGCGGGTGGAGGTGCAAGTATCCGGGGAGCATAACCCCGGCCAGCATTCCCCACTGTCGCCAGTCACATGTACTCTTTAGCCTCCTCCACTTCTGGCCTCTCCACGGGGTGTTTTCAAGCTAACTGCCGAGGAAAATATCATTGGTGCGCTTACAACTTACTGGATGGAGGCGTGTCCCACGAAATGAACTATCCGTACCTATTCTCATTATGGGCAAGGTAGGCAACGGGGGCAAAGAGTGTATATGTGACCACTGATAATGGCAAATGTGTCACGAAACTTGAGCTCACGCCTATGTTGCTGAGCCCTGGCATCGCAGACACACAAGTGGCATTCAAGCATAGGACGATTAGTTTACGGAGATGTAACAGAGAACCATTTCAGTACTGACAACTTGTGCCGTATTTTCTCGTGGTTTTCCGTTTATTGGACCACATCATTTACATGTAGTAAAGAGGGTCCACTGGAACCCCTCTTGGTTTCCCCTTGGCACGGTCAGCAATAGAGACGATCGAGATAAGGGGTTGCCTTGACGTGTGTGATAACTCGTGGGCGGTTTAGCTCAGCTAAGAGACCATAGTTGTGGGGTAATAAATCAAATATTCGCTTAACACCGCCGGGTAATTGAACGGCACTAACTAGTAACACCGTCGGGCATTTAAACCCAAACTGGAAGCGGAAATCACTTGTAGTCACTTCACGCGTAGCAGTATAATCCCTCTTTAAAAACTAGAATCAGATGGTGGGAGATCTATTAGGGTCAAGATATCCAAGTATAGGAATTTATAGGCATAGGTGCCCTTGTGCCTTCTGTGAAGTTTCACTTTGCTTAGTCACAAGTCATGCCTAGCCTACTAAATTCACCCAGAATCAATTGAATAGTGATCTTACAAGTTAGCTACAATTTACCCAACGAAGATTGGCATCTAGTCACCTACGGTGTCTTCGAAAAGCACCGTGATCTGAACACGGTTTTGGCACCCAAATTGCATGTCTAAGCAGCCAGGGGCTGTTGCCACACACATCTGTAAATAGCCTTATAAACTGAATTCCTTTCCTTTTGAAAACAACCAACTGGACATACACATATTGACCCAGGACGTATACGTAGGCAGAGACGTAGGCAGAGACCACTATTTGCGTCTACGGGCCATCGTGCGTTGTCGCCCATTGGAAGCACATGGTGAGTTGTCAAGGGTAGGCTGCTGTGAAAAGAGTGACGAGGGTAGCAAAGACATAATTACCATGATAAACATGTTTTCTCGAAAAGAAAATGGTTATGTAGCCCCCCCCTCTTTTTTTTTTGGATGGTTTCTTTACCCCAAAAACCATGAAATGAGGGTATGTAGTAATATTACTCGTTTTGTCTGGCTTCTCGGAAATATTAAGGAAAGATAACGCCATGACCCCCGCGACAAGAAGAAAGATACGAGCGACGAGTCACGGGCCTTGGCGGCGACGGCTTCCTCATTCTAAGCGGGGTTTCTTCCCCAATTTTTTCGTTCTTTTTTTCCAAGCTTCAACTTTTTGGCATGAAAGAAAGAGGCCGTGCCCATGAAAATCTTCAACGACTGCCGACCTGCTTTACTCCCATATATCGTATCCCTGGCCTCGCTGCACAAGGTTTGCTTCACAATTATAAGCAAACGCCCTTGGTTTATCGACACACCCTACGACGAGACGATCCATCCTTTGCACCGCGCTCAGTTGCGAATGTGCATGGTTTGGGTAAAACGATAAGGCATCACAAGCAGGCGACTTCAAGTCTTTGCGCCTAGCTTACTTGGGGACGAAGAAAGACTTTAGCCAAAATTTTATCATCCTCTTTTCACGTGAGTATAATACCGTATGTTGCGCACCGGCAGAGTTTACCCCTCTATGCAAGGACCCCTCAAACTGATGTAAAGTTATTCCTAGAAGAGACACAATACTGCATGAATAAACTCGTTATTCTACCGGCCACCGACCGATTCGAAAATGAACACCGTTCCTGAATCCGCTGACCCGCAGGGCTCGTCGAGCGCTGACGTCTCCCGCTTTCAAGAGCGTTCGTCCGCCAAGCTATCCGGCATTGGGGCGACGACTACTCCTGCGTCAGAGCCTGATGAGAATGCCGTTGTCGATCGAGGAATCCACATCCTCGAGTCCAAGTCGGTCCACTGGTACTCGTACCTGACGACAGCTGACTTTTGGCTTGTCCTTGCTCTCGGCCAGGTGCTCGCTCTATGCATCACTGCGACCAACACATTTTCCCAGCTCCTCTCCAACGCCGGCACCAGTATCCCCGCCTTCCAAACCATATTCAACTACGTTCTACTGGCCATCATTTACACTGTCATCTTTCTGGTACGCGAAGGCCCGCGCGCATGGGGCTCTACGGCCTGGAGCCACGGCTGGCAATACATCATCATGTCCTTCCTTGACGTCGAGGGCAACTACTTCACCGTCCTGGCCTACCGCTACACAAACATCCTGTCAGCCCAGCTTATTAACTTTTGGGCCATTGTCGTCGTTGTCATTGTATCCTTCCTCTTTCTCAAGGTCCGTTACCGCATCTTCCAGATCATTGGCATCGTCGTTTGTTGCGGCGGCATGGGTATCCTCATCGCCTCCGATCAGATCACGGGCGGTAGCTCTACTGGTCCCGCCATGGTCAAGGGCGACATGTTTGCTCTCGTCGGCGCCACCTGCTATGGGTTGAGCAACACGTTCGAGGAATGGCTCGTGTCACGCGCTCCCATGTACCATGTCCTCTCCTTCATGGGCATATTTGGCGTCATAATAAATGGTGTCCAGGCCGCTATCTTTGATCGCAGTGCCTTTGAGGGTGCCACCTGGAACAGCGACGTTGCCGGCTGGCTGGTTGGTTATACCCTCTGTCTCTGCTTTTTTTACTCTGTCGTCCCTCTGGTCCTGCGCATGGCAAGTGCCGGCTTTTACAACATCTCGCTCCTCACCGCCAACTTCTGGGGCGTCATTGTCGGCATCCACGTCTTTGACTACAGCATTCACTTCATGTACCCCATTGCCTTTGTCTGCATCATCTTCGGCCTTTCTGCCTACTTCATAACTGGAAGCACACTGGGCGAGAGCAAGAAACCTTGGCTCGGTGAGAACCAGGAGAATGGGTTTGCTGGCCTTGGTACTGCCAAACTCAAGGCCTTGAATGCTGCGCGCAGTGCCCAAGCCGAGGCTGAAACTGGGGTCAGGCAGAATTTCTGAAATCATTTTTCAGTCTACGTTGCAATGTTGGCTTTATTATTGCTTTATTGTGCGGGAAGCAATTTGCATTTATGAGTTATCAAATATACAGCATACATTATGTAACGAATGACATGATGAATCGTATTTACTACTACTGCAATGCGTTTCCCCAAATCTCCAAACTTGCCCGTACAATCAACGCAAACATATATACTTTCAAGAGGCGTTACTGTCGGTAGAGGTTGATGAAGGGGTGTAAACGGCAGCCCAGATGACATAAAATACAACGCTTTGCCCAATGAAGCGCCTGTCGCGAGCCCATAACATTAATAGAGAACAAACAGAACATTGGTCCTCAAAAATAGAAGTCCATAACCCCAACCCAAATAAAAAGTATATATAAGTAAAATAATTTACTTCTTAGTGCGCATCGCCCATTCGCGCTCCGTGAGCAACTTTTTGTCTTCAGTAAACCCAGATGCCGTATCCAGCACTTCTATGAAAGACTTGTCGCCTACGAGAAACTTCTCACGTAGCCCCTCTACCGGATGTATCCGGTCACAGGATAAGCGCTGCATGGCGTCTTCTTCTGTATCAGGAGCATCGGGCCACAGGATACGCCGGGCCTCCTCGTCCGTTAGTGGGGGCTCATCGGTATACTTGTCGTGGACAACTGCCGACTGAGTCTTGTCTCGATCATCGTCCGAAAGGGATGTAGAATCAGATCGAGGGAGCAGAGTGTTCTGACGAGGCGTTGAGTCAGACGAGTCGAGAATAGCGTCGGTCGCATTGGAGAATGGTACTGGTTGCGGTCGGCGTGGAGAGGCGGAATAAGAAGTGGCGGCAGCGGCGGCGGCATCGGTGAATTTTCTAGACGACACCGATCGTAGTCGGATCTCGCGCCAGATGGACTCAGTAATGGACGGCGCAGGTGTGCCATCAACACTGCCATCATCTTCGAACTCTGACTCGTCATCACTGTCGTCGTCGTCATCGTCCTCGTCCTCTCCCAACGACACAAAATCACCATCGGCACTCCTTGTAATCCGGGACTTTATTTGCTCTGACTCGATCTTGAGAACCTTTTCTTCTGCGTTGCTGGTGCTCCTGGGAACAATGGGGTGATGAGGCAATTCTGTAGAGGAAAGCCGGATACGGCCAGCACGCAGTATGTTGCGCATGAGGTACAACTCGTGCGTTTTGTACGTGCCATACCAAACGCGGTTAATGACAGCAGCTGAGCGCAGGTCGTTGAAGTCGTCAATACAGCCAAGAATCTGGAGACGAATGTGCTCGGGAAACTCGGTAGCAACGCCATGGTGCTTCCTATCGTTGACTGCCATGCGCTCTGGGCCCAAGTCCTGTGGCTCAGCCGCGAGGTGCTTCGACAGCGCCCAACCGTGGCTCTTACCGCTCACATCATGGAGCGTGAGTCCCGACACGCTGTTATATATGTCGTTGATGGCCAATCGGAACGCAGGACCGGGATCGCAGACGCCGCCCCGGTGAATGGGTGATAAAGGGCTGGGTATTCTTCTCAAGGCTTCGACGAGCTGGGCCAGACTTCGAGATGGCTGCCGATCAGTATCAGGATGATGAGTCAACACATTTTGTCGCAGTACCTGGGACAAAAGATTGAGCTCATTGTATATGAGCATCATCCAGCCCAGGTTGCCGGCGTCACACCAATGGCTACCTTTTGGACATCTGGGCGTAGTACTCAAAGTCGACGGCAATGGAATAGATGGCGTGACCAGCGCGTTGATCGCACGGTTATTGCCGCGAAGATCTGACGGGGCGATAGGCTGAACCTCATCGGCCGGGTTCCTCGAAGGAAGCGGAAGGTACTCTTGTATGGCACTTATACAGCACATATAGACCTGCGCCATCTTTGCACAGCGCACGGCCCATATCTTGTTCTTTATGGCCTGCGGCCATGGTTTTCGTTGAAGGTCGGCCTCATCCACCAGATTCAGTATGGCACTCTTAGTCATGCGTGAGAAGAGTGTTCGTAGACCAAAGGCGAAACTGATGGCTACCATGCCATCGGCCATGTCGTCAGCGCCATTACACATCCAATGCGGCAACCATTCAGTCTCGACGATGCGCTCCAGCGGCAACGTGCACTTGTACCGGATGCTGCACTCAGAAATAGCGACAAATTGCTCAAATGAGATGTCACGTGGTACCTTTTCAGTCTGCATGTGCGCAGCGTAAAGCAAAATTTCGAACGACCGCAGATGGTTGAGCTCGAGCTGCGGCATGCGGTACACTTTAGCCTCAGACCCGTCGCGGCACGTATACCGCGTTGGTGGCGGTGGCAGATGGACATTGACGTCGTCATCATCATGCACATACAGATATTCAGGATTAGTGGAAGAAAACATGCGGGCAAAGATGGGCGACGTTTCAGCAAGCGTGTGTGACGACACACGGAAACGCAGCACGGGCTCGTTGGTACCAGCATCGTGTTGGTGGTTGGCAAATTCGAGGATCGAGTCCCCGTGAGGTGCAATGTCAGTCTCTTCTATCTTCCTTTCCGGGGATATTCCCGCTTCGGCCGACTGGACAAGACTTCTGATGTCTACCAGCTCCTGCTTTGCCTTCTCATAGTTGCGGAATCGTATCTCGTAGCGGGGAAACTGGATCAGGCTCAGGAGTTAGCCATGCGGTAGAACTTAGGTCAGATAAAACTTCAGTATATGGTTTACTTACAAACTGAGGATCAGCCGATATGACCCTGGTGACACTTGCGTTGCGCATCCGGTGCACTGCTTCTCTTCGGAAACGGCGGCTGTTGAAGAGAGCCTCGACCATCTCGAGTGTGGCATCCTGTTCAAACTTGCGATACGTCTCAGACAAGCTCGTCCTGAACCACTCAACCAGGTGCTCGATGTGGAGCTTCCATTCGCGCATGGCGCTGAGCCACGGCTCATTATGGTGTACTCTGCGGCCCCTGGCGCTTGTCACGGCTGTCGCAACTTCTGTGAGGCTCCGGTTGCTGAAGGAGCTCCTTTGGTCGTACAGGCCGTTGGGCGACTCAAGCGACGAACCACGACGCAGTAGCGGGTCAACTAGTTGATGCGGTGAGGACGCTTGACGGGCTGGCGGCGCCAGCTCCTCATGAAGGATGGCATGGCAAAGAGTGTTGGCACGCTCCTTGTGCTTGCCATAGAGCTCGTAGGCTGCATCGACATCCTTCGGTCCGCTTGGTCCAGAGCGCAGGCGGTTAACAATCTCACGCAGCTGGCGGTGATGGCTTTCAGAGCCCTGGTGGATAATGGCGCTACTGGTATCGGATCTGGGACTTAACAAGTCGTGCGAATCTGATTCGTTGAGGCGCTGAATGTCAATTCTGGTCAGTACCCCGCCTTCCGTGTGTGCGTCTCATTCCTTCGGGATCAGTGAAACATACGTTTGTCCAACTTTTCCCCTCCTTTGAAAGACCGCTATGCTTCCGTCCTATGATGGGTATTCGCCACTTTTTGCCACCGCTGCCATGGTTAGCCGAGGCGCCACCCTCGCTGGGTTGTCGATGCAACATGTCAGGCAGGATGGAGCGCGGTGACAGCAGATCGACCGGTGTAGGTGCCACAGCGGGGGATGCAGACTTGCGCATGAATGCTGGATGTATGTTTCGGCCTGGAGGTGATGTGAAGTCGTATGAGTGGAGATTTATAAATGCGGATTCGGGAGGTTGTTGTGACTTGTGAGTGGCTCGTTGATGTCGGCCGTATAATCAAATGTCGTAGTGCGCGTATTCGGATCGCAGCATTGTCGTCAGGTTTCACTCATATAGTCGGTTTGCTACCCCCGTCCCCTTTTACCATTCGCTGTGCTGTCGTCACTCTTCCTCCCCCAAGTAGGCAAATTGAGGTGCGCGCGCAGCGGCGCTGGTAGCGGGAGCGGGGGGAGAAGCAAGGAGAAACGGGGTCTCGGAGGTATGGGGCTATGAAAAAAATGGTGCGAATCCCGGCTGCGTCGGTTTCCTCAGGTTAGATCAAACCCAGTCTCAGATGTCGGTCGTATCGTGGTGTTGTAGGTGTGCGGTATCCTGGTGTACGGTCGTTTTTTTGTTTTCTTTCCGGGGGGGGGGGGGGGGGGGCAAGTGCTTGACCTCGTGACCGGCCTAGTTGTTCTGCAAGGCATCAAACAGGTGCTGAGACTGAGATGGATGGTATTCCTATCGACAGAGGAAGAGGGGCGAGAGCAGGGCTGACGCTGACGACGGAGCTGGTAGAGGCGGGGGACTAGACGCGCTCACGCAGCACATACAGGATGCACACGAGAGCGACAGAGAGATTGGGTATATACTGTTATGTAGTGATACTAGTATACGTCGTGTGGTTCGTCGAGCAGCTGATGTGTTGTGGACGTTATTTCATGAGAAAGTAATCACGTGCATGCGATTATCCAAAAGAAAAATAACAAAGAAACGAGCGGCGGCGACTGAAGACTTGGGGTCCGGGGGGGGGGGGGGGGGTTGGTTGAAGAAGATGGGGGCTAGAATGTGGAGAGAGAACCGGTGTGTGGGCTCTTTCTGCTCCTCTTGGTGGCACTGGTTGACCGGTCGGGTCCTTCTGGACTCTTGGCCCTGCTTCTCGCGTGGATTAGCCGCATGTGGTACGTCTTTGTCAGGACCTGGGGCAGCGGGGGGAGAGGGGAGAGAGAATGGGGTCCGCACTCCTCATCCTTTTCTCTTCTCTTTTCTCTTCCAAGCTCGCGGAACTAGGCTACTCCGTGTAGCCCATTGGGTATATATTGCTTGTAGGCAATGATCGCGCGGTCAGTGTCCCCATCCGTCCTGCTTTCTCTACCCTTTTCACCCGTGTGCCAACACAAACGTGATCTACCGGTCACAATCAGCCAAGTTGGATATGAAGATAGCAGAGTAGTTTGATAACGAAGTATCAACATCCACTAAGGCGGGGCCTGATGGATAAGCCCCATACTTTGTCTGAAATTTTATATATATTCTTTTTTTATGGTTTTCTCATTATTTGCTTTTCCTCTACAATAGTACAATAATCATCAAATACCGCTGCCATGCTGCAGTGCAGCCGCTACCTTCCTCCCTCCCCCTCCCAATCATACTAGAAATGATAAGGTGGGAAATAATGTATGCCTGTATGTGCTGCCACCGCTGCAGCTTCGTCCCGTAACAATGCAAACGCCGCCAGTGCCAAATCTTGTGTATATAGATAGACGCCGTCACTGCATCCCCTCACTTTTCTCCTTTCCCTTGCACCTAGTCCACCCTGTCCCCAACGGCACTATCCAAGACACCAAAGCCCTGAATGTCTTTTTTTGCATCGACAGTGTACTTCTACACTCCTCAGACAAGGGCACATCATACCCCAATGCTTCCAAAACATATTGCATAGATCTCACGTTAACCCCCCTTGCGCTCTGATGTGTTCTTGGGGGGTACCTCTGCGTGGCCCTGCTGCGCGTTGGTAGTTGTGGTGCTGTTGGCTACTGTCCCCTTCTTTTTTCCTTTGCCAGCCTTTTGCCACCCTCCCTCGCTCTCACTCTTGGCGCCGCGGACATGTCCCGGGTTGCCCTTAGGTCCCACAGTCAGAGTCGGAGCCAGAGCAGGAGCCGAAGTCGAGACGGCAGCCCATGTCTGAGCAGTGCCTGCTCTCGGGTTCTTCGGCTTGTCCATCATGTCCTGTAGGCGTGCCCTCTGCTCATCCGGTTGCAGATTCTGCTTGACAGCACCAGCCCACCCTGATGACGCCTGGGATTCTTGTTTGCCAGACTTCCGAAAACTTGTTGCGGGCAGTGTCGTGTTTTCGTATACAGGGGACAGGAGAGGCCCGTCAGTGCCATTGGGTTTTCGCACGCTGCCTTCACCAGACACTGCGAGGTCTAGAGGTGCTATGGCGGCACTCTGTGGTGGCCAGGCCGACATGCCATGCTGCATCGGCTGCAACGGTTGCTGTCCGTTCCCCATGATTGACATAGGCTGCCCAAGAAATTGTGCGTTCATGAACTGAGCATTCATCATGGCTATGCGCTCGCGAAAGCACGCCTCATCCGCCCCTGCATAGACCATTCGTCCGCCAACAGCGGTGGGATTCTGCTCAGCAGTGGTTGGCGTTGGCTGCGCCTCTGCAACTTCGAGGTTTGGTTGATTAGCGTTTTTGTCGTTTATTTCCGAAACATGCTGGGAATACCCATTGGTCGGCGACGGGCTCTCATGTGTCGGCTCAGAGGGGGCCGGTGGGCGGTTTGAAGCGGACATGCTCGCCTTGAGGGATGATCCGTTTACAACGAGAGGTCGGCTGGGATTCCGCGGCTGCAAGTTTGCCGAGCCCAACGTCCCGTTTCCAGCTGAGAAGGCACGCGAGTGGCCAAGCGGTGACGGTGACCTTGATGTCCGCTTCATCCTCCGATCGAGAACAGTCTGTGGTATTTGATCGGTGGATAGACGCCTTCGGTTAGAAACAGGAAAGGATTGCGCATTGGACAAGTCCCCGAATTCTGCACCACCTGACATTGAACCGATAGCTTGCTGCTGCTGCTGTTGTTGTTGTTGTTGCTGCTGCTGCTGCTGCAATTTCCAAGAATTGTCGAAATTATCTACTGGTGTTCCAGAAGAGCCGGTGTTCCGTTTGCCCGGTTGCGGGGATTTCGATCCCGGCAAGGGCGTCACGTCAACGGCATCGTCTGGAATGAAACTGGGCGTTGGAGCTCCGTTGGAGCTCCTAGTGCCCATAGTAGAAGTACCGGCAAAAGACTGGCTGATGGGGAGTTGCTGTCCGGGCAAGGAGGGCTGCATCGTTGACGGAGATCGTGCCGCGGGCTGAGACTGTGACCTAAGCGAGCTACTCGAGGCCGCAGCACCTCTGTCTGTTGCCGCTGCGGACCGCTCTGAGGGCCGCCGATACTCCTGGCCGGTGCTATTTGTGGTGGCGACATTAGTGGGCGGTGTTGCTGCGTACGGTGCGTATGTTGCATGTGCCTGTTGTGCGAACATGGGCGAGTTCAGCGTCAGGCCGTACAGCGCGAACAGCTCCGGCCGTAGTGGAGCCGCCATCGGTGGTTGGTTGTCAAACGAGTTGGTACGAGATCTGTCTGATGCTTGTCCCTGGCCAGGGCTCGAGTTGGGCCCAGCCATCTGCGCACTCATACCCTGCTGCTGCTGCTGCTGCTGACCAAACATGGACGTGGACGAGTACATCTGCATATGACGATAGCTCTCCTGTTGCAGATATGCAAGAAGGTCCTGGGAATACTGAATTCCATAAGGCGTTCCTGTGTACCAGGCAAGGTCCTGCGGCATTGTCGGGTACATATTTTCCTGCGTCGTCACAGTCGAGGCCGTCCGCCGGTTAGGGCCTCCTCCGCCACGATGGTGGTTCTGGTGGCGCCCACCACGGTGGCCTCCCCGACCACCTCGACCAGAGCCGTGGTTCGACTGGGATGCGCTCCGAAGCAGAGCCGGGCGGGGTTGGTTTGGTGGCCTGGTAAACACGCGCTCCTCCTCCTTGGGGAAGACAAATTGCTCGCAGGCCTCATCAAACTTGGCCTCGGAAATGAGGTCAAAAGCGCGGCGAAGCTCCATGTGAAGGCCCCTGAATGAGTACTCGTCGGCAGTATTGCCGAGATTTCGTGATGTGTTGAAGGGCTCCTCCACACAGAGCTTGTTGTTAGCCGCATATTGCCAATACTTGTCCGTTTTCGGTATCATGTTCCCCAGCCGTATGGATAATACATATTTGTCATAGTCGAACTCATGTGCGTAAAATCGGAAGAACTGGAACAAGAGGTCCGCTTCCGATGACTCGTTTTTGCTCCCGAACCCGCGCAGCTTCTTGAGGTTGTCCGCAAACTCGCCATTAGTTCCGTTGGGTCTTGGATTCCGGTGAGGGAGCTGATGAAGGGCTGGGAGAACAGGCGGAGTGCGGAGCTGCAGAAAGCCAATGACGAGACATATCCAGGTGTATGAGCTCAGGGTACCACCAAACGCTAAGATAGGAATTAGTACGTTGGCCTTGGGCACGGCGTTGAAAGCACAATGGAAAAAAAGAGAGGGCAATCTCACCAGCGTCTTTGATGACACGTCTCCGTGTCCAGTGCTTGATTATCATCATAAGCTGTCTGACTCGCGGGTCCGTCTCGATGTAGATTCGAATCATCCTGGTGTTCTCGATGGCCAAGGCGTTGTTGACATTTATATCACAAGCTAAGCTAAGCTCAGGATCCCATATCTTGACAATTGGGACCTTGGCTGCTGAGATGCACACCACCTTTTCCATGCCACCTAGAGACTCCTTGTCAGCATATATCGGGATACACTTATATTGGGGGGCGGGGGTATGGGAGTCGAGATGATGGAAAATCGGACATACGCCGTGCTAGCAGGTCGGCAATAAGACAGACGCCTTCCATCTCCTTGCAGTTTGTGATGACACAAATGTCAACTGTTCCGTCCAAGGTTAGTCGAGACCACAAACTGGCTTTGTATGTGAGTGCCAATAAGTACGAACCATCAGAGTCATCTGAACACAGCAGATTGCCCGAGGAACCAAAGAGGTGGGCTTTGATCTCGTAACCTGGCCACCGCTCGTTGAAGATTGTTTCCAACTTTTGTACCAGCTTCTGGCGCTTCTCCTGGACACTGTCGCTAGGCAGTAACCTGTCATAAACCTCGCGCATATCGGTAGCCAGTTTTCGCTCCTCCTCTTCTGTCAACTTGCCCTTGATCTTACCAAGCGGCAGTTTTTCCAGTCGATCAGAGCCTATAGAGTATGGCATCCGTCTCCTTGAGTTGATTTGAGACGTCTCGTAGATGCAACCGCCCTGGCGAGGGGGTGCTGAAGGTCGCATAGAAGTCGTCTCGCTGTAGGCAGATCGTGGCGAATGATTATTCGTATTCTCGGTCGGGGACGGCTCGCGGGAACCCAAGGAAAATTGTCGAGCACGTTGGTGCGGGGTCGAAGGTACCGAACTCGACTGAGAGAAGGCCTGAGGCGGTTGTGTCTGTGACAAAGGGCCAGTGGCGGGTGTTTTCCGGTTCTTGATCAAGTCAGACGCCTGGGCCTGTGACTGCGTCTTTTTAGAAGCCATCTTGCTCGTAGGAGTCTCCCTGGGGGTTACGACGGTGCGGTGTCTGTCGGATATGTGGGCTGATCGATTCCCATGGCCCCCAGTAGCGTGAGCCTTGGCAGAAGAGTTGCTGTCCTTTAGCGATACCTTGCTAGAGGACCGTGACCGAGGACCGGCCTGGGCGTTGGAGGCTGACACGACTGGCGGGAGAGGGGCTGCCTGCAGGCCACCACCTCGAGTTGGAGAGATGAGCTTGTTATACTGCAACAGCTGCGCGTAGTAGACGTTGGACTGATGCGGGATCCAGTACGAGTAAGGCAGCAGGTCGACGGGAGAAGTGAGCTGCAATCCGTTGGAGTTAGAGGTAGTAGAGGCGGCGGCAGCACTGCCGGTACCAGCGGGGACAGTGATGTTGGTAGCTGCGGCGTCTAGCGAGGTGTCCGCAGTGGTGGCACCAGGCACCGGCGAGGCTGTCGCTATTGCAGTCACGGTGGCGTCGTGGCGAGGTGAGGCTAGATTAGAGGCAGGGGCCGAGTTGGGGGGGGCCGCTTTGGTTGCCCTGTCTGGTGGCGAGGGCCTAGGCGGCGACTTGCTTGACCTAACGTTTGTGGGGGAATGGGGATAAGACTGTTGCGATTCGACGGTTGAGGCGCCGGAGTCCATGAAGTGAAAAGTACTCCAGCCAACTTAGGTCATGTAGGGGGCCCGATGGGTGATGTACTGCCAGCGCGCGGCTTAACGAGAACCAGCTGCTGCTGTCCCGACGGTACGAGTTTCTTCAAATCTTTGACTCGGAAATGGTGACAGGCGTCTCGTCTACGTCTCGTAAAACGGTGACACTGTCGTTTGGTATTAACGGAGGGCCGCCTCGGGCGAGGCGGGTGGGCAGGCTGTCACGATGCCAGCGTGACTTGGAAAACAGCGTGTTCGGACCAGCTAAGGTGGATACAGTTATTCTGGCTTGGAGACAAAAGGCAGCGCAAGATGTCTCCAAAGATCGGGGATCGTAGAGCCGAGGGGGTCAAGAGTGAGACTAGGCCGTGGCAAAGTGATGGAAGCAGGTGGCCGAGAGAATTTGACTGGGCGAGCAAAGAGGTTGAACGAGGTCCGGGACGCCGGAACGCGGTGAATCGGTTCTCTATCGGGCAGCAAAGGCCTCGCTGGGCTTCGTCAAGATCGTTGTAAGTACAATGTAGGGAACGCTAAAGATGGATGGTGAATAAACGGGGATGAAACGGAACAGGGCTCGCTCTGCGGTGGCCGCAGGGTCTAACAAAGGCCGAGTCAAGGAAATGTACAAAGGAAGATGTGTGGCGGAAGATGAGTGAGAGAATGGTACGATGCCGCAATGGGCAGGTGATATGCGAAGTGGGCGAGAAGGTATGCCGTCCGTTCACCCCGAAGCGTCGTTTGTGGGTGTGGTACTCGGTGGTGGAGGAGGATGATGGTGGTTGTAGATGTGGTGGTGGTGCTTTGGAGGCTTTTGGTGACTAGTGGCAGGGAAAGGGGTTTCGGCGCCGGGGTTGACGCGTGGGGCAGCCGCCAAGCCAAGCGTTTTGCTGCGTCCTTCACGAAAGAGAAGCAGGGGGGCAGAGACTACAGGTTGGGACAGATGGAACTACAGCCTACAGGGCAGTATCCCTTGCTACGGAGGTCAGCATGGAGGGTGGACAGGGCAGGCACGACACAGCATTACTCCATTGAGGGACGCCCTTATTACGCCCTTATTCGTATCTTGGACATGGAAGCACAACGCAACGGCCCACAACGTTCATCATCAATACACTCACTCTATTACCAGTATCAATACCAGTAATCTGTAATATGTGCACGTATCCGTATATATTAGTACTACATATACTAGTATGGACGAGTAGTAGGACCACTGAGTTTGTGGCTAAAACACGCACAGCACAACAGAACAGCAAAACGATCAAAATCTATTATTGCTCTTCTCAATACCCAGAGGTTCGTTAAATCAACTTGGACCCTAATACACTCAAAAATACAGGGCTGTCAGCCCACTGCTAGATATCTGGGGGAGTATCGGAGCGCTAGTAAGTAATATTGCTCGTAGCCTGCATGTACTCCGTCGGTCCCAGACTCCCAGCCAACCAGTGGGTGGCTAACGGCTTAAGTAATAAGCGTCACTTTCCTTTTTCCTTTTTTTTTCAGTCCCCTCCTCTCTACCTCTGCCATACTCCTTCGGCCTGCTTCTCTCTGCCTCTCTCTTCCGTCTAGACAAGGGCTCCTGTTTCTGTCTCGAATGACATTCCGACGCAATAGTAATTTTGGCAGTCTCGGACCCTGTTTGAAATGACATTGACCTTTTGATCTCCATTTTCACACCGTCATCGTTTCTTTTCATTGCTCTCCTCTTCTTTCCCCTCCAATCAGTCCACGCCCTCTTCTCTCACCATCTGCATGCCAATATTACTACAATACTAACACTACTGCCTACTAAGTACAAGTAATAGTACGCGTACGAGAGCAGATATACCGGTACGAAGACGATACCAATCGCCCAATGTTGGCAAAGCCGCTGAGCGCACCATGACTACGCGGGTGAGGGGCTGGATGAGCCAGCTGCTACATTTAGCTACACCTAGATGAGCTACCAACAGACAAGGGAGGACCGGAAATGCCAATAGGCAATCATACCAAATGGTGATCAACCTTGATTGCCCGTACTTTGATCCTCGTATTTACCCGTGATTCCCGTATACGGGCATTGCATGTGCCCTGTCGTCTCGTAGCAGCTAGCCGGCAAATATTACCCCATGTCCCTCCATTTAGCCCACCAACTCGCAATTATCAATACTCGTGCCCGTACTCGTTTACGAGCACAGAGTTAAAGAAGGCTCGTACTTGGTACGGAGTCATAGATGGCCCGTATTGCAGAATACCTCGTAGCAAATATTTTTAAAAATACCACGATTGTCCCAAGACGGCAAGTGGACAAGGCCGACACCCGTGGAACTCTACCTCGTAATACTAGTAGTAGACAGCCATGAACGGATAGTTCCTCCTGCCTCAGCAGGAAATCCGTAGACCTTTGACGAACCTGTGAGCTACTGTGGTTCATCAATCACAATTGTCCCTATCCTCTTGGACTGTCCACTCTACTCTCTCCTCCACCGGACCCTGTCAATCATCCTCGCCAACAGGCGAAACGTGGCAGCCAAACCTCAAAACACTAGGTAACCAAAGCCCGAGGAGCAGCTACTCCGTACACTGTGACAGAGAACCGCAACGGTGCCTACCACCAAAGGATTAGATGCCGCTTTGTCTTGCGAGCCTTTCGAGTGGGTTAACGTGGCCGAAATTTACGGAGTATTATCAGAAGCATGCGTAGGGCGGTAAGGCAATTGTTCTTGGCTCGTTTTTTTCCCTTCGGCCCACAAGGTCACCTCCCTCCGCCAATACTCTTTATTATCACAGCATAATCGATTGACGCTTGCTCCTCGAGCATGGCGGTTTTACGGAAGGTATTTGTCCAGGCTGCGTACGGTCGAGAGTCAATGTCAGTGCATAGTCGAGTCAAAGGCCTTCGACTTTGTCTGCGGGATTTATAAGGATGTGGTGGGAACCTTCTACAATTGATAGCCTTTTGCAGCACATCCTAATCGACCGTCCATCATCCATATCCGCCGTTAGATTAGAAGAGAGACTGGGGTGGTCCTGAGAGGCGTGCCATTCGTAGAGCCAACATTCTTATTTCTTGGGCATGCCCAAGCAGGAAATGCCTCCCTCGCTCACGCGCACAAACATACATGTGTGCATAACGAATTTTGACTAGATGAGGCCGCCGAGAGAAAACGGCTCTTCGCTTTTTTCTTCCGTATTTTCTGTAGCTTGACCGATTGAGCCACGAATCAGACACGGTTTGTCGCTGTACGCATATTATTTCCCACCCTCACAGCTTTTCTACTTTTCCCGCGGAGTATGACCGGTGGGGAACCCTGGCATCGAATATCATTCCGCCACACATCAGCCTCTTGCCCACAACCGACCTGGCCGGGTTTGGCATGTAATAGCTACTACCGGCCGTCCCAATTTAGACATACCACCGTAACTGCGTAGCGGACCATGGAATTGCAAGTATTGATATGTCTGTCTAACCAATACGGACGGACCGCCGTGAACCCTCGGCGGCAACTACATGGCAATGCATGTTTGGCGGTCCCCAACGGCCAGGGGGGCATGGAAGTCACAAGAGGCATAGAGAAATACATGAAGCATTGAACATTAACATTGTTTATTGCTCTTGAATTTTCGAGAAAAGAAGTAGGCTCCTCCCGCCAAGATTTAAGTGTAATGTCGAATCAATATTTCCGGCCTCCTTGTTTCCCTACAGAATAACAACATGGATATTTCGGCGTGACTTACTACATGTATACTACATGTAGGCATTGATACGCTCTGATTCCATGGGTAATCAGCCCAGCATAGACTCCTGGACGACACCATCCAGGCCTGTGAGATACTGGACGCGACTCTTGCAGTAAAACTCGACACTGGGCTTTCCAGCCAGGTTAGCAGCACCACCGTCGAGCGTTCCGGCCTTGATAATAGTCACACCAGGCAGAATCTCGAGCTCCGTGTACAGACTGGAGCCGCAATTCGCGCAAAAGTGGTGCTTGTTAATCTTTCCAGAATCGCCCGTCACGTCGTATGACTTGGGAGTTCCTATTCCAAAACGTATTATCAGTACGGGGCAATATATGATATATGTTTAATATATGGTGAGAGAGTTTGTGTACCATGAGTGACAGTAAAGGAATCGCGGGGTACGATGGCGTTAGACGTAAAGGCGCTTCCACTCCACTAGACAACGAGTTAGTCCGAACATCTGCATTTGAAGTGGGAATTCAGTATACCTTCTGGCAGTCGGTGCAATGGCAAAGAGCCGTTGATAGTGGTTCACCTGTTCAATCGATAAGTTAAGTCATATGCGGTGCCCCAGCCCAGTTTAAGATTCGAGGGTGCTCACTGGTGCTATCAAACTTAATCTCCCCGCACATGCAACTTCCCTTAGTGGCCATGACGTAAGAACGCGTTCAATCGAGACGGTGTCACTTGGTTATTCGATGTTGTTTAAAAAGCTGATTGAGAAGAAATATCAATATAGAGGAAGAGAGTTCCCATCATTTCGAGATCTTGGCCGTCATCTTTTATAAGTAATTGTGAGGTGGAGGTGGTTTGACGAAATATGGAGACGTAAGGGCGCGTTGCTACTTACATACATCTATCACGCAACGACCTTAAAACTTCCCTCTCGGTTTTACCGTTCTTTCTTCTACTTATCTGTTCAAATGTTGACACAGGTATGGGTATTCTTAAGCCGCTGATCAGGCAGTTAAAAAAACCGGTTCTCATCCATAGAGATGCATACTACAGATCAAGATTGCCAGTGCAAGACGCGCAACACAGGGTGATCAGTTAGGTTTTAGGCAGGTGGCATTTTTTGGAAGCTTCCCCCCACGATGGCTAAAGATCGTAACTGCTTCAACGACCATTTGCGAATAGAGCTGCTCTCACGTATCGAGAAGGTATCTGGCTCGGACGAGGATATAGGTGATGATGTTAAGCATCGACTATAAAGCATCCCGATCCGTTTCCCCACATTACATTCCGACGGGAGTAGGAGGTAGTTACTCCAGCCCAAAACTTGAGCATCGAGTGAAGCATAACTGCTATCTTGGTGGTAAGCAAGGCATTCGTGATGCCAATATTTTGACAGGATGGCTTACAGCTCAATAAATGTGGCACCCAAGATTGTATGACTAAGCAGAAAAAGGCTGCGACTACTCACATCTGTAGATAACCTCACAGATAGATTTCCTTCCTTTCCGTTCCATCAAGAAGTCAGACACACACTCATCGACCCAAGACGTACCAGTAGGCAGAAACCACTGTATTCACGTCTACGGGTCATCGTGTGCTGTCGCAAGTAGGAAGCACACAAAATGAGACACAGGGTAGATTGTAAGTAGATACGAATATGTATGTTCTCTTCCATCTTGACTATGTAATATCATTAGGAGCTCACCTGTGCTTTTGGAAATGCCTCATTTCCGAGGACCATGTGGCTTTTATTCAATTTTCATAAGCACCTAAATAACCCCTATTTCCTTACAGTGGCATCTAACAGCCAGTGCATCGCAACGTCCAGAGCATTTCACGTTCTAGTAAAGGGCTCTAAGAGCATAGCCGCACCAATTCCAAAGACTCGCCTCAGTTCAACTGGTACGATTGATGAATTCTTTTTAGAGCCGGATACAACCCCACCGCCACAGTGGCAGGGTCTTCATTGATAAAAGAGCTGACAGCATTCTGGTGCTATCACCCGTTTTGATATTAAACCCACGATTTCAGACTTGCGTTGTTTATTTGCCTACCCTTATCTTTCCTCATGGACTCGTTTATGTCAACTTTAGTATAGTTCCTATCAGAGCTAAGAAGAATATCTCTGCTTTTGACCGTTGACCCGGGAAAAAGTATGACAAAAGGAGCATCGTGAACATCCTCACTCGTAAAATCTCTTCGCCTGTGATCTGGTCGGCAGTATAGCTTCAGCCTGAAGGTATTAGTGAGCCGCGAAGTCCAGTAGGAGTGCTAGACAACGAGTCTAGTTGGGGTAGGGGGCAGCAAGATAAGTGACAAGATCTGCTAGGCAGTGGCCTAGTAGTAACGCACCAGTGACAAGTGTATATGTATTGATCGTTGTCCTCTACAATGATGATAGAATCGGAGTAGGTGACTATTTGTGTAGCCCTTCAGGTCCCTGGACGGAACGAAATAATACTCACGGAAATGCGTTCATTTCCTCTAATCAATTCGAATATTCTGCGATCACTACATCGACCTCGTATGACAACTTAGACGCGCGACTCTAATGCCAGCTAATGGGATTACACAGGGACCATAAGCTTAAACCTCCCAAGACCCCTGATGGCATGATCCTAGTGCACCGCCACGCCGCCAATACGTCAATTCAGTCAGAGAGCATACTAGTGACACAAATGAATGGGCAGCTGTCTCTACGCCATACAGAGAGGCTGGGACGCCATCTTGGTCTTCCCCTAGCACGGAAGTTGGGCGTGTCCAACATCATACTTGAAACAAGGACTAAATCCTTTCCTGCAATCTTCGGAGCAACATTTTAAGTACTTCTTGACTATACCATGTAAAGATAAAGGGTCCAAGCCTGCGTGGGAATGGGGCTCCGAGACGTGCTGGGCTTTCTTTCTTTCTTTCTTTTTTTTTTTTTTTTTTTTTTTAGCTCGGAGCCACGTATTACTCACTTGAACCATATCACCGGGTCATTGTTCCTGGAAAATTTGGAAGAGACCTGACAGGTATCGAGGATTTCGCGATACAGTGCTACCATGGAAAAATGGCGGAATTCCCTCGTCGGGTCTCGATTACCTGGGCCACGAATTCACATAACACGATACCAGCTGTATCATGTATAAGCGTGCGCACAAGGGCATGCAAAAGTGAGGCACATGACGATTTAGCTACTCGTAACTAGTAGGACCCTTCACACCTTCAGATTCTGTGTAAACATATTCTTGCCTTCCTAACTCTCGGGGGTGCGATGCTGCATCGTAGAGCTTGCAATCCCTCCCGTGCCTGTTGATTCTAGGATAGAAATTTTCAGGTGCGGCTTTTGGTTCTAAGAACAATGGGATGTGTAAGGTTCAAATGGCCGATTGCCTTCTTCCGTCCTTTCATCGGCTTCGGCAAGCTCTTAACGCAATTCAGATATCAGAGTATTTTGCATCACTCCTACATTTGTAACGCGTCGCGCTTTTACAAGATGCTCTCTCCATAGAAGGTTGTCCCTATTTTCCCCTCCCTATTATCCCACTCAGTTTATCCACCTAACCGCGTTCATCCCCATACGAACCAACATCAACATGGAACAAATGGGAGGTGCAGCCGTCCCGAACGTCCGAGGTAGGCTTACCTTAGTTTCAGTCCAGATGTAGGTATCTAACATATAATCATGTAAAGGCTGCCGGGTGTGCTCACAGCGCCGTGCCGATCGAGATAAAGGACCTTGCACGGGATGTATCGACAAAGATCGCGTCTGCGTCGGGTTGGACTCCATTCCCCCATCAGGCCAGATTTCCCACGGTAATATTACCGCGTGGTCGTCAACTGGGTCGCCTCCGATGAATTTGCCGTCTTCGATCGAGTTCTTTCCACCAACACTTCATGTTTCTTCTACAGGATTTGTGGAGGAACGCCCTTCTTGGTCACAAAGCGAGCCCGATCAACTGATGAGCCCGGCTGGTCTGCTGCCAATGGCCTCAGCTTCTGGAGAACTAACCTTCTCTGCCGACCAAGGAGGTCTGGGTGTGATGGCTCCTTGCCATGGCACCCCACCGGCTTTCGGTCCTTGCAACAACTATTTATTTGACTCTACGAACAGCGTCTTGATAGCACCCATCGGTACGGACGTTGGCGCCACATTCAATCAGGAAAATAACTGTGGCCTCGTCATCCCTATGATTGGGGCAAGTCCACCTGGCGAAAGTCTCACCACCATTGCCTACTTTTACCAGAGGGGAGATGTATACCCGCTAAGAGAAGAAGGGGATAACTTAACTACTTACCTAGATTGTCATTCCAGGGCAGTGGGAGGCTGCGGAGGATTGTTGCCTGACAACATATCGCCACTTCCCTCGATAGAACGAAAGCTTCTGGAGCACTGTAAGTTAACTTCACGAGATAGCATCTGACCAATGTCGAGGGAAATTATAGACTGACAGCAAGCGGAATATGTGTAGACTTGGAGGCTATCGCTCCGGAACTGGAACCGATCGATGGGGAGGCCAATGGGTGGCGACATATCATTATCCCTCTCGCTGTGGCAGACGAATCGGTCAGAGCCCCTGTTCTCGCGATGGCGGCCTTCCATATGAGAAAATTCGAGGCGGACCTTTCTTCTACGGCTGAGAAGCTATATGGTATAGCTGTAGGGGTTTTGGTGGAAATGCAGCAACCTCGTACATGCGGGGAGAAGCAATTAATGCTCCTTTCCATCATCGCACACCTGGCAATATCCTTGGTCACGGGCTCTAGGGACTTTGCATTAATGTACGGTCTCCTTGAAACGACTCTTCAGACGTTTGGCGGCGACAGAGCTCTACAGAATAACCAGCTGGTATCCAATTTCATCTTACGCCAGATTCGGAAGTAAGTATTCGCCGTCGTGGAGACCGTAATCAATGGTTATTGACTACATTTTCCCCCGCAGATTCCGACTATATGCGGCGCCATCCCTGAATTTAGAAGAGGGCTTCAGAGTACTTCAATCAGCCAGTCAGTCTGCCCGAGATCCAAGAGGCTTAACCTGTGACACCCTGAAGTACTATGACGGCCTATATCCCGTATACTCGACAACATTTAGAGCTGCTGAGACACTGCATCGCATGGCTTTCGACATGTACCTGTATCGACTAAAAATAATGGGAGGTGGCGCAAGTGACGGGTTAGAATTTGCCAGGATTGCCCAATTTATTGAGCGGCTGAAGGGGATAAGGCCTAGGACTATTGGAGGGAATTATCTCATCTGGCCTTGCTTCATAGCCGCTGCGGAGAGCAAGTCGACTGTGCAAAGGAAGTTCTTGAAGGCATTTCTTGTCCAACAATTCAGGAGAAGCCGGTTTGACAATATTATGAAAGCCCTAAGCTTCCTGTCCAGTATTGGAACTGGGACTCAGAGAGCTGGAGACTGGCCCAAACTGCTGGCAGATTTTCAAGTCCTCATTATGTAAGAATATTCCTGAACTAATTATTTGAGTATTCTGTAGGCTTAGCAGATGGCTTTTAGCAATAAAAGCAGGCATCATGGTCCACGAATGCTTTCGGGGTGGCTTTTTTTGTGACAATACCTTGGATGTAATTTCTCTCACAATCACGCAAGGTGAGCATACGTGTCAAATGTAAAGTTGATTGCAGCGTGATAGTATATTCCGCCTCAGTAGTGATCGAAACTGTACAGGAAGGCTCTACCCTTTCATACCCAGACATTAGCCATTTTGAGCAGGCTTTATTAAGAGACACGGCATTACCCAATTAGGTAATTGCTGTGAGGGTAATTATAACACCAGGCTGTCACCAGCGCGTCAATTTTTACATCAGATTAGACTCATTGCTTATACTTGTAGCTAACACGGACTGATGTTTCTTTTCCTCTGAGCGACACCAACGCCTCCATTACGATGAACGTTGTCTGGAGCCGTGATACATGGACCAAGCCAAACTAGGATACATTACCATGACCACATCTTTCAGAACATATTTTTGACAGTAATACCGTAAGGAATATCATTTATCATGACTCCCATCTTTCCCAACCAGATACCTCTTCTCACAGCACCCTACACCATCCCGAGAACGACGCCGACAGCAATGCCAGCAACCACGTTGAATGCCACGGCAACACCCGCAGGGGCAGCAGAGCCGGGTGTAACAGTCGGCTTGCTAGCCGTAGTCTTATCAACGCCAGCCGGCGTTCGGGATGAGGAGGATGTTGTCACAGCTGTACTCGTAGAGCCATTGATCTCGAAAGCAACAGAAGGCGTCTTCTTGGCGGCTGACAACTCAGCAGATGCTGTCTCGGCATCCTCAAAGGTGGAGGTCGTAGCTGTTGAGACGTCGGGAATCTTTACCAATGACGTCTTCGAAGCCACGGTCGTAGAAGCTGCTGGCTTAAGCGGGTCTGAATCGAGGAAACTAGCCGTTACCGTCTCGGTCCCATGATAGCCGGGACACCCGGGGACCGTCCTGGGGGGGGGGCCTACCCCCTCCGCAATCGACCAGCTCGCAAACCTCGAGGGAGTCAGGGTCATAGTAGATGAGAGTGACATAGGTGTAGTCACGCGCCGTGGTCACGGTGGTGAAGGGGGTGCAGCCATCACAGTCTGTCTTGGCGATAGCAAGGCCGGCGAAGGCCACCGTGGCGGTAGCAATGGTTGATGTTTTCATGGTGATGGATGTGCATATCTCAGCCTTGTTCTTTTTGGGAAGGGATTGGTTCGATATATATAGTACAAGAACTTCAATCATATAAGGTAAGAGGAAAGGAGAGCTGCATGTACGAGCTCATAGGTCTACAACAAGTCGAGCCAGGCCAATATTTTTTCATACCAACAAAAAGTAACCATCACGCGAAGCAAACAGTAGTACAATTTAAGCACCTGTTCGGGAAATTGCCACCTTGGCACGGGAAGTCTAGACTCTTCCGGCTTACTCCCGTCATCGACCCAGACAGCTGGTAATATCAATACGGGATACGCCATGACCTCACAGGGTTGATATAATCATACTTCACGGAACTTCACTTATGCAGTTTAGCATCAAAGGGCCCGGGAAGCAAGAAAGTTGAGGCATGTGCCTGTAGCACCTAATAAAAGAGAAAAGATCGGTTTCCGATACTATCACTCCAATCCATAACAAATTTATTTCCATTTTGGTGATTTCTGTTGATGTTAATTATAGCTTACAAGCCACCGAATCTTCCTTTTCCCAGCTATTCGAATATCATCACCAAGAACTCCCCCTTTCCTAGGAGTTACAGAGATCTGCTAGCCAAGGAAAACAGAAAGAACCCCCAACTAGACTGAGGATGATCAAGTCGGAAGAAAAGAGAAAAACCCGATGCCCATAAAAAAAAATAAAACATTGGCACGCCCAACAATCTAGCATCACGACAAAGGGGTAAGATAAAAAATGATGAAATACAAGATAGAAAAAAGAATGAATAACCCATTGATTCCCAATCCTATACTCCTTCCTAAATGTCAACAGTAAAAAAGAAATATACCAACAATTTAATCATAGTTTTTGTAGCCAACTCAGTTCCTCCACCTAACCTTCCGCCATTTTTTCATAGTTTCCCAATACACCCTAAGACAGAAAACCAAAACAAAAAGGAAGACAGAACAACCCTCTTTCCAGCCAATTATCCACATACATCTGAATACGCCGTGATATGAACAAAAGATCCCATCCAAGCAGCTATCCCGGACCGCAGCCATTTGTTTTGTTTTCTTTCGTGCGTAGCGTTTTGAAAATGCGAGCAGTCCCAACTCCTGACCAAATGCCAGTTTCAACCCTTGCTGAAACAATTGAAAGATGAAATGATTAAAAAAGCCAAAGGGCTGTACCCCAATCGCCAGAGCAGACCAGACCACACCAGAAAATGTCCAAAACCAAGGACAAAAGAGCAAAAAAGGAGTCCCAGGAACATACCCAAGTTTGTACGTGCGCGTATGTTTTCTGCCATTCCCCATGGCTATAATTCAGTCCCAATGGCGCCAACCACTTCCCTTTGTGCCGCCCGAATGCCCAAAAAAAGAGACAAAAGAAAAACGCCGGGAAAAAAGAACACGAAGGGAGTGTATCCAGAAGGATGTATCCAAAACATGACAATCCCCTCGCCTATTAACTATATTGTATTGTCAAGTGATGAGGTCTTATTTTGCAAGCAGGGGTAGGAATCGTTTATCCCCAAACACTGGCCTGCGTGCCGAGGCCTGAAGACTGGCCCCACACCCCGTTACCACGACCCCATCCACCCGAGGAGCCCATGGGGGTTGTCGAACGCTTCGTCTGAGCGTTAGCCGGGGTGCCCGAGGGGCGGGTGCCAATCGGCGCAACCGAGGAGCCGGACTGGCCAGGCTTGGAGCCGGGAACCAGGTCCTGCGGCGACGAAGCACCCGTCGGACTGGACGTAGATGTGCGGCTCTGGGCACCCACGGCGCTGTCGAACATCTTGTTGGTAGGTCCGGCAGTCTGGGGGCTAGCAGTGCTCGGGGGGCGGGGGCTAGGGTCGGCAGGGAGCGAGGAGCTCGGTTCAGCGTTTGTGACCGGGGTGCCTGCCTCGGCGCCAGGAGGGGCCCGAGGGACGCCATCATAGCCCAAAGGGGAAACACCACGAAGGCTGGGAGGGCCACTGGGGCCAGGAGCACCAGTGTGAACCTTGCCGTTCTCATCGACGTAGCCGCCTTGTTCGGCAAAGGGGCCCTCGCCGTAGAGGGCGCTGCGCTGGCGGGCGATAAGCTCGCGCGTCTCTTCCTCGGACATGTGCTTGTTCCCGCCGGGGGCCGGGACCTCAGCAAGAGCATCTACGTAAAAAAAAACTGTTAGCCCGCACTCAACGTCTCAAATGAATAGAAAAGCAAGAAAACAAGCAGAAGCAACAGCTGCCTTGGCATCCCCTTTTCCCCCTGTGGTAGAACTGAACTGGAGATCCAGAAACAAAGTTCCGAACGAAAGAAGAAAAAGTTGAGGGCAAGGCCGAAAAGAAACCCGTTGTCTCCCACCCAAACATAGTATGAAAAAAAGAGGGGCTGAGCCCATGCCAACATGTTATATTCAGGCAATCCTTGCCCAGGGACAGGAAGAAAGAGAGAATGAGAAGGAAGAAAGTGTTACACAGCAGAGGGTGGCCTACTTCGTTGATATTGCTGTTCCGTGTGGAGGTTGCGGAGTTCGCGCTCCCGCTGGGCTGCCATCCTCCTCTTGGCCTGCATGACCTGTTCAACCTCGTTAGTGCCACGCGAGGGCTGGTGGCGCTGGTTAGCGTAGAAATTGTGCAGGTTGGGTCCGGGAGGCCCAGAGGGGCCATCGAAGTTGTTGACCGAGTGGGATCGGGAGCCCGGGCCATGCGGCATCCGTCCGTCTACTTGAAAAAAGTCCGAACAGTTAGCTGGTGGGTAGACGGGGTGACACCCAACAAAACGGCATACATATCTGCCGACAACGTAAACTTACCAAAGTCGGGGGTGCTTCGCGCAGACCCAGAACCGTGGCCGTGGTGCATGGGAGAGAACTTGCGGCGGCCTCCCATCATAAATCCCTTTCCAGACTTTTGGAGGTTCTCGTAAGCGCGATCGACCTCTATTCAGAATATATCAGCGGGATCTCAAGTCTAGAGGACGTGTGCGGGGCCACCCCAAGGAAAGGTAGATCCAGGGCGGTCCAGCACACATAGGTCCGTCTTCGGGTGGTACTGTTCATGGTCTTACCGTCGAACTGGTAGGAGAAGGCAAAGTCGTCCTGGGCTTGAGGAGCGCTGGCACCTGTAGATCCTGAGGTCAGCACAACTGATCAGAAAGAGCGGCCCGGAGCTCACAGATAGCAGGGCGGCACTTACCGGCACGGACGGGTGTCGAGGAACCTTGAGGGTCCCAGCTGCTTTGGCTAGGACCAGTCCACTGGGGGTTCTCGTAGTAGGACATGTTTGCTCTTTGGCGACGGAGACAGAGGGCGAATCTGTGGACAGGACCGACAATATAGTCAACGTGTTCGGTCTAGTCGGAAGAGTGGTTATTAGCATCATGTTGGAATGGCCATTGATCCAAGACGATATGCGACGTAAGCCGACCCCGGATGACGTAGGAACAAGTGTCAGATGGCATGGTATCTCCTGAATGAAGCACAAAAAAAGAAATCCCTCGAGGCCGGTGTAGTAATGTCTAAGGTTCTTTCTCTCCTTCTTTCCGGGTAGTGGAGAGGAGGGGGGAGACGGCCGTGTCGCAAATGCCGCGTCCCAAATTTTCGCCGACCAGGTAAAAGGGGGGGGTTCCGTACCGGACAGAGATATGCAAACCGAGACGGAAATAGGTTTGTCGTCGATGGTCGTCGTTTGTCGTCGGAGTCGTCAAAAAAAGGGGGAATGTTTCGATAACTGGTCAAAGAAAAACTAAATGATGTGGGTGCGCGGCGTATACGCGCAAAACGGAAGCCGAGGCGGCGCGAAGGCAAAAACGGAAAAGGAAAAATAGGGTCGTTGAATTCAGAGACGGAAGGTCGAGATAGTACACCGAGATCGACTCGAGCAAACAGAGGTCGATTAAAAAAACAGCACACGGAACAAAACTCACAGCAACAACCTCTGTTAGGAAGAGGAGCCGTTGTAGACCACAAAGGGGAGGAAAAAGGGTGAAGAGAGATGAAGAAGGACTAAAAAGGGTAGCAAGAAAAAGGTAGGGGAAGGACTAAGGGAGTAGGAAAACAAGAGCAAGAGAAAAGAATGGGCAGAGCCAGTGACAAGTACCTGCCTTCTAAGTTCTCCGTAATACTCTGTATGGTAATTGGCAATTGCCTGCACGACGATGGGGCACGATAGGGGGAGAGGTGATGTATTGTGCACTGTGTAGACTGTGCGCTGTGCTGCATGCCGTCAGCAATGGTACGGTATGAATACCTCACATCACGGGTAGTGATTGTACTGTATTTTTGAGTGTGCCTTGTGGCCCCCCTTCCATCTCGGCCGTCGGAAGGAGGAGTACTTTAGGTTGTAGTGTTTTTTAGTCATTTACGGAGTGTTAGGGTGCCGTTATTCAGGTACTAGTAGTAATAGTAATACTAGTATCAGTACGGAGTACTCGTAGTACGACTACTGCTCGTGGTATTATTTGCCATATTTCTGACTGGTCCGAGTGATAATAAGTTCTGACAATATTACTTCTACCCTAGTACTGTTACCTGTACTGCTAGTACTCTGTACTTATACATAAGGAAACAGGGCAGGCCACATCTCTCCCCTCACCACATGGCAATAGGCTAGCAGTAGTAGGTAGTAGTAATACTTGCATTCCAAGAAAGATTACTGTGCCTTATACCATCCCTCTCAACTCTCCGCTCATCCCCATCTCTCCTATTGTTACCGTCTATCCGTTCAATGTTACAACGGTAACAGCAACGAGTGAGGGCCATCATGGACTGTTAATGGGTGTGGTGGGGTGGAGTTGTGCCAAGACCAAAAGGCTTCCCTGTGGAGGCTTCATCTCGCACTGTAGCCCCTAGGCAGCTTCCAAGTGTTCCCGAAGTGCTCCGACTTCCCCGCAGCGCCTTTTGACCTTTTGGCTTGGGTCCCAGCTATAGGTTGAGGGGCCGCTGTAACTTGGATGGTTGAGAGCACTGAGAGGCACGTGGACACTGTGGGATTACGTATCAACCACATTGACATATAAATCAACCAACCATTATATCATCGCTTCGCGTTGTTACCATGTCATTATACTGAGTGTCCATAATAAAACAGCTCCAACACTTGCAAGCCACCACCATGGACGGGTGTAGTCAACATGGTACTCTTCGTCTACAGGTGAACACTCTCTACGTGCCATCTGTGCTTACTGGAAACCTCGTATTCGTACCACTACCACTCCTAAAGGTACTACTCATAGTAGTAATAATACTCGTGCCATACCCTGCGATGCTGATCAATACTGATATCACACACTGCTGGGTTCCTCGTCTGTCTTCTCACCATCCTTCACGTCATGTCCCACGCTCCTGGGCCACTTGTCCCTCATCCTGTGGGGGTCCTATATTTCCATCATCCCACTCCTACAAGTTAAACTTACTCGTACATGTTCGACTCTGTATTCCCTATAGTTACTCAGTAATACAGCCTTGTAAATCGGTCGGACGCTCCTATCCTGGGTCCCGGAGCCTAGCTTTTTTCCTTCTCTCCGGTTTTTGCCCGTTGCCGCTGGACGCTGTACTCCCTTCCCCCACTCCCTCTGTCCCTCTCTCTCCCAGAGTCCTTCTGACCCCTCCTCCCTCATGCAGACATACGTAGCGCGCGTAGCATATGACCCGGGCAGGTTTCGCTTCTGTACTGCCTCTTCCTCATTGGGAGAACACGCCTTGACACCATACTTCAACCTACAAGTGCGGGCACTTGGCGCTTCCTCCGTCATCGACAGTGTGGGTATCACGTGTAGATGTTCCCTCTGACAAACTGCCTACCCTGCATCACTGCGATATCCGGTAGGGGCTTCGGCTGCAACGAGAATCATATGAGCAGCGTGTTGGGTTGCGATGAGTGGTCATTGACTGATGGTTATCATCTGCGACAGGATCATAAACATCGATTCCAGCCTTGTACAGATTACATGGCATTGTACTATCCACACGCCAGAAATGTGATTATATAATGATTATGGGACCCACACGGTCGCATAGGTATCACAAAATATTCTGTCACTATCTCACATTCCGTGGCACCATAGCTGTGCCACTTTTAAAGTCCGGTTCCGTAACAACCATTTCATCGCCACACTACTCCGTACCTACATGCTCATGGCAAAACTGAACAAATAATATGTCGAATGAAAACAGCAATCGTACATACCACAAACTCGCCTTCAAACCCGATGCTGATAAACTCATAAATGCGTCGCTCATCTCTACCCAGCGATATTGATGCCGTCGAGCTCGAGTCGCTCGTTCAGGATGAAGAAGAAGGCGAGATGACGTTGGCACCCGACGCTCCCTTATCTATGAGGCCTCCGTTCTCACCACGTCCATCATCCCTCTCACTGAGGCCTAAGTGGCTCACACACGACCATCTCCCGTGGTACCAACGTCTAGCGCACGTTGGCGCCTCGTCGGCCATCCTCTTTCTATGGCCACGCTTCACATGGCGCTATGTCTTGTGCGCCTCCCTCGCCTTGTACGCTCTGTACTGCTCAGTACGCCAGAGCCCGCTCTTCGCCTACCCGCTACCCACGTACGAAGGGGGGCCATACGGAGTCGGTGTTATTGACATTGAGATACCTTTGCCCGACGGGCCGAAGCGCATATCCGACGCCGTCTTGCGCCGCTCAGGCGAACCCGCCTTTGACGTCGAGACCGTTCTCGTCTCGCTCTACTACCCTACTAACCGCGCTTTCCAGTCCTCCCAGTCGCGGTACTACTGGGTCCCCAAACCGATCAGTCTCACCGCCGAGGGCTACGCCAAGGTCGCCCACATTGACAACTTCATCACACGACCCATCTTCACCTTCTTCCTCTGGGCTATCGCTGGCTCTGTCACCATCCCCGCTGAGGTCAACGCTCCCCTATTTGATGAAGGGGGCGACCAGGGCAGCAGTTCCCAGTTCCCCGTCATCATATTCTCTCACGGCATGGCCAGTTCCCGCACCGACTACACCAACTTCCTCGGCGAGCTAGCCTCCCGTGGCAGTATCATTGCTGCCGTCGAGCATCGTGATGGCAGCTGTCCTGGCTCTATGATAAAGCACCCTGGGGAGGATGGTGAGGGCCGTCGCCGCCTATATATTGGAGAGTCCGACCTGGCCGGTGACGGTATGAACACGCCTGAATTCAAGCGCATCCAGCTGGCCTTCCGCGACGTCGAGATGCTCGCCGCAATTGACATGCTACGCTCCATCAATGACGGCTCCGGCCTTGCCTATATTGCCGCCAACAACACGCGGTCCCCTAGTGCTTCGACACTGTCTACATGGCCGTCCCGCCTCGATATTGACAAGCGTCTCATCATTGCCGGCCACTCGTACGGCGCCACGGGTGCTCTCCAGGCCCTGACAACCATCGCCCCTGGCGCCGCTGCGGGCCTCATCCTCGACCCGGGAAAGTCATCCGGCCCGCTCAACCACAACTCTACCGCCCCCTTACTCATCATCCACTCGAACTCGTGGTCTAGATCTCACTCCATCTTTTACGGGCGCCCACACTTTGACACCGTCCGCGACCTCGTCCGTGCTCAGCCCGCCCCCTCGTGGTTTCTCACCAGCCTCGGTACCTCTCACCCTAGTGTCACTGACGCTCCCCTGCTCGAGCCACTCCTCCTCAGTTGGACTACCGGCGCAAATCTCGACGTGAAGGGTGCCCTCAAACAATACGTCAATGTATCACAGGAATTCTTAGACTTTTCCATGCATGGCAAACTAAACAATCTCGTCGGCTTGCTAGCTGAGGATATCACCCATGAAGAGTATAATGTTTGGGTCAGCGACGAGAGAAAAAAGACCTTCCCCAAAAGCTTGGCCAAGTTATGGGAGATTCATGTCACCCCTGAAGTATGATATACCTTCCCACGTCTTTGTACATAATATACCTGCCTGTTGTACTGGCTCATCCTGATTTGTTTCTTTTCTGTTTTGGTTTCCGTCGGTCGCAGGGTCTAGAGGCTTTCATCTTTTCATGTCCGTGCATCATCCGAGACAATGGCTCAACGGTTTGGTATGGTACAGGAAGCGTTTACATATCACTATTACTTCTTCTTTCTTGGAAGCCGGTTAATATACAAGTTTTCTCTGATTGAATCTTTCGGCTCTGTATACACATATTCATGTGGTTGGTCTCCACTATCAGTACGCATAACCACTGAATAAGAGATACAGATACAGATGCCTAGTCATAGCTCGTCTCGCTCTAGCACGCGCAGTACACAAGCTCCTGTCCCAATAAAAACATCACTCCCGCTACAATATATTCTGTTGGTTGTCACTATTAGATGAAAGCAAGCGAAGGGCTACCTTGCCCACTGCCTGATGACCTCCAATGGTGGTTGTGAAAGGGCATGACACCCATCCTCTTGGTAAGCTGTTTCTCTGGCCGTGTATCTTTGGGAAACCCCCAAGTCATACTCTGGGTATCGCTCCATATATCTCTGAAGAGCTCAGGACTGGAGGGGTGTTTCCCAATAACTGGACATGGAGGGGGCATGCCTGTCTTTCCAAACTGATGCTCCACTGCTTGGGCCAGCCCCCTATTAGATATCACCGGAGATATCGAGTTTTCTGTTAGACGGGAACTGTTTCTTCCCCCCTGCAAAATTGCCCATTTGGAAGTCGGGTTTGAGTTCGAAATCCTGCTTGAAGGCCGTGATTTTTGAGATAGGGATGTTTGTTGATTCAACAACGAGCTTCTAGGAGTGGGGGTGCCGTACACACTATCCCTTGACTTTTTTTGGAAGTACGCTTCATACACGGGGCTCTCCTGCACTGAATCCGGTGCCCGATTCTCATCCTTCGGTATCCGTTGAAGAGGTCCAGATTTCAACCATTGCTCTTGGTTCGGGTACATCGAGATAGGTGCTGTGTACTTTGGTGGGCTGGGTTTGTCTGACGCGCTCACGCTAGTCATAGAAGATGTCATCAATTCCGTCGTCGAATCAATTTCTGCGTGCTCCCGGACGTGGCTAAATATCGGAAACGTTCGAGGCAAGTTAGGAGTAGGGACTTCTCCGCCTTGTACTTGTACTTCCTCGAGCCCCATGGCGTGTAGGCTAGCTGTCTTTTTCCACTCCACGAAGCTCAGTGGTGACACAGAACCACACTGATGGCTATTTACGTAGCAAGGGTAAGATTGTTCAGTGAAGGATTCCTCGTTCTCATAGAGGTGTGGTGTCTTTTGGACGACAGAAGTACTATCGTTGGCCTCAGAATCGTATGTGTCTGAGTAAACACTTTCGGCGTAATTCATGTTTACGGGCCTCTCCGAGAATCCCGTGCTTGCGCGGCGTGTGGGAAGACTGATTGCTGAAAGTGACTCTAGATATCCGGCCCCCAGGCCTTGAGCCTCTCTAGTCCGTGCGGCAGTCTCGGCCTCCTTCATGCTCTCCCGCAATGCCCGACGGTATGGACTGGCAGTCCGAAAGAGATGGCTGGTCGGGCTAGCGAAGAACGCAGATGATCTTTCCGAAACAAGTCTTCTGTCATTCTCAGAAGCTTGAGGCGATGAAAAGGAGCAGCTTTGTGAAAGGACGTTCACATCTTCCGTCCAGGGGTTAGGAGAGCTTCTCCTCGAGGTAAGAGAATATGGCATGTCTAGGTTTGATCTCATGGAAATCTTGGGTGTTTTCGAATTCAATGAAGTAGCACCATCCCAGTTGTCGTCAAACATGTTGTAGTCCGACCTAACATGGCGAATTGTGTACTGCTGGGGGTCTTTGTGGTCGTTGGGGCAGTTAACGATTTGGTGTGTCGGGTTGTAATCGTATGAGGGCGCTCCGGTAGTCGCTCGCCTGCCTGACACCGTGCGCCTCTCGTTTTCCTTCACCCGTTTCATCAAGGCAGAATAAACACGTTGACTGTCGATTTTGAATGTAGTGCTCCCGGAAGATTCAATATTGCATGCTTGGGCAGCATTTTCGCCGATGACAGGGAGCTTCTCGTCTTCCCAATCAATTGCCATTTGGCTAACAGCAGGGCTGGTTACTGAATCAGCCCAACTGGTGACTCGGGACTTCTCCTCGTCGTATACGGTTTCCTGATCACCTGTGCTGCCGAAATCAAACCCACGAGACTCCTTTCCCATGCAACGGCCCCTTTCAAAGGAGGTAGAATTTTGGGAACAAAATGTCTTGACTTCATGAGGTGTTGCTTTGACGGTTTCCTTGCTGACATATGACTCAGCTGTACTACTAATCCCATCGGATGATCCACCAGAGATACTCTGCCCACCAAGAAGGCCAAATATCCTTGACCTTATAGATATAGATGCCCTCCGAGCCTTGGTTCGCAAGCTCTCTCGCCTAGATGGTGCGAAGGGTTCCGCCGTGCATGACGAGCCAAGCGATGCGCTGTTGCTGCTGTTGTTTCGAAGTGAATTTGATGGTCTCGTGGAGACATCGACTCTAAGTCTTCTTATCCTGCTTAGGAGTGACGGAGAGTATTTAAGACGGTGGCGGGGGTGAGCTTGAACTTGTGAGAGAGATCCTTCACAAACTGTCTTGGCCGCAAAGTCGTTCCCGGTGCGGCTGCCGCAAAACGCCGTCTGATTGCCGTTCTTTGGAAGGAGACCCATAGATTGGGAAACACGTAACTTTGGTGTTCTCAGCTCTTCAGTCCCTGAATTCTCCTTAGCGGCGTGCGGTGGTATTGTCTGCGGTGTCCCATCAATCGAAATTGAATGCCCACTACGGTGTGAACCGCTAGACGCGTTGAACCAGGACTTTGATTTGCGCATAGTTTTGTGCAATGGCGATACTGACATCGCATTGCCCTTCTTACTATATTGACTTGGTATAGTCATTTCTGAGCGCAAATAGCCATCACCATCGTTGTATGACGATAAGATGGAGCCTCGATGTTCACCACGATCAGTGGATGGGTCCAGGTTGTCTACCGCCATGCAGTACTCGCTCCAACGGGACACAGGAGTGCGTTTGTAGAGGCCTTTGGGGCCTGTAAACCTGATACTGCGCTGTCGTCTGATTACTGTTGAATCACGGCGGCTTTCCAGCTGATGCTGAGCGTTGTCATCGTCACTATCGTCATCGTGGCTCAGAGCCTTTTTTGTCGGGCAAACACGCCAACTTGGAGTAGTGGAGTCGTGCAAGTCCGAGGCCATTCCTTCGCTGGCACTACCACCGTAAGCACGCTGGTATGACAGTCTAGCGGCAATGTGTGCTTCACGTTCGGCTGTGGCAGGATTACTGTGAAGATCGTAGATTATACTGCGAGGAATGGAATTCGTCGATTTACTCCGACTCAGAGGGCGCGATTGCCTTTTGGAGCTGTCCCAGCGAAACATCGCCAACGACGAAGGTGCAGAGTACATATCAAAAGAAGTGAATGAGAGTTGGATGTACTAACTGTTGTCGTTTGCCTGCCGCCGACAGGCTAAAAGTGATGATGATGTAGATGGATGTGAGAGCCAGCCAAAAAAGAGCACATGGTGGGGTGAACAGACAAGACTGATTGCCATCTGATAAGCTTCCATATGAAAAGGCACACGTCCATTGATTTGAGCATTGAGGGAAGGAACAATAGGCTTGGCAGTATCTCTCCGGTCAAGTACGAGTACACCTTGTGTCTCGGAAGCACTCGCCCAGACGTGACTGCAAATATTAGCCAAGTGCAGCCGCCCAGACATGTACACACAGGGGAGTATAATTGTGGGTTTGTGGTGCTAGTATATGGATTGACTATCTGCAGTAGGCAATCTGTAGCTCGCCAACAATCTTTGCACATCAATCTCGAAAACGATACAGAAACAAAAGCCGAAGACAAAAAAAAAAAACAATCGTTCCCGGGGACCAATTCACATAATGCATCAAATAATGCAATAACCATTACCTAGCTAAACCCGAAGTCTTGTGCAGATATCCCAAATGGGTAATGTTGTACCTCATCCTACATGCAGTGCAGGCGTATATTATTTCTGACCTTAGACAGTCAGGTCTGAGAGGAGCTTCTTCAGTTCCTCGTCAACAACCTGGCGAACTTTGTCGCCGAGGATGGCAGCCTTGGCCTCCAAGTCCTCAAGCTCCTTGGAAACCTGGCCAGAGACGACCTCAACGCCATCAACAACCTTGCCGGAGACAACCTCGTACTCGTTCTTGAGCTCCTCAATCGTGGAAGGGGCACGCTGAACCTTGTAGCCGCCAGCCTCAACGATCTTAGAGAAGTTGCTGCAGCCACCGCCATTCCAGGCAAGCAGGTTGGGAGTGTCGCTGTCAGGGAGACCCTCAAGAGCGCCCTCTGTGGCAACAGAGATGATGCTCTTCTTAAGCTCAGTAGGGGTGATGGGGGCAAGGGCGAATTCAGAGTCACCAGCGGGCTGGAGGGAAAGGTAGTAGGCAAGGAGACCCGCGAGGTGGGGAGAGGCCATCGAGGTACCAGAAATAGTGTTGATGGCATAGGGGGAGCCGATCCAGGTGGACTGGATGCTGACACCAGGGCCAAAGATATCCGTACACTTTCCGTAGTTGGAGAAATAGGCACGGTCATCGCTCATGTCAGAGGCACCGACAGTGAGAGGTTCAGAGGCAGCAGCGGGAGAGTAACGACAGGCATCGGCATTGTCGTTGCCAGCAGCAACAGCAAAGTGGACACCAGCGCGGACGGCAGCGTTGACAGCAGCGTCGAGAGTAGAGGTCTTGCCACCACCCAGAGACATGTTGGCAACAGAGCCCTTGAAGCCCTTGCGCTTGCCGGCCTTGGCGAGCTTGACCTGAGCCTGGTGAGACTCGGCAGCGAACTCGACACCTTTGACAACGTCGGCCATCGTACCGGAACCGCTGGAACGAAGGACCTTGACGGCGTAGACATTGGCTTTCTTGGCAACACCGTACTTCTTGCCAGCAATAGTACCGGAGCAGTGAGTGCCGTGGCCGTTGCCGTCCTCGTCAGGATCACCTTCAGGGATGGTAGCACCCCACTTGGCACGGCCCTCAAAGTCGACGTGGTCGACGTTAGTCCCTGTGTCGATGACGTAGGCATCAACACCCTCGCCAGCGCTATCAGTGTACAGGTACTTGTTGAATGTGCTGAAGCCAAGGGTGTCACGGTGAGAGACACGGGCAAGGCCCCAGGGCGCCTGCTTCTCAACGTCGCCATCGCACTTGTCTTCAGTCACGAGGTCATGTTGATTGACGGGTAGCATGGTGTGGACCATGGTGTCATGCTCGATGTACTCGACCTGACAAGACAGACATTAGGACCAGTGTTTATTTCTGGCACGTGCAAGGATAGGGTTATCCATCAAACTTACATCGGGGTGGCCACGGATCTTCTCAATGACATCAGGGTGGAAGTGGCCGGCATAGCCCTTGAACTCGCCGATGGAAAAGGTGTGCTTCATGCCGTGGAAGACCTTTCCAAGGAGGGAGTCCTCGCCACGCTTGCGGAGCTCGAGAAACTGGTCCTCGGCTTCGCTGTGAACGGACTGAATCCACGAGTGATGGGTAGCGGCAGCCGACTCATCAACATGGTCCTTGAACTTGATGATGTACGAGTCGGGGATATTCTCGGAATCGATGGAGCTCAGGATGGGAGCAGCATCGCTGTGGATGGTCCCTGTGCTGAAGGAGGCTGCCTGGGCCAGGGCAACCAAGGCGAGGGTGGCGACACTCCGCATGATGGCTGGCTGTGAGTCGGTCGTCTACCAGAGACGGCCTAAGATAGAGAGAAGAAGATGGAGACGAAGACGAAACAAAATGGACAATAAGGGAGATGGATTTGATGGGGGAAAATGAATAAAGGGAAAGATGAAGAGGGATAGAGGGTTGAAAGAAAACAGAGTTGGGGAGGGCGGAAGGCAGGAGAAGTAAGTAGGTTTCGTTGGGTAGGCAGGTACGATGACGAGACTGGACGGGGTGATAACGGAGCAACGAGAGAAGCGAGCACGCACTGACGCATCCAGTCATGCGTCAGCCGAGTGATAACATGGTATGGGTCCATCATGGCCACTTTAGGTTTAGAGTGGGGCGTAATGGTCCAATCCCATGACTCGACTGATACCAAGCCGCGGCGATAACGGGGGAGCTCCAAGACGAAGTGCAGACAAGAGACGCAAGATGTACACGATGTACAGTTACATGGCCTAAGACCTAAGGCAGCTACTAAGTCCACTCAGACACCCTGATGCCTTTTTCTTCCGCTGGTCCTCTTCCTTGTTCCTGCGTCGCGCTGCCCTGGCTGCCCTGAACTGCCGCCTATGTTGTATTACGAGTAATACTCGTACTCGTACTGTCCCCATCCCTACCGGTCCCCATGGGCCCGGGATCAGCGGCTTGCTCGTCAGCTCCTCCCCCAACAGATGGCGGTGTCGTCCGTGATAAGTCACAGGTCATCCCTGAAAATTGTGCAGTGAACAATGAGAGACGAAACACTGACTTGTCGTTGTCCGATTCTATCCCCCCCCGTTCTGTATGTTTTGTAGCATACTCTACATATTCTTCGTAGTCTATCGGCTCCAGGCGATTCAAGCCCCGTGATGCCATACGGGGTCGTGGAGCAACTGTAGCCCCAAAGTACCGGTACTTAATCCTGCTCATTGTACCAGCACCTTTACGACTACTGCGAATGCGGGGAAAGCTCTAGCAATTGTGAAATTGTAGCCGCCTGACTTTGAACATTGTGGTCACTAGGTCGAATCACGTGTCAGGGCATCGTACTTATCTCACGATTGAGTAACGTAAAGCGGCAGAAGGTCCGTATACCGGCGTGGATGAATGCGCTCATATTTTTGTTCTTGAGACTCATGTAGCATGCCTTATTTGGAACCATGTACGTATCAGCCGGACCTGGTCTGATGTCGTAATAAGAGGGGGGGAGCTAGTGGCTGATGTGGCGTCCACAAAGCAAATGACCCCGTGGCGACGTGGCGGTGCAATTTACATAATATGTATACTACTCACATGAATACCCTATGCTACTACTATCTTACAATACTTGGACAAAATAAACCATAAGCTACTTGTAGAGGGTGACTTTTGTGTTAGTATTCATCGAGTAAAGAATCAAAACTCAAGGCATCTAGCGAGGCTGACACATTGAAGGTAGCGCACTATCTAATATGTCTAACTCGTGACGAATATTACTCGTACGTACGTGCTCTCTCAAGGCGAATGAGGTTAATCCCCGCAGCAGCTACTGCAACTTTGACCATCATTTCACTCCAAGCCCTAATATTCAATTCCATGAAAGCGTCTCATTGTGTATGAATAATAATGCCAAAATAATACCTTTTCAAATCTGTCGTCCGTAGCTTCATCTGTTTAGTGCAACTACAGAAAATATGCGTGTGCTCAAGGTTGGTGTTCTGAGCGGGGCAGAGGCAGCCAAGTCCTCCAAATCCACCGTGAGCTGACACCCAGAACGTCGCAGCCTTGCTAGTAGATTCCTACGATTACGATCACAAACCTGCAAGCCCTTGGCTAGAACGTTTTCTGGCACTCTGCACTGCTTTCCGTTTCCAGTTCTGGTTGGATAACCTCTGGGTGCCTCTTTCCTTTTCTAATCACAGTTTCACGACTCGTTTCGACGCCTTGACGCCCACTTTGCGAATCCTCGACCGCTGCTTCACGACATCACCCATACGCTCGGGACACTCAATATCACCCGCTCTTCTTCGATGCCGGCATCGTTCTATTGCGAACTGGGCCCCTGAAGGGTGTCTGTCTGGGAAAGAGCCGTAGTTAGAGATACACAGAGCTCGAACTCGTAATATTGGAATGAGGCTGTGGACGGAATAGTGTCCCATCACGACTCGGTAGAATATGCCTACCATTATCCCACGCCGCTATCGGTCGGCTACCGCAAGCTCTCATACGACAGCTGTTAAGCCTTCAGAGACCCTCACAATCCGTCTCGAACAACTCGAAAAAGATACCGCCAGACCCTCCGAGAACGGATATCCGGACCCGACCGAGCTTTCCCTGAGCCTCCACGCCCTTGCCGAAGACATTGGGCTTTCCGTCACGCAAGACGACTTCCGCCATGCCCGCGGATTCGAACGGATACTTAACGTTTTGCGAGCCTTTTCAGGCTACTACAATCCCGATAAGCGTTCAGCCTCAGAGACCCTGTCCTTGCTCAAGCTCCTCAAGGAGGCCCTCGCTATCCTATCATCTGCTCTACGCGACCACTCCGGAAATAGACGCTTCTTTAAATACAAAGTGGATGGCGGGGGATGGGAGTCTTTGGAGCAAGTTATTGCTAGCATAGGCCTCGGAGGAACAGAGCCCGACTCCTGGGCTACATGCCACCTGTTTGGCCTGCTCTTATCATTTTGTCTTGACGACGAGAGCATAGATCTTTTATGCCAGTCCATCGCCAAGACCCTTCGCCCGGATATCGACTACCCGACACAAGATGCAATTGTGGAGGAGGGGGAAGAGCAGTGGGACCTCTTGCTCTCACGGTCTGCCTACCAGGTCGGCCCTAGTGTCCGAGAGTTGGTTAATGACAGGACCGTCGTCCGTCATCCTGAAATCCTTCGGGCTGTTGTGAGCTTCTGGTCTGCTCTCCCAAGAGAAGCTGGTGCAGAACCGACACCTGGGTCGTTGGTTCTTCTCGAAACATTACTTGCGGCTGCTTCGAAATCCACGCACAACCAAGTAGCTGTGCACTCGACCGGTGTGCTCTCACAATTCATCCGTGCTGTTTTCGAGCCCGACCAGGTGTTGACCCCTATGGAACGCGAGAAGGCTCTCGAAGTCTGCAAGCTCCTTATGGAGCTGGGGGTCAACCAGCCATCTGACACCCAGTTCCTACTTACGGCTCCTGGTCAAGAGGCTTCAGAATTCTGCCTGGACATGACATCAAGGCACTCTGGACCCCCATTTTTCCAGTTTGACCTATCACTCCATGGCTACTGTTCGCTTGAACTGCCAAGCCTTGGTCGAACATTTCCGCCACAGACTACGCCTGGTTATACTTTTGCAGCTTGGATTCGTGTGGATAATTATGATCCGTCTACGCATACGACCCTATTTGGGGTCTTTGATGTCACGCAGACGTGCTTCCTACTCATGTATCTTGAGAAGGACACGCGGAATTTCATCCTACAAACATCGGTGTCATCCAATCGACCGAGTGTGAGATTCAAGGCCATAGCCTTTGAGGAAAAGAAGTGGTACCATGTTGCCATTGTACATCGTCGACCCAAGGCCCTGTCCTCCAGCAAGGCTGCTCTCTATGTCAACGGCGAGTTTACAGAACAGATCCGTTGCAACTACCCGCAGATGCCGCCTCTTTCCACCGTGAACAAGGAGAGCTTTGCCTCGTTCAATTCCACCAACAACAAGACAAATCCTGTGCAGGCATTTGTAGGGACGCCCCGTGACTTGTCCAACAAGATTGGACCAGCCAAGATCTTCTCTCGCTGGTCGCTGGCTTCCCTCCATCTCTTCGAAGACGTTCTCAGCGATGACTATCTGGCAGTACAATGTGGCCTTGGGCCGCGTTACCAAGGGAACTTCCAAGACAGCCTGGGAGGCTTTCAGACGTACGATGCATCGGCTGCTCTTGGCCTCCGCAACGAATTCATCCACTCAGGAGCAAACGACCATTCGGATATCCTCAAAGCCGTTCGTGATAAGGCAAGCACACTGCTTCCGGAGTCCAAGATCCTCCTCAGTATTCTCCCGACCGCCACATTTCCAGATGATGTACACTTCCTAAATACTGGCCTTCTCCGTTCACTGCCCCGGCCAGCGGCACGCAGCCTCTTCCGTACATCCAATCAGGAAGGGGCCCCGTTGGCTATTAACGGCGCCGTATCTTGCATCTCAGACGCCCTTTTCAAGGCCCAAGGAATTGCATCGTTTCGGGGAGGTCCCGTAGCTACAGTTCCTTCCTACATGGACGAGAATTTGTGGCGATTGGCTGGCTTTACGCCTTTGGCTCTGAAGCTCCTTGAAAGAGCCTCCACCGTGGAAGAGACTACACGATCATTGGAGATGCTGATTCGGTGTATCTCTAACAGTTGGAGGAACAGCGAAGCTATGGAAAGGGACAATGGCTACGGAATCATGGGCATGATCTTACGATTTAAACTTGGATACGGTGGCTCGTCCATCACTGACCCGCCAGTGGCCCGCCTGCAAATACCCACAGACGAGAGGGACAGCCTTGCCTTCCAGACTCTCAGCCTCATTCTGGGATTTGTAGGGTACAGTCATGAGTCGCCTATTGAATCATTCATTGTCAACCCCTTGGCCTACCGTATCTTGTTGATTGATCTAGATATTTGGCGCAAGTCGGCCCCCCGGATACAGGAGCTCTATTATAAGCAATTCGTCACATTTGCCGTCTCCAGCAAATTCCACGAGTTCAACCGTAGGAGGTTGATCCGGATGCGGATCGTGAAGAGGCTTTTGGATGCTGTCAAGGGAGAGGCCATCGCTGAGGAGACCATGCCACACTTTCTGGGTGCCTTTGACGTCCTGGTCAAGTCTAATTTGAGCCAAGAAGTTATGAGGTCTCTGGCGCTGTTTATCACTCATGCATTTCACTCCCCCCCCACGTCCCTTTCACGCACACCGAAGCCCTCGTCCAGCAGTTCACGTCCAAGTACTGCGACCACTCTCCGAGGAGCAAACACGGACCTCGTTTTGGCATCAAATGGACCCAGCAATTTCAAGTATCTCCCCAAGAAAACTCTGGGGACGAAGATACTAGTTATGTACTCTGACATTCTATGTGAAAAGGGCAACCTGAGCCACATAAAGAAGTTTGCCAGGACGGTCACAAATAAGGTAAGACACTCTCCGAAATGTAAATTCCTCCACAAGTGATTCTGATATTTTCATAGTGGCTTCTATACCTCTTGGCCGAGGACGACATCGAGATTGTTGTGCACGGTTGCAAGATCCTCGCCCGGTTGCTTGTTGCGCACGGCAGCACCTACACCGCCAAGTTTGCAAATAAATCGGGCGGATTCATCATCATGGCTAATCGGCTAAGGAAGTTTTGGGATGTGCCCACCTTGTGGCCGATCTGCTTGAGTATCCTTTTCGGATATGATGTTTCAGAGTTCGACTTCGGCCGCAATTTTGATCTTTCCAGCCTGGTCAATACCTTTGGTGAACGCAAGGTTGTTTATCCAGATTCCTTGCAAATAGTCACGTCTATGTTTCAGCATGGATTCAAAGAAGTCATGCGATATCAGGAGGATGCCGACTCACCAGCAAAACGAACATTCCCAAAAGAGGACTCATTGAATCCCGCATTATTGCACACAGGTGGCCGCCCCCGAGCTAGGTCTATGGATCTCGCCGAGACCATTGAGAATCGCTGTAAGTATTGGTTAACGCGTCGATACTGCAAAGTTGCCACCCACTAATTACCCAAAAAAAGCATCTTTCTCGGGGCCAAAAGAGAGAGTCCTTGATAACACCTCCAATCTGCATACTATGATCAAGTTCTTCATGGACCTTCACTCCAGATCTGCAGACTTCAGAGATTTCGCATTATCATCCGATTGGATTCGCCTGCTGCTAGTGGCTATCTATCCAGCCGTGGTTAGTGTAGACGCGGTGACCCCGGATGTTGAGCTTAACTCGGGTAGCTCTCCCTTGACCTTTGGAGGAAGCGATGTGATCATTCGTTCTATGGGAGGCGGGAGTGCCCCAACCCCCATTGTGCGAGCAAGCGTTGTCAACGCCGCGGCTTCCCCCCAATCCACGCCCCCCAAAGGAACGCCCCTACGTCGGGCATCGTCGTTTGTCCTTTTGACCGCTCAGCAGCAAACGCACAGTTCGAACTCGGACTTCTCTTCTGTACGGCCCAGCCCGCCTACGGCACCTATAGATCTGTCGGCCAACAAGTCCAACGCTCTTTTTGAAGGTTTCATGAAGCTCATCGCCAAGGTCTTTATGGATCAACTATTTGTACGCAAAGAATTCCCTGGATTCAGTCTATTTCTCAAAGTACCGCCTGGATTTCAGGAGCACCATGCATATTTTGAGTCCTTTATTCTTCGCAGGATAATGGCTCAAGTATCTGAGTACATCAAGCAATCTGACAAGGCTGTATGCGAGCCCCGAATACTCACAAATCTCGCAAGGCTGTCTCTGCATCTTACAGAAGCAGTATTCGAGGGCTGGTTTTTGAATGGGGACGAAGACGTCATGGAATTCAACGGAATGCTACTTGAATTCTTGGATCGTCCTGATATCGAGCGTCTCAAGAGTGTCAGGTTGTGCAGTCAAGCAGTGTCCACAATACGCAGTTGTTTCATCCGAATCATACTTCTCAAGTTGTCAGACTTGGATGGTGCACAGACGTCAGAGGTCGAGGCTAAGAAGTTCATGGACAATCTCGCTTACTGGCAAATGTCCATACTGACCTGCTTCAATTCCGAAGATGACTACTTGAAGCTGTTCTGGTACCAGCTCTACGTCAAGCTTGTCGACAATAAGCCGTCTGTACGATCTGCAGCTGTCAATTTTATGCGCGTCATCCTCGTCCAGAAGCCGGCCGAAGGCCTCTCTTTGGTCCGCTCAGTCGTTTCACCAGACCAGAGGAGTCTCATCAGAGACTTTGAGAAATTGACGGAGATGGACGACGATACATTCGTTGATTGGGTTGATAAACACCGGCCTGCTCTCGACACGCTGTTCTTAGGCGGCATGACAAAGACATGGGAAGAATTTGTTGAAACTGAAAACCACAAGACATTGGGATCAGCTAAGTCGCAATTGCCCAAGCGGAAAGAGATCCTAAAAATGTGGCTTTCGGAAAGCGAAACAGCGGAAAAAACCCTTGTCAACCATGAAATTGGTAACAGCGCGTGGATGAAGAGCATCTACACCTCGGAACATTTCAAATACCAGCGTCTTGTTCAAGACCAGCAAGACGACTTAGCTTTCCTCATTCCAGCTTGGAGAAAGATGGAGAGGGATCTTCGGAGACCTGGTGCCGTCTTTAGCGAGCCGACCCCTGCGAAATGGAAGCTTGATCGCACAGAGGGGCGTAACAGGATGAGGCTTAGACTCCTGCCCGATTACTCTCCGAAGGAGGGAAATCGGCCATCTCGGAGGGAGGGCAGCAGTAACGCACTGCATCCAAGTGCGGCAGGTCGCTCTGCCCCATCAATGTCTCCTGCGGCACCGGCATCCCCTAAGAAGGCAACACTTTCTGGGTCACCGGAGAAGTGTGACGATGGCAGCTTGCAGAGCGCCGGCCAAAGTGACGGAGACCAGAATGCGTCGGAGTTTATCCCCGAAGACGATTTTGAAATGGTCGATGATCCGAATGAACCCAATGACGAGGAGAGTTTCGAAGACAAGAATCGAAAGGTTATGCGTCGGCTGGAGCACGGCGACCAAGTGCAGGCGGCTTACAATGTGTCGCGCATCACTGGCTTAGAGGCATGCGAAGGAATCCTTATCGTAGGCAAGGACGCCCTCTACATCATGGACAATGTATTCCAGTGCGCCAATGGGGACATTGTCAATGTGTGGCAAGCACCACCCGAGGAAAGGGACCCATTCATTCAGATTGTCACTGGCGCCAAAACAATGGAGAAACGGCAAAATGCTGGTGGCCGAGAGCAAGAATCGAGGCACTGGCGATGGCAAGACGTAATCAGCATCTCCAAGCGTCGGTTCCTCTTCCGTGACGTTGCCATCGAGGTATTCTTCACGGATGGACGGAGCTATCTTCTGACCCAGATAAATTCCAACGCCAGAAATGAGCTCTTCTCCAAGATGATGGCTAAGGCACCGCATACTAGCACTGCCAGTGCACTGCCAAACCCTGAGGATGCATGGCGTCTGGAGGTGCTCAAGGTTGTGGACGAGGCACCACAAGGCATTGGATCTAAGCTTGGTACGCTGTTCAACAGTGCCCCTTGGACGCCAATTATGAAGCGCTGGCAGCGCGGTGAGGTGTCCAATTTCCACTACCTCATGATGGTCAACACCTTGGCCGGCAGAACGTTCAACGACCTCACGCAATACCCAGTCTTTCCCTGGATCATTGCCGATTACACGAGTGAGGATTTGGATCTGGATGACCCAGCAACATTCCGCGATCTGTCCAGACCCATGGGTGCTCAGACCCAAGGCCGTGTGCCCGGCTACATTGAGACGTACAGTGCACTGCAGGATATAGGCCAGGACCCGTTTCATTACGGTACACATTACTCGTCGGCTATGATTGTCTCGTCATACCTCATTCGACTGCCGCCATTTGTACATTCGTACCTACTGGTACAAGGCGACAAGTTCGACCACGCAGATCGACTGTTCCAGTCTATTCCTCAAGCGTGGGACTCGGCATCTCGCAAGAACAGAGCTGATGTCCGCGAACTGACGCCAGAGTTCTTTTGCCTGCCAGAATTTCTGACCAATATCAATGACTACGACTTTGGCGAACGGCAGAGCACGGGAATCAAGGTGAACAATGTCGAGCTTCCACTCTGGGCAAAGGGTGACCCCAAGATCTTCATCGCCAAGCACCGCGAGGCGCTCGAAAGCCCATACGTTAGCGAGAACCTCCACCACTGGATCGACTTGGTGTTTGGGTACAAGCAGCAAGGAGAAGCTGCTGTGGAAAGCCTCAACGTCTTTCATCACCTGTCGTATGCCGGGGCAAGCGACCTAGACGGCATCAAAGACGCCAACGAGAGGGCCATCAAGGCTGGTGTTATCCACAACTTTGGACAGACGCCTCACCAGGTATTCCCCAAGGCTCATCCGGCGAGGGAGAGTGTGCGATGTCCCGTCCGAAGGTTGGACACGTCGGTCTTTTCACTCCGTTGCCAGCCCAATCCACTCGTTGGTGCGTTGCCCCCCTCCATGCGTGGAGCTGTTAGTGGAGAGAAAGCTAACCACCTGTTTACAGAGAGTCGAGAGAGAGTGGCATCGTTGCTTTACGCCCCCAAGATTGATCGTCTCCTTTGTGCATCGCCACTTCGCCTCCACTTCCCTCCCTATGACAAGTACATGGAGTGGGGATACGCCGACCACAGCATCCGCTTCTTCTATGGGGACAACCGCAAGCTCGCCGGTGTTTTCGAGAACCTCCACATTGGACAGATATCCTGTGCCGTTTTTGCCGATTCCAAAACTCTCATCACGGCCGGCGAAGACTGCGTCATCTCGGTTTTTATGGTACAAACTTCACCTAATAAGTCAGTCGAAGTGACACCCAAAGCGAGCCTGTTTGGGCACAAGACACCGGTGACGACGATTGCCGTGAGCAAGGCATTTAGCACCTTTGTGACCGTCTCTCTTGATGGGCAGGCATTGGTATGGGACATGAACCAGCTGGGTCTTATTCGCAAGCTGCCTCTGGTCCGGCCTGTGGAGGACGCTAAGATCAATAATGTCACGGGCGAGATTCTCTTGTGCTCCGGTCCGAACATCTTGTTGTACAGCCTCAACGGGTCACTGATCTGCGATGTCAACGTCTGCAATGATGCGGACGACTATGTCCACTGCTGTGCTTTTTATGAAGGCGCAGCTGATGAGTGGCTCGAAGATCAGCTCATTTTTACCGGGCACCGCAAGGGCCGGGTCAATGTTTGGAGGAAGGGCATCCAGGGCAATAAGTGGACATTAGACTTCCTGAGGAGTCTTGACCATGTCGACAATAAAGAGAACAAGCCTGGTAACACGGAGGCGGGCATTACGTGCATCACTCCCATGCCTACGTGTGTTTACACTGGCGATGACAATGGCCGTGTAGTGAGTCTTATTCCACGAAACAAAGGACTTTTAGTCCATAACGATGTATTTGCTGACGATAACTGCAGTATGAATGGACCTTTTCTGGTCGCGACAGGTAGGCATCTCCTCCGCGAGGACAAGCGAGAGCAAGCGTATGCGGCGAAGACAGCCCGAGAAGATGGGAATACGTAAGAGAATAGTGCGATCCGGCGGCAGTTTTGATTATTATCGATGTGTGTTCCGCTTCGTTGTTACATAGCTGGTACTTGTTAGTATACATACATTCGAAACCGTTATCTAGTTGCCCATCGAGCTGGTTCAAGTAAACATATGTAAGAGGCGTTCGAAATTGACGGCATCAAGCAGAAGACGAACAAAAAAGGAGAAAAAAAGAAACTTCATGCTGTAGTCTTAACCAGGGACGTTTGCAATCCACGGTCGTAATAATGGCTGGCCTGCGTGCCTAAACGCTCAAAATATGTACAAGTGTCTGCTTTATCGCAATATTTCCCCTCCTGTAGCAGACAACGAAAATAGAGGAAAGCAAAACCTGAGCCAATCCCGCTTCTGTTGTATTCCATTATTCGTCGTCGTAGCCAGTGAGCTGTTTCCTCGGTCCGTTGGGTACTAGTCGGCAACAGTTAGCATTCAGGCAACAGTGTCGATAAATAACCCTTATGATTGGGAGGTGTTTCCCATCTTGGACGAGGCTGAATCGTACCGGGATAGGTTGAAGGTACAGGAGGAGCATCGATGTCGCCGAGACGGTAGCGGATGGGGCGGACAATGGGGATCATGGCGGGACCAGCGAAGCCGATGACAACGGACCAGAAGAGGGCAGGCTTCTCGCGGGCAGCCCAGCTGCAGTAGCGAAAGGGCGTGGACCAAAAATGAGGAGCGGCGGTGGACATGGTGGGCTAGGTTCCGAGAGTAAAGGGAAAGTACTATGCGTCGGTTAGGGTATCTTCAATTGCTGTGGAGGTGGAGGAGGAGGGCGATGATGGGGTGGTTCCCTTGAAGTCTGGGGTCCGGGGTGGGCAAAGTGACGAGGGCGATGAGCAAATCAACGAATCAATGGCGCTGAATTGCAAAGGTACCGGAAAAGTAATTAATCCGAAGGCCACGCCATCACACCGGGAAAGAGCAGAAACGAGCCAGTAGCTGCTGCCACTAACACCCCACTGTACCCGCAGTAGCGCCCACTGTAAAAACCACTGTAACAGTGTCTCGTTCAGTACAGGACCCTCAGGCTACGTATGCCATTCAGTTATTCGTACATTGTTCGTTAGAGCTCTAGTCTATGGTGAGGCAGCTTCCAGCAACTTCACGACACAACAACGCCCAGTTGACGTTCCCACTCGCACCCCACAGCTCCAGCTCTGAACGACGCGCAGTTCAAGTAGAGCATGATGCGGTACTTTCTGAGCGCTGTCGTGCTTCTTTTTGCGGCAATTGTGTCGGCCGTTAGCACCACGGGCAGCCGGCTGCTGGTGGTGGCTGACGATGCCGCTGACAAGGATGCATACAGCAACTTTTTTGGCGACCTGGAGGGTGAGTCGGTTCTGGTTTATGGATGCGCCAGGCGCGGATTAATATGCTGACTGGATTCTGTTGTAGCTCGCGGATTCGACATTAGCTACGAGACGCCCAAGAGCGAGGGCCTGTCCCTCTTTCGCCTTGGAGAGAGGACATATGACCACATTGTCTTTCTGCCCACCAGCGTCAAGGGTGCGTTGCCTGAATGCTCAGAACGGCACAGAGTCGGTGACGGATTCTAACTTATTTTGCAGCCCTCGGCCCGAAGCTAACCCCCAACATCCTCATCGACTTTGTCAACGCCGACGGCAATATCCTGGTGGCGCAGTCGTCCGCGCATGCCTCGTCGACGTCCATTGCTCACTTCCTCAGCGAGGTCGGCATCAGCCTTCCGACTGAGCGCACGGGTCTGGTTGTCGACCACTTCAACTACGACAGCGTCTCCGCCGCCGAGACTCACGATGTTCTCGTCCTCGATGCTCCCACCCCTGTCCGCGCTGATATCGCCCCCTTCTTCTCTCTCGGAAACGATGCCGTGCTGGCCCTGCCGCATACCGTTGGCCACACCCTCAGCGCCAGCCAGCTCCTGACACCCATCCTGCGTGCCCCCGACACAGCCTATAGCTACAATCCCAAGGAGCAGGTCGAGGCTGTCGATCCTGAGGAGCTCTTCGCCGTTGGCCACCAGCTGGTTCTTGTCTCGGCTTTCCAGGCTCGCAACTCTGCCCGCGTGACCGTCATCGGCTCAGCCGAGATGCTGCAGGACAAGTGGTTTGATGCCAAGGTGACCCGCGCCGGCTTCAAAAAGGTTGCTGCCGCCAACAGGGAGTTTGCCAAGAAGCTCGCCGCCTGGACCTTCCAAGAGCTCGGCGTCCTTCGCGTCAACAGCATTGAGCACAGCCTGACAGGCGACAACAAGACGAACCCAGGCATCTATCGTGTCAAGAACGATGTAGTAAGTGAACAGAGGCATTAAATCGTTAGCAATACTAGACTGCATGCGGACTGACATTTTCTACTTCCATAGACCTACAACATCTCAATCTCGGAGTACTCGTGGGATGCTTGGCACCCCTTTACTCTTCCTGAGTCAGATGCCCTGCAGCTTGAGTTCAGTATGCTGTCCCCTTTCCACCGCCTGGACCTCGAGGCTGTCGCCTCAACGGCCGACGCCACCATCTACAGCACCTCATTCACCCTGCCCGACCAGCACGGCATCTTCAACTTCCGTGTCAACTACAAGCGCCCTCTCTTGTCGATCGTGGACGAGAAAAACACCGTGACTGTACGTCACATTGCGCATGATGAGTGGCCCCGTAGCTTTATCATCTCGGGTGCCTGGCCTTGGATCTCTGGCATTGGCGCCACGGTAACGGGCTTCGTCTCTTTCTGCGTCCTCTGGATGTACAGCAGGCCGACCCCTGACAAGAAGACGCAGTAGCTCTTTCTATTTGATTTTATTTGAATAAAAGGAAGGAACAATAAAAGGAAGGAACGAAAAGTAAATGAATGGGGAGGCGTCGTATTGTGTTCTTTGTGCTATCTAGAAGATGCGGTTGGTCGGAGGGACATGAAAGCCTAATGTAGAGAGATCCGAGGTGGGCTCTGGAAGACGTGGTATATTAGCAACAGGCACTTTAGAACGAAAAATGTCAAATCATGAATGAACAATAATACTGCTTCTATGACTGTAAAAGACTCCGTGTTATGAAGAGGGTGTACTGGAGCTTACACACTTGTGTAGGCGCTGTACAGAGCCTATAGGGTGGGTACATGGTGATATGCTTGAGCTTGAATGCCCTCAGATCAGCTCTCTTGTGTTCTCATGGACAACGCGCGCTCCTACAAGGAGGCAGGGCTCCTATGACGCTGCTGCCTGCAAATTTGGCTTTTTGGACCTTCCATCATCACTGGGATGCATCGAGCATATACCACCTACCCTCAGCGTTTCCTTCCACCCCCTAATCTCTTGGCCCATCTGAGTAGGCCTTCCTCCAATATGGCACTCTCCATCTTTCTGGTGCTCCGCCAAAAAAACGCGAAGCCTGCTCCGATTGAAAACTATTATTCTCGTGAAAATCATGAGCTTCACCTCTTGACCAGCAAGTAAGGCTGGTTGAGGCAAAATATGTGCTTCTTTGAGCAGGGGGCTTTGTCGGTCATTGCGGCTATAAACAGGAGTATTGGAGAGTTCCAGTAAGAAAGAGATTGCAGAAAACAGAGTGAGAAGAGGGGACGGAAGAGGTAAACAAAGGGAGTGGGAATGCTCAGATATCTGTTCTTCGTGGTGAAGACGCTCACGTTGCATCCTGGCTCAACCGCACATACCTCCAGGAAGGCCGTGGTTGAGCTTTGAGAAGATGAATCACGCAGCTTTGTATGTACGATGATCATCATGGCACTGAGTAGTGTGGGAAAGGTGTCTGTAAGGTATGGATATAAGGAGAAGGAATGTTTGTTTTCTGCGTGCGTGCGTGCGTGCGTGCGTGCGTGTGTGCGTAAAGGTTCGAGCGAAGGCGAGCTTGTAATGATGAGCAGAGTGGCGGAAGAGTGTGTCCAGAGGATAAATAATGTCTAGACTTATCAGGGCAGATCTTCTAGGGGACAGATAGGAAACGAAATGGAAGTGGACGAAGAAATGACATAGAAATAACTGAGCACTTGCTCATAATGTCTAGAGAGCATTGTTGAATTGCTGGCGGTGTTGTTGTTGAAAGGTCGATCTCTATTTGCACGGAGCTGAGGTGTTCAGTAGAAGAGAGAAAGAAACCAAGGTCAGTCCTCAGCAGACCTGCGCGGGGCGGCAGAATAAGATTGAGGCCCGTAGGCATTTGTAATGTTGGCGAAGGTAAGGTGAAGTTTGGGACGCGTGCCTACCGCGACGAGGTTTTGTGGCGCCTAGTATAAAATTGTGGCTGGTGGGAACCCAACGCCACGCATTACACCGCAAGCCCAACGAGGCTGGATAAAATCTTTGGATGCGACAACATCTGCCAGTGTTCCTTCTCAACAACACAGACCGACCGCCCAAACGAGACCTATTTACTACCTTCATTCTACCGGACAGCTGATAACAACAGTACTTCATAATATCTGGGGGTAAATAAAATCCGGGTTATCAGCAATCGCAAACATGGTACGACGCATCCTGGCATGAGTGGCGAGATGTTCCTGGATGGGTGGCTAACTTTTCCCTTCCTCCTAGGCTCGTAACTCGGAGAAGGCGCAGTCGATGCTGTTTCGCTTCCGCGAAGCACAGGCAGCAGAACTAGGCATCGTCGACGTCGGCCGTTCCCGTCGCCCCCGCCGTATCACGGAGGTGGAGACGGTTCCCGCATGCGAGAAATGGCGTGGGCAGGTGGTCAAGGAGATTTCGCGCAAGATGACTCGGATCCAGGAGTCCGCGCTGAGCAACTTTCAGATCCGTGACCTCAACGACGAGATCAACAAGCTGATGCGGGAGAAGCATATGTGGGAGGTTCAGATACGCAATTTGGGCGGACCGAATTACATGCGAGGCGGGGCCAAGATGTACGACGACCAGGGTCGAGAAATTGTCGGCGGCGGCAAAGGGTACAAATATTTCGGCAGGGCAAAGGATTTGCCTGGTGTCAAGGAGTTATTCGAGGCGGCTACGCGTGCAAAGACGGAGAAGCCTCTCGAGGAGAACAAGGAACTGCGGAGGATTGTCGACGCGGCATACTACGGCTACGGCCCTAATGAGGAAGACGACGAGCTGCTCCAATACGAGGCTGACAAGGAGCATCAGGCGGTCTCGAACCTGCTCGAAACAGGATCCCAGGAGGCTCCCGATGGGTGGATATCACTACCGGGAGATGCGGGAGATGGGAAGGCTTGGGAATTACCGACGCTTGATGAGGTGCAGGAGGAGCTCATCGAGAGAAGAAGACGAAAGTTGCTAGAGCAGATCTGAGAAGCCCAGGCCTGAAGGCTCTTCTCTCGTCCCCCCTCTTACTCTCGTCGAAATTCTTGGTCATTTCGAGTGGGAGCGGCACAATAAGCATTGGGGACAAGAACCCACTCTTTACTGTCAAAAACCTTATGCCCCCTTATATTCCATTTTGGAGTAACGCGTTGGGGGACTTGTTCGCTCATTCTGTCAGCGGTCTTTATATCGCTTAGACTGGGGTATCCCTCGGGGATCACAAGGGCCCCAAGCCCGTCATTACTAGTACGGCGCAACCGGGCCAAGCGAACTTTCCTGGAAAGAAGAAGAATGCCTTGAAGAACGCCGAGACAGATAATGCAGATTCTACTCACCCCTTTTTATGCCGTCTGCCAGTGGCCATATGAGCTGGGGCGTCTATGGAAGACACGGAATACCGCAATGTCTGGTACGAAATCATGGTTTCAAGCAGACCCTGCTATCTGAATATGGGGTTTCTGGGGTTGCCGATCCTAGCCTACTGCGTCTTATGGTATTTTCTTCCCGTATCAGCATATATATTATTATTAGTGAATTTGATGAAGAACAAACCATTCTCAGTCGAGGCGTATACGCCGTAATTCACTATATTTGTTCCACACGTGTTTAGTGGATGACGCCGACGATCGTTTGGCCCAGATGAGAAGGGGAACCAGCAGTGGGAGATGCCTGTGTATCTTGGCATCTCGTCACAGTCTCACAAATGCACCAATTCCAGCAAAGATTTATATTGATAGAATTGATTGTCAACGAGGTGAAACAATGGCAAACATATGTACGCCGTAATACAGCCAGCGTGCGGGTGCATTAAGCGCATCCCGTCTACAGGCGTTATACCTGTGGATCCCGTGACATACAGGTCCGGCGGAACAATCCGCCGGGCACACAGATTCTCACAGGGAGCCTCACCTTCCTGCTACACCATCAATCAAGTTATCCTTCCGTTTTCGGATCAGAACGTAGCATCACATCGTCAGGTGTGAGTTACGAGGTGACCCAGTTAGGAAGAAGCCCGCAGATGCACACCCCCTTAAGGGTATACATGTACCATGCAGGTATTATTACTCGTGCATGATAATAATACGAGCGACTGTTAGTGTCAAGAGTCTACGGACGTGAAAACGATACCATGGCACTCGCCAGTATTGCCACTCGGTAATATGCGGCCGCTTGTCACTCGGATAATCTACTACTAGCGCAGTTTATAAGAGTCCGTCAACCCATCAAGCGGCCGGGCCCCTGAGGCTAGTGATAGCCCACGGCTGTGTAGATTGCAGATCGTCATTCGTAACTGGGTGCTCCGTGCGTCGTTGACTGGTGGTTGGATGCAGACCCAGAGTGGCGACCTACAAGTATCCGTAGAATAGTGGCCCATGGGCTACAGGAGAATGCTAGTCTCTGCAAGGTCGTACATTACTCTGTGCTATCTAAATTACTGTTGTCCATGGCCTGATGCTCTTTCTGGCCCTTGTTCTTCGGTTTCTGGTATAATGGGTCTCTTACGGAGTATTATTAGCCAGCATGGAGGTGGTAGGTTGTAGCTGTACTTGTATGGAGAGTAGTAATAATACTGTCAGAGTAGCAGTAATAATATGACTATGTCTTGGCATCGTGTCCAGTGCACCACTTGCACCAATCAGTGTGCGAGTACATTACTGTTGTTCGTAGAGGGCAGGAATGAACCATCCAAAGGAGTCAAGTGGCTCCTTCCCGCTTAATGTCACCGTCAGCTTTCCATCTCATGGCCAAATAGGAAAGAAGCACCCGTGACCATTTTCGCACTTTCCCTCGTTAACACAATATCACTCTCGTACGAGGAACACTACATACGAGTACTCTAATAGTATTAATCTATACAGATTACTTTGTACAGATCTGTACTCTACTCGTACTATAACTACAGTACATGCGTTGCAGTCTACTGCTCCGTACCTGTACTATATCATAATACTACCGACTACACATCTGGACCTCCTCAAAGGTCAGTGTTATGCTTCTACTCTTGTATACGACACATCTCTTTTTACCACACTCTCTTCATCTCCCTGGCCCTCAAAGTTTTTGGAGGACTGCACTTCTACGTCTATCCAAGGCCGGCAACTCAAAGTCACCAACAACGTCACGTTGCCACTAATACCGCATCCTCCCCCCTGTCGTCAACGCCAACCACTTGCAGCAGCGTGCTTTGCATGCGACGAACCCCTGAACCAAGTTGCAGTTACACCACCATCCTGTGCCTTCGTCATTTCCCCGCCCCTAGTACCTACCTGCGAGTACTCACTTGTACAGGCTACTTCTGTACGGATCCCGTCCGTCGCCTTTTATAATATACAAGGGGGCTTCTCACTTTGTTGAGCACAACTGCTTCTCGACTCTCCTTCACAAAAAAAAGACCTTTCTCGCTGCCTTTTCTCAGCCCCGTACCTATCTGTGCTTGGCCTACTCGAATGCGCCCACTGCAACTACAACTTATATACGAATACTCGTTTAAATACGCGTCGCCCGTTGAATACCAGCAGGAACCGTTTTCCACCGACGACGCTAGGCCACCTCATCCATGGGAGAGCGCGGGGTGGTTTTCCATTCCGACGCCAGTCCCCGGTTTGTGTAGACTAATCGCTCATTTTCTCGATTTTGAATTCACAAAAAAAGATGGTATCTTTCCTGGGTCTGAGATTTGGGAGCGATAGGAAAAAGCTGCAGTAAGTAGTGCCAACTTACATGATGGCCAATCTAAACATTGAGACTTACACAGCCGATGCTAACCAAATTGTAGAAACAAGCAGCAGGAGGCCGAAAGGTCAGTCAAAAAATGGAGAAAGGACCGTCAAGACAGCACAGAATCTGGTCAATCCTTCGGTCATGTTCTGCCTAAGCCACAGCGACCCTCGTCTCGGCCTACCTCCGGCTTCTCCAACCGCAGCACCATCTTCTTCCGCTCTCCCTTTTCCGCAAATGCCGAAGCCACATCGTCCATGGTCGACCTGGCGGCTCCGTCACCACGAAAGTCGAGCGCAAACAGCCTACGTTTGGCCACCTCAACCTCCAACCTTCGAGCTAGTCGACCCGTCATCTCCAGCCCCATAGGCCCGCCCCTCCATCTCCCGCTAAATAGCCCTGAGCAGGCTGAGCCTGGAAGCCCCGTCCCTTCAGATACGACTGGGTCCCTGAAGAAGGATTGGATCAATCCGTTGGATGTAAATTTCCCTCGAGATAGTGGCAATGTCCGACCCCACACCTCTGCCGGCCCATTATCGGGTGCCCGGAGCCCTCTTGCACGAACTGAGTTCGATATCGAAGCCAAGAGGAGTGGTAGTCAGGGTAGCATCAAGACCAAGATGAGCGTCGCCGAGGGATTAGGGCTTGACGGTTACCCTTCGCCCCCTCCGTCTGTCAAGAGCGTGGAGCAGGGCATTTCGCGTTCCAGTACGGAGCCCAGAGTTCAGCCTACAATCAAGGTTCCTACATCCAGCTCTCTTCGGAGGGTGAGCACCGCCGAACGGCCTTCTGGGCTGCCTAGCCCAGCCGTGAGTGAGGAGCGATTCGACCAACCCATCATACGTAATTCCCAGGCCAGGCGCGATACCATCATGTTCTACTCGCCACGTCGGCGCAGCTTCTCCAGGCAAGTCTCAGAGGGTTCCGCAAATCGACAGGTCCGAGGCAGATCAGATCAGGAAAAGGCAGAGCTCAAGAAGAGACGACAGACTGAGGGATTTGAAGGGAACTTTGCTGCCTTCAATTTTAGAGGTGACAATGCCACCGAAAGGCCCCCTCTCCCAGCAGACAGGGCCGTTTCTCCCACATCCATGTCCATATCAGGAAGCCCCACGGAACACCTGAGGGTGAGCTCGCCGATGAAGACGGCGCAGGAGCGGAAAATGGACGAGCCAATGACTGTTGAACCGGGCCATGGGGATGACACTATGAACCTGTGTGATGCCGATAACATGACCCTACCATTCGACCAAGACCTGCGATCGGGTGATTCGTCTCCGAGATCTGTAGAGACTTCTCCCCAGGTGGACAATGAGGCGGAGCCCCTAGACGAGTTGTTTATACCCATGCGACCACGCCAAGATTCTGACACTTGCGGCCCCCTTACCCCAACGGCCCTGCGTGCTCCTCCTCCCTACAACGTCGACCGGTCAGCTATTCGCTCACAGAGCCCGCGGAGCCGCTCCATTGATAACCCCGATGAAATACCACTGTCTCGACTGAACCTTGACATTCAATCAGAGAGTCCTCTCTTATCCAGGCCGCCAATTGAAGGAGAGTTTCCTGTTTTCAAGGGTCTACCTCGCGGCCGCAGACCGGACTCGGTCAACTCTCAACGCGAGCTCCCATCACCCTCCCCGAACGTGAATATGGCTCCCCCGCCTAGAATGAATCCTGATCAACGAGCCCCGAGTCCGTTGAGTTCAATGCCCCCGATGGAAGGAGACTTCCCCGTGAGCAGCGGACTACCCAGGGGCCGTCGGCCGGACTCTCTCAGCTCCCGACGCGGGTGTTCGCCGGCCACCCTGGATTTTGATACTACCCCACCGCCTAGGCTGAACCACGACCGACGAGCTCCAAGCCCCCTCAGATCCAGGGCGCCCATGGAGGGCGACTTCCCCATGAGTAAGGGACTCCCTAGAGGTCGCCTGCCCGGCCCGACCTCGGCACCTATGACACCCGTACGACACAGCCAAGCACCCTCGCACACGCCAGGGGAGAGTGAGAATGCCTCGCCAGACCCTATCTGGACCGCACGTGCTGAGAGGCATATGTCAGCCATGCCGGCGCCACTGTCTCCTATGTCGGGGCAGACAGGTTACGGCTCAGATGCGGATAGCAACGGCACACCAGCAGGGCTCGCTCCGCCACGCCTACCCAGCCCGACGTTTACGTCCCTCGAGGAGTCGGTGACGGAGAACCTGACAAAGGCTTTTGGGCTTGACTCGTTTGACGATTCGTCAGTTGATAGCACCTCTAATGGCAGGCCCCTCATTTCACCCGTCTTGAGCGAGTTTGGGGGCCGCCTCCATTCCGGCAACCCCAGGCGTTTAGACGCCACAAAGGCTCCGCCCAGGCCGCCGCCCGTCTCGTTGCCGCCATCATCGACGAATGGTACTCCGGATGGAAGCCTCAAGTCTCCGGTAAACAGCGACTTTGCTGCTAGTTTCATCTAATTCCTTTTCTCTCTTCTTCCTTTCCTCCATTAATGAATTGGAAGTGGGATAGGAGGAGGATAACATGACATGATTTGGATGGGGAGACTTGCACTTTTTGAATACTAGCACATAGCTGCTCCCCTTTTTTATTCTCATGTAGATACCCATTCGTTGATATAATTTTACTTGCTTTTTTCCCCCTCTACTCTTTTCATCTCGGAACGAGTATTCTTGTCAATGATCCTTACAAATACACATGTAATAGACGCCCCCAGTCATGCCCCTTTTCAACTCTTTCTATATATTCGAATAGCCTTCTCATCCTGTTCAAGTACCCTCTCACGATAATTAACCTAGGAATCCACGGAGGTTACCACCAACATGCTTGAGGTCAAGCAAGAATGTATCATGGCCAAACATGCTCATCTCCTCACTCAGCTCCATGTGTGTGACATTACGGTTTCCCGCCAGACGGAGAGCCTCTGCAATCTCGCGCTGCTGCCACGCAGGGAAAAGTATGTCGCTCGCAACGCCCATAACGAGGGTCGGGATGTCACGGAGGGGGGCGAGACCGGAGACGAGGTCCTCTGGCGGGCGAGAGATACCCTTGGGAGTGGAGTCTTCTGACAGGGCGGTAGATGTTCCGGGCTGTTCCTCGTAAGGCTTGGAAGGCAAGGTGAGGCTGTGGAGGTCCGACGACGAGCAGGATGTGGCGGAGATAGACGAGAACTCCGATTCTGAGAGGAGCTCGAGCTCGCGCTTGGCACGACGGTCGGCGGTAGCGCGCTGGTTCTCAATTCCTAGGTCGAACAGGTCCATTGCCTTGCTGACGTAGAGGAGGCTGTTGGGGTCGTAGGTGAGACACCACTTCTCGCCGGCGTGATCGAGGTATGTTTCTATCAAAAAGTCGGGGCACAGGGCGGGCGGTTTGGCGGGGTCGGCGCGACGACGGCCGAAGCGTAGCTCCCACTCGGGGCCGGAGCGATAGGTGACGGTTGCAATCTCGCGGGCGAGCTTCATGCCTGCGTGGGGCGGGACGCGGCCATAATAGAAGCCCCTGTTCCAGTTGGGGTCCATCATAAGGACCTGGCGTTGGGTGTGGCGCATGGCGATGCTGTAGGGGTGGCTGCGGGCGCAGCCGCTAATGGAGGCGATACGGCCGACGCGGTCGGGGAATAGGACGCCTGCAGCGAGGGACTGCATGCCACCCATGCTGGAGCCCACGCTGGCGTACAGGCGGTTGATTCCTATATCATCGAGGAGGCGGAACTGTGCGCGCACCATGTCGTCCATCGTCAGGATGGGGAACCGGGTGGCGTAGCGCTCGCCGTTGGCCGGGTCGATGGACCCCGGGCCAGTGGATCCATAGCAACTGCCTATGACGTTGGTACAGATGACGAAGTACTTGTCCGTGTCGACGGGCAGGCTGGGCCCGATGAACTTCTCCCACCACCCCGGCTTGGGGTTAGCCTCAGTAGAGTGGGCATGCGACGAGGCGGACAGGCCCGTGTGGAGAAGGATGGCGTTGGACTTGTCGGCGTTGAGCGTGCCCCACGTCTCGTAGGCGATGTCAAACTCGGGCAAGATGCCACCCCAATCGAGGAGCAGGGGCTCCTTGCAGTTGTAGTTGAGCGTTGCGCCGGCCGTGTAGGATGGTTCAGGACCGCTGCTCTCACTACCTGGCGACGACGTGGGTTTGAAGCCTGCCGATATGTTGGCCGATCGGGTCTCAACGGCATCTAGGCACGGAAACGCCATTGGGGGGTTTGACCCATCGGACCGGCGAGTCCGGGTCGTATGGAGATCCCGGGAAGTCGTCGTACGTATAGGCAGACGCGGGAAGGTTGTCGGCGTTGTCAATGCCCTGCGTTGAACCTGGAGCTGGTGCCGAAGCTGGCGGAGCGATGTCGGAGTGCCCCTCATTTTGTCTTGCTTTCTTCGTTCTCTGCCGACTTCTGTTTCTTTTTTAAAGTCACCTTAAGCCAGGCGCGAAAATGTTCGTTATGACTGCATGCGGACGAACAGGGGAATAGGTGATATGCACGACGGGGAGAGGGGCGAGGGTCCGGCTGCCTATCGAGTGTTCTCAATACTTGTGTGATGATGGCGAATTCCAATTCAGTGGTGAAAGCTATTAATGGCGCCATTGCACGTGCCCGCCTGTAGATAAGAATGGTTTAGCGTGAGCTCGGGCTACTTTGTAAGCATACAAGGTCGCCGATGGTCCGAGATGGTCGAGACTTGGACTGGCGTTTTACTCTACCTCGTTTTATATGTATGCGTGACGAAGGGAATAATAGAGGATTAATACACAGTAGAGTGGTTTCACATCTTTACTTTGTGCAGTATATTGATACGACGTATATTCAAATATTGAGCTGTTCGCGTGACATTCCCACTGCGGTATAGCAGCCTAGCTAGGTGGCTCAGGATGGTGTAACCCCCCTCCCCTCCCTCCCCCCCTCCCCCCATAACAACATTCCGCTGTAAATATATCAGCTTCTGTTATCACTCGCCAGTGACGCAAGGCACCCGCCACCAATCAAGAATAACGTCGTCACTATTCGCGTCACTCGGCTCTCAGTCACTCCATTTATAATTTCTCTTTACCACGTAAACCACTTCTCTTAATACTGGACATTGCTATGTTCTACAGTATGGCAGCATCCATTGCTAACAAACTAGGCTTGATGGCCTTTGACGCATTCCCCGCAGGGGAGGCATCTTCTCCTGACCCATATCGGCCCACGCCCATCGACATCGTCGTTGTACGGGAGATGCTCTCGCGTGGTTGCCGTCTGCCACCCGATATTGTCGATGCCGTTTTTGACCATGCTGAATACTGGGCCTATTCGTCCAACTATATAGACTATCAGGAGGAGCATGGATCGGCTCTACGCATCAATGGAAGCAGACCCACGGAAAACAAATTTTTGGTGAGTCTCCCCCATTTTGTGTTATACTTATACGTATTCCACTTGCTCATGGCCCGGAAACAGCTACGCTCCTTTCCCGTCGGCTTCACTGGCCTCGGGAGCGAGAAGAGCCTGACGGAGGAGCTTGTCTACGACATGAACGAGCTGACCCCTCGTCCGTTGGGCAAGGAACATGATACTACCTTCTTCAGGAAGCTACCGAAGTACCCGACCCCACGTTTGGTTCATCCGGTCCGCAAGGTCGTCTTCACCATCAAGAGCCACGATCAGGGATGGTCAAGCTCTAGCAGCCCCAAGGGCGGCTATGAAGGGTCACATACCTGGTTTGAGGCTGGTCTCGAGAGGTTTGACGCAGAACAACAATGTAAGCTGTCAGTCGTCGTATTTTGTCTCCGTAACAAGATCGAAAATGGCTGACTGACCCTGAAAAGGCGACGCACATTGCACAAAGGACCTTCGCTACAACTCATCCAAATCCGTGGCTTCAGCATTGCCTCTGTGTGCACTCCGGCCTATTCAACCACCCTTCGAGCCGATGATTACAAAGGGTAAATACGCCAGCAAAGATGAAGGCGGAGACATCGTGGACAACCCGTCCTACAAATACCAACACCCCCTGGAGCCGCGCCAAGATTGGGAGATTCAGCGCAACAAGTTGGCAACGAAGACCTGGCAGGAAAACGAAGTTACGTGGTCATGGGACGACAACGTCGACCCGGAGTCTGAAGATGCGAAGGCTCTCGAGGAACTGGGGAGAGGCAAGGGGACGGGCTCCGGTGGCCTGGTGCGCAGCCTCAAGCTGGGCGATGTTGTCACCATCTGGGGCAAGGCTCGCTTCCCAGGTTGGTCCAATGTTGTGGAAAAGGTGAAGGTGGATATATACTGGGCTGTTTAGGACAGCACTTATTGCTTGTTTTTTTCTCCTTGTTTTTTATACGCCCTTAGAATTATGTAAAGACCCGGCGATATTTTTGTGCTCAAGACAAGTCTTAAAACCGTAGTATTATGTTAATAAACAAGTATCATACATGCTCTTATTGCTAAGAACTTATGAGGGGCATTGACGTCATTTCCCAGGCACCCCTGTTATACACTTATTTTACGCTGTCAGCCAAACAGCCTGACTGTTTCTCTTGTGCAACTCTCCAAACATGAGGCTCGCCAAACGTGCTCCCCTCCACTATACCAGACTTGCTTTCCGCTCATTCTCTTCCTCGTATCCGCTCATGTCCCGGACTGTAAAACTTACGCGGCACAATGTGCCCGTCACCATTCCCGACGGGCTAACAGAGGACCAGCTTCTCGCCTTTAGGCCTTTCAACGTAAAGACGTCCTAGTTCACAATGCTACTTGGCAGACTCTGACCATTATTGAACAGACCTGGATTGATACCCTGTCGGCCTCTGCACGGCTACAGACCGACTCGTCCCACCCCTTCCACGACGACGCGTATACCCTGCGATCCGCCGAGGTGCAGTCCTTCGATATATTTGGCAGCGGTCGTCTCGGCTTCATCAAACTCAGGGCCACGGTATGCAATAGCGCCGGCGAGACGCTTCCTGCCGTATCCCTCCTACGCGGACCCTCAGTCGCTATTCTCGTCATGCTTGTGCCAGACGACGTCCCCGCCAAATCGGACGAGCGCTACGTCGTCCTGACGGTACAGCCGCGCATCCCGGTCGGCAGCTTCAAGGGCGCTGCTGCCAAGGAAATTGAAGAGGAGCTGGGGATAACCATCAACGAAGATGAACTGACATGCCTGAGCGATTTGGCTGCCGCTGACAACGACAAGTCCGAAGAGAACCTACCCAACGCCATGTACCCTAGTGCTGGTGGTTGCGACGAACACGTTACCATATATAGCTACGAACGACGGATACCTCGAGAACAATTACGAGACTGGAGTGGCCGGCTGACGGGGCTGAGGTCGCACGGCGAGAAGATTACACTCAAGGTGGTGCCCATGCAGAATCTCTGGAGGGAGGGCGCGCGAGATGCCAAAGCTCTCGGTGCGCTAGCCTTGTGGGATGCATTGCGTCGTAATGGAAAGATTTGAGCATAATGATATTGTCTTCGTCTATACAGGTCGTCTGTGGCATGGGGTGCTCAAAGCTTGAGCTGCTGAGCAAAGAGAATTCCCTCGGCTAATGTGCCAACGCGGGCATCGATGGCGCAGCCCTCAGCCTCCAGCTTCTTGCAGTCCTCCCACAGGGTGTCAATGGGTGAAGTGAAGACGTCAATGAATTCGTTCTCCTCAAGCTCTGGCTTGGGGTCCTTATTCTCAGGCAGTGACATGTCAATAGTCATGTGGATCATGCGCAGATTGGTGTTGCAGAAGCCCGGGTCGTTGTACATGACGGGGCTCGTCTCAGTCACAACGCCCACATATCCCGTCTCCTCCTTGAGTTCCCGGATGGCGGCCTCCTCGGGCGTCTCGTTAGCGTCAACGAGCCCTGCGGGCACCTCGATCGTCACCATGTCAATGGGCGGGCGGTATTGCCTCTGCAGTACAAGCTCGCGGCGGCCCGTCTCTGGGTTCTTGAGGATAGCAATGATGCCAACTCCGTCAATATCGGTCGTTTTGGGGCGTGTCACTCGCTCGGCTGATTCCCACAGGCGCGAAGTGCCATTGGGATCCTTGTACGTGGTCCTGAGGGTCAAGTTAGCCGGCCAAGCAAAATCGATGTATGCCATACACACAATAAACACGTATAGAACGGCGTTTGCGAGATGTGGATTGTGGCATATAAATCATGATATTATCCATGTGTGCTCAGAGAGTCCACACTGATGTTGGGACCACCTACTGGACGAGCTTGATCCATTTGGCATCATCGTTGGCCTGCGTAGCGTTTTTAGAGGGGCATATTGATATGAGGGTGATAGTGATCCTACCAGCGGGCCTGTAGAGATGACTTTTGCGTCTGACACGGACATGATATATCGTATGTGGAAAGTAGTATTGTGCGCGTGAGTATGTGTGTGGGTGTGTAGGTGTTTTTTTTTTTTATTGGGGGGAGGGGGGGGGGGGGGGGGGAGAACCCTTTTCGCGTAGATTAATGCAGAGTGAGGTGAGACAATTCGCATGCAGGCAGACTGGCGGTCGAAGATGGGCGGCGGTGGTGGAAAAGTCCCAAACACCCCACCACATTGTTCATCGTGTGTGGCTCAACTTTTCCCTGTATTGCAACACTGCGGCAAAAACATTTGCAACTCACGTTAATCAAGACTGAAGCATATTCGTTTTGCAATGATCTCATATACCATGTGTAAAGAAAAAAATAGGTTTCATTTGTACTAATCGCTACTTTGACCAAAACGAGCAAATAAATGTCATACATATATCTAGGCATCTTCATCGAGACCCCACTGTCTGACCCAGTTGATCATCCACTCATCCTTGACAGCCTCGAGGTTAGAGAGCGTTTTGGAGGCGGCGCAAGTCTTGGTCATGTCCAGGGTCATGGGGTCCTCTACCTCGTAAGAGAGAGACTGGAAAAAGTCGGCCAGCTTGGCAGCCGGGTTCAAGGTCATGTCGGTCGTGCTAACGCTGTCACGGACCGTCTTGACCCACTCGGCATACGGGACGAGTTGAACGGGCTTGTCCTTCGTGCTGATGGCCTTTTGCACAATAGGGGCGAGCTCGCGCCAAGTGGTCGTCTTAGAGTTCACGGCATGGTGGGCAACGGCCCCCTCCTTGCTGCTGTCGGGGCCCGTGGCCAGCTCGACAATAGCCCGTCCTAGCAGGTCAACAGGTACCCAGTCCACAAGGTCGACGCCCCCGAGCGTCTCGGGGATCTTCCCAAGGAACTTGGAGCTGCGGACCATGCTGGGAACCCACTCTTTCTCGGGCCAGATGCCTGCCTTGGTCGTGGGTCCAGCAATCTGTCCCACGCGGCAGAAGTAGGCCGGCACGCCCGCCTCCTTGGCCGCGATGTCGAGAATGCGCTCACTCACAAATTTGGACTGGCCGTACCCGGCAGCGTGAGGCGACTTGACATCATCGGAAGGCTCCTCGGGGACAAGTCCCGTCCTGCCCATGGCGGTACTGATGCTGGAGATGAAGTAGATCTGGGCCCCGTATGTGGAGTTGACGGAAAAATCGACAAACCTGCGCACTGACTTGATGTTGGACGAGAAAGAATCGACTGGGTGGTTGAAGTCAAGCTTCCAGGCGTTGTGGATGATGTTGGTCACCTCGCCGAGCAGGCGCCTGTATACACCACGCGAGAGACCAAAGTAGGGCTGCGCAAGGTTGGCGTCGAGGAACTCGGCTTTGGACAAGTCGGCAGTCTGGAGATCCCTCTCGATGAGGGCATTCTTCTGACGCTTGGCGCTTCCGGGGCCACGGTTGAGGCAGTAGATTCGAGCGACGCGCTTGTCCTTGATGAGCGTATCGAGTATGTACGAACCGAGAGATCCGGTGGATCCAGTAAGGAGCACGACGAGGGCATTTTCGGGCTTGGATTTCTGGGCCCTTCCAGATAGAGGAAGGTCGGCCGTAAAATCCTCCAACAATTCCAGGGCCCTCTCCCTTCCATCTTTTCTACCCGCATCCTCGCCTTTGAGCATGTTCTGGATGGCTGCCGTCAGCGCAGCCAGAGTTGGGTTGGCGTACAACGTGGCAGGCTCAAGAGCGGCAAAGATGCCTTGCTCCTTCAACGTCTCGTTTATAAGCTTCGTCATCTCAGATATTTGAAGTGAGTCGAGACCTAGCTCGAACAGGTCGGCATCGGGCTTGATTTCGGCACACTTGAAGTCGGTGCATGTCTCAATAGCATCCTGGACAATCTCGGGTGCCGTCGCCGGGCCGCTGTGACCGTTTGTGCGGCCGTTTGTGCGGCCGTTTGTGTGTCCATTGACCTTCTTGGAATCATTGCCATTTATGGCGGCAGTCGACGCGTACAGAGCTCTGATCTCGGTCTCGTACAACTCCGTCGTCGGCCTGCGCCTGACAGTGCCCTTTGCGACTCTGGGGAGAGGCTTGTCGGGCGTTGTGACCATGATCATGTGCTGATGAATACGGGCATGCGAGGGGGCAATCGCGTTGGCTTGTTCAACCCGTGGCCAGATTTCGCTAATCAGGGTCTCCTTTTCGGCCTCGGTGACTGGATACTCGGCGGGCTCAACCAAGAGACTAGATTGGAACTGCCCTTGTCCGATGACCAGAGCGCCCTTCAGGAGTGGATGAGAGGCGACAATGCCCTCCATGTCAACAGGGTTGACCTTTTCGCCAGTCTGGTAGACGATGATGTCGTCGTTGCGGCCGCGGTAGATCCAGAGGTTTTCCTTTGTGGGGTGCTTCTCATAGAGGTCGCCCATAGGGTACTCCTGAAGATGGGGGAAGACAGAAAAGATGGCCTGGTAGACTTCAAGCTCTGGGTCACGAAGAATGACGAACTCATACAGTTTGTCGGAGATGGGGCGGAACTCGTGCTTCATAACGGGACACACGCTCATGTATGACCAATCGTCCTGGTCAACCGTCTGCATACCGAGGAGGCCGGCTTCGGTGCTGCCGATACAGCTATACAGCTTGGCCTTGGTGCTGGTACGGATACGATCGCCAACATCCCGGGGCAGAGGTCCACCTCCGAAGGCAACAACCTCCATGCTAGAAAAGTCCCCGAGGTACTCGGGGACATTAGACAGTTCCACCAACGCCGATGGAGGGTAGACGCCAGCGGTGACATTGGCGTTGATATGCACGCTATGCATGACTGAGGGAGACGGCGGGTAGGGACCCAGGATTACAGTGTAATCGCACAACAGTGGGCCTAGGAAAGCCAGGAAGTATCCAGCGAGGTGGAAAAGGGGAAAGGCGACATAGACTCGCAATCCCGTGAGCGAAGTAGGTATGACCCTGTCTATTCCAAGTTCGGGGAGGGAGTTGAAGGCATCGGTGGCTGCTATAGACTTGTGGGTGTGGGTGATGGGCTTGGGGAGACCAGTGGTACCAGACGTATGGAAGATGGTTATCGGGTCGTCCTTGGCCTCGTCAAACGTCTTGTCGAAGGGGTAAGGCTCCTCGTCGTCGTTATCGTCGATCCAGTGACGCAGGCCGGGCATGTCAATGATTCGCGTGTTCCTGGCAGCAACGATTTCCTTGATGGCAGGGATGGCGAAGGTGGGAGGTAAGAGAAGATTGTCGCACTTTGTCTTCTCCAGCAGTGACAGATGAGCCTCAACGCTGTTTCGAGGCGACGACAAGAGGGGCTTGTATCCAGCCTTGATGGCGGCAGGGATGACGATGCAGTAGACGAGATCCTGAGGGCCCATGTACGACAGGGTAGGGAAGCCCTCCTGGCGGCCGAGGTTCTTCTCCAGATGCCTGGCACAGCGGTTCACAGCATTGGCATAACACTTTGCCGTGATGTCGATAAAGCCGTCGGCAGGGTTCCTCGTCTTCGCGACGGAGTAGATGACAGTATCGGGAGTCTTTCTGGCCTTTTCATCAATGATGCATGGCAGCATACGACGACCGTAGTCTCCGACGGGTAGAAGCTTGCTCATGTTGGACGGGAACGAAGAATAGTCTTGAGATATTCGATGGGAGGAGGAGAAGGCACCCCAATATAGACAACAATGAATAATAGGTCGAACCAGGACTTGTATAGTCTGTATTTGATATTTTATGTTTATTTTTCGAGAGGAGAGCGAGAATGGGGAGAAGGGGAGAGGGAATGATTGCCAAATGTCTGTCTGGTAACTTCTCAAAAGATGCCCTCCTCCGGACTATATATATAAATACAACGAGAAGGGCGAGAGACCACTCGTCACCGTCCCGCCGGGGACTACGGAGTACGGACGGGAAAGGAGGAAAGACCCACAAGAACAGTAACAACTATTCATGGCGCAACTCTTGCCCGGGTGTGGAAATATAGAGTGCAACCCCCTTTGGCAGGGGCCGGATTTCGGCACGGCACAGCAAAAGAGCGCAGTGGCAACGGGGATCCATGTGGTTCAGAGAGGTAGCTATGAGCGCATATCCTTCCCTTTCACATGATCTACTATGCTACATCGTATGACGAAGTACAAGTAGTGGTAGTGACAAAGGTGTGTGGAGGGTGATGGAGGCAACAATAGAGGTTTGGCGTTCGACATGAACAAGATGCTTATGTACTTTCTGTGGTCCTTCCCGAGTTCGCAGGTTCAACAATGTACTACTACCATTACTACGCCGTAATATATAATTGTACATGTATTGATGCAAGGTAATTGCACATACACATTGACAGCTCTCAGCCAAACTATCGACGAGCTTGCAGGATGATTGTCAATATTATCAGCTCTTTGGAAAGGGGTACGGACATTCCATGAACGTGTACAGAAAGCTGTAGCTAGATACCAGGATCCGCCTACAAAGATTCTATCCGATAACAGGGCCGGAATCTTTAGTGTTTAAAATTAGTATATGGGAAAGGAGGCGGCGACGGATGCAACGATTTTACTACTCACATGTGTGAACACCATCCCAACAGCGTCGTCATTGCCGTGGAGCCATAAGGTGGAGGGTTCGGGGATCGGACAACGAACCCCGATCCTTGGTCCGCTAAAGACCGTTACGACGTAATACATGAAGAGAGCCCCCAGTGCCGATGTTTGATGGAATTGACGGCTCTCCACTTATGTACGGAGCACTCCTGCTTCCATAAGAATATGTTGGCAATCTTGAAATGGAGTCGTTTTATTTGGTCGTCGGAAGCGGTTTGAAAAGGCGGTGATATGGAAGAAGGGTGATGTTACCTACAATGGCAGAAGACATTATATCCTTGTATAGCTTGCCCAACTTTTACGAAAAACCTTTGAGCTATTACTACACATACGAATACACGCAAAGGAAGCTAGCTAAACAACAATAAATAAGCATGTAGCACTTACTAGCCGTACTTCATATCTGTTAGTGTCAAACATTTGCATGATAGCTTGACTACTGTCAGTAGTACAGAGTTTTCGAAACCACCGCCTCGTTAATCGCGCTTCACCCCTGACGCCATTTTCGGGTAGTCCAAGGCGGAGGGAGAGACGGCAGTTGTACCCCACTCATCATGGGCCATATATTAAAAGAACACAAATTGGACGGCATTGCAGGTACCAAAGGGGCCGGAGTCGGAGGTCTGAATCCCGTTCCCTGAATGGAAAGAGGCTCGAGATAGAAGAGATCAGTTAGTTACATGGTATGAGTAATACGCAGAATAGCTTCAACGAGAAAAAAAATAGTAAGTAAATAGGAGAACTGCCATGTCATCTGCTACTCGTACACCGATAAGTTATAATCCCGGTTCGTTCTGTACGAGTAGAATCTTCCATGGAAGAAGACACCGGGAAAGAAAAACGGTTCCACAGTGACGCACAGTCGGGACAGGAAAAATCGACCACCCCCGATCTCCACAATACGAGCCTTCCCGGCTGTTTCATCATCAGACCTCCGAGTCTCCGGGCATCAAGGACGTCAAAGTGGGCCCCGCATTTTGTGGTGCTTTTTTTTTCAAATCGTGATTAGAGACGTGAAACCTGTTTGCTTTATGGGAGCCGACCTAGCCGACTTACGTTATTCAAGAATCGGGATTTCACAACGGCAGAAGGTGTGAAGTGACGGTGGCATCAGAACAGACCCATTTTCTTTGTGCAATGCAACCTTAGAGCCGGATCAGATTCGATGCTCGGCATTTCCATGTTCTTCTTCTTTCTCATTCCATCTGCTATGCTGTAACACTTGTTGTTGACGGTGGCAATGGTCATTTTTTCCTTTCAACTCTTCCAACTCTTCAGCTCTGCTAACTTGCCATCTCTACAGAGCATCACGCCTCCTGGCTAAAGTTATAGCTGTTGCCGAACCCCCGATTCAGATACCGCCCAAGCGCCATGTCTACCTCCACCCAGTCAACCGGCACTTCGAGTCCCAGATTCCCCTCATTCTCCAGCTTCTCTAAGATAGGACAAATGTCGCGTCCAAACTCGAGTCTCATCTTGTTGCGGAACCAAGGCGCAAAGTGAATCATGGCCAGCATCATGCGCACCTCGTCGCTCATGTTTGGCATCCCCGCGTGCCACAGCCTCAGATCCCGGACAATGATGCTCCCCTTCTTGACGACGGGTTGCACTGGAGAGTTGACAACTTCCCTCTCTCGGAGGAGGTTCTCCTTGATGCGCCCGCTCGCCCTATCGCCTTGAGAGCCCTCTTGGGAATCCAAGCCGTGACCGGTGTGGGTCCCAAGCCAGAGCTCCGTAGATCCATTCTCCGGTGTCATTGTGATGAGTGGCACATTGACGACCAGGGCAAAGGGGTGGCTCGGGTGCGCAAAGTCGGCGTCGGTGTGGACTGGCTGTCGCTGAGGGCTGGCCCCGGGTAGAAGGGGCATGGCTGCGTTGGCTGAACAGAATGTCCACTTAGGGCGTGGGCCGAGAATAGCCGTTGTTACTTGTGTTCCAATGGGGTCTATCGACAGTCGATTATCTCGTTAGGCAGGCTGGCCCGGTTCAGAAGACAGGTTCACGTACTGGTAAAAATGGAGGGGAAAAAGTACTTCGCCACTGGGGGAGCATCTTGCTGCAGATTCGCCAAGTTATAGTTGAAAGGGCCGTCTTCCCCGCGGGCCTGAAGAGTCCTGGCATCCTTGACCATCTTCTCATTGAGAATGTCAAGATGTTCATGAGGGACAACATCCTCAATCACTACCAGGCCGTCTTTGTGGAGGTGTCTGACAGCCTTCTCGAGGTTTCTCGACCCGAGCTTAGCATTGGCAATCTCTGATGCTGATGGGGAGACGCAACCTGTACGTCCGGGTCTCTGCACTGCGGCGAATCCTCTAATGCACCCTTTCAAAGAGCGAAAACCGCGGGCGGCGTGGAGGGACCACATGACGAAGGAATATTTGAAAAGAGATGGAAAACTCGATTTCATCATACTCAACGGGCACATATTTATAACCCTTAAGCCATGATCAGTGGGGGGACGATGCTGATGGGAATACCGAGCTCGGGAAACCTTTCTCCAAGTGGGTGTGGGGGCCTGCAGTTGGTGTATTACCAGTGCGGTGATTGGGCGCGGTGAGTGTTACTCTGTTACTCCCGTAAGACACCGTAGTCATCAGCCGGATGATTGCCAAAAGGCCAATAGGTCATCCTTGAGTCTATCTACGGGCCATCCTACCGATGGTTTGCAGGCAATCAATTGTCGGACAAGTTCCTGCTGAGCTGGCTTGTCCCGAATCTTTCTGGCGCCTGCTCAATGCCGAGTCAGTAAGCCAGCCATCTTTTAGGGGCTTGTAAGGGAAAGAAAGGAAAAGTTACAGTATGCCATGGGCCCGAATGCATTGACAAGGACGGTCGGAAGAGGGTGCATGGCATCAAAGGCCGAGCCAGAGATGTACAGTGCCCAGCGTTCTTGGAGGTCCTCCTTTGGCAAGGGTTCCTTGTCATCGAACGGGTCAAGAGCCAGGAGCTCATCAAGGCGATCCAACGGTGCGTGATCGGCCAATATGAACAAAGCAACTAGGAAGTAATGAACTGATGCTGCTGCGCGTTTTATGTCAACGTATATGCGTTTTATCTTATCCAACGGACATAATGGATCCAAAGGTAGTCTTACTGTGGCACGGTTGGAGAAACGAAACCAAAGGCAGCGGCCTGGCAGTGTCGGTTTTTTTACCGTCGGTAACCGAGAATGGCATGATGCGGTTGGGGAGGCTTGTAGCCCAATTGCGGACTGTGAACAGCGCAGCTTCCCACTCAGGGTATGTGAGAGCATGGTCGAAAGCTAAGTTTATGAGCTTACCTAGTACCAGGGATGCTGAGTTGAGATAATGCTGGTCCGTCTCGTGAGTAGTAGTCAATGGGACTGTCTCGAGATCTATCTTGAGCGGACATTTTTCATACAGGCTGTAGGTTATGTCCTCTCGTAGGTAATTCCACGACCCGGCAACCAGGAGCCCATCGCCGCTCAGCAGGCCCTGATGTTGGGAAGCCATGGAGTAGGCACCCCTCAAATGGCGGTTAGGGTCAACGCCGCCTGTACCAGGTTAGCATCTCAGCACATTTTGCGGTGAATGGTCTAGTCCTACCGTCCAGAATCTCGTAGGACCGCAAGAGACATGTTGCGGCCAAAGCCACGCCGTTGGACATAAGTGCGTCACCATCCTTGAGCTTGATCAGTAGCTTGATGCAGCATTGGTGGTAGTATTCCGCCATGTCGCGAAGCTTGGCCGCCGAAGTCTTGGACCTGTGCATGGCTGACAGGGCGATGGTGGCACAAAACAGGAGCGGCTCGTCGAGGGCGAGTAGTGGCACTGTGACGGCGAAGCAACGCGACGCATCGCTGAGATCGTACCAGTCCGCTATGGTGACGATGTAGTGAGTGAAGAGCTTGGCGAGATGCTGGTCTTTCTTCAGGGTGGCTCGAGGGTCTGAGGGCGGCTCGTACTCGCGATTTCCGGCCAGGGATGGCCTTGTACTACCCGTCCATGGACGAAAGTCTAATGACCTCCGGTACCAATCGCAGTAGCGCTCTGCCCTGGTGCACTGATTGCATATGGGCGACTCTCCGCTACCTGGGGAGTGAGGTCAAATGAGAAGGAGCATCCATTGGTATGATTCTCAGGGGTGGTACTGCGTACATTTGATCTTGCGGCGGCGGCACGTATTGCTGCAGCTGTTAGCGACACATTGACCACCACGAACTGCTCTAAGACTCACCACGAGTCATTTTTACGCGGGCGAGGCATCGTCGATGGATTAGCAAGGACAAGCTCAGATGCACTTGGAAGTGAAAGATGCCTAATGAGAAGGAAGGCACGGGAATATATTATTGACAGCTGAGGTCTTGCGACCATTGATTGGCCAGCACAGCGACGACACCTACGAAAAGAAAGTAAATAATCATCGACGAATCTAGGTGCAGATGATACTATTGGAAGAAAAAAGCAACAATAGTACAAAGGGGATTATAGATTAATTCGTATTTCTGCCTGTAATTCGGAGAGCATGAAAAATCAGGAGCAAAAGAAAAAGGCAAAGAAAAAAAGAACTCTCGAAACGCGGATTCGAACCGCGGACATCCAGATAATACACTTAGGCAGTTACAGTCTGGCGCCATAAACCAACTAGACGATTTCGAGGTGATCCGCTCATTGGCTGTTGAATGGACTAGTGCAAGGTATATATATATTCCTTTGCCACGACTATTTTTTATAACGGAAGCAAACTGAGGACGAAGACAATTGAGCCTCCACTTGTATAGTCGAATTATACTATTTTGCACCAATAGTGTTTTAGTTTTGTTTTCATCTTTGTCCAGTGTCATACGGTATGCCATACACTCTTCTATCCACCACTACAGCTTGGGTGAGAAGTTGCTTCCACCTAGGGACTTTACAATGGTGTCGACAGAACGCAGGATCCATTCGCTTCCTTCATTCGTAGCCAGCCACTCGACCCCCTGCACCTCCTCCTCCCCCTCGGCCTTGTAAGTCCCATCCTCGATACCCTTTCGCAGACCAAACACATGGCTGGTGACCTGGGGTGCAACACCTGTCTGAGCGCGTAGGCACGAAATGGCAATAACGCTAGTGAGGATCCGCCCCGTCTTGGCGAGTCCCCCGCGCTCTGCCGGGTCAGCCAGGAGGGGACCGTAGTGGCTATTGAGAATATGCACGGGCAAGTCAGGGTGTGACGTAGCCAGCTTGGTAACAAGCTTTCCCTCAAAGGGGGCGTAGATGCTATCCCAGAGACCCCTGCCGCGCGAGGAGATGTTGTTCAGGTTGGCCGTAGTCGGCTGCCGCGTGGGGCGCGTCTCCAGCTGCGATCGTACGTTGGCGGGAAGGGAGGCATGAAAGGCGTTGAGGCAGTTGATAGTGCGGGGTATACCGTTGAAGGAGATGCACTTCAGACCGACTTCGCGGATGAACTCGGCCACCATGACCTTGGGATTCGTCTCGCCTGAGGGGGCGTACGATGTCGCTACACTGTGTATGGCTGACAGAGACTCGGGGGAGTTGAGGGTGAAAGTTGCAGCAGACTGTATTATCATTCAGCACATATATCCTACAGGTCTTCTAATTTTCTCTCCTTATTTCAGATATCCATACCGACAGAGCTAGCCAAGGCTTGAGAGACACGTTGTTCTTTGCTGCGTCGCTCGCAATCGACCTATACACGTCGGCTATGTGCGCAGGAGCTGCTGTCGGGTCCGGGCGCGCAAACGGCGCGGCAATCAGAGCCTTGAGATTAGGTGAAAGCTTCGCCATTGTGAAACAGTCGGACGATGTTTGAGTTTGACTGTTGGTCCTTTCTTTTAGCTTGAGCGTTTGTTGGGTTTGCAGTCTGGTGTGGGTTTGCGTGAATGAGTTCAAGTGCTGCTCATTATCCTTGAACCGAGGCGAATCCGTCGGTAATTTTCGGTTCGCACTTTTGCGAGCCGATGTGGGGGCCAGCACCGGCGGCCACTTTTCCGTCCGGGAGCTAAGGGACTGATGATGATATTTACGTGACCGACCGGTCTTTTGTGTTTAACTTATGAGGTATGAGTCAAGATAGGGCCATGGTGGGGATAAAGGTGTTTTCTCTGGTATGACCATCTAGCCAGACCCCTACCAGTAAAATGTCACTTGAATTGGACAAGTTGCTTACTTTTGCTTCTATATGTACATCACCTGTAACACACTACACTCATTACCCTTTTTGATAAGCTTCTCTATTCCCAGATCTAGCCATGTCTTCGGTAAAACCAAATGAGTCCTTTTGGTTTTGGGTATGTAATACCTCGGACCCCCAATGTTCATGCCTTCTTGCTAAAATCGTACAAAATATTTGGGGTGCTGCAGCCTCCATTGCAGTGGGCTTCAGTAGGTCTACACATTGTTAACAACTTCACTCGTCATTTATTACTATCGTCAGCAATAGCCCATCCACTCGATCAAACGAGATAGTAAACCTGAATCGCATGCCATAACAGCAGGGTTTACGCTTACTTTCATGTTTAGTCGCCTGCAAATTTCAAAATTCGGAGACTCCATGTTCAGTGCCATGCATAGATTGGCCCTCCGCGACGGTCAGTCGACCCCTGGACAGTTTTGTCTTGTGACGAATCTCAATTTTGTAGGCATCGCATCTTTATGGTTTCGGCCTCTCTGTCTCTATAATCAGGCAGCCAACTTATCCCACACCAAAAAAAATCCCCAAGATATATATGCTAATGGAATTGCTACTGTCATGCCTAGATTTGTGCGCATGTGTGCTGATAGGGCGAAAACTTCGGGCAAGCGATTCGGCTACTCCAACGCCCTCGATGGCTTGTATCGCATCGGCCGAGAAGAAGGAATCGCAACATTTGAACGAGGCGTCAGTGCTAATATTGCAAGGAGTATTTTGATGAGTACAACCCCATGCTCCTATTTTGGCTCCTGAATACACTGATGTTCGGACCACAGACATTGGTGAGATTGCAACTTAAGTCTTCTTGCCGTGAAGGACAGTATAAGTGTCTGCTTACAAGATAGGAGGAAAACCAGTTATTAAGTCGCCAAGGAGCACGTAAAAGGGACCTTCGGTCCAAGAGACGGTGTGGTATTAACGCATACATTCGCGTCTTTGGCTGCCGGAACGGTGGCGACGACAATTTGCGCCCCTGCAGATGAGCTTAAAAGTCGAGTGCAAGTGCATCATCGTCTACATCAAGCATCTCACGGATCATTCAAACAAGTTTGCGTGAACAAGGGCCTCGATTTTCTCCAAAGGCTGGCTCCCTGCTTGGCTTTGACTGGCGTGAGTTCAATCTTGGAGGGGGCCGTGCTCGTCAACAAGTTTCCAATTTTTGCTAACGTTTTGTCCCAGACCACATACTATTTTCACTTTCGTCTTTCTGGGGCAGCTGAAGCAGCTGGTTCAAGTGAAGGGAACGGTAGCGGTGCCGAGTTCTAGAAAACATTCCTCGAGAGGTGACTGAAAGGATATATCACAATAGACATAGAACAAAGAGCAAACTAGTATCAAGTTCAGTGCCTGCGGTGAGCTTGACTACATAACCAATACGCGTTATCACCTAATATTACTTTCTGACAGTATTAAAGAACGATAATGCACACGATAGGGCATCGCTCTCAGCCAAAATTTACAAAGCAACTATCCACAATGTATTCATTTAATTATACATTCCACTCCGCTATAAATGGTATCATAACCCAAGATCTGGATGTTTTGTGTGTGCTTCCTGCTTGAGACAGCACACAATGACCTGTAGACGTGAATACAGTGGTCTTAGCCTACTGGTACATCCTGGGTCGATGAGTGTGTGTCTAATTGCTTGATTCAAAAGAAAGGAAAGAAATATATCTATGATGTTACCTATAGATGTGAGTGTGGCAGCCCTTGGCTGCTTAGTCATAAAACCCTGGGTGCCGCATGTGTAATATTACTGCAGTGTATGTTTCGTGGCGGTCACAGGCCAGATGAGGCGGCGCCGCCACCAGCTGCCACACCAACTGCCCCGCATTCTGTAGGTTCGTGCCAACGGCTCTCTTCCTTCATTGTTCCATGAATATCACCATTCAATCTTTGTCGCTTCCATCACCATTTACCACCACGCTTCCAACGAACCTGGACAACCTGATCACTCCATTCAGCATTCGCGAATTACCAGAAAAACTATCTTCCGGTACCGCCATCATGTCAGATGACGAGGATTTTATGCAGGAGTCCGACGAGGAGCAGTGCGTACAATCATGCGCCGTGCCCGGCACCCAGCCGGCAGGGGGGCACTGCAGGCTGACCATTGCAGGTATGACTTTGAATATGAGGAAGACGACGACGAGGATGCGGGCGACATTGGGATCGAGAACAAATACTACAACGCCAAGCAGCTCAAGCAGTCGGACCCAGAAGATGCGGTGGCAGAATTTCTGGGAATCCCCCCCCTCGAACAGGAAAAGGGTGAATGGGGATTCAAAGGCTTGAAGCAAGCAATAAAGCTCGAGTTCAGACTGGGGCAGTACGAAAAGGTAAATCGGGCAGCAAGGTTGCTGTGATATCAAGGGCTAGGTAGGCTAATCTGAAGGATAACAAAACAGGCTGCCGACCACTACGCCGAGCTCCTCACATACGTCAAATCGGCCGTAACTCGCAACTACTCGGAAAAGTCCATCAACAATATGTTGGACCATATAGAGAAGGGGGTCGACAACTCGCAGGCGGTGCGATGCGTGGAGAAGTTCTATTCGCTCACTCTAGCGAGCTTCCAAACGAGCAACGAGAGGTTGTGGCTCAAGACCAACGTGAAGCTGGCCAAGCTGTTACTGGACCGCAAGGATTACCCGGAGGTGTCCAAGAAGCTCAGAGAGCTTCATAAGGCGTGCCAGCGCGAGGACGGGAGCGATGACCCGAGCAAGGGGACATATTCGCTAGAGATTTACGCTCTGGAGATCCAGATGCTGGCCGAGACCAAGAACAACAAACAACTCAAGACTCTGTACCAGCGGGCGCTCAAGGTCAAGTCGGTAGTTCCACACCCGCGGGTCATGGGCATCATCCGTGAGTGTGGTGGCAAGATGCACATGAGCGAGGAGAACTGGAAGGAGGCGCAGAAGGACTTCTCCGATTCTTTTCGCAACTACGACGAGGCCGGATCGCTGCAAAGGATTCAGGTGCTCAAGTACCTGTTACTGACGACGATGTTGATGAGGTCGAACATCAACCCGTTTGACTCGCAGGAGACAAAGCCTTATAAATCAGACCCGCGCATCTCGGCCATGACGGAACTGGTTGACGCGTACCAGCGCGACGACGTGCACGAGTACGAGAGTATCCTCAATCGGAACCAGGACTTGTTGTCAGACCCCTTCATTGCCGAGAATATTGACGAGGTAACGCGAAACATGCGTACAAAGGGCCTGGTCCGACTCGTCGCCCCCTACACGCGGATGAAGCTCTCGTGGCTTGCTTCTCAGCTCAGAATACCCGAGTCCGAGGTCCAGGACATTATTGGGTTCCTCATTGTCGACGGTAAGATCCGCGGCCAGATCAACCAGCAGGACGGTGTGCTCGAGATTACATCTGACGCCGACTCGGAGAGAATTGCGGCCCTGCGAGGCCTCACCAAATCGATGGCCGACATATTTGGGGCCATCTTCACCGACGGCGAGGGCTTCCGCAACGATCAAAGCACCTTAGAGGTGGATTCGCGGGCAGCGCCACATTCCACTATGGAGCAGTTGCGACATAAATCCAAGGGGAAGAAGGCCAAGGCTTCTGCATTAGCATGAGGGATTGGGATGAAAGAAAATACACACAACACACACATACACACAAGGCATTATTGCCGTGCGTTAGATGTCAGAAGATGACGAGTTATAATAACCTACGATGTGATACTGGGCTATTATTCGAATCCTCTGAGGCGGGCTCCACCCCTCCACCACCTTCATCTTCCTGGCCCTCCTCTTTTTAGCGGCCGGTCTGTCTGCCTCGATATGAGCGTTGAGTACTACTGTGTGGAACAGCGATGGCCAGGATGATAGTCGCCGCCATGTACGTCATTTATAAAGGAAAAAGAAAAGAAAAAGGACCTTCTCAAAGGATCTTTCGGTCCATGTGAGCGTGTACCCTTTCTGGAGGGACGGAGGTTGCTCAAAAGAAAAGAAAACGAAAGAAGAAGGAACGAGGGATTGGGGGCCATCTGGGGTGGACTACGGACATAATTAATATTACATGACCATTATGACCTGTAGTCTACAACTTGGTGCGGGTGGCGATGGTCAACGGAGAGAGGGGGGATTCTCAAGAAAGAGGGGGCCTTCATTTCCAGTCATCTTTTCACACGGTGCGGTTAGTAATGGTAATAATGGAGGCATACATGGAGTACTATGGGTATTAATACACATTACTGCTACTATTACAGGGTAGTAGTAAGTCCGGGCACTGGTAGCTAGTCATATGACGGGTAAATTCGTCCTGATGACGAACGGTTGCTTCATAATCTGACAGGGCTCCTGCTTGTCCCGCCTTGTTTCCATTAAGACTTGGTGGATGGTGTTGTAAAAAGGCGGGATACGTGATTCCAGTCAGCTACCAGTGGTACTTGCAACCAAAAGGTGTTGCAGTGTTACTGGCTACTGGTAGTAGTATTAGTAGTAATAAGATTGTGACGATGCTCACCTCACACCGTGCCCATATATGTATACGAGTATGTACCCTCGGACGTGATATCAGTACTTGTACTATTACCACTCAACTTTGACCAAGGTGTTGGCGGGGTTCCCTCGTCGGTTGCACTGTTGTTGGTCTTGCCGATATCGACGCCGCGGACGGGGTCCCACGTTGGCAAATGGCGTTTAACAGGCATTCTTGATTGTCAGGGGCCAACAAGGCTCTTGCCATGTGATGATCAGACGGAGAGGGGGGGGTGGGTGGGTGGACATGACATGGGCTCAAGCAGGTTTTCTTTAGGTCCCCTGAATTGAACATGATGATGTTGTTGTAATGAGATGATGATAGTAAGTCACGGTATGACAAGATGACCGAGATGCATGCAACTGTATTAATAATACGGCAGCAGGCAGGAAGAGTTTACTAATAGTATAGGTGTGCCATCACCGACACCAGAAGAGAGTGTTGGATAGTAATAATGGTAATACTAGCATGGCTTCTTTCCTTCCCTCAGAATAATCCCTGTTCCGTGATCGACGAGCAGCAGCAAGGATTTGCGGCAGCTCGTTGGAGATTTCCAGTTCCGTCGCTCAAACCAGCGGGCGCACCCACCGCCATATACAAGTGTGAATTGTTATTTCCAGCGGCGGGTCGAATTACCCATTGTGTTGTTGATTTTCTTTGCATTTTGTATTTGTAGCGCTATTACTCTTAGTACGGAGTAGTACTCGTAGTTAGTAGTATCAGTGCCTTACTCTCAGGCCAGATATTTGCTTTTTCCCACCGGTATTATGTGACGGTTGTGACGGTTGTGCGCGTGCATTTCAATGCACAAAAGACAGAGACTAGCAGGAGGAGGGGGACCAAGAAGACAGACACGTATATTATGACAGTAAGGACAACATTATCTTATCGACTAGAATACCCCGTTATAACATGATGTAGCCGTACTGATATGTAAGCACTATTGCTAGTACGATTTGGCATTAGAAGTAGTAATAGTAGTAATATTATAGTATCTATATTTCCTCCTCAACGCGGACCGTATCTCTCTACTAGTTCTCTATAATATATCGCGGTTCACGGTTACACTCTAGTAATACTACTGTCGGAATTTTCGCTGCGGAACCATTAAGCAAAAATGAAGGCCTGATTACTCGTGTAGCCAGTAATAGCGATATAAGCCCTCTATACCGTCTGACAACTAACTGCATGTTATAACTCAGCATAATGTAGGAGCACAACAGGCTATCGGGTATGCACAGGCCTTAATCTCTCAACGTAGCACAACGGCTTCGTACTAATAGTAATACTACTTTTCAATACTGCGTAATACTGCAGTCTACTGCCGCTTCTGCTGCTTCTGCTTCTGCTGCTTCCTTGTACTATTGAGCAAACTAGAACACTTGGTACCAGTAGAGTAGAGCATGCACACGCGACATGCCTTGTCGTTAGCGGAATGAGGGGCCAAGTTACACAAAATGACAATGCAAATGTAAGCTGTGCGACGCACGAGTACTAGAGAAGTGGCAATCAGAGACTACGCAATTGCCTCGTCACCAACGTCGAAAAGGGGGTGAAAGGAGCGATTGACCGTCGATGTGGTAGTAGCCTGTACGAGTACTCGTAAGGCCAGGAGGTAAGATTGGGATAACGAGGAGTAACCGACATAAGTATTTGTATTAGTACTCATAGTAAACTTCTAATCGCAACTCCGTACTCCGTACAGAGCTCAAAGTAATTGTGGCAGGAGCATCGGGGAAGGGGAGAGAGACACACAGCAGGAACGATCAAACCCCGTAGGGCAAAGACGCACCATTATGCACCCAACAGATCATCATGTCCATCTTTCTCCACCTTGGCGGGTTGGCCATTGTAAGACACACAGGCACACATACGCGAGGCAAAAAAACACATGAAAAAAAGACACATGAAAAAAAGACACATGAAAAAAAACACAGTTTTCTGCATCCATTCAAAAACTTGGCAGCAAATAACATCCAGTCCAGCTGGTGCCTCGTTGGTCTGGTCCGTTTCTTTACGATAATACGAGCACCGCTCTACACAACCCCATCTACCTCTGGCACATATTAATAATAAGTTCCAGTGCCGGCGACTTGCGACCTGTCCTCGACCTTGTTCTCGACCTTTTCTTGGCCTGAATACAAGATCGAGTGAGTATGAGATCGATACAATACTCGTATTGCAGCTAATCTGGAGCAAAAGTAAGACATATCATAAAGTATGGCTTGGCCCTTGGCCAAGTTGGCATTGACAAAGGGGAGAAACAAAGACCACCCCCAGTCCTTGGTGTCGACGCTATCGACCCGTGCCGCCCCCCGTCAAAATTTCCCGCTCGAATATTGGCTAACAGCTCGAGGGTACGACTACTCGTACAAGTTACAGGTATTACTATTCGTACTATTATCACTATAACTATTATTACTACTAGCGCCTGTACTAGAAGAAGTTCAGAGGTACGAACACGGCGAGTCGAGGCCCCACGGTTCCCTCTCAACCTTCTGTCTCTCGTTTATCCATTAATATATTTTCTCCACGTCCCCTCCGACGGCCTCCCGTCGGATAGGATCTCCTTGTTGCCTAGCCGGAATTTTCTACTCGTTCGATATTAGTAGTACGTATACAGATTACACTTACGAGTAATACACACGCACACACGCACACACGCACATGCATACACACAAGACAATTAGACACACGTGGTCAGCACCTAAGACGCTACGGCGGGCTGACCCAGCCAAAAAAAAAGTCAAGAACGAAGTGACAAAAAAGACAGACGGTCTCATCACAACCAAAAAGCAAAAAGTGCCGCCGCTTGGGTGCCACCGCTGCAGCCTCACCACCACCACTCATACCGTCCGTAATAATAGTTCACTGAGTGAGAAAGAAGGAAACCTGCCGGCAAGGAACGACGGTCCTTGGCTGAAGGGGCGGATCTTTTCTATTTGCCCTTTGGTTTGTTGGATCAGTAAAATACTCTGTACAAGATATGATTACCAGTCCACGCACTATATCCCTTCATCATCACAACTGTCTTTTCTTCTTTCTTCACCTTCATTACTCCCTTCCATTCGTCCTCCTTCGATATTTGCTGTATCGCCCCCCTCCCCCCCCAAAAAAAATATCATCAGCCCCCACAGCCCATTTCCTCTGCGTGTCTCTCCACCGGCGACGACGGCCCGCGACCGGCGTTTATTATTGCAGGGACCGCCGCTGTGACTGGAGCAAGAGCGGGAACTGGAGCTGGATCTGAACTAGAAGAACTGGGGCGGAGCTGGATCCGGGGCAGGCATATTAACGAATCTGCACTCACAGACTCCACTGACCGACGCCGGCGCACCGCCGCGCTTCCTCCTAATTGCTGCCGTTGCCCTATGCCGCCCCTCCTAAAGACCTAGTGCGCGGAAACTCAAACCTGACTTCGACATCAAACATCCAACCTATCGTCCATATTCCCTGTACATCGCCGTCGTCGCCGTCGAGGGGTCCCTGCCTGCTGAGGTATAAACGAGTGAATAAATCATCGACTAAACAACACTGGTCCGCGCAACGGTCGTCTGCTGCACCTGGGTATGCACTTCTCCGCTGCACCCTACCCACCTGCCGACGACTGCTTCTTCTTGAACGATCTCCTTCTCTCGCCCTGCCAGCACGGCGCGGCTTTTGCACTCGCCGCTTCTCGACAAACAGGACCAGCGATAACCCCGTCATCCATCATAACACCCGCTCTGCCGCCACCGCTGCCACCTCCGTGGTCTCGTCGTCAGCGCCGTCAGCATCGCCAGCGTCACCATGGATAGCAATGATAGCAGTCAAGACCCGCACGGCATGGCCGCCCAGCAGGCCGCAGCCAAAGACTACCAACCTGATCTTCCGGTTCGCGCGCGCGCCCTTAGAGCCCCTTCCCCTACACCCTCATCCGTGCCGTACTCTACGAGCGAGTACAAATGCGCGCCTCACACATACAAACATTGTTGCTGTATGCAGATCCAGCTAACCCCTCTCTACTCTAGAGCTACCTGGTTGGTGACAAAACCCCAAGCGACGTCATCACCCAGGAATATGCCCGGGCAGACCAGACCTATGTAGAGAAGACAATTGTTTGTGCCCAACTGTTTTTATTTTCCCCGGATTTTGTCCACCCCCCTCGCCTCTTTTTTTTTTCTCTCAACCACCTTTGTCACCATTTATTTTTCTTGACTGCTTGAACTCAACCCCTTGTTGATACAAAATGTTAACATATTCATCCCATGCAGGCTCTTCCGCAGCAATATTCACACTATCGCCCGGTTCAGGGCGATGGGAATTGTGGTTGGAGAGGTAGGTGCCCATGACAGCTAGAATGGCTTCTCTCCCCCGCCCCTCTTTTCCCTTGTTCCCCAATCCTTTGGTCTCCCCGTTTCTGACTGATGAATCACTGTGTTGATAGCAATCGGATTCTCATACTTTGAAAAGCTTGCCGAGATTGGAGACCCTGTCGCGATTGAGAATGAGGCTGTCCGCCTCCTAGGCATGAACACCATGCTGGGCGAGGTCGGAGGCTACGACTACTATGAGGACTGGGCCGAAGAATTTGTTGACTTCCTTCGCGAGATTGGCCGTAATGCTGATAATCAGGCTGTGGCTGTCGCGCTGGTACACCAGAAATGGAACGACCTGGCGTCCACCAGCGGAATGATCTACTACCTGAGGCTCCTGGCGGCAACATACCTCAAGGCCAACGCCGAGACGTATGACCCCTTCATTGCCGACAACAGCGGCGTACAGGGTTACTGTGCGCAATCAGTCGAGCTTATAAATCGTGAGATCGAGCACCTTGGCATAGTCGCTCTCGCCAATGTCCTGCTGAAGCCTGCCAATCTGGTTTTGGAGATTGCCTATCTTGACCGCAGCTCTGGGAGCCAGGTCAACAAATACCGCTTACCAGAGGAGGCCAACGGACAGGACGAGTCTAATCTTGGTCCCGTCATCTATCTCCTCTACCGACCCGACCATTATGACATTCTATACCGGCTACGGCAGCCGCTGAGCATTGAGGACCCGGCACATCCATCGTCAATCCAGGTGCATCGCGTCGGAGGCTTCACTCACAACACCACCATAGCCAGTACCCAGGATGACCTTGGAGCCTTTTCCTCGGTCGACTTCAGCACCCTATCGCTGATACCCGGCTTTGGAGGGGCGGGCATGACCTTGGAGGCACAATCGTCGCCCAGTCCTTGGCTGGGGCATCAACTTGGCCTGTCATCACCGCCACCGCCGCCAAATGTGCCAGCTAACCTGTCACCAAACCCACCGCCGCTGGTGATTCCTGGGGCCCCGGTATCAGATGCCTCCATCTCGCCGCACACAGCTCCCGCAGAGGTCAGCGTGCTACCACCCACAGGTATAGTGGGCGGCCCCCCGCCAGAGTTTACGATACGCTTCAGCCCGATGCAGCTTGAATACGACGGTAGCAACAGCAGCTATTCGGAGGCGTCGTTTCAGGTCAAGACAAACACGTTCAAGAATAGCGTTTGGAATAGGGCGCATTTCGGAAATCCAAACTTTCATCCGGAAGAGTGGAGCCCTGAGGACGAGGCGATTGACGGGCGGATGGGATCCAAGAGGAGGAGTTCGAAGCGCGATTGAGATTGTTGAGCGTTTTTTGCCCCCATGTCTTTCTTTTATGTCTTTCATTTTCCCTTTTTTTTCCTCTGCTCTCGTGGATTTCCCCTTGACTTCTCTTTCTCTCTCTTTCTCTCTCTATTTTCTGTATTTATTTCGCTTTGTGGGACTTTTTCCTTCCTTTATTCATCTATCCCTTCTCTTTCCTTGACCTGTTTCCAACTGGCGTCAAGGAATATATCGGCTGGCTCTCAACTCGAGAGTTGGTTGCATAATATGCACACGCGCGTTATTGGTTGCCCTAGTGTTTCTACGCATCGCTGTCTAAATGCACGTATGGGGCGAAGAGGGCAGAGAGGGCGGACGACTGGATGGAGGTTTGGCAGCGAGAATACGGTTGCTGTAAGCGTGGGCCGGGTGGATATTTCGTGATCACCGATTAGTGATGACCCTTTTCTGACGTCGGGCAGATGCCGCTTCTAGTTTTACAGAAGCTCCCGTTACCCGTCGGCCTGTGTTCCCGCTACCGCAGCCGCAGCCGTTGCCGCCGGCGCTGGCGGTGCCGCTTCCCGCTTCGTTTTCTTGCGGCCAGCTGTTGTTTTACCCAAGTTATCCGCTATTATTACTTAATGGCATTTGGCGTCCTTCTCTACTGATTTTGTTTGCAACGAATAGCAGTTCTGGTTATGGACGGCAAGAATTACACGACATGACACGACAACTTTTACGACAATGATGATTATGACATGAACGCTGGGTGGACGGTGATACTAGAGGCCGAGGAGAGGGGGTATGCGAGGAAACAACGCATCCATTTGTTGAATTGCTCCCATTCCTACTGAGGCGGCATGCACAGCCGATGGCCCCATGGGTGAATGCACATTACGAGTTCGGGTAGCGATGGATACTATCCGCACCTCTTTAGTACAACTTGGTAGGAGTCGGTGCTTTAACAGAAAACTCTTTGTTTTCCCGTGGCGGGGCGCGGAGATAAAGAAAAGTTGCTGGAGAGGGGGAAGGAGAAGGAGAGGAAGAAAATATTGTTTAGATGGCCCAGTAGGATGGGGAGCCGGGAGGTGGTATGTGGTGGGGGGGCTGAGGGTAGCGCCGGGAAGATAACATACAACTAGTTAGAGTAATAAGTACTGTGTTCTTTTTTGTTTTCTTTTTCTTTCTTCTATTGTGCCGGACTTGATCGGTTACGATCAATGGTTGGGCATGTATGTACGGTTAATGGGAATAAGTGCCAAAAAGGGAACGCATCTATTCGGGTTGTGTGTGGAGGCACTGGAGGGACGAGTACACAGGTACAAGATATTATTTCGATTTCTCTACGAAGTAAACTGTTAGTCTCGGACGGACTTGTTGGCTGGCGGTTGGATCAGGTGCATGAATACGAGTCAGTACGGCGTTGGGTAGTTTTAACGGTCCGTTTTACGTCTTGATGATGTATTGTCCGTCATGGTTACGATGTTGTCATCGGGATGTTGCATACGGTGTTTTCTTCACGAGTATTACTACTAACTCAGCAGTAGTATTGGTAGCTGTGTTAGCAGTGATAATACTAGCTACTAATGTTGTATATGGGAAAATGCTGCAACATCTGTCGGTTATATATCCTAATCGTACAAGAACAACGTATTTGCATATCGCGTGGTTTTCGGCGATTGAGCAGAGCTTTCTCCCTCTCCCTCTCCTTCTGTGGCTTGAGAGCCGATACTCGTGTGTACCTATAGTGCCTTGATAGTGCCCAGCCTTGGAAAACGAGGTAAAATATGAAAGCCGTAGTATTATCACAGACATACTCGTACAGACGACGTTCAAACATGCATACGACCAGTCAGTTATTAACACACTGAGGACAGGACAGCACCAGACCATTACTCCGTAGCATGAACATCGAGTACACGGTTAATTGATTCATACTGCAAAGAATGTGAAGGCTGCAAGAACTGCATGCTCGGCAGGACGTGGCTGCATTGCCGAGAGTGAGAGGCAGCCGTTGGCTCTACGCCGTATTGCTCGTATTAGCTGACTTTGGACTTTGGTGCTATAGAGTCATAGTACGAGCCGTATATTCATTTGTATATTATTACTACTAACATGACTTACTACTAAGTAATACTGCGTAATACATGCATACATATATAGCAAAAGGGAATATGCCACTACTACTAGTAGACTGTACTACTACTAGTATTCTGTACTACTACTAGTATTCTGTACTACTACTAGTATTCTGTACTACTACTAGTATTATCGGCAATAAACAGTATAATGCTACGACTATAATAGCGCTGACTAGTGATCAGAGCGCTACTAAATATAAGAGTACTAATGGTGTTGACCTGGAGGAATACAAGCGAGAGGTACGGAGTGGTAGCATCTTGTAAACTCGTAAATCTATCTACAGTTTAAAGCTGCGTGCATCCTTCGTTCCTTCTCCTCTTCAGAGTCCAGTCCTTCCCCGAATGAGGTCATGGGCCCCGAGTATTTCTTGTTTTCCCCTATTTAACGCCTTTGACAACGCACAGGATACATATTTCTTTAAAACAAAACAAACGTCGAGAATTTCTCTATTACCGCTTATTACTGATCAGTGAAGAATGCAAGGTGCCATCTTGTTAATATCTCTCTGCCTTCCTTATGCCCTCCCCTCCTTTTCCCCACTCACCCACCGGGGAGAGATGATGGATGCGGCCGGCCACGCCCTGAGGTTAATATCCCTGCTCGCTCGTGCGTCCTATGCTACATGTACTCTCGCTGGCACGAGTTGAACCCCGGTCCCCAGCACACGAACATTCATCTTGTTTTTCTTCTCTTCATATTCCTTCTTCCCGCGTTCTGTTCTTCTCTCTCCTTGTTTCCTTTCTCTGCTTCTATTGATTCTTGTATGTCCCAAACAACACACATATTACGAATCTTCCCTCCCCCCCCCCCTCCATCGCAGCCGACGGCGAGACCACAATAACGAGACCACCACCAACATCATCCCCCTCTTCAGGAGAAGTCACGCGAAACTTAAACCCGCTACCGATATACGGACCAACCACTGTTCCACCACTCTCTTCGTCCCACTACCCCCCAGGGCTGAACAAGACCCTACCCACACACAAGAACAAACAACACACAAACATGGGCGCTCGGCGTCCCAAGTCTGACGGCCCATCAACTACCGCAGAGAAGGGTCCCAAGCGGGGAGACGTCGACGACCGCCAGGATGGCGAAAGATCATCAGACGCCGAGGCCGACGACTCAAGCTCCAACTTTTCCTCGGTGTCGGGCGACGCCCCTGCGCCAATCCGCGCCAACGGCCGCGTCTACCACGGCTCTGGACGACTATACTTCCCCAACGATGCCGGAGAGGACCGCCGAATGAATGTCCAGCACGAACTGTACAAGCTGTGTCTCGAGGGGAGGCTGCACGATGCTAAGCTACGAATTGAGGACGACAGGATAGAGATGCGAGACGAAGATGACGACAACGACGCCGATGACGAGGGCGATGACGATGATGATAACAAGAACAAGGTAGCAGAGGAGAACACACAACCGCGATTCCAGATCCTTGATGTCGGCGCGGGAAATGGCATCTGGGCCATTGAAATGGCTAAGCGGTACCCGCAAGCTGATGTGCTGGGCGTCGACTTGAGCAGCGCCCTCCTGCCCAAGGACGTGCCGCCCAACCTGACATTTGAGATTGCCGACATGGCCGAACCTTGGCCCCCTCGCCTCTACGATTACATCCACCTGCGCAACGTTGCCGACGGCGGCATACGGGACTGGGAACGTCTGGTGGCCGAGGCTGTCGCGCACCTCCAGCCCGGCGGCAAGGTCGAGTTTTCCGAGATCCGCCCCCGCTTCCTACCCTCGTCAGTCGACGTGCCGGGTCGACGTCAGCACCAGCAGACTGTCGAGGGCGGCGAGGACCTCCTCAACGCCAACGCCGATGCCCCCGAGTTCAGCACCATCCTGCGCGAGTCCGCCTTTGTCTACAAGCAGCTTACTACGGAGCAGGGCGTCGACTTTGACCCCGTGCCCAGGATCATGGCCGCCATGCGGTCCCAGCCCGTAGAAGGTCTGAGGGAGAGGGTCGACTGGATTCACGTCAAGAAGCCGAGGGCTGACGCTGTCACGCGTCGCAAGGAGGAACTGTTACTCAATCTGGTTGAAATCGGTATGTTTTATCTCCATCCCTCTCTCTCTCTGTCTTTCTTCTATTATACCCTTTAAATCCATCCACTTCCTCAACCATGACGAGCGACTCCCAGCACGGCGATACTGATGTATTTTGATGCCTTAGGCTTGGACACCTGGACCCTCATGCTCTTCACCAAGGCTGGCCGCTCCTACGAAGAATGCATGGACTTCATCAACCGTCTGAAAGATACCCTGTACAGTCCCAATGTACGGAGCTGTCTGAATCTGTACGTCCTCTGCTTCGTCCAATCTCTCATGTGACTTTTGACCCTCTGCTAACAATCCACCAGAACGACTATTACGGCTAGGAAACCCCTACCAACGGAAGACAACGAATAGAAGGTTTTAAAAATACAGGAGAAGGATTGACGTTATTGGTGTTGGCCCTCGTATAGATGGGAGTTTCGGATTTTGGACAAGGCAGAAAAGAAAACAAGCGTTTGGATTTTTTTTTTCTCTTTCTCTTTCATATATATACTTTTGTGCTGCTTGTGGCACTTGGAGATTCATCTTCATTTTTGTATATCATTTCTATGCTTCTTTCCTGCTTTACTTTGTAATACCGACATAATTCAACATTTGGCGCTGTATTTACCAATATGTGGTAGTACGTGATATTTCATAAGGTGGTATATAAGTTTGTTTACGCTTGAGTTTCTCTACACGGTCTCGATGTACCGTTGCATTTCCCTGTCATTATTGTTAGCATGTTGGGGGTAAATAATAAAAGGGTGTGAGGAACATAAATAGATTAAAAACATACCAATCGGTCACTGCCTCGTCAAACAACCTAACCTCGTGCTCCCTTGTACCAGCATAGTGATCGACAAACGCATCACCAAACACTTCGCGCGCAACGCTGCCCTTGCGAGCGAAGGTGGCGGTAGCATCGGCCAGGGTCTTGGCAAGGCGCTTGCCCTTATCGGCCTCGCCACCAACGTCCTGTCCCGAGGCGAGCGGGGGCGTCGGAATGGCCAGCTTCTTCTCGACGCCGCGCCAGCCGAGGCCCAGGATGGCGGCAAGCACGAGGTGGGCGTTTGTGTCGGCGCCGGGGACGCGGACCTCGAAGCGAGTGGCCGAAGGCTTGGCAGTGGGGGGGGCGATGAGGCGGATAGAGGCGGCGCGGTGCTCCAAGCCCCACGAGACGGTGACGGGGGCCCAAAAGTTCTCGACGAGGCGCTTGTACGAATTGACGGTCGGGGCAAGGAGGGGCATGACGTCCGCCAAGCCGTCGAGGATGCCGGCCAGAAAGTGGCGGCCCAGGTCGGACAGGCCGGCGATGTCGGCCCACTGTGGGTTCGGGTCTGGCGTGTCCCTGGCGAACAGGTTCTTGCCGGTGCCGTCCACGACGGAGACGTGCATGTGGCCGCTGTTTCCGGGGAGGCCGGCCTTGGGCTTGGCCATGAAGCAGGGGGTGATGCCGTGGCGAGCGCCGACGCTCTTGACCGTGTACTTGAACAGGCCAGCACGGTCGGCCATGGAGGCGATGTCGCCGAACTCCAGGGCGGCCTCAAAGACGCCCGGGCCGGATTCGGTGTGCCAGCCCTCAATGCCGCAGTCAAAGGCGGCGCACGTGTTGAAGATGTCGTAAAAGTACTCCTTGTTGTGGACGGGGCGTGTGAGCGAGTAGCCGAACATGCCCTCTGTCAGGGCGGGGAGCTTGTGAGGGGGGTTCTCTTTGAGGAAGGCAGCCGGGGAGGAAGTTTTGGGGTCGGGGTTGCGGAACTGGTAGAATTCATACTCGGCTGGGTCAGTGAGTTAGTATCCTGTTCCCGGTGTAGTATTACTGCGGGGGTTTGGGAGTTGAGGCATGGATCATGATTGAAGAGCGGTTGCTCACCTCCGGCCATTGCGCCGTACCCATGCTCAGACAGCTTGTCGAGCTGGATGCGCAGCAGACCACGCGGGCAGGCGCAGAGCGGCTCCTTGGTATCAGGGTCGAAGAAGCTGACTAGGAAGAAGGGGACGTTGTCCTCCCAGGGGATCCTTCGGAAGGTAGACAGGTCAGGGATGGCGAGGATGTCGCGATACCCATTTGCGGCATTGGAGATGGACAACTCGCGGAAGTACGTCCTGTCGTGCATGTCCCAGCCGAAGATGACGGAGCAGAAGCCGAATCCGGCCTGAGCAATAGACAGGAACTTGGACTTGTTGACCAGCTTTCCGCGCAGGACGCCATCGATGTCTACGCCCGCCAGCTTGACGCACGTGTCATTGGCGAGGAGGGTTGGTAGAGACTCGATCGTTACTTTTTGCGCCGCCATGATGTCGTCTTGGGGGGAGGAGCCAAGAAGCCTAAGGTGTGTGTGTGTGTGTTGAAGCAGAGGGAACTAGAAAAAAAGGGGGTCAAAAGAGGAAAAGAGAAAGATTTGACAAGGTGCAATATATCAAAACAACTCAATGTTGAAATATGTGGCTCCTTGGACTCTCCGGGACAGTCGAGGCGATTGCGCGAGGAGTGGTGGGAGATGGTGGCGGTAGTGGGGGGGGGGGGGGGGGAGGAGTTTATGGTGGATAAGGGCCGAGACACGGAAGACAAGGGTACTCGGTCGGTACTTGGTGATAGTATCGGCGGTGCTAGTGATAGTGATGGTTGCGTTACGAGTTAAAGAGGGGTTAATACGATGTGTTTATATGTGTCTAGATACTATCATACTATCTAAGAGAGGTAGAGGTAGAGACAGAGATAGAGGTAGTAACAGTAGTAGTAGCAGTGTAGTAGAAAGTACTATATAAACGCTATGTGAATACATTATCAGATGTAGTAATTTTTCTTCCCGAAGAACCGGTCATGTTTCTTGACACTAACATTGCAAAGGGCGAGTATACAGCGTAAAAAAGTGCATGGTATACTCCTATACGGGAAATGTTGGCGCCTTTTTGGGGTCCTATCATGGGTAATACATGGCAATTACTGGACCGAGCGGCACGACAGAGATAAGGAATAGCTAGCAGAAGGACAGTGAATTCCTAGGTGGGAAGCGATAAGCCATTGGATCATGGCGTAGATTGTTGTCATGACTTGGGCATTGCAAGTATTGTAGTATTAGTTAAATACTGCTAACCGTTTGAGCAGTACCATGGGTGTGAACGAGAAGAAGTTGAATATTAATAATTAGTACTCGAAATACTACTTCTAGTAATAAGTATTAATACTAGGACGATTTACACGAATATCTGTGCAGTGTCGTAATAATTGCTGGGGGCTTGCTGGGGCTTGCTGGGGTCCGCTGGGGCCCTAGGGCTCTTTGTCGTGTCTTCTTTCCTAATTTGTATTCCGTTTTCGCAGCTCCTTCCCCGTCACGATGTTTCAAGAAGGGGGGGAGGGCTGATGAAGGAGGTAGATAAGCCAGTAGCAATGCGAGAGATTCGCATTTTCCACTGCTAAATACTTTTGAGGGAAAGTTGTATAGAATAGTAAATAGTATTGATTTTTCACTACCTAGTAGTAATTAGTAATAATTACAGTAATTGCTACGACGTAAGTGGTAAGTGAAGATCTGTATACTCTTTCTCTCATCCGACAACGGCATCCGGATAACTATCCGTTTTCCTGACTGAATGAATCATTGCCCCATCGACCCCTCCAACCTTAGGACCAGCCAAGAAACTAGAAACAATCCTTCCTTCCTTCTCTTCTTATACGTATTTCCAACCCTTCCCCCCCCTTCATATTCCATCTCTTCTTCCATTCTACCCAACACTCCATTCCCCTAATAAATCCTATCACAATGTCCACCGCTGCTACTGGCCGTCTGGCCGGCAAGAATGCCATCATCACTGGTGCCGCAGGGTGAGTCAGCAACAAGACATACTTCCAGCAATGCCCTCTTCTCCGCTTTCGCGCCCAGAACGCCCCCTTTACTGACTCTACTACCATGAACAGTGGCATCGGCCTCGAGACTTCCATCCTCTTTGCCAAGGAGGGCGCTAGCGTCCTCATGTCGGATATATCTGACGTTGCCCTCGAAAAGGCCCTGGCAAAGGTGAAGCAGCTCGTCCCTGGAGCTGTCCGCGTCGAGACCAAGGTGCGTCATCACCCCTCCTCCTTCTTTACCTTCTTCCCGCGATCCACACTAGACATTTTGGACAATCTCTGACTCCGAAGCCCAAATAACAGAAAGTCGACGTATCCAAGGAAGACCAGGTCAAGGCCCTGGTCGAGACCCTCGACGCCTGGGGCGGTCTGGACATCATGTTCAACAACGCGGGCATCATGCACGCCAAGGACGACGACGCCGTCAACACGCCCGAGGACATCTGGGACCTGACGCAGAACATCAACGTCAAGGGCGTGTGGTACGGCTGCAAGCACGCCGTGCTCTCGCTCCGCCGTCACGGCAAGAAGAGGGCTTCCATCATTAACACGGCCTCGGTCGTCGCCCTCGTCGGGGCCGCCACCCCCCAGCTCGCCTACACCGCCTCCAAGGGCGCCGTCCTGGCCCTCACCCGCGAGCTAGCCATGGTCCACGCCCGCGAGGGATTCCGCTTCAACAGTCTGTGCCCTGCCCCCCTCAACACTCCGCTCCTGCAGGACTGGCTCGGTGACGACAAGCCCAAGCGCCTCCGTCGTGAGATCCACTTCCCCACTGGCCGCTTTGGAGAGGCCATCGAGCAGGCTCACGCCGTCGTCTTCCTCGCTAGCGACGAGTCGAGCTTCGTCAACGGTCACGACTTTGCTGTTGACGGCGGCATGACCAAGGCCTATGTCACTGCCGAGGGCGACTCTGCTCCTGCTCCCCAGAACAATGCTACCAAGGACTCTCTGTAAAATGCTTGGCCCGCCGTGGTTCACCTGTTGGGGTTTATAATGTGAAATGATAGATGATGGTGGTCAAATCTTACACTATCTCTTTTAGTTAGAAAACTGGACAGAGAAGTGATATCATTGTTTTTGGTAGTAAAACAAAGCAAGTAGTAAACCAAACACTTACATATGCAGCCTTCCCTCCGTACCTAGTCGAACTGTCCTTCAGTGTGGCCCTCCCCCATACTCTTGCTACTCGAGCTCCCGCTCTGGATAGCACCTAATATCCCGTCCATGTAGCTAGCACCGCTCCACTTCTGGTGAGTGAGTACATCACATCCAAGCTCCTTCTCGCGGCGCTGCACGAGGTCGACGTACGCCTTCATGCCACCCGTCTTGAACTCCCGAGACAGCTCGTTGGAGATGGTGGCCGTCGAGTGCAGACCAGCCAGGGAGATAAGTTGCAGGACGAATCCCTCGCGAGCAATGTCCCATATGAACGACTTGAGCGTTTCCTGCGTGAATCCGTGGGCCATCCAATTAAATGACGGTGAGAGGTTATAGACCAGTCCTTTGTGGGGGAGGATCTCGCGCACCGCCCGGCCGAGCTTAGCAGCCACCTCAACGTTGGGATCGCCCGTCTCCACCCAGAGAAGGTCGGCGTAGGGCCCGAAAGCCAGGGCGCGTTTTGTAGCAGCTTCCATGCCAGCTCGGAAGTGGTAGAAGCCCTCGCGCGTCCGTGGCACATCCCAGTTGAAGTAGACGGGGGATCCGGCGTAGTGGTCTGCCAGGGCACGGCGACGGTTGATGCCCATGTTGCGGTCCTTGGATATGGCGTCCACGTATTCGTCAATCTTGGACTTGGACACGTTGGCCTTCTGCATGTGTTCGAGGGCAGCCTCATCAAAGGTGACCAGATGGGAGTCCTTAACCCACCGGGCCTCGAAGGCGTCAATATCATATCCTGTGGCGCCCTTAGCCTCCATGGCCTGGATAGTCTCGGCAAGGGGCTCGAGAGAGGGGTCCGCCACGCCGAGGATAAACTCGTGATCGCGCACATCAATGGCCGAAGAGATAAGACGACCCGACTCGGAGTCGGTGCGGGCAATGACGAGGTTCTCGCATCCCATGACGTCCCACTGGAAGCGCGCGGCGTTGAGACGGTTGATGTGCTCGCCTGTCGGGACAAGGACCTTGCCTGCCAGGTGGCCGCACTTCTTTCCGCCGTGAAGCTGGTCCTCGAAGTGGACAGCCGCCGCGCCATTCTCGGCAAACAGCTTGGCCAGCTTGAGAACAGCAGATAGGCCGCCGTGGCCAGTGTCACCGTCGGCAATGATAGGTCGGAAGTAGTCAACGTAGGGCGTTTTACTGCGCTCCTCGGGTGTCATCTTGCGACGCAGGTCCCACTGCTTCCGGTCGTGCATCGACTGTGCCTTAGCCATGCGCTGCACCTGGTTGGGCACCGTGTTGTAGGGATAGTCGCCAAAGTCAGGAGACACCTCGTTGGTCGTGGTCAGCAGAGATGAGCATGCCCAGCCCGAGAGGTAAAGGACTTCCTGGTGGGGGGCCTGCTGCGTCATCTGCACGGGGTCGATGGCGCCCATGGTGTGGATAGGTTCGCCCTTGGCCTCACGCTGCTGGATCAGGTTAAACAGCTTGGTGGCCATAACAGAGCTCGGGTACGAGATGCTCTGCGTGCCGCGCTTGGACACGACGTCCTCGGCGCTGTAAGGGCGCTTGATGCCACGGTACCGAGGGGACGCCCACCACGCCTCGACCTCTTTGACCTGTGCATCGTACAGTCTATTCTCAGCGTCGCCGGCCTTTTGCGACTCGGGAAGGAGCTGGAAGGCGTCAGAGGGGGTCACGGATGCGGAGAAAGGGTTCGTCCGCAAGGCCATCGGGGTAGTTGTTGAAAGGTGCCGGTGTGTGAGAGCAGGACAGGCAATTGCATGAAATGGCAGTAGAGATCCACGAAGAGCAATTTGTCGCGACGAACGGGCAGCAATAGACAGCATTATGGCGGCGGTACGGGGGTATGTTGTTCGAAGGAGAGGTTTATTTGTTTCACTATGGTAGTGTGGTGGTAGCTCGGTTTACTAAATACTGGAGGCTTCGGATCCGAATGAACAGGTCTGTCTAGTGGGAGGCAAGAGTGCTAGTAGGTTGACCGAGGATGTGGTCCGGCTAGAATTAGGTGAAGAAAGTATCGATAGCTTTCTTCAAAGTTAGCAGCAGTAGTAGAGATTCGGTTAAGCCCACCAATGACAATTCCCCCTCTCGTGACTGGACTTGGCTCGGTGGACTCAGGACCGGGGGGGGGGGCAGTCTTTCCCTAATCCCCCCATGGGAAACTGCCAAAATCGCGGGGCCCATCGGCTTAGTTTCGCGGGGCAAAAGAGCCCACATATCCGGCTTTCCTCGGTTGATAGTAGCACTAACTAGCACTTACAGTAATATGACGGTAGCATGTCGGTTCGATGTCAACCCCTCTTGTCAACCGCAGAAGCGGTACCTCCAAAAAGGGCATATGATTTTGTATCCGACGTATTTGGCATAGTCAGCATGTGTGTGCCAGTATGTGGTTGTGTCTGCTGGACCATGGAAAGTAAGGAAACCCCAAGGTCGCTCCTTCCGTGTCTTCCCCTCCTTCTTTATGTATACTTTCCTGTCTCTCCTCTTTTCATCTTCCTTTTCACTTCTCAAACATCTCCACATATTCTCACAGCTCAATTGTGTGATACCCCCATCAACATCTGTCCAGCTCGCGTCCCCGTCGTCTATTAGCCATGTCGCTTTACATGCGTAGCTCTACACGAGCACTGGGCTCTGCCAAGGTACGCCATTGATGTCAACCTCTCTCTCTGTCTTTCTTCTTCTTTTTGCGATGACGACTAACTCCCAACTTACAAGGCCCTCACAAAACATACCCTCTCTGGCATCCGGGCCTACTCCTCCACCGGCGAGCCAGACCTCAAGACGACACTCAAAGATATTATCCCCGCCAAGCGTGAGCTCCTCAAAAAAGTCAAGTCTCATGCGAACAAGAAGATTGGCGACGTAAAAGTCGAAAACACTCTAGGTGGCATGCGTGGTTTGAAGGCCATGGTATGGGAGGGTTCCGTCCTCGACGCAAACGAGGGCATCCGCTTCCACGGGCGGAGTATCAAGGACTGTCAACGTGAGCTTCCCAAGGGTCGCACAGGCACCGAGATGCTTCCCGAGGCCATGTTCTGGCTGCTCTTGACGGGCCAAGTGCCCTCCACTGGGCAAGTCCGTGGTCTCAGTCGCGAGCTGGCCTCTAAGGCGGATATCCCAGCTTTTGTGACCAAGATGCTCGACGACTTCCCCGTTGACCTGCATCCCATGACACAGTTCGCTATGGCCGTCTCGGCACTCAACTACAACTCCAAGTTTGCCAAAGCATACGAGGGCGGTCTCAACAAGGCCGACTACTGGGGGCCCACATTCGACGACTGCATCGACTTGCTCGCCAAGCTGCCCACCATTGCCGCCAAGATCTACCACAACTCGTACCGGGGGGGAGGTGCTCTTCCCGCCTCGGTAGACCTCGAGCAGGATTGGTCGTATAACTTTGCCGCCATGCTGGGCAAGGGCGGCAAAGAGAATGAGAACTTCCAGGATCTCCTGAGGCTGTACCTCGCCCTGCACGGCGACCACGAAGGCGGCAATGTGTCGGCACATGCCACGCACCTGGTGGGAAGCGCCCTTAGTGACCCCTTCCTGTCTTACAGCGCCGGTCTTCAAGGCCTTGCCGGCCCCCTCCATGGCCTGGCAGCCCAGGAGGTACTCCGGTGGATCCTGCAGATGAAGGATGCCATTCCATCGTCATACTCGGACACCGACGTGCACGACTACCTATGGACAACACTCAACTCCGGCCGTGTGGTCCCGGGGTACGGTCACGCCGTCCTGCGCAAGCCAGACCCTCGCTTCGAAGCGCTGATGGACTACGCCGCCACTCGACCAGAGATCGCACAAGACCCTGTCTTCCGCCTTGTACAGACCAACAGCCGCATCGCCCCGGATGTCCTCAAGAAGCATGGCAAGACAAAGAACCCTTACCCCAACGTCGACTCCAGCTCTGGCGTGCTCTTCCACCACTACGGCTTCCACGAGACCTTGTACTACACTGCCACCTTTGGTGTGTCGCGTGGTCTGGGACCACTTGCCCAACTCATCTGGGATCGTGCCCTTGGCCTGCCCATTGAGAGGCCCAAGAGCATCAACCTCGAGGGTATACTCAAGCTAGTTGAGGGGCAATAAAAGGTGTATTTAGAAATGAGGCTAAACGACGCAAATGAACATTATATACCACGAAAGGGCCTCTTATTAAACCCCCGGTGTTGTAGCGGGTAATATAAACATGCACATAGATAAGTTGCGTGAAAGTAGATGAAGAAAATCTTTGTCCAAAGATTCCAGTATGACGGTGTATATCGCCCCTAGCAAGGGGAATTGCGTGTATATAAGATATTGGACTTGCGCCGGTCCCAGAAATAAAAAACAAATGACGAGAATGAAAGCGATAGTATCAGTAGCACCAAAAAAAACCCACAACAGGAAACAAATTTCTACCCGGAGCAAGGAGGCGCTCAGATAACGAAAACACCGCAAGACAGGGACACTTCAGTCATCTCAATTGCGAGCCGAGAGCTTAGTATCCGTATCCCCGATGAGGCGAGTTGGACTGCTCGGGACTCGCGGGACCGCCGCCCTGCATGCGGCTAGCGCCGTAAACGGACTGGGGACCAGGCGATGAGCGGCCCATGCCGGGGCTGGGAGACCGCACGGAGCTGAAGGGCGGAGGAGGCGAGGCAAAGCCGTTGTTGGAGGGGTTGGGAGACGGGAAATTGCTGAGCGAGGGGCTGCGGGGGCTGTGAGGACCCCCGGCGGCGGCAGCGGCACCCGCACCTACGGCAGCTCCAGTTGCTCCAGAGACCCAATGCCTGTCGGTGTCGATGGAGGAGGCCGAAGAGTTGACGGCGTTGTAGGAGCTGGAACCGATGATGCCCCCGCCCTTCATCTCGCGCGGGTTGTACTCGGTGCTTTGTTCGGTGAAGCTGTCCGGGTCGACGCCCTGCTTTTGGAGCCTCTCCATATCTAGACGCTCGGCCTCAGTTTGTTGGAGGGCCATGCGGGCCTCGGAGGCGCCACGGCGGCGCTGCTTGATGCAGTAAAAGATGAGGGCGGCGATCATGACAGCGGCGACGGCGGATCCGCCGGCGTAGATGGCAATCTTGCCGGCTGTGGGGAGCTCGTTGAACTTTTGATTGAGAGACTTGTGGACCTTTTCCTTTTTGTGGATGGCCTTGTAAGCAGTCGAGTTGCCGCTGTGTGCTTCGTTAGTACGAGTAACTATGAGGATGTGGCGTAATAAAGCCTCTTGAGTGTGTGTGTGTGCACTTACGCCACAATGTCGATGCTTTCCCAGGAACCAGAGTTATCACCCCAGACGTACTCCTTGCCAGAGCTGTAGTCCTCGACGAAGACGTTCTGGACGAACATGTCATAGGGGCCCTTGGAGTAGTCAATGTCGCCACCGGCCCACTGTCGAGTCCAGTAGTTGAGCGAGGAGTCACCGCCGGCCCAGATACCCAGACTAATGCGCATGGGAGTCTGGGGGTAGACGTCGGTGCCATTGTCGAGGGTGCAGTTGGAGGCCTCGATGGTGCGGGTGAGGACCTCGTTTATGTAGAAGTCAATTTTTTCCTTGGTCCAGTCGATGGTGTAGTTGTGGTATTCGTCCTGGACCGCCACATCCATGTCATGGTAGTTGCCGTTTGTCCAATCCTCGATACCCTTGCCGTAGAAGTTGGTGGTGGCACGGGGGTCGTTGCCGATGAACTCCCAGTCAATCTCATCAAGGTCGTCGCTCAGAAGCATCATGGAGCTGACGACGCCAGCGCCCGTCGAGGCCTTGAGGTGGAACTCGACACGGCCAAAGAAGATGTAGAACTTAGTGCGGATGGTCGGCGAATCACCCTTCTTGGTAATGGTGAACTTGGCGCCCGTTTCAGCGTCGTAGTCAATGGAGCCGACCTGGTTCTCCCACAGCTGACCGTCGGGTGTCGAGTTGAAGGGCCATCGAAATTCGGTGCCAAAAGCCGGGTTGGGGTCGCAGTCGTCGCCCTTGTAAGGGTTGCAGTCAGATGTGGTCTGGGCAAAAGCGGCACCCAGAAGGGCGGCCGTGGCTAGGAAGGATTTCCAGACCATTGTGAGACGGCTTGGTTCTTGATGAGACGGGCGTTGATGGTCGAACGAGAAAAGCGTTTGCCGGCAGGTGGCCGGCGGGTTTGTCGTTTGCTGGTATAAGGCTGCGTTGGATACGGTTGCGCGTCGACTTGTATATATGTCTGCCTGTGAAAAAAAAAGAAAAAAAAAAAGACTATAGGCACCAAGGGGGCAAGCCAGAGACGAAGATTGGCCGTGTGATGAGTTACCAACGAACGAGCGAATACTGCGGGAAAAAGAATGACTAGGTGGAAAAGGAGCGTAAAGGAATGAAACGACCGAGATGGAACTCGGCCAAGAGTCCGAGGGAAACGAGTGGCAAGGTGCACAATATTGGAATAATAACGACGGAAAAAATATCAGAACGGGGGAAAACAAGAAAGGAAGGGGAAGAAAGGAAGAAGAGGTCGGTCACTGGTCCCTATCGACGGCCAGACACTGACTGGCTGGAAGGGTCCGGAGTAAAAAGGAGTAAACCATAGTATTAAAAATACATAATAATACGGGTTAAGAAAGTAATACTCCTAGCGGTATTACGCACTGGGCGGGGCGGGAACGGCACGCGTGGTGAAAGTCTGGGCAAGTTGAGCATTCCTGGCTAGATTTAGGTCGGTCTACTCCATACTGGTAGTAATAATGATACCTGCATAAGCTTGGTATTGGTAAGGTAGCGTAGCACTCTTCGTAATAGTACCTACATGCAGTATCAGTATTCGCTCTTGCTATCTTGTACAAGGTAGTGGTCATTCTAGTCATCATCACCATAAACTTCCAGTACATGTAGACTTCCAGCAACATTCATAGTCATGGCTATCTCGATGGGTTACATGGAGGGGACCTTGAACTGTGCAGCGCTCTGTAAATACGGCGATATTGCCTGTCCTGGCACACTGAAGCCCACTGCCTGTCCTCTATGAAGAGCGAGGCAAGAGGCTTCTTCCCTTTGCTACAGGAAAGAGTCAGGTAGGGGGCGAATTCAAGTTGCAATTTCCCAAAAGCCTTGGCAGCAGCACTGGCGGAAGCTTGAACAACAGAATTAACCAGCAGGTGCGACGGGAGGGGCAGAATCAATGCTGATAAGCCCTCATTAGCCAATTTGACGTTCAGGCTTGCCAGGGATGCAGGTACGGGTGGGTCTAAGTAGCCAGATTAGGATTAGTGTCATGAGATGAGAGAAAAGTAAACAGGGGGTTGGGGTTTGCTCTTTTTATCGGCATCTGCTGCCATGGCCCCATGGCTCGTTCGACAGCGAGCGCGCCTTCCTTCCCTCCTTCCTGCCTCCCTGCCTCCTTGCCTGCACCTGCCAATGACCATCCCTTGTTCTTGCACCGCACCGCATCACACTTTCCCTCGCCGACGGCGCCCGCTGTACTGCTGCTACTGCTACTGCTACCATTTGCCACACAGTCCATACGGACCATCGCTGTTACTCGTCTTGTACTCATTCAATGTACGTACTCTCACTCCGTCGTACATGTATACCACTCGCTCGTATGTTATTACCGCATCGCCAGATTAGACACTTCAACTTTCGTCAACTCCCTCTATTGCATCATGGTCTTCTCGCCAAGAACCATCACATCAGTACCCCATACTGTAGGAGCTGTACAGGTATTATGAGTCTCTTCTACATCCGTCAAAGAAATTGCCATGGGCCTGAATTGAATTGTTGCATATACCTCTAGGCGCTCTTGTGCAGTCTGCAGCAATTGATCCGACGTGCCGATCCCTTCAACTTCTTTATCTGGTGCTTTGAACAACCACCAACCAGAGGACGGCAATGTGGCGGCATGTCGGCCCCAATAATGACAATGGGCGAACCGTTGTTGGTGTATTTGGTGCCGATCAAACCTGCTAATCCATTAACCATGGTCCATGAACCACTTTTCTTGGTGGTTTTTTTCTTCTTGCCTTTCCTTTTCCTGTTCTGTTCCGTCAGAGCACAAGGGTTGGGCTCATCTTTATTATTCTCGATGCCAACGAAGGGGGGGGGTTGGTCAAAAGCCTACTAACCACAAAAGACAACATGCGACAATCAATACAAGACACTTAAAGGCACAGCTAGAATTCCAAACCACCTAACAGCCAACCCTTGTCCCTTCAGGCCTCTCTCCTCCCCGTTGACACTACGGAGTATTGTTACGTTGTGGTAATATTACTCGCCTCCTGGCTCGCCATGCTCGGATACACACTCCCTCCCCTATTCCCTATTAGTAGTCGTGGGGCAACAAGGTCCAGCCCGTTCTCTCATCATAGTCCTCCCTTTCTGTCCCTTTTTGGCCCTTTCCAAGAGTACGGACAATGGGTTGCCCGCTCTTGTCTGCCTTGGCATCTAACATTGCCATGTTGAGACCCCAGAAACGTGATTCGCATGTGTCTATATTTGAGCCGGCGGCCCGTGACGCGCGGCCACAATAACGGAACTTCGGCGCATGTGTTATTATAATCAAGTGGGAGTAATATTTATTCCGTCAGATTCAGACGACTTTTTTCATTGTCAACGGGCCACGGTGCTAGGTTTTATACGGTTTCGCATCAGAGACAAGACCCATAATCCAGCCAGTCACACGGTCCGTTGTAGGTATCTCCTTTGACATGTGGGGCCTCCCCAGAACAAGGGATCATACGGCGTTAGAGGGAAAAAATTAGACAAAGAGGGGTTTTTATTCATTGTGCTGATGGGATTGAATTTAACCACAGATCTAAACGTATCGGTGTTGACTGGAATTCCAGGGCGTAATGTTCGTGCAGTTGTACCCGCCATCATCGCGCGATCCCGAGACGCCACTTGGGTCGTGCAGAGTATCAATACGCAAGTTGATATCAAGTGACACTCGTATGAGTAGATGTATGTCCCTTGGCCTCGGGCTGCCATATTGCCTGACTCTTTGCCTCTTTCTCTCGACTTGCTCGACTCAAGAGCTGTGACCACTTTTCATGCAGGGTCCACGTCACTTCACATGTGACTCGACAGCTCGGGTTTCATGGGACAATGTAAGGGAGAAGAAGCGAAAAGGACTATTATATATATATAATAGATGGTCAAGGGATATATCACTATGGTTCTTTCTTTCTTTTGCAAAGATCTCACGAAAGAAAGAAGCGGAAAAAGACAGACGGGTTTTATTTATCCAAAAGCCAAAGATCAACAGCCCGTCCCCTTCCTCTGCTGAGGGTATGTTTATGTGTTCTGATACCAGTCTTTCCACCATTTTTCTCTCTCGATTACCACTCTAGGTCTTATCTGGCTTCCGTATACGATGACGCCTCCCGATATAACTGTTAAATAATGAGGAAAAAAATCATAACAAAGGGGAATAAGAAAAAAGAACAAAAACTCCTGAGGCGCGACATGCCGTCTGTCCTTCAAGGTGGCTACCCAAGGTATCCAGAAAAGAAAATAATGCAAAGGATGTACAGCGAAATAAGAGGTAAAGGGTAGGAAGAAGGAAGAGGTAGACTAGACAAGAAAGACTGTGCCTGCGTGTCATGGGGGAGGAGATGAAAAGGTGGCTGTGGGGAGATATTATCTAGCAAAGGTTGTTATGTGGCCAGTATTATAGCCTCGTTCGAAAAGGGCTTCTTTTTGTTGTCGGTTGGCGTCAAACCGGAGATGAGGGTGAAGAGGAGGACGGGAGGAGTTGCACATGTTTACATGATGACGCACTTGTTCTCCTCACTCTCCTTCTTGACGCTGAGAGCGACACGCGCAGCCTCGGTAAAGGCCTCATTGACGCCACGATTCCTCATGGCTGAACACTCGAGATAGCGCAGGGCGCCTATACGCCTGGCCACCTCGAGGCCCTGGTCGTAGCTGATTGTCGGCTTCTTCTCACGCGGCTGACCATTCTCGTCGACATTGTTGGTCTCGTCGTCGTCATCTCCCTCGCCCTGTTCGCGCAGGTCGCACTTCAGGGCCACGAGCACCAACTTGACGCCAGCACAGTTGTCAGCAATCTCGCCGACCCACTTGGACTCGACGTTTTCCAGGGAGTCGTTACTGTCGACCGAAAAGCAGAGCATGATGAGGTCGGTGTCGTCTTGGAGGGGTCATGTTCGTTAGCCTGCGCGGGTGAACAACCGAGCTTCGGAGAGGGGGCCCATCTTACCGTAGGATAGAGACCTCAGGCGGTCAAACTCTTCCTGGCCGGCCGTGTCCCACAGCGAGAGTTCAATGTGGACATTGTCGACGAAAATGTCTACAAAAGCGTTAGCATTCGGGATGCCGCCACGCGCAAGGGTGTACATTTGTAGACATACCGTGGACATAGTTTTCGAAGACGGTCGGCTCGTAGACGGTCGGGAAGTATCTATTTAATGGTAGATATTTGTCAGTAAGGAGGATCACTAGGCACATCAATCACAGGAGGGATGAAAAGGAAGAAATATACCCTCGGGTGAAGACGTTGAGCAGCGACGTCTTGCCGCTGGCACCGTCTCCCCTATGCTCGAATGTCAGTAAATCGGCAGATCCGGAAATGGTCGTCGGCTCAGGGGGGGGGGGGGGCAAGAAACATATCGTACAGGAGAACGAGCTTTCGCTGGGCAGTCTTTGAACCACCGCAGAGAGGCATAGTTGCTATGTTGGCGTTTTTTCTTTGTGATGGTGTGTCGTCCAAGAGGCGGTGGTGTCGATCAAGGAGAGATATTGGTGATAATCGGTGGAGGGGTGGTGCTCAGGAGATATGCGCGCGCGTACGATGGATGACGTTTGGATTCGTTATTACTGATGTTATTTACCACTACTTAGCAGTAGGGGAAGAAGGAACAAAGGAGAGATGTCGAATGATGGGCGATGGGCGACGGCCGAGAATGAAGAGACAGATGGCGACAGGAATGGTGCTGGCAGTGTTGATGACGGCGGTGGATGGAATTTGAAGTGGGAGATTGAAATTGGAAATGAGATTGGCAAAGGCCACCAGAAGAAGAGCAGCTGCCGGCGACGCACGGGGTTTAGTGACCAAGTTCCCAAGGGGAATGTTATTTGACCAATGAGGGCCCGAAGATGGCAGGGATACGATGTATGACTTATGGAGGTTGTTAATACTGCTAATAAGTACTACATTATAGAAAGTAATATAACGAATCTTTCCTACTATTGCGTAGAAGTAACAGTATAGGAGGGAATGAGGTATAGAGAAGAGATAATACATATATAGTTTTGCGCTTAGCCTCCACTAACTTTTCCCCGGCAACGAGATTCGGATCTTAGAAGAAGAAAGATCGAGTTGGATACTAGGTACTAGCACTAGAATGATAGTACGGGTAGTAGTAGTGAATTGTAACAGTAAAAGGGAACTAGATCATAGGAGCAAGGTACGAAGTATTATAGAGTACATTTACCCTGTTGATCTTGTCGATCCGGTAAATCACCACCCTGAATGATGAACAAATCCTTTGTAGTAGGAATGAGAACCGGCATGTTTGGCAAGACACGTTTGACGGGACACGTGTATAGTAGTAGCAATACCTAAAAGTACTGCTCGTAGTTAGAGCTAGGTATTTAGTACAACTCCGTACTGTCAACATAACCAACCCCTTGGATATGGCAAAGTGAGCTTAATCACTTTTGACAACTTAATAAGCACTGTGATATCAAATATAGCGTATCAGTGATTCACCAACAAAGATTTGATGAATAATGAGGTAAAGGCTGAAGGGAAAGAAGAACAAAGGAGGATCACCTCATATATACGCTGTTTGACTTTTCTTTTCCCTGGCAGTTGACCTCTACTTACCATCATACTTGCTTACCACACCTCCATATATAGTAACGGTATCAATGCTTATCTCGCTTGCTGTTGCTCTATTTTTATTTCACATCTGTTTCTGTCATACATGCAGAAAGATAATCGGCAATAAACGATCATCTTAGTCCAACAAGGGTTCTCCTCTCTCTCTCTCTCTCCATCCGGGCCGGCTTGGCCTGCATTGGTATTGATATCGAGCGGGACTGATGATGGCCCCTCCGGCAGCCCTATTGCGGAAATGTCCACCGCGCCCTACATTCAACTACAAACAATCTTCCTTATGGATACAGAAAAGAGCTATAATAATCATTGCCCATATATTATCCAACTCCGAGCGGAGGCTTCCGCCATGTATTACCGTCGCTTTTAGGCGGAAATGGCCGGCAGTCACTATCACCATGCGCCCCTGTCATTGTCATCGGATCGGCAGTAGCGAGATAGGAACACGCGGTTTGAGTTGATGATTCTCATGGCCACGACACAGAGTTTCCTTCCCAACTTGCAATGAAGCTTTCAAGGGAAACCCAGTTTATTACTGATCGCGTGAGGATGATGGGAACGCAGCCGTCTCATCGGCGACGGGCTACAATGTGGGGAGTGAAACGACTGGAAGCCATGTCGACGACTAATCATGATAACACCATATACAGATGCCGGCAAAGACCAGGCTAAGGGCAACGGCGACAAGTCTCAACCTGTCACCGCCAAGTATGGAGATTCTCTCGTCTACGACCTCAACATGACGATGCGTCTATCCCAATTTGGCCACGCTTCAATCATACCTGCACTGCCATTCCCTGTATTTTACTGTTCATGTTCGCCAACATTGCCTATCCGGCTGATAGCGGCGACCCGCAATGAGCCCTTTTACTCGACCAGGACATCCAACCGATAACGAACGAGACCAGTATAATCACCCACTTTCCCACACTCGCTTTCCTTGTCCGTGCCTTTGTGCCGACTACCATGAATCTGGTCGGGGCGAGTTAACGTTGTGTCGACCATGCGAATAGATAAGGTCTTTCTCTGATTTGTTTGTTTCTTTCCGTCCAGTTACTCGGTATAATGAATTCCATGACAGGTACAACGCGGGCCGGTCGGTCCAACAAAGTTTCCATTTACGGAAGTGGGTCGGTTTCCTGTATCGATCGCTTCTCCATCTCGTACTAACAAAAAGATCCTTTCTATGGAGGCTGAAGCCCCTCCCATCACAATAGTCGAGATAACGCCTGGACCTTCCAGTCCACAATGTCGCTCGCGCCCTATTGTCGATAACAGACAGGGACACAGCAATGAGAGGTGTGAGGTGGCGGTGGGGTGGTAAGCGGGCAGGGCAGACCGTTGTCCGTGTAGCCTCAACGCTTATACACAGAGTATCCATTTATCATGCCCCGTCTGTTGGTGCGCGTACAATTGGTAAGTGCAAGGTCGACCCGATAAGAAAGTCATGTCTCTCGAGTAAATAAAAGAGGCCGGCCCTAACTGGCCTCAAAGTATCCAATGCTTCTTTGCTATCGGTAGCTGCTCGATTGACCCTTCAGTCAATGCCAATCACGCCGGACTGAAACCCTCGCACAACCCCAAGACATGGTCAAGTATATCCTCGCCGTGAGCCTTTGGGCTACGGCCTCTCTCGCCACCGCCGGACGGTCCACCCTGCCCATTGGCCTCGAGACCCGGACCGAGCTTGGTTCCCGTCTGGCAAACGTCCACGTTAGCCGTCGTCAGCCCGTCAACGGCACCGTCACCTATACTTACGGCTCCTGCAACTCCAACTCGCAGCCCGAGGCGCACCACACCATTGCCCAGTCTGACGATGCCGACGCCTCCCGTCTAGTCTGGATCATCCCCGAAGAGGCCACTGAGGACGGCTGTATTGCCGCCTGGAGTGACTCGGGAAAGCTTGTGGGCCGTAGCAGGCCGCAGAGGCTTCAGAGCGGTTCTAATATGAAGCGTCAAGTCCGTACGTGAAAAGAAAGAAACGAAGAAGAAGAAGAAGAAAAGAAAAGCTCTTAGACATTTATACGCGTTCCACGAGACCATGGGGGATCTTTGAACTAACAAGCACAAAATCGTACTGCAGAGTCCATCGCCATGAACAATGCCAGCGGCATTGATGCCTCTGGTCCGTGGTTCGATGGCGTCGCCCTCCTCAAGAACAAGGAGCCCATCCCTGTCAACGTGGCCAAGGCCAAGAAGAAGGACATTGGAATCGTCGGCGCCGGCATGTCCGGTCTGATGACGTTCCTCGTCTTGCACCAGGCCGGCCTAGAGAACATCCACATCGTCGAGGCGGGTAACCGTCTTGGCGGTCGCGTCCACACCGAATATCTGTCTGGCGGGCCGTTTGACTACTCGTATCAGGAGATGGGCCCGATGCGCTTTCCTCACACGTGGATCAATCCAGAGACCAACAAGTCGCATGACATCAACGACCAGAAGCTCGTCTTCTCGCTGGCAGACGAGATGAACCGCATCAACAAGCACGACAGGAACCTGAGTGTCGACTTCATCGAATGGATCCAGACCAACGAGAACGGCCTGTACTACTACGATGAGTTCAAACTCCCGACCAACCTGCCGCCCACGCAGGCCCAGGTGGCGGCCAACTCATCACTGGCCGAGACCTCCGTCCTGGACGCGTCGACGGAGAAGCTCCAGGCCGAGGTTGACAGCATCATCCCCGGCCCGGAATTCCTCCAGCAGATTGCCGCCAACATCTTCAAGGCGCACAAGTCGTGGGTAGACTCTGGCCTGGGCGGCCTAGGCGGCGATCAGTGGTCCGAATTCGCCTTCATGGTCAATCACCTGCACGCGAGCCTCAATAGCACGGACCAGCTGGGCGCCACGGCCGTGGGGTGGTGGGACGACCTGTACGAGGGCCTGTACTTTGACAGCAGCACGTGGAAGACAATTGACGGCGGGCTGAACCGGCTCCCGCTGTCGTTCCACCCGCTCGTGGACCCCGTCACCACCTTGGAGCGCAAGATCGAGCGCGTGCGCTTCGAGACGAACGACTCCGTCACGCTGCAGTGGCGCCACAACTACACTGACAGCGAGTTCCAGAACTCGACCTACGACTACGTGGTAGTGTCGGCTCCCTTCAGTGCCGTCCGCCAGTGGCGCCTTCCCCACCTCCCCGCCACCATTACCAACGCCATCGCCAACCTCCCGTACAGCCCGGCCTGCAAGGTCGCCCTCGAGTACAGCGAGCGCTTCTGGGAGCACTACGAGAACCCCATCCACGGCAGCTGCAGCACCGTCACAGACATCCCCCTCATCGGCTCCATCTGCTACCCTTCCTACAACCTCAACGCCACCGGCCCCGCCTCCATCCTCGGTAGCTACATCAGCGGCGACACCATAGCCTCCACCCTCAGCAGTATGTCCGAGGCCGAGCACGTCCAGTACGTCCTCGATGCCATGTCCGAGATCCACGGAGAGCACACCCGCGAACTGTACACCGGCAACTATAACCGCCGCTGCTGGAACCTCGACCCCCTCGAGATGGCCGGTTGGGTCAGTCCTACTATTGGCCAACACCAGCTGTACATTCCCGAGTACTTTAAGACGTACAATAACGTGAGTCTACCTTCTTTGGGCTCGCTCTTTGCTTCATTGGAAACCTTTTCTGACTTGTGGATAGATGATCTTTGTTGGCGAGCACACCTCTTACACGCATGCTTGGATTGCCTCGGCTCTCGAGTCGGGTATCCGTGGCAGCATCCAGCTTCTCCTTGGTAAGCTCCCTGTTTATCTATGTTTACCCTGGGGGTGTGAAACTAACCTGGTACAGAGCTTGGTCTGGTCGACGAGGCCAAGGCTGCTAACGAAAAGTGGATGGGTCGCTTTATCCAAGTGGTATGTTGACTTGCATGCCTCGCTGTGTTACATGAAATGCCCGGCACGACGCTAACACATCGACGACAGTAACGGAATTTATCATGCCTCTACAACGTTAAAAGAACACCGTGGTTATATAAATCTAGTTCATAGACAGATGTAAATATTACTACTCACTAAACATATCTTTGTCATCATTTTCACTACCGGAGTATTGTGGAAATAAAGCCCCAGTCAGGTCCTTTCTCAAGGCAAATTGTAGAGCCAGTCCATTTTGATGTAGGCAACTTGCTGGATGTGAACTAGTGGACATGTGCTGTACCCTGGAATGCGTAGAATAGATGCACCAATTCAAATTCCTAGGCCAAGTCCTTCTTAATGCTAGGCCCTTGGTTTTTTGTATGCTTCAAAATGTGAAGTCATTTTGCTAATTGATTTCACAGCGATCTTAATAGATATACATATGATTTTTCTTGTCCTGTATAGGTAAGTCAATCATCATCCCTCTGGTACCCTTGCCTACCCCGTCCCATCCTTTCGGCCAAATTCATGTTCCCGGCCTTCTTGTGCAAGCCATTGACAAACCCTCGCTCCCCTCCCCTCTGGCGGCCCCGGTCGTCCGCCTCACGTGCCGCGCGCTCTCGTTCATCTAGCATGGCCAGACGCTTTTGCCGGTCATCGTCCAGATCCTCGGCCGCAGATTGCATGGCCGCCAGCTTGCGTGCACGCTCAGCCTCCTCGTCACTGTCGTCTGCTGTTGTTGCAGAGGGTTTGCCACCACCACTGTCATTTCTCCGGTAGCTCTGGTTGCGGGGTCGGCCGTTGGTCCCGCCGCGTGTGTCGTCTGTCGGTGGTCTGTCGTAGCGACGTGGCGAGACAGGACGGCGTGAACGGCTGTCATGGGCACGCCGATGGTCCTCTTCGCGGGGCCGCGACTCACGCTGACGGTCATCGTTCCTGCGACGGTCGTCTTCTTGGGAGCGTGAGTCGCGCTTGCGGTTGTGGTCACGGCGACCACCGCGGTGTTCGTGTCGTGACGACCGTCGCTCATCGTCTCGCTCTCTGTAAGTCCTCCTCTCGTGATCGGGCTCGTCCCGGCTCCGCCGAGGCTCCCGTTCGTCAGAGTGGTCTCGGTGGTGACGCCTCCGGCGATATTCGTCGTGCGGACTCCTCGATCTTGAGGGCGAGAGCCTGCGCCGTCCCCGCCTATCTCCCTCGTCGTCCGAGTCACCGCGGCGGTGTCTACGGTGTCCATGCCTGTGAGAGTCTTCCTTCCTTCTGCTGGACTTTTCCTTGGGGTCTTTGGCGGTGTCGGCGGTTCCTACCGCCGAAAGTAGTTGACGGCGTCGGATGGGGTCATTCATCATGGCATCGTAGGCGGCCTGCTCCTGTCGCTTGATGGCGAGGAGGGGGTCGTCGCGGATCTTGGAGGCTGTGTCGCGAGCACTGTTTGCATTTTGCAGCGCCATGAAGCTCTCCCCCCCCGTCTGCTTCGCCAGCTTTTTGTGATCATCGCCCTTGATGAGGTTGTCGATACGTCGCTTGCCTAGCAGGTAGGCCTCCGTCTCCTCAGATGTTCCTGTCTGCCCATCCGTGGGACCCTGGTACATCCAATCTACTCGGTCGACGCGCTTCCTGCCGCCAGATGCCTCGAACTGACGCTGGATCTCCTCCTTAGCTCGCTCCTGTTTGATTTCCTCGATGCGCTCGCGCGTGCGCTTGCGCTCAGCGATCTCTTTTTGCTCTGCATCGAAGACAGCTGCCTGGTTCCGGCGCAGAGTCGGGTGGAACGACTTTTTCAGGTTGAGATCTCCTCCACCCATGATGTTGAATTGTTGAGGTTGTTATTGGTGGTGGGGAGAAAGAAGAGGTTAAGAGCAGATGGGGAGTCTGCTGTTGACATTAGTTAGAATGACTTTGGTCGCTCGGACAGAGGGTACAATGTGGCTGTGGTGCGGCGAATGGAAGTGGCTGGGACGGGACCCGATTTTTCTTCTCCATACGCGCCACATGCTCGTACAAAGATGGCCTATACAATCAATATCCCACAAAACGGTTCCATAGATGCGTGTACGAGTCATAAGGATGGATTATTTTTCAGGAGCCGTTCGTTATATATGAAAAGACAATTGAAATTGTTGTGTGGCATAAGTGCGCAAGGCTACAGTCATTCATCATTGACCTCTATTGTACATCCATGAGTCTATTTGATCCATAGTAGGCTGTGATATCCCAAAAACCAGTCTCTGCTCTCCCCCCCCCCCTCCGATACATGTATAATACACACAGAGTTCTTTGCGTTCCACTACCTGGACCCCATTACCAGCTAGCCCTCTTGACACCAGGGAGGTTGCCAGCCATGGCCTCCATACGGAAGTTGTACTGCGATCGGTCAGCATATCTGGACGTCCTTGTGGTCTCTCGATCCTTCAAGCGGGCTTACTCGGGTCATCTTGAAGTCGCGGAAGACACCACGTGTGCGTCCGCCCATGATGCATCGGTTTCGGATCTGGGTGGGACGCGTGTAGTTGCTCATCTGCGACAGTTGGAGTTGGGCCTCGGCGCGCATGCGGGCGGGGAGAGTGGTGTTGCGGATTATGTATCGGAGAGCTTGCCTTCACATTAAAGAAAACGTTAGTAAAAAGTTTGCTTTGCCGAAGAGACAGGGAGTTGCGAATGAGGCTCGCGAAAGGAAAGGAAAGGAAAGGGGGTAGACGTACCTCTCGGGCTCGAAGCGCTCAACGACGGTGCGCTTGGTATGGTCACGGACGACACGAGACCCGACAAAGCAGCCAAGATCAAGGGTCTTGGCACGCCAATGCGACATGGTGGGCGAGCGGTTACGTTGACGGATATGGGATGTCTGTTGATATGGTCGTAGCTGTGGTGGTGATGGATCGATTAGTGTTGAGTGAGCAACCTGGGAGATATGAATACCCGATGATTAGCCGCCAGCTTCCTTAGCGCGCCGAGAATGCGATTAGCGGAGGATTACTTAATATTCTGAATACTCGTATTGATGCTACGACAATCCGCTCCCTGGTACTAATTAGGCAACCTCCGCACCGCCTAACGGCTCCCGTGGCGTGGGGTTGGTTGATGGCTCTCTACTCGTACATGTACGAATACGCTGTATTAATATGTAGTCAGGGGTCTTTTAAGCTATACGAGGATTGATAGTAATACTCTGTAGTCATAGTGATATTATGGCTTGAAGATACTTTTACTTCCTACCAATATGTGCCACGGTCGTAAGTCACTTTCTATAACGAATACGTATTTCCGCTGGTAAGCAGTAAAACTTAAATAAGTATGGAGCCCCTGTGTGGCCTTGCCATACTGCCTAGCCTCTAGGAAGCTCAACCAGAACCCCTAGACTTGGCACATGTTTCCCGGGCCTCATCTCTTTTTTTTTCCCCTTTCATCAACATACCTTGAGATTCCCTTCTTTCTACGCATTTTTTAGACCTACTTTCCTTTCCCCTTTCTTCTCTACTCCAACTGCCTGCATGGACTGACTCCTTCTCTCCCCCGTCGCATCGAACACGCATAGATAGCTCTGCTTCTCACTAGGCCGCCGACAACTCCACCTCCCAGCTCAGGCCAGTCATCATGGCCGCCGAAGAGAGTAAACAGGGTCTGCTCGATCCACACGCGGCGGACCCTTCCTCCATGGATGGCGAATGGTCGGGGCACGAATCCTCCGAAGACATTGAGCTCGAGTCGACCAGCTCCATCCCCCCGAGGAAGCGATTCGGCGCCTTTCCCGACGTCTCGGACCGAATCCAGGTCCTACTGCGACCAGCCGACGGCAGATCCTGGGGGCGCATCGCCCTCATCTCCTTCGGAGCCCTCGTCATCTTTCTTGTTCTGAGCGGTGGCGGGCTATTCAGATATAAGAAGCACAACAGCACTGACGCTGTCGGCAAACATGATCGCAGCTGGTCGCCACCCTGGTATCCTAGCCCCCGGGGAGGCACTCTTAAAGAGTGGGAATCAAGCTACCAGAAAGCCTCCGAGTTAGTGTCCAAGATGACACTGCCAGAAAAGGTCAACATCACGACGGGAACCGGGTGGAAAATGGGCCCAGCCGTGGGAAACACTGGTCCGGCCCTGGGTGTTGGCTTCCCCAGTCTCGCTCTACAGGATGGTCCCCTGGGCATCCGCCTGGCTGACAACATCACTGCCTTCCCTGCCGGCGTCACCGTCGGTGCCACGTGGAACAGGGAGCTCATGTACGACCGCGGCAAGGCACATGGTCTCGAGGCTCGCGCCAAGGGAATCAATGTCATCCTCGGACCCTCGGTCGGTGCGTTTGGTCGCATCCCCGCAGGCGGTCGCAACTGGGAGGGCTTCGGGCCGGACCCATACCTCCAGGGCGTGGCGTGCTCCGAGACGATTCGCGGCATCCAGGATCAGCATGTCATGGCCACCATCAAGCACTTTATCGCCAACGAGCAAGAACACTTCCGCCAGCCTCACGAATGGGGCCTCGAGAACGCCATTTCCAGCAACCTCGACGACCGCACCCTACACGAGATCTATGCTTGGCCCTTTGCCGATGCTATCAAAGCTGGCGTTGCCAGCGTCATGTGCTCCTACAACCAAGTCAACAATTCATACGCCTGCGCCAACTCCAAGCTCCTCAACGGCATCCTCAAGGACGAAATGGGCTTCCAGGGTTTTATCATGTCCGACTGGTTGGCCCAGCGCTCCGGTGTTGACAGTGCCTTGGCCGGCCTCGACATGTCCATGCCTGGCGACGGTCTCAACTGGGAGGACGGTAAATCCCTATGGGGCCCCAAGCTTACTCAGGCTGTTCTCAATGGCACCCTCCCCATGAGCCGCCTTGACGACATGGTCACTCGAATCGTCGCTTCCTGGTACCAGCTTGGCCAGGATGACAAGGAGCTCTTTGATAGAGAGGGTCCCAACTTCTCCTCTTTTAGCAAAGAGAGGATGGGCGTGGAGGCCCCTGGTAGCCCCTCACCCCAGACCAAGGTCGAGGTCAACAAGTTTATTGACGTAAAGGAGGACCACGACAAGGTGGCATATCGTGTTGCTCTTGAAGGAACCGTCCTTCTGAAGAATGACGGTATACTCCCCATCACCCGCAACGGCGAGATAGGCCTTGACAAGAAGAAGAAGGAAGGCCGGAAGCTCCGCGTTGGCATCTTTGGCGAGGACGCCGGTCCTGGCGATGGGCCTAATGCTTGCCCCGACCGTGGATGCAACCAGGGCACGCTGGGCTCTGGGTGGGGCAGCGGCGCCGTCGAGTTCCCGTATCTCATCACGCCTGAAGAGGAACTGCGCAAGGGCTTCAACGAGAGTGAAGTTGACGTCTTTTCCTTCCTCGACAACGACCTGAAGAATCTGAAGAATGCGACGGCTCTAGAGGATCGAGACATCTGCTTCGTGTTTGCAAACTCGGACGCTGGCGAGGGCTTCATATCGTGGAATGACGTCAAGGGTGACCGCAACGACCTGCACCTACAAAAGGGCGGTGACGATCTCATCAAGGAGGTTTCTAAGCGTTGCGGCGGCGGAAAGGGCTCGACCATTGTCGTCTACCATTCCGTTGGCCCTGTCATTGTGGAGGAGTGGATCGATAAGCGTGAGGTCAAGGGTGTCTTTGCGGCCCACCTCCCGGGCCAGGAAAGCGGCCGTGCGATTGCGGCGCTCATATTCGGCGACGAGGGCCCGAGCGGCAGGCTACCGTATACCATGGGACGCACGCTCAAGGACTACGGCAATACGATTGGCGTCATCTACGACACGAATGAAGAGGTCCCCCAGCAGAACTTCGAAGAAACGCTTTACATTGACTACCGCCACTACGACAAATTTCTCGTGCCGCCGCGCTTTGCCTTTGGCTACGGCCTGACGTATGCACGCTTCGAGCTCAAAGACATCAGAGTGAAGGAAGTCAAGGGCAAGTCTGCACTTCCCGGAGAGCGACCCCCGCCCAGCGCCACCCCCCCGGAGTACGACGGGAAAATACCGCCAGCCGAGGACGTCCTGTTCCCTCCGGAGATCCGCAAGCTCGACAAGTACGTGTACCCGTACCTCGAGTCGGCCGAGAGCGCCACCGCCGCCGGTACTAAGTACCAGTACCCGGAGGGCTACGACGTCGAGGCTCCACTTTCGGATGCTGGTGGAGGTGAGGGCGGCCACCCGGACCTATGGGAGACGCACGTCATCGTCAGCATCGAAGTTGGAAACGTCGGTCACGTCCCTGGCCACGCCGTGCCCCAGCTGTATCTGTCGTACCCGCCGTTGTCGGAGGCTCAAGGCGTGGAATTCCCTAAGAAGGTGCTCAGGGGGTTCGAGAAGGTGTATCTCGAGCCTGGCGAGTGGGCTACCGTCGACTTTGAGATCACCAGGCGCGACCTGAGCTACTGGGACGTCAAGCGCCAGAACTGGGTCATGCTCGAGCAGGGGAGGTATGTCTTTACTGTTGGTAACCATGCCAAGGAGCTGCGTCTGCAAGAAAGCTGGTAATTCCCATGGGCTCTTTCCATTATTTCGACATTTCTCTTCGTTTATATTCTTTCGGGCCTCTGATCTCTTCCATTTTCACACCCTTTATTGCATCATGGATATCCACTTTCTGGAGTTTCGGAATTAAATTCTACGGGGGGTCCTTTATAGATATTTTGTGGGACATAGCGAATTGCAATTACTACTTTCAATCAGCTTCAACGTTACATTTCTGTATGTGAATCTCAAAAATCGGTGTCACATCTCTGTGGGTTGGCCGCGGAAGCACGACCTGGGAGAGGACTAATGAATATTACTATCGCAATGTCGAAGTCTCCACAAACCTGATTTCTTCACTAATTGTGCCGCACCGTTTCGTGCTTGATATATTATATACATAGGCGGGGGCATGCATTAATAGTAGGTGACAATGCCAATTCATAAACAGCCAAAGAACTTGATTGCCGTATCGTTCTTATTCTAACATCAATCATGCCATAGACGGCGACCATAATACACGCACCATTTGGCCATTGAACTGGGTCGAGTTGGTGGGCAGCAGCCACAGCAATCATCCTTCCCATATCAACCCGACGATTGTACTGCACCTGCTCTTGTGACTCTTGCCGCAGTGTATCGTGTCTGCCGTTGCTGTCTCCCTTGTCGGATTCGGATCCTTTTTCGGCCCTCTGTTCCCCCCGGGACTGTAATGATCACGGCCAAGTTGCTGCCCCTCCATATTCATGCCAGTGCTATAGGGTTTGGCATGGCAATGGGCGGGACGGGAGGTACCGCGTTCCCATTTGTCATTGTAGCTATAGCTTCCTCTAAGGACGTTGCCGTCTTGCCCCTATTGCTCTCGCGCTGATCGTCATCGTTGCTATTGTGTGGCTGGGCTTCCCACGTGAGACGTCTTAGTTCAGATGTGAACAGATTGGTCATGGCAGAAGAGTAAGGGTAAAAAGTTGTCATTGATATTCGTTACTCATATTATCCGAGAGAAGGGACAAAGACGTCCAAAATCTTGTCCCGTCTCACTATATTTTATACTCCGAATGATAGTCCCGTAAAAACACGTCTTCATCTAAGTACACCCCTCGTCATCAATTATTTTTTAAAAGACATATGCACCTCGCTTCTTACCAACGCCAAACTAAAGAAGAAAAGAGATAGTGAAAATAGCACTGAAAAAGAATGAGAAGAAATCTATTACAGACCATTTCGATCATGGTGACCGCTGTCGTTATCCTCTTCATCAGAGTACCCTTCCCAGTCGTCGCTCTCTAGACCGGCGCGAGCAATGAAGATGGAGCCAAGCCAGCCGAGGAAGGCGAGACCGCCAAACAGGCACCACGGCAGAGCCTCTCCCTTGGGCTTTATATTGGTAGACAGTGTGAAGAGGGCCCCCGAGACGAATGGTCCAATGCTCCGACCAAGAGCCGAGAGGGTCTGGGCCATGCCGTTGAGGGTGCCAAGGCAGGCATGTGAAGGAGCTGAGTTGGTGATCTTTTTATGTGTTAGTAATTCAGATCAAATGTGATATTGGGTGTACTAGAAGAAAACATACCAGGAGCATAACACTGGACAGACCACCGACAGCGCAGATGTTCTTGACGACAAGGATGAATGCCAATTCAAAATATAGCCATAGTCTATTGGAGCCGATTCCAAAGGGAGCGTTCCCATCCGTGTATCCCACCCAGGGCATCATAATCATGGTGGCGGAAATTCCCAGCAGAGCCAGACGGTAACTACCCAGGTTTCCAACCTTGGCCTTGAGGCGCTGGTAGAGGAACGCTTGGAAGCCAATCGTCGCTAGCCCAGCCAGACTGAGACTGACGCCGATCTTGCTGGGATCAAGGTCTCGGCCGTGTGGGGCTGGGAAGGACGCAAAGATGGGGTACAGGCTGTTGAAGCTGATGTTTGTGAGCTGAAATACGAGGTACGTGGCGAGAAGTATGGCAGTTGTCCGGTTCGAAATGTCACTCCAGACAACATGGGAGCTGTGCGACGTCGATCTAGACGAGTCGCGCTCCTCTCTGATGCTGGTGTCACTATCTTCGTCGTCGTCATCGTCATCCTCCGAGTTCTTAGGAGTGGGGTGCACGAGCAGCGGGCGAGTAGCGTCCGCGGAAGAGTAGCTCCGCGGCCATCGGGTGGACCAGGAGTTAGTGCGTGACAATGCCGGACCAGGTGCACCGAATCGCTTAGGCTTGGGCCAGAGCCACCACGTCAGTCGGCGTAACCACATGGGCATGGTGAAGGATGGCATCGGCTGGGCCTCTTCCAGCGTCTCCTCAAACCAGAGTGCGATAACGACGCAGCTCACGGCGAGCAGGGCGGCAGACAGAATGTTGGGTCCGAGGTAGGGGTATCGCTGGCCCATTGTGTTGACTAGCAGGCCGCCCAGGGCGGGGCCGGTGATGCTACCGAGCGAGTAAATGATGGGGAGGTAGGCGAATGCGCGGCTCTGGTTGGACCGGTCGGTGATTTCGCCCAGAACGGTGGGGACGCAAGCGGCGTTGCCATTGAGCATGCCCATGGCGACGTGGACGACGACAATATGCCAGTAAGTCTGGCACAGGCCAAAGACGGCAAAGCACAGCATCAAGGCCACGGTTCCCAGGAGCAAGACAGGTTTGCGCCCGATAATGTCAGACCCGTAGCCCCATAGAAAGTTGGTCGACAGCTGGGCGAGGGCAAAGGCGCTGGCCAAGATGCCAACGTACAGGCCACTCTCTTCGGCGGGGATGCCGTCCATAGAGGCTACCATTGAAGGGAGGTAGGGTGATATTGAGTTGAGGGCCGTCTGTTCGGCCAGCGATAGAAATGCAAGTACCATTAGCTGCCGCACGGGTAGCGGAGACTCGTCGTGTCCCTCATGGTCAGATCGGGAGCCGTCGTCGGACACGCTGTCAGAGTCGATGGGCTGGGTCTCGTCCAGGACCTTCTTGGCGGCGGCCTGACCGATCGACGACTTGGAAGGCGGAGCGGGAAACGTCTGATACCGATGGGAAGATAGTCGACGAGAAGGAGTCGCCCCGAGAGCGGGGATGGGAGCTCCGGCGTGGAAGGATCCAGTCGAGCCAGTTCTAGCACCGTCACCAGCTATTCCACTTGCCGGGCGTGACATGACTGCATTTGCAACGGACTGAAATACTATTTTTAATTGAATGCGATAGAAAAGGGTGGCCTAGCCGCAGTCAAGCGGCAAGCGGCCCTGTTCGAGGAAAAAGAGGAAAAAGAGGAGGGAGGAGAGGATGGTGGTGGTGGGTGGTGGTGGTGGATCAAGCTGGTGGAGGAGGGGGCGGGGCGCAGAGAGAGGAAAAGCCAGTCAGGCAGCGACTGGGAATATACACGAGTGAGAAAATGCCTCTTGCTGACATGAGGGATGGTAAGTTGTAAAAAAGAGACGACGATTCGAAGGAAAGAATGGGATTATGTAGGTTATGCCTACATCACCTGTTTGGGAGGCGAAACTAGAAGAAGAATAGGAAATATAATAAATTAAGTCAACTAATAAAATAGTGTTTGAATAAATAAGCCCAAAAGAAACGGAGATACGGCAGTAACGTCATTGGCAAGGATTTGCAACGGGTAGGACCGAGTCTCACGTGTCTCTGACCAATAATGTTATTTATATATGTAAGCTGAGACAGTCTAGACATGAAAGGAGCAGATTCTTCACCGTGACAAAAGCACACCAGGAACACCAGCATGACCATCATCTTGCTTCTAACTGGATAGATGACTAGATTTGCCTATTCTTCGCGTCATCCATACATAGGGTTACCTGCATTATACATATGCACGAAGAAACTCGACAAGGGCCATGATTGCCATGGCCTGTCCATATGGCATGCTAGTCTGGGGAATGTCCTTGTAGTGCTGCAGGTCGTGACCCATTCCGGTGCCAAAGGAGGTGTGGAGCAGCTCCCCTTGAGGGCTGATGTTGTCCAGCACGGCGCGCAGAGCCTTGACGGCCGTCTCACGGTTGCCCTCCTTGGAGATGTATCTCCTCCGCACCGCCTTGAGCAGGCCGTAGGCAAAGCCCGCTGTGGCGCTCGCCTCGACGTACGACCCCTCGTCCTCTGGAACGTCGAGAAGCGTGCGCCAAAGCCCTTGGCCAGGGTGGCCGGTAGCTGTCTGCAGTGGTTGCAGAGCCTCACCCTGGCTGACGAGGGTGTTGATGAGGTGTGCTCGCAAAGGGTCCTGGTCGTCGAGCCCCAGCAGCTCGATGAACTCGGGGATGACAATTGTGACCCAGCTGTTGCCCCTGGCCCATCGGGCGTCGGCAAAGTTGTGGCCGCCTTCTTTGAAGGTCCACCCATGGAAGAAGAGGCCCGACTTGGCGTCAAACAGGTACTGTATGTGCAAGAGGAACTGCCTCTTCGCCTCGGCCACATAGTGCGGACGGTTGAGCAGCAGGCCAATCTTGGCCAGGGGCATCACCGTCATCATCAGCGTGTCGTCCCACAGCTGCTGCTCGTTGACTTCGGCATACGTTATGTGCTGGAAGCCACCGTGCTTGGTCCGGGGCAGGTCATGGTAAGCCCACTCTGCCCAGCTGTCTAGCCAAGGCAAGTACGTCTGATTGCCCGTCTTCTCGTACACGTATGCCAGCGTCAGGAACACGGCCATGGTGTTAATGTTCTTGCCCTTGTGGCCCTCGGCAAACCGATCCCGGAACCAGTCCTCGATGATCTTCAACCATCGTTCCTCACCCGTCAACTCGTAGTACTTCCAGATACCGTACAGCCCAATGCCGTGTGTCCATTCCCAGTCGTTCCACCCCTTTGTGTCGATGATTCGTCCGTCATCCAGCTTAAGGAGGAACTGGCCTGTCGTGTCGTTGATGTTGACCATTTCGTTGATGAGAAGCTGGATCTGTCCGTGGACATGGTCCTCGGACACGCCGTCGACCACTTTCGGCATTTTGTCGGCGTTGGGGGCTGTGGTCTCGTAAATGGAAAGGGTAGGGAGATAACGAGCAATGATGTTCTCAGTCGGCCATCAATCGAGCTCTTATAGGCAAAATTGAAACAGAGCAAGGCAGATCGTCTCCCCCAGCTGGAGGGGTACCTGCTGCGCTCGTGATATCCCAAGCGGGTTTCGGGCGAATGGTACCCCAGATGCGACCGACGTCCGGGATAAAGTCCACCGACTTAACCTGCACCGCCCCCAATGGAAGAAGATCACGGAAAGTGATGAAAATAGTGATAATGAAGAAGACGACACACGTAGTAGGCATCTATTTTTTCTGCCAAAAATAAACACCCAGGCTTTGTCAATATTATTACGACTATGCCAATATGTAAAGAACCAAGAGCTAGAATAGACAGCACCATGATGCCGCTTTGCCCCTCCGTCAACACTCTACATGTATGACAGGATTACCCCGCCTCACATCATCCAATATCCGTTGCCGGGAAAGGGTCCATGTCTGAGCTTGAGCATCTGTCCCTGGCTATGCGCTTAGAAGGGAATAGTCGATGTGAATGGCTATCTACTCACATGTGGACAAGTAGATTCTTGGGGTATCTCCCTGCCCCACCTCATCGGCCCCGACGCTCTCGAGTTTCCCGACGGCAAACTTGCTTATCTCTCCGTAACCGGCTCCCATCACACTATGATTACCCGCTTGAGACGTCCAGATACTGGCAAAAGGAGGACGACGACAGAGATTGCCGACGGCAATTGATATGTTTTCCGAAAATTGAATGACACTATATAATGTATTCTCATTGCCCCCTCTGCCTTTTCTCCATTCTCAGCCTCTTGTCATTTTCTTTGACTCTAATCATATCTTTATTTTACTCTCTCATCTTCGCTCCTGTATAAGTTGTGATCCCAACGCGTCACTAAACACGCATACCCAAAATGGCCAGTCTCCAACTCCCCCATCCCTTTGCCGACATCAAGCGTGAGAACTTCCTGTTTGGCCCCTCGCCCATACAGGAGCTTCCACGCATCTCGGACGCCCTCGGTGGCAAGGTGAAGGTCTATGCTAAGCGCGAGGACTGCAATTCGGGACTAGCCTTTGGCGGCAACAAGGTCCGCAAGCTCGAGTGCGTATTACGCCTATCCCCACCACACGGTACGTTAGTTAATCTGCCAATTCGATAGGTATCTCGCATCTGAAGCTCTTGCTCAGGGTGCCGACACCCTGGTATCCATTGGAGGGGTCCAATCGAACCATACACGTGCTGTGACGGCTGTGTCGAGGAAGCTGGGACTCAAAGTTGCCACACTCCAGGAGCACTGGGTGGACTGGGAGGACCCGGGCTACAAGAAAGTCGGCAACATCCAGCTGTCACGCCTGATGGGCGGTGACGTGCGCCTCAACTCCGAGACGTTTGGAATCGAGCACAAGGAGGCACTGGCAAACCTCACTGAAGAGATCAAAGCCGGTGGTGGTAAGCCATACTACATCCCCGCCGGTGCGTCGGACCACCCCCTCGGAGGTCTTGGGTTCGCCCGCTGGGCTCTTGAGGTTGAGGCTCAGGAGAAGGAGATGGGCGTCTTCTTCGACACTGTCATCGTGTGTGCTGTGACGGGATCTACCATGGGCGGCATGGTCGCCGGATTCAAGCTCGCCCAGAAGAAACTCGGGTCGCCCGCGCGCAAGGTCATCGGTATCGATGCCTCGGGCAAGGTGAAGCAGACATTTGATCAGGTGCTGCGCATCGCCAAGAACACTGCATCCAAGATTGGCCTCGAGGCGGACGATATCACTGAAACGGACATCATTCTCGACGACAGGTACAATGCTGGCGTCTATGGCATCCCCGACGAGACTACCATTGCTGCCATGAAGTTTGGAGCCGAGACGGAGGCCTTCATCACTGACCCTGTATACGAGGGTAAGAGTCTGGCTGGTATGATGGGTCTCATCCGTAATGGAGAGATTGCATCAGGCAATGTGCTGTACGCCCATCTTGGAGGGCAGCTGGCTCTCAACGCTTACTCGACAATCTGATCTTTGTAAGTAGAAAAGAAAGAGAAAAAAAACTCAAAAAGATAGTAACAAAAAATAGTATAATTCAGAGTTTCAGGTCTCCTGTGTTCTGGTATATGTGTAGTTACTCCAGTTGTGAATTGAATTTGAGCAAAGGGGCATGGAGCGCCTGCACAAGAATGCCAGTACCATATTTGATACTCCAATCATTGTTGCTTTATACATCCCTGCGACCTTCGGAATGGTCAACATGGGACAAGTCCTTGACGTCGTCAAACCTCGCACTTTCTTCCTTGACCTTGATTCCGAGCATATCACTGCCGCTCTGAGCGTGGGAAGCAGCACCGAAGAGTACATCAATCTCCTCTAGTGGCACCTGTTTGGTCTCAGGAATGAAGAAATAGACAAATAAGGCGAGACAAAAGTTTATTCCCATGAAAAAGAAGAGGCAGCGAAGGCCCGTATTGGCCAAAAAGGTCGGGAAGAATTGTTGGAAAATCGTGTTAGCAACGTTCTGCATTTGCGAACACATGCCCACAGCCTGGGCACGGATGTTAACCGAGAATACTTCCGAAGTCCACATCCACACGGTAGCTCCCCAGGACGGCTTATAGAAGAATGCGAAAAGGAAAAGAAGGAAGACCATCGCGATGCCGACGGGCTCAGACTTGGTATCTTCACCTGGGGTCGTGAGACCCACGACCGAGACGGTAAGCATGCAGACACCCATTCCTACGGCACCGACCATGAGCAACCACCGACGACCGTAGCGATCAGATGTCCAGATGGCGTTCAGAGTGAAAAGAATGCTGAATGTAGCGTTGAGGGCGTTAATCAAGTTGATCTTTTGGGATGACTTCCAGACGTTCTTGTAGATGGCAGTCGAGTATGAGTTTAGTGTGCCCTGCCCAGAGAGTTGTTGTCCGACGTTGATAACGAAAGCAAGGTAGAGCCGCTTGCGAACAGAGGGGTCGCGGAACAGAGCTGAATATGAATAGCCCTTGAAGGCTTCCTTCTCAAATTCGACGGCTCCACGGATGGCGATTAGCTCATCTTCAATCTCCTTCTCTGTTGATCGAATACGAGCTAGGGAGGCCCGAGCACCCTCTATGTTCCCATTCTTCTGAATGTGCCAGCGGGGTGTCTCGGGGACGAACGGCACGGTGACACAGACAATGAAGGGCACGAGAATCTGGAAGATGATGACAATCTTCCAGTCCCATTGGCCGAGGTGCTCTCGCCTGTTCGATGAAGCATAGTTGACCCAGTAGGCTATGAAGCTGCCCACTGAATAATTCATCTGCCAGATAGTCATGACCCTCCCACGAATCTCAGCTGGTGTCACTTCGCCGATGTACACGGGGGCCGCCGTGAGGGCAAGACCCTGACCGATTCCGATCAGGACCCGGCCTGCAATGAAGACGCCAATCTTGTGGTGGGGAGTGAATGTCTGCATGAAGGTGGCAATGATGGTGATAAAGCATCCCATCCACATTCCCCAGCGGCGACCCATGTAATCAGCGAGGGGCCCGCCCATGAAAAAGCCAGAGACAATGGCACCAATGGTGTAAGTTGTGTTGACTAGACACAGTCCGGCTTGTCAGCGCTGTGTACCATGATCAAAATGATCTCTGCGAAGGAATTCCTTATGGGCATACTCAGTCCAAGCATGTAAGTATTATGATCTGGGTCAAGGTTGACCCAGTCCAACCAGTTCGGTGACCCCTGTACAGAATTGAAGACGGAGGCATCGTAACCATAGAGAACCATGCAGAGCGCGGCCACCATGGCACAGTACCTGTGGAAGTTAGCATGATAACAACATTTCTTATGGGGACACTTAGTTCTAACAAACCAGTTGTAAAGCTTTTTAGAAGCCATTTTATCTTGTTGCGTATTTACTCGGAAGAGGCAGATGTCCGAGTGAGAGTAAGGTGATCCATCCGAACGTCTTCCCCAGGGGCTATATCTATTGATACACTGTACCTACTTACGTATAATCATACATGTATGAAAATTTTTTGAAAGTGTCTGTCCTGCGACTGGGATGACTGGGAGGGCCTGTTGGACTTTTCACTGGTGGAAGCTCAGTCTCCGGCTTACATTGAGTCCAACAAACAGGTGCAGAGGCAGGTTTTGATGTCTTCATTTCCCCAGACTGCCATGCAGGCCAAGAAAGGAGCAATTGAATGTGCTGAAAATAGTCGGACCTAGAACGGAAATGACCACAACGCACACAGTTTGGCGATAGCCGTCCCAATAATACCAGGGGCATCATGCAGCCAGACGGACTATTATTGCCAGGAAATTTTATTATTATTAGGAACTTGGATATATGACTTGGTGAGGTGTAAGCCCCTTGTCCTTTTTTTGATGTCTTAGCCGTGGTACTCTTTCGGCGAAAGGCATTGGTGGATATATTTCTCCGTCATCGACAACCAAGCCGAATTTTTATGACCTTCCAGTAAGGGCGGCTCGAGTGTACCCCGCAGTTCCCTGAACCCCAGGATTGGATTTCTTGTGGCTTACTATTGTTGGCCTATTGGAAATGGGCCATGTGTTGGCTATTGCCAAGTGGTCAAATTATGGATGAATAGATGTTGCCAATCTCGGGAATCTCAAGCGAGAAAGAATAAGAGACTGGAACCAGTGACCTCTGTTTTTACTCCATTTCCCCCACATGCTCTTTACTCATTCCTTCCTCGCACAATTTCCAGATCGACCGGGGGGAGAGCAGGTGCCCATAACTTGTAGTGCTCCTTCCTTTCCAACCAAATGTCAGCTTTCTTGAATTGGACGATACGAGAAACCCGTGTGAATGAGAATATTAGAGAAAAATATAAAGAGGGCTATGGGAAATAAAAGCATTGTTAATGGAATCTTGTCTGTGGCAGTCAGTCATTGCGGGCTGCACGGATACTGGTATATGCAATCATAACTGTGTATCTGTGGTATAGCCTTTGCTACTGATATGACTTTCTAGTTTCATCACAAGACCGCGATTCCCTACAACATGTAGCTTATTTCATTCAACGTAACACAACCCCGTTCACGTTATCATGTCCATCAACAGTAAAAGATACTGCAGCGAGAAGTGTTCCCATAATCGTAATCATGTTCGATTTTGCCCCGCGTCTCGTTTGACTATAGCCAACATGGTATCCATTCTCTCATATTCCCTTTCCCCGCGGTAAGATAGACAACCATTGGTAACACAAATCTGATAGCAGCGGAGCGGAATAACCCCATCCAAGTGGTCACATGACCACATATACTGTCAGATCAAACAGCTGAATAAGCCACCGGAAGATGTTTGTTCTGGTCCAATTAGAGTTCTCCCTGATAAAACGGAACATCTATATAGCCACTATTTCCCTTAATAATACTACACATTAAAAGGTTAGAAAATGGCCAGATTTTGAGCCTTTTTGTATCATTACATTACTTTACTCCGTAGTCAATAATTATCTCGATAAATCTCCTTCCGATCTAGAATCTCAGACAAGCGTTTTACCTACATTATTCCGCCGCTCAGTCATATACGTCTCTTTTGTAACTTCCTTAGTTATGCGTCCTTTTATTTACTTACGAAATCGAGCATTTATTATATAAGTTTGTGTGCCTCAATGACCAGGCCACTTATCATGCATATATATGTGCAGCAAATTCACTATTCATCAAGGACCTAACCGATTATATGTTGATGGCCCTAGGCCACCTAGGGCACGTAGTTCAGCCAGCCCTTTTCGGCACACATCTCAGATCCGATAGCTGGCTTCCTAGATCATCATCATCACCCTGATTCCTTCGGCTTCTTGTGCCACCTTTTGTGCCCCACATTATATACTTTACCATAATAGCCCCTCACGGATGACAAATCCATTGCTGGTAGCAGCTAATAGCGTTGCATATACCTGAATTCTCTGCTGAGGAGAGCGACACGTCATACGACATCAAGGGATGGTGAAATACAAAAAGTAGTCTGGAGGGCACCTAAGGATACGGGACGGCTGTCGTGTCTTGAGAAAAGAAGAAAACATATATGGTATCGAAACGTGAGAAAATGCAAACAACACGTCTGTTCCTCGGAGCTGGCCTCGTCGCCTTGCTCGTGGCCGTGTATGCACCGGTAATCGGGCATTTCATCACTATGATAGGAGTGTTTCGACATCCGAGGCAAACGCACGCCAATGCGTCTCAGGTGGTGGTAATCGACGATACTGTTCACTGCGAAGACTTGCACCATCATGTTGCAAGCAATACCCTATTTACTGCATGTGAGGACTCCCCGGACACGCGCATGTCATGGTTTCCCGGACTGGCCATCCTCGACGATCCGGTCAAGGCCATGAATTCTCGAGGCTCAATCCATACCATTGACCCCAAGGTTAGCATTTTCTCATTTTTAAGCGAGGAGGGAAGTTTTCAATACTGATACTGAGACTTAGACTTTTAAGTCTCAGAGGCTGAAACTCGAGAATTTCGACGAGCCTTTCATAACCCATGGTATTGAGGTTATATCCGACAACGCCAACTCCGTCTACATTTACGCTGTGAACCATTTGCCACACCCAGACTACGTAGCAGCGTACAGGTTTGACAGAGCTATGGCGAAGAAGATGCCAACCAAGGCACGATCCCAGATCGAGGTATTCCACCATGTCCTTGGATCGTCCAGTGCCAAGCATGTTCGGTCGATCGTGCACCCGCTCATCCAGACACCCAACGATATCTTTGCCTTGTCACCCCATTCCATCTACGTCACAAACGATCACTACCACCGTGAGGGTCTGAGACGGAAGGTTGAGGACTTATACGCGGGCAATAAGTGGTCCAATACGGTACATGTGCACATTGACGAATTATCCAAGGTCGACCCAACTCTGGGGCTCAATGCCAGTGTGGCCATCACAGGACTCCACAACAATAACGGTCTCGGTTACTCACCGGTCGGTATGGCCATTGGGTGCGCCGCCAGCGGTCAATTGCATCTGGCTCGCACGGATGGCAAGGTGGTCGAGTCGTTAACGTTTGACAGTACCATTGACAACCCGAGCTTCTTCCAAGGACGCAACATAAGCGGATACGTCCTGGGTGGTCTCAGTCGGGCAGTCGATCTGGAAAACACGATACATGACCCCCAGGGCAAAGAACCTGTCATTGTTTGGTTTGCTCACCAGACGTCGAATGGTTGGGAGAAGAAGGTCTTGTTTGAGGATGATGGCAGCAGGATCCGCTCGTCGAGTGCGGCCGTCTTGGTCCAGGATGGGACATCAAGTCTGTGGTTGTTTGTTACCGGGTTCCTGTCCAACAACATGGTTGCTGTTCAAGTTGACTTAGAATAGCGTTAGAACAGAACTGGAGAGAAATTCATGTTTTGTGGTTCATTTGGTTTTTGCAGCCTCCTTAGTTTGATATCTGACTTAGTGGCTCTCCTGCAAATGCAACACAGAGTCAAATATCGAATGAATACATGTCCAACTGAAGAACGGAAAAGTAAAAAGAATATTACATATCTAGCAATTCTACGTTTCGATCGTAGGACCTCCGGGTTATGAGCCCGGCGCGCTTCCACTGCGCCAAATTGCTTTGCGATTAGTAATCCTTGATATCCACGTTCTCAAGAGCTGTTTATGAGTTGCTGTCAATAAAACAAAGACCGCCACGATGCGAGGAACCCGATCAAAATACTGCAACGAATATTATATGAGTTGCCCTTGAAGAATTACATGTGGTAGAGTTTCCAGCTTGATAGTATAAAAAAAAGTATTAGGAGAATGTGTTTTGAGGATATGTCATGAGGAGGCCTTGCAAGCATGCCGCCATACAAGGGAAACAGCATATAACAGGGACTTTCCTATCTCGACCAGGGGTCTAATATCATTCGGAGAAAAGTCTGGCCCGTGATAAAACACGACATTGGATTTATGGACGGTCCGTCATATATGTAATTCAGGGAAGAGAATGATCAAAAGGAAAACTCGATACAAGAGTATGTCTCACAGTCAATACATGCCTGTTAATTTCTAGGATTTGCGTTTGCTTGACTGAAATAGTTAGTCAGTATTCGGTCGAGTCTTCATATACCCATGTACCTATACGGTTTCCCATACATTCGTGATGGCAAAGCCGAAGAATAATACAGCAATAAAAAGTGGTGTTGCTCCGATTGGGGCGTAGATATGTATCACCGGAATTGGTATTTGATTAGTATTAGACAAATGGAACATGAATATCGACCTACATACTAGCATCTCTATTCTAAGGAAAGTGTTCTTCTCACTGTGGTGGAGCAAGTGGTACGAGGGAAGCCTCGGGTAAGTCTTCGTCTGCAGAATATTTGGTGGATGTTGAAAGCGTGGGGTTGGAAAAGAGATGAACACAATTGCTATACAGAGATGTCAGTCTAGTTGTATAAGGCGAACTTCTTTCTAGGAAGAATGCCATACTTTTCTACCGTTTTGGCAGGCGGGAAAGCAGAGCTGTCTCTGTGTTGTGATCCAATAAGGACTGTGTCGAATTGGACGATATAGACGTTGAGGTCGACATATGAGCAAGACCGAGTGCGAGGAATCGGGGCATGTGGTAGATAATCGGATAGTAGGAAGGTAGCTAGACATAGTTGAATAAAGAGAGATGTTCATAAGAACACACACACTAAAGACACTTCTAATATGCATTTAAGGTGAGTTAGGTGTCCTATAGTGTTAAGGTTCTTATTCTATATTATTATCGTGGTGATAGACTTGACGGTTTTATGGTCGAGTCTAGCTTACCCGAACTATGGTATGTTTTACTATGATAGGGCTATTGGTTACTATAGCAAATAAATCTCCCGCTGTCAGACAATTCCTTTGTTCTGCCATTCAACAGCTGGGGGGTACTCGTCGAATGTCATCCCAGCCGTTTTGGCTTCTTCCCGAAGAGATCGTGTTCGCAGGAACCATATACCGTGGGATATGAACATTGACCCTTCAATAAATGCACTGCTTTGCCTTGTTAGAAAATTTGAAGCGACTATATATAATGGAGGAAACATACACCAGTGCATATAACACTCCAAACGCAATATCAAACGTATTTTGAGTCACTGTAACGGTCAGAAACTTATAATTGGCACCAGGACGGGAGGGGACGAACCGAGTGACATGAGCGAGAAGAATGCTCCAGTCCAGTCGACAGCCAGAAACAAGAAGCTGATACCTACGACCCTTCCACGTCGCTTGATCAGTTCCGGTGGAATCGGGAGGTATCCGGAAATGAGCATGACACACGCTAGTATTCCCACGAATGTAACGAAGCCCTTAGCCCATTGTTTTCCCTCATCATAAGGCCCTCTAAAGACAAGAACGAAGAGGACCTGCAGCCCAGCCACACAAGTTAGGATGACTATGCAGGAAATGATGGCCTTTCTAGTGCTCCATCCACTGCGGAGCCGAAAAAGAAGGAAACCGTCAGAATTGCCATGTGTACGGTGCAGTGGGAGGGACGAGTGATGTCTTACTGCGAATAGTGCATGACTTGCCCCCAACTGATGAGGCAAAAGAGACAGAAGAACTGCGGCTGCACTTGTAACGGAATATTCAAGTTTTGCAAGATTGCGTATGCGCCAAACGGGAGGCCCGATGTGCTCCAGAGAAACATCATGACTGCTGGCAGCCCCTCAGTCGACTTTGTGCGCCAGCTCTTCCATATCTGCGGACACAGCTGGACACACCAAAAGACGGTGCCAATCAACCCGAGGATAGTGGCCGGGAGGGGGATCGAAGTTTGGGGCTTCATGCTTCGATTGAGTCCGATTCCGACAAACTGACGGGCCGCCTGTGTAACTGGGACCAGGCGTGCACGGTGATCTAACACGATTGCATCACCGATTAGATTGTAGCTTCCGTATCGCTGAGAAGATAAGCCAAGAGTCTTACGCAATGCTGGGTAAAACCGGTACACAGGATATTTCCTCTCATCCTATGCCCTTTTTATGACGTTGACCGATAATTTTAGTCAATAGATCGTCTTCGTTTCTCGTTAGTTATGGCCTTTGGTGGTGCTTCAAATATGGTGGGCCTATGCGATAAGAGATATATATATGAATACAGAGTAGGATTAGTCACTGAGGGGGTATGGTTCTCCATTTCTACTGTGTACAAGTACGGCAACTTCTATATCCGAGTACAATTACCTGTTTGGCATCATCTTGTTCCGGTCCGGCCCCAGGGTCTTTGGCCTTACTCAAGCCATAAGGTGATGATGATGATGATGCAAGCTAGCTAGCTATTACTGCACAATGTGAGATGTGGGAAAACAAGGGCTGCCTGGACCACGTGACCTTATAGCCTCAGGCCATCAACATCCATCAACCTTGTCACACCCAATGGGGGAATTGTACGGAAGCGGGGCGAAAGGATACTGCGTTAAGAAAGGGGGCAACAATTACGAATAATATACATACACTGGTCGCTAGTGCCTTCATTGCTGTAACGCTTCTACAGATTACCTCGCCTCTATACCCAGACCTTATCACTTATCTCACTAATCTGTACACTCTCCCATAAGCAGACTCGTTGTCTGACACAACTCTAACAGCATTCTTCCATCAATAAAGCATTTTAACAGCAGTGAAAGATCATGGCACTTTGGCACTTTTATATAAATACATTCGGCAAACGCATCCACCGCCGTTCGAAGGCCCATCTTGTCTCGGTAATATGATGTTGACGCCGTTACAGTCCATCATGTCGAAGACTTAGAGAAGCATAATACGACGGAGAGTGGGGACCATTCTGCCTGGCCCCCGTTCCCCGCAGAGTCAAATTGAATGGCGGCTTCATATAGCTGAAAGTGCTTCCAACGAAGTCAATTGACCTCTCGAATTCTGATGTAGGGGCTATATCTCATCGAGATCCAACTCGAATGCCATACGGTGGGCTTGTGAATCTTGGCGTCTTTCTTAGAATACTCAGCCCGATATGCAAACTATTCTCAGTAGCACCAATGGGGGACGCCTTGCCCATCATCGGGGGTCGATTCGGTCCTTCTCTGTCGCCAATGCGATCGATGGCTTTTACCTCAAATAACAAGACGATACAGAGCCTCAACATTGACAAAATCTCGCGCGTCATCTATCAAGGTATCCGTCCCTTTTTTCTTAGATTTTGCTGATTACAACCGCTGACGGCTCGCACAGGATTTACCAGTAAGGCTGTACGCCCTACTTTCATGCTGAACTTGTTGACGACGGAACTGTAGACTTGCGCTCAGGTAGGCCACTTCAACCGGCGGATACACGATAGCCTTTGGCGTCATATGATAGGCAGCGTGTTGCCGGGAAAAGGTGGCTGGACACACCTTGACTTGCCAGTGATTAATACAGTCAAAGATGTAACATCTTTTTTCTCTCCTTTCTTCGTATGCAGAACCAGAACCAGATTGTTGTTACTATCCATCTTAGCCCATGGATAGTATGAATCCAGACGTGAGTTCCGTCTTTGTGCCGGCCCATTCGGCAGCCAGGGCTATCACCGAGTCTATTGAAGCCGAGTTGCCTTTGGTTGTGTCAGTCTCAGAACATATCCCTGTCCATGACATGCTGCGAGACCAGGAAATTCTGAGGTCTCAATGCAAGACACGCCTTGTCAGCCCCACTTGCCCCGGAAAAGTTGCCCCATGGCAGTGCCAAGTCGGTATTATGCCGTACAAGCAATACTCCCCGGGGTGCGTGGGTATCGTATCAAAGTCGGGGACTCTGAGCTATGAAGCTGTCGGCGCTACAACAAAGGTGGGCCTCGGCCAGAGCATATTAGCAGGCATGGGCTGAGATATGCTTCTGGATAAATGAGAACTATTCGATTATGGTGATATCCATTGCAAGATTCAATGACTGACAAAGAGCGTTCAAGAACTACGCTGGCTGATGGATTGAAACTCTTCTTCGAGCACAACGATACCAAAGGCACTGTATGCGTTGGCGAGATCGGCGGCGAGGCTGAGGCCGCGGCGAGGCTGAGGCCGCTAAGGAGTACAGACAGTGGACCCCGAGCTCGAAGCCTATCATCGCGATGGTTGCTGGGAGGACTGCACTAATGGAAGGACTATGGGCCATGCTGGTGCCATCCTATCACCACAGGACGTTCCCGCCGAAGTCAAGGCCAAGGCTCTAAAAGATGCTGGCTCAATTATGGTCAACCATCCCGGGAGGGAGGGCATATTCATAAGAGAAGAACCAAAGTGAACTTTATTCCTCATGTTAATAATGCCAAAGTCAAAAAGACGCAATAATTTGAATATATATAGACGCTCGTAAGAAATTTCATAAAGAGGCAGGTATATTACTTGGGTGCAGGCATGCCCATGTTGAGGTACACAGCCTTGGTCTCGAGGTAGTCTTCCAGCACATCAAGTCCGCACTCCCGGCCCAACCCACTCTCCTTGTATCCACCAAAGGGGATGCTCCAGTGAACCAGGTTATACATGTTAACCCAGGTGGTTCCGGCTTGAAGAGCGTTGCTCATCCGTACCGACCTCTCGTAGTCCTTTGTGAATACTGCCGAAGCCAGGCCGTAAGATGTGTCATTGGCTTGGGCCAGGACCTCCTCCTCCGTCTTAAACTTATTGACGACAACCACGGGACCGAAGATTTCTTCCTTGACAATCTACATAATCTTGTTAGCTTCCGAACGTCGAATCCTTTAGAGACTCTGTCAATACCGACCTCCATGTCAGGTTTCGTGTTGGTAAAGATGGTGGGCTCAATGTGGTAGCCACCCTGCTCGGCAGCCTTGGCGGCTTTTCCTCCCAGGTGGACTGTTGCGCCCTCCTTCTTTCCGCTTTCGATGAAGCCGAGGATCTTGTCAAACTGCATCTTGCTGTTCATGGGACCCTGGTCGGTATCCTTGTCGAAGTTGTCGCCGACCTTGACGGCGGCCATGCGCGCCGTATACTTCTCCAGAAATTCATCGTACACATCCTCATGCACGTAGATGCGAGTACCAGCGTGGCATGTCTGGCCAAAGTTCATGTTAATACCCCATGCGCTCCACTCGACAGCCTGGTCGATGTCGGCGTCTGCGAAAATGATGTTCTGCAAATTATTAGTACCGGGATATCATTTTGGGGTATGGAGAAACGAGGCCGAACCTACAGGGCTCTTTCCGCCGAGCTCCAACGTCACCTTCTTCAGGTTGGACGAGGCTGCGGCCTTCATGATTACTCTGCCGGTGGCAGTGGACCCGGTGAATGCGACCTTGTCAATGTCCATGTGTGAAGCAATGGCGCTTCCAACAGTCTTGCCAAATCCGGAGATGAGGTTGAATACGCCTGCAGGGAACCCAGCTTCCCTGACCAGCTCACACACCTTGAGCGCAGACAGGGGAGTTGCCTCGGCTGACTTCATTACGACTGTGTTTCCAGTCGCCAAGGCAGGCGCAATCTTCCATGCGAGCATCATGAGAGGGAAGCTTTGTGGGGCACTGTTAGTCCTGAGAAGCAGCACGTTCAGAAAAGGGGATGGCCAACTTACTTCCAAGGAATGATCTGACCGCAGACACCGATTGGCTCTTTGCGGGTATACGTAAAAGCACCTGGGACATTGAATGAGGACAGACCAACTTGCTTGTCGGCCCATCCCGCATAGTACCTAAGGGTGCCGACGGACACGGCGAAGTCGCCATTCGACGTTTGCTTGTACGTCTTTCCAGTATCAGCCATTTCTAGGGCAATCAGGTCCTCCTTGTCACGCTCCATCAAGTCAGCAAGACGGAAAAGCAACTCTCCGCGACGAGCCGGGTTTATCTTGGCCCACTCGGGGTTCTGAAAGGCTTTGCGAGCAGCCTTGACGGCTTCCTCAACGTCGGCCTCGCGGCCTTCCTGAACACGTAGGAGTTCCTTCCCGTTGGCCGGGTTCTCGACTGAAAATGTGTTGCCACCGATCGAGTTGCGGAATTCGTTGTTGATAAACAGGCCGGTGGGAACTGAAACGTCTCGGCCGCCGATGTTCAGTGTCTTTGTCGACGCTGTGCTAACGAACCGCCTAGCTGCTCTGAGCCAGCCGGGGCTGCGCACAAGAACACTGCCGAAGGCGAGTGGGCGCGAAACTTGAGAGAGGGCCATTATGGGGGGAGGGGGGAGCAAGAAAAGACAAGGACAGAGAGGATGTAAAGGAGAGTGAAGTGTTGCGGGACGCAAAAGCTCCTAGTGAGTGCGGAGGGGAGGAAACAGCTATATAAGACAAGTTTGCAAGGATCCAAGTCCCTCAACAGTTTAGGGATGCAACAATAGCACGGAATAGAAGTAAAAATAAGCAATTGTCTGCGAAACTGGGGTTGATGCAACATTATCTCTCCTCAAACACGGCAGTTGTCTACATGTCACCTCTTGGCGGCTATCGTGTTACGGCTCCGCTGCACCGACCCGGGGCATCCTCTGAACCGCTCCGCGTTTAGTGCATCCGACTCCGTGTTCCGCAATTCTAGTTGCGGCACCGAAACTCCGATACCTAAAAAAGGTGATTTGTCACCGGTATGTAGTCCGCAGAACCGCATGAACCCCTCACTATTGAGTGAATGAAACGTCTTGGCCAATATCTTTTCTCTAATGATTCTTATGGAGTGAGAGGTCAATAGGCTGATGCAGGCGGCTCCCGTTTGTATAACATCTATCAGATGCTGGGTCGCGCCCCGATGCCAAGATCGATACTGCTTCAGGAGAAAGAGAAATAAATAGTTTAAGGTTCTGGCAGTGACTGTGTCCCCTATCCATGCTTGGTTCTATTTCTCTTCTTCTGAAGCAGGGTAGATCTTCTGATGAAGCTAAATTGTTCATACGCCAAACTAGTAATTATGTTGTCTTGCACCCCTTTGCGGCACCGCTTTGCGGTTCGCCTTGCGGGTCGCCTTTGCGGGTCCAAGTGTTGAGCAGGGGCTTCCCCAGGTCTTGCAATACCACGCCTATATGTAATAAATACATAAAGCAACAAGCAATAGCTATCATCTGCACACACAAAGAAACAAACTATCTCCCTTGATAAAAACCCCCATCCTGTTTCTGTCCTACTCTTTCCCGACCCTTGTGGGCACAGATTATCTTGTTAATATCAATATATTATCCGTCGCCGTTGCATGTGGCGCTCCCCAACCCCGCGGTCGGCTACTGTATTATTTGTTATACATAGTGTCGAGTCTCAATATGCATATTTGGGAGCATGCCCAACCTCGTGTAATAACTCCGAGGTTTTCATCGTTGTTGCCACTATCTCACCGAAAAAAAAAGGTGTAGATGCAACATCAGCTCCCGAACGGTTAGCCAAAAGAATTCTTTCGCATCCTAAAAGTCCTACCAATATACTCTACCACGTCCTTCAGCAGAGCTCTTCTCAGGCCATTACGAGTCAGCGCCAAGGTGAGGTTCAGATGGCCATGTTTCTGACGCCGGAACGTATACTGACGATGAGAGATCTAGCTTGTGACTAAACAGCAGGCTCGTCCACTGACCATGCTTGAGTACGAATCTCAAAATTTACTACGAGAGGTAACACTTGAGCTAAGCTCGGTCGGAGAAGCGTTCGCTTACCGAAAGCAGTACAGTGTGCCCGTTACGAAAGGCAGGGTGTCTACCACTCCCAGCGAGGTTGAGCTAGGTAAATCCTTCCAACTATCAGCCTCATCAAGGCTGATTTCCTCCGGGGGTAATTGTGACACCAAGCCACAGATCTCAGGAGGAGGTGTACAAGACAAGCGGACTCTTCAAATTGGGCTGCAGAGCGTCATCTGGAGGGCCAATTACGATCAAGACGCCGAGACCATTGCTTCCAAGATTATGGATCAAGTCAGTAAGTTGTACGTCGCCGAAACGGGAAACTATGACGATGGGTTGTACCTTGCCGTGACCATCGTTCGAGAGAAATACAGTCCTGTTATTATCATGGTTCAGAATTCTGGCGTCGATGTTGCGACTGTCGCAACCCAACCCCCCGAAAAGTTGTCCAGCTTCCACTCTGGTATATCGGAGGGAATCACACCGCAGCTAGTATCCTGTATCGCTCGGTCCTTAGGCATCGGCCCAGTTGAGACGGAACCGCTCTAAACCACACTCAGAGGCCTGTATGGGTTTTTTGTGGGAAAGGATGCTATCTTCCCGAAGGATAAATCCATTTGCACGGTACTCGTCGTAGGGACTGCAGGCTGTGGGAACCAAGTTCACTACAAAGAGACAAGGGGACCTCTTCTCCCAGCGAGACACGACACAGGATGATGCAGAAGAGGTCGAAGCCGAGAAGTATGGGATTGTCTATGTCCGAATGGAAGGAACAACGGGAAATGTTGTGAACGGGGCTGGTCTTGTTATGGCCATCAACGATGACGATGCCGTAGGTCTCTATGGAGATGCCAGTGTCAACTTTCTCGACGCAGGAGGCCAGACGACTATGGAGATGGATAATACAGCAAGCTTTCCGAATAATCATGAATAACCATCGAGCCATGGCGATTCTCGTCAACATTTATGAAGGTGAGTGAGTGCTTATAGCATGGTAATATCAAGTTCCCTTGTTCTTCCCGTTGCGAGGTACCACTCGGTGTGCCGCATCTATTATCAAAGTGGCGTCCGACAGGGGACCGATGCGTGTTCAGGTAGTGGCTTGTCTTCAGGGGACAAACTCGGAAGACGAGCTGAGATTGGTAAGTGTAGGACGGCCACCTCATTGCTCAATTCAACAAATGCAACTCCTGATAGGCTTGTAGCTTGAGGATTCCAATCTTGGACATTACATAGTGGCAGATTTCGGAGAAGCTGCAAGGGAGGCTATTGAGTTGGTGAAGAAAGAATAGATCGGGCGCTGTTGGTTTACATCATATCACGACAGACAGATACCAACGACCCAGATTCGGCACTTGAATTAGTCCAAATACTACTTTTTATATATACAGGGTTTCACGACATCTCGCGCAAAAGAAGGGTTGGCTAAACTGTAGCACAAAGGAGTCGTGCGGGGAGGTCAACGTTACACATCGTCGATTTGCCCGCCCTACCGGATCCAACCCACTTCACTCCACTGGGCTCCGTCAAGAAAACGGATGTGAATGAAGCTTGCAATAATGGGTAACGACCCGACACAGTGGAACACTATCACTCATGCTTCGTTTTCCCCCGGCGATCGGGGTTGAAAAAGGCTAGTGATATATATGAGCGAGACCATCATCCCCAACACGTAAGGTCACTGAAATCTTGCTATTATCATACGCGATTGAATAACGGTCGCTTTAACAGTCTTTATAGATTGGCCGTCTTTAGGATGGCGACATTCTGCTAGCCGAGACCGACTGTCATGCATAATTCGATAATCCTTGCATCAGTAAATCACGGTAAACGACTACCATGCGATCAGGATTTATCAGATCGTTTCTGATGGCCTCATTGGTGCTCAACGCGGGACTGCCCATGGATCTCTTAAATACTCAAATTTTCCAAGCCCCTCTCTCGTACGACTACGGGTTAGTAGCAACATTACTGAATAACCGATCCGAGTAGATTGATTAATGCTTTACGAATACAGATGTAGAGTTTTTTTCTTTCCAACCTCGTATTGGATGGCTGTTGTGCTTTGGTGGGGGACACTAATGGTGCGGTAATTTTAATCTTATCAGATGATCAGGTCAAGCTTAATCCAAGTTTTCTTGCGGGAAACACCATTATCACGTACTCGTATAGCGCTGTAAACGGTACTGACCCACATGTCCGCTCCTAAAAAAACACTGCCGTCCTAGGACTGGTTCCTCGGCATGCAGGTTGGCGAATGAGATTATAATGCCAAGTGGCCGAGCATCGGGTCCTTCTTGACCGCAGTATATTGTTGGAGAAAAAAAAAAAGACTCCAGGGCTTTCCTTCCCTCTTCCCCTCCCTCATACTCCCTTTCTTCTTTTCCTTCCTCAACCCATTCTTCGAGTCGACGGCTACGCACCAAGACTTGTAAACCATGGAAAGGGAGGGAAAGAACACGGCCGAGGCTGCGTCCTTGGAGGTCAAAGAGAAGGACTCACTGACCCTGAGCTGTTTGTCGACCCCACCCTCGGCTCCCCAGAATCAAACACGATACTAACATCGGCATTCGTCAAAGCCCGACTCGGTCGCAACCCCATATTTGCCTTTTTCCGACTTCTCTTCTCCACGGAACCGACATGGCTCGATATTTTCCTCATCGTATTTGGGACGGTCACTGCAGCGGCTGCGGGCGTGCCCTTCCCCCTCCTGGGTATCGTCTTCGGACAGCTCGTCGACAAGATGAATAGCGCCACGTGCGCGGCCCAGGGGGACTTGCCCACCGACCCTTACGACTACCAGGACGCCATCAACAAGAAAGTCTCGCAGACGGCATACATCGGCGCTATTGCCATGGTCCTCATCTACTGCTACATCGTCACCTGGACAATCATTAGCCAGCGCCTGGCTCACCGTATGCGTAGCCAGTACGTCGGCGCTCTGCTCCGGCAGCCCCCTTCCTTCTTTGACCTTCGATCCGCAGCCGGCGAGGTATCCAGCCGTCTCCATGGAGACATCATGGCTGTCCAGGACGGTGCCGGTCAAAAGGTTGGCGTCGTCATCACTTCCTTCAGCTTCTTCATCACTGTCTTCGTCATCGCATTCACCAAGCAGCCCAGGTTGGCCGGCATGCTGGTTTCTATGGTGCCAGTCTATCTGACGTCTATCTTTGTTGGCTCCCATTTCGTCAAGAAGTTTCTCGGCCAGACCCAAGCTGTGGGAGATGCGTCGTCCATCGCATCCGAGGCCTTGACTCGTATTCCCGTTGTTAGGGCGTTCAGCGCAGCCAGGCGCTTGGAGATCAAATTTTCCGAGTACATGGCTACTGCTCGCACGGCCGGGATAAAGAAGGCCGGAGTGTCAGCGCTTCAAGCTGGTATGCTATACTTTGTTTCATACTCGAGTATCGCTCTGGCATTTTGGCAGGGCAGCAGGATGATTGCTCATTCCATGGGTCGTGACGGAGCTGATGCTACCATCGGTGAGATCTACTCTGTTGTGTATCTTCTCATCGACGCCTGCGTTTTGCTCGGTAATCTTGCCCCTATGCTTCCGGCAATCAGCGCCGCTTCGGCCGCCTACCTCCGCCTCATCGATGACATCAATGCACCGTCGGCTGTCGACGGCCTGTCTGACACGGGCAACAAGCTTGCCCCCAGCCAGAACAAGGCGATCACTTTCCGAAATGTCACCTTTGAGTACCCCTCGCGGCCCGGCCAATCTGTCCTTCGCAATGTGAGCATGGACTTCCCCGCCGGTAGCTACACTGCCGTTGTTGGACTCTCCGGTAGCGGAAAGTCCACCATTGCTGCCTTGGTCGACAGGTTGTACGACCCCAAGAGTGGTGTCATTGAATTGGATGGGAACGATATCACAACACTCAACGTCAAGAACCTGCGAAGCTTCATCGGCTTCGTTCAGCAGGATCCCTCCCTTCTGGACCGCTCTATCTGGGAGAACATTGCGTTGGGACTCGCCAACTCCCCCAAGCCGGAGCATGACCACCTGAAGGCCCTACTCTACGGAGACCGACTGAGCAAGTTTGCCTCCAAGGGAAAGGGGGCCATGGAGTATGCTGCAAGTCAGGGGCCTGAGTTCAAGGAACTAGTTGACCTTGTAACCCGAGCCGCCGAGCAGGCTGACGCTGTTGACTTTGTCCAGAAGCTCCATGAAGGATTTGGAACCATTGTTGGACCCAGGGGATCCCTTCTCAGTGGCGGTCAGAGGCAGAGGATTGCTCTTGCCCGTGCCCTCATTCGCGACCCTGAAATACTGGTCCTTGACGAGGCGACTTCAGCGCTCGATTCAGCCAGTGAGAAGCGCATCCAGCTGGCAGTTGAACAGGCCGCTAAGGGTAACCGTACTGTCATCTCAATTGCCCATCGCCTTTCTACTATTCGCAACGCAGACAACATCATCGTCATGGAGGCCGGCCAGGTCATCGAGCAAGGCAGCTATGAGACCTTGGTTGGAAAGGAGGACGGTGCATTTGCCAACATGGTTAAGTTGCAGTCCGCAGGAGGAGACTTGAGTGACAGCTCTAGCTCTCTACGTCGCGAATCCGTCGCGACTGCTGTCCAGGCCACTGACAACGACGATGATGTCGCGGACGACAAAGTCCCGAAGGAAGACAAGGTTGAAATCGATGGTGACAAGTCCGATGAAGATCCCAAGGAAAAGAAAGCGCCCGCGAAGGATGGGGAACTGGAGACTGCTAAGAAATTTGGTCCGGCTATGAAGGGGTTATGGCCGCTGGTCCGCCCCAACTCTGGCTTCCTCATTCTCGCATTGATCGCGGCTTTCATCGTCGGCTGCACCTTCTCTGGCTCTGGTCTCATCTTCGGCAACACTGTCGGCGCCCTCAACCCGTGCAAAAACAGTGCCGAACGCATTCTTAGCCTTGGCCGACTCTTTTCCGGGCTCATGTTCATGCTCGCTGTCATTGAGTTCTTTGCCAACTTCTTCAGCTGGTTCAGCTTCGGCGTCATCTCGGAGCGTCTTCTCTACTCCCTCCGCGTTCTCTCTTTTCGCGCTCTTCTAGAGCAGGACTTGCAGTGGCATCAGTCTGGCAACCGCACAGCCGGCGGCCTGCTCGAGATCATAACCAGAGACTGCGCTTCCGTCGGAGGCTTCAGCGGCTCCACATTTGGTACCGTCTTTGCTGTGTGCGTCAACATCATCGTGTCCGTCATCCTGTCCCACATTGTCGGATGGAAGATTGCTGTTGTCTGCCTCGTCATTGTTCCCATCATGCTTGGTGCCGGTTTCATGAACCTGCACATGCTGGCACGCTATGCTGAGAGACACGTGAGTGCCTTTTCTAGTGCGACTTCGGTCGCCACCGAGGCTATTCATTCTATCCGTACCGTTGCGGCCTTATCTTTGGAGAGTCACTTTATGGAGTCGTATTTCCATCTCCTGGAGAAGCCACGCAAGGATATTGTCATTGCTGCTGCCTCGGCCAACATCTGGCTTGCCTTGAACCACACAATTAGCCCCTTCCTCAACGCGCTGGCCTATTGGTGGGGTTCCAAGCTCATGTTGAGGGGAGAGTACACGCAGACGGAGTTCCTCATCATCTTTATGGCCATGCTCACTGCTGCCAAAATCTGGGCGTCCATGTTCACTCTGGCCCCTGAGTTTTCCCGCGCATACTCCTCCCTTTGCCGTCTACTCACAGTCATCGAACTCAGTTCAAACAGCCTTGTCGATCAGAGGGCCCACGGTACTGGGGCCTCCAGCGCCGGCTCATTGGGCGACATCGAAAAGACTGCTGAGCCGAGACCCAAGGCCATTCTCTCCGACCAGGGAGGTGTGCGAATCTCTTTCAAGGACGTGTCCTTCTCCTACCCGAACCGGCCGGATTCTCGCGTTCTGGACAATGTGTCATTCGAGATTGCCAAGAACCAGTTTGTCGGTCTTGTCGGTCCGTCGGGGGCTGGAAAGTCGACCATTATGAACCTTGTCCAGCAGCTCTACAGTCCCACCGAGGGCACAGCTACCATCGACGGCCAAGACGTCACCACCGGACTCGACTCGTTGCGCGACAGTATCGCCCTTGTACCCCAGGACCCTTCACTGTTCCAAGGTAGCGTGCGCTTCAACGTTGGTCTAGGTGCTCCTTCCGACCGCGAGGCCACCCAAGAGGAGATCGAAGAGGCCTGCCGTCTGGCCAACATACACGACGTCATCGTATCCCTCCCCGATGGGTATGACACCGAGTGCGGCCCGTCAGCTTCTCACTTGTCTGGTGGCCAGAAGCAACGTCTTGCCATCGCCCGAGCTCTTGTCCGCCGTCCGCGTCTCCTGCTTCTCGATGAAAGCTCCAGCGCTCTCGACGCCGCCAGCGAGGCCGCCCTGCAGGAGGGCCTGGAGAAGGTGGCACGGGCCACGACCGTCCTCGCCATCACGCACAGGCTGCATACTGTCGCCAAGGCTGACACCATCTTTGTCCTAGAGGCCGGAAAAATTGTCGATAGCGGCCGTCATACAGAGCTGATGCAGCGTAGCCAGAGCTACCGCATCAATGCTATGCAACAGATGTTGCAGGGCCAGGAACTCAGCCAGGATATTGATCGCATCGAAGAGGAGCCTTCGACGTAGTTCGGGCTTCAGAACTGTTCTAGGGTATATAGAAGTTTAATGAAAAGGCTAGAGGTAATTTGGAGTTTAAATGGATTACAGCCGGGATTCAGTATAGGTCATGAGTTGAAGAACGTTGACCATTGTACTGAGCATCGTCTACTAGAATAACGAGCTATTTCATGATCCATCTTCTAGAAGGTTACGCGGCATAGAGAACGTTTCCCCTCCCCCGATCTAGTATATATACACAAACTCGTCATTCTCGCGATCAGTCAGGTCCTTGAACGCATTGGTGCCGAGCTGTACGCCGTCCTCCGTCTCCTGCCTCTCACTCGTGTAGCGGTTCTCCATGCTGAGATCACGCAATTTTCTGGGCTTCCCGTTCTGCTCTCTTCTATGTTCCTGGAACCTGTTGAGGACCCAAAGGTTGACGGTAAGTAAGCCGACAATGCCAACCAGAGCGCAGGTGGTGCCCATTGTCTTACGTAGCCCAGGCTTATACTCGGGGGCGTCCGCGGTGGAGAATAGGAGGGGTCCGATTATGTTACCGGCCGAGGAACCGGCGTTGAAGATCGACATGACGACCGACTTCTTGGTGGTACCAGCTGTGTTGGACACCATCCAAGACACAATGATGGGGTTACCGGCGAATCCGAAGGCTAGTAAATAATAGGCCGCCAACAGAGACGCCGTGCGGTCGCGAGGTAGCAGGTACAGCATCAGAATGCCGGCCAGGACAGGCAACATGAGGGCTGCCAACGGTGCAGACTTGATCTTGAGGCGGTGAGCGAGATACGCCGAGGGCATGATGACTATGACCTGTAGGGCGCCAAATGGCATATTGAGCAGCGAAGTCAAGCTCTTCTCCATGCCTATTCCTTCCAGAAGAAGAGGTCCGAAGGTGTTTGTGACGATTGTCGTGATGTTGAGTGTGAGGGCTATTCCCATGAATAACCAAGCCTTGGTCTCCAGGAGCGCCTCTTGTACGTGATTCCACTTGAATTCGCGACTTCCCGTTCCCGTCTGATTAGCACGCAGCCGCTCAATAGCCTGGAGACGCTCAAAGTCGTTCAGGAAGCGGGCCCCAGCCACATCGCTATCAAGGAACCAGTAGACTATAGGTGCCGTGACGATGGTAAGAAGGCCTACAAATAGGAATAGGATGCGCCACGACTGAAGCACCGGGTGTTCGACCTTGGTGAGACCGTAAGACACAGCGGCGGCAAAGATGGTGGCCACCCCATTGGTACTGTACCAGCAGGCAACGCGCACGGGCTGCTCAGCGCGACGGTACCACTGCGACGTGATGACGGAGAACAGGGGCAGGCAGCCGGCCTCGAATAAACCGAGCAGGAACCGTGTGGCCAGGAGACTTCCATAGCCAGAACAGGCAGCCATGCACGTCTGCGCGATGCCCCAACCGAGGCACAGGGTCGGCATGAGAATGCGGTGGGGCACCCTGACAATAAGCCAGGACGAGAAGGGTTGCCATGCAAGCTGGGCAATGGGTGCAATTGAGCTGACCAGCGAATACTGGGCGCTGGACAGGTTGCAGTCCTCCCGCATCCCCGTGATAGCCCCATAGCCGAGTGTAGATTTGTCGAGAATTTGGAGAAAATATACCCAGGTAAGAATGGTCAGGATGTGAAGATCCGTCTTATGCCGGATTCGTCTATCCTAAAAACCGATGGAAGAGGCGCGGTCAGCCACGACGTCAAAGGATAGAGTGATGACAAGCGGATGGGAAGTTAGGATGGTGTTTCATCTCACATCTTCTTCTGTAACATCAACGTGCTGATCGCCAATGAGCTCAGCAGCTCTGTCAGCACCTTTGCCGATGTTGACTCGTTTTATCAGGCCCGGGTCGACGTTCTCCTCGAGTGTTTGTGAGGCTACCTCCTCCAGATCTGGTGAGCTTTTCATTCTGGATGACCGGGGGGGGTAAAGAAGGAAGAAAGCTTCGGGGTTTAGGATATGCTAGGAAGGGCTGCCTGACGTAGTTTAGAGAGAGCAAGAGGTCCATCTTATATGACAACTACAAGATTTATCCATCAATACTCAATACGACCCCGCGTCTCTCGGCCTATTATACTCCGTGGTCCTATCTTGCCTTGAATTCCATGGGGGCCATCCGGCAATTCTAACACACGGAAACTACCTTGGAAAGACAACATATCCACTTCCCCGCATCCCCAAATAATAGATCTATAATCCTCAAATGGAGACTTGGAAACCCGATTATGGCATCATTGTATCGTCTAATAGCAAATTTTCCCGTGTCGCCGAACTTGTTCAGAGGACAAAGCAGTAGAAATGGTACCGAAACAGCTTGCAGTGATCTGGCTATTACTTCCAGACATCATCACCTGGCCTGATGGCATGACACTTCCGGTATAATCCCCCAAGGGCCAATGGTAATGTTTGCGAGATAATACGTCACATGCTGTCTTAAGGTTGACCTTCATCTGCGTCTAGTATCCCCACCGGAGGTTTCAGCGCTGAGAAAAAGCGTGGGGGTTTGGTTGGGGGTGAATCCCGAGAAGATTTCACTGACTCATTCATACATCCTATTGAGAATAAGAAATAATGCAAAGGTTTTGACTACTTCATTGAACACGGTATATGGTAGATTCATTGGTATTGTTCACTGCATTACTTGAAGGAAGATGAGGTCAATAGTATATACGTTACGATTACACATCATGGAAAATATTTGTGCTCGTCCTAGAACCATTCAAGAAGCTCAGGGAGGGACGTGTGAATCCTCAGGACAGCAGGAACCATCAAATCTAACTCTACATGTCTCATCCGTAGAAGCATGTCTGTGTGCAGAAAAGCAGATATGACCTTTGGGCTGCAACCAGATTTTTGGACGTGGTCCTCACATTATCGACAACTGAAATTGCCTTGTGGGGTGTAGGGTGATACAATAGCAAAAGTATACTATTGCAGCAGCCGTCCTCTCCATATTAAACACGTATATATAGACTAACAACGTAAGCAACTTTGATATTCAGCAATAGGCTACGGCGTTGTCCTAGAGAGAAAGGGGGGTACATTGGCTTGTACTAGATGCTGAGCAGTAAGTCGCTGACGTCGACGGAGTTATGCTTATTGGTGCGAAAGGCAATGTGGGATAATACATAGCAATACGATGATAGAAAACGGGTAGCGGCAACAGATGGACTTTGAACACATTGCACCAAGATTCGCCTCAGCTTCGCTTCGTGATTCTACCGACATGTTCAATCGACAAAGCAAGGCCCTTCCAGAGAGGCATGTAAGCATCGCTAGAGCTTCGTTTGAAGTTGAAAGTCACAGCGTCTGTATGTAAGAGTACAGCCGATATGACTTAACTATCGATCACTCCCTTAGAGCTTTCCATTAGACCATATGGCAGAAACTGGGTTACCGGGCAATCTTATTGCCGTAGAATGGGAGGCACATCGCTTCATTATTTCAGTCATGATGGAGCTGGTATGCATGCTGTGCACTTTCTCTATATTCGGTTCTTTTATGCAGTTCGGAGGAGCCTATGACACGTACTGTATGTTCTGCCATAACAGCAATGGGCGTACAGCGATAATGTCACAGTAGGCAAATTGTATGCAAGTGAGTGCCTGTTTCGACATTGAACTTCGAGAAACCAGCCTCTTGTATCCTATAGAGAGGCCCATGTCATGCCGCACAAGGAGCTTGAGAACCAATGACAACGTTCATGTTTCCATAGAAGCCTGGGCTGCCGGGTGTGCTTATCCACCCGGGAGGACGAGTGGTATGGTGATTGTGCACAATAGGAAGTCATACGGCCTAGTGAGGTACGTAAGAAAGAGACATTGGGCTGAAGAAACGGAAATGAGGCGGGTCTGAGCAATATGCATCTAGACTTCTAGAGTAACCCCCACGCCGGCTCCAGTTGCATACCATCTAATGCGGGGGAACCAGATTGTTTGCGGGGGAAGCGGAGTCGGACGTTTTGCCGGTCATACGGTCATGTGGTAACTGAATAGCTCAAGTACACAAAGCGAGATGTCAGCACCGTCATGTCCGGGGTAATGTTGTCAGTGCCTTCTCGTACACACGATTAAAAGACTATATGTAGTTGTAATGGGAAGCCCAGGTGGAACTTGACCGTCTCGGCTATGTATGAATCCGCTCCACCTATTTAATTCCTCTGTTCCCGCTACCTCTATACGTGAAAAGTCGTCCCCCTTTTTCTTCGCGGGAATTGTTCACTCATAAGCTCAAGGAGCCATGAAGGTCAGCTTCTATAACCTTGGCATTGCGCTGTTTGCCGCAATAGGCACGTTCCTATTCGTATGTGTACTCTCGAATGCAAGGTCCATTCTCCACCCTCTTGTAGATGCGAAAGCTGATTCATAATTTCAATACGCAGGGCTTCGACACCGGCATTGCCACAACAAGTTCGTCATGATCGTGCCAAGGTCGTGGAATTTGGGTATTCTAACAAATTCCTTCAGCCATCGCACATGGAAGTTGGATTTCATACATGGGAAATCCATCTAATGGCTTGACTGGAGCGGTACCATACGTGTTGAACCGCCCTTTTGGAGAACAGCTCTAACATGGTGCTCAGGTTGTCGCCGTATACATTGCTGGAGAAGCTGTTGGTGCTCTCCTGCAAACGGCCGTAGCCGATCAGCTAGGTCGTGTTCGCTTCATGAAAATGATGTGCGTCATCGTCACGATTGGAACAGCCATCCAGACTGGATCAGTAAATCTTGGAATGTTCTTGGCCGGCCGAGCTCTTGCAGGAATCGCTGTAGGGTATAGTACAATGGATCAAGAGAAGCCACCCCGGTCATCAAGACAGCCGCTAACCAACTGTCTGCCTTGAAGAGGTATGGTGGCAACAGTGCCCATCTACCTTAGCGAGATTTCCCCTCCTCACACGCGTGGCTTGATCGGAGGCATTTCTGGTTGTGGTATCTCATTTGGGACCATGGTATCGAACTGGGTTGGCTTCGCATGCTCACATGCTCCTTATGGAGCTGCACAGTGGCGCCTCCCTCTCGGCATCCAGGTTCCGTGGGGCATCATCATGTTTGTCGGACTCAGCACATTCATGCCGAATTCCCCACGGCAGCTAGTCCGCCAGGGAAAGATTGATGAAGCCAAAGTTGAATTTATAAAGACGCGCAGAGAGCTCGAGACTTACCATGTTGACGAAGAGTTCACATTCATGCTCCAACAGATTCAGTTTGAGAAGGAGCGGGAGGTGACCTCCTACAAGGAGATCTTCAGACTATTCCGACGCCGTGCACTGGTGTCCATTGCGGTACAGACCATGACGAGCTTGACAGGCGTCAATGTTATCCAGGTGAGAGATCTTCCAGCACTGTAGCGCAGTTGCTATTGAATGAAGAGATTAACATGGCTTCTTAATAGTACTATCAAAGTATGTCTCTTCAAAGGGGGCGGTACCAAGACTGTCTGTACCTCTAACATCTACCAGCGATCCTATATAAGGGCTTGGGTATGAGCCCAAATACGATCCTTGCCCTGGCTGGCGTTTATGGAACCATTACTTTTGTCTCAAACGCAATCACCACGTTAACCCTCACTGACCAGTGGGGACGTCGCAAGTATGTCTACAGTCCCATCTCTGCTACCGTGGAGCATCTCTCATGTGTCTCTAGAATGATTCTTTGTGGGCTGTCGGGAGTCATCCTTGTTGAGGTCTACGCCGCCGTAATGCAGAATCAGTTCCAAGACACCAACAACAAGATCGGCAAAGGCTTTACCGTCTTGGGCATCTACCTCTTTGCCGTCATTTACTGTACGCACTGCACTCATACTTTTCAGATTGGACCAGGGAAGGGTGAGGGTCTCTATACTTACAAAGATTCTGTTTCCAGATGGAATGCTGAATAGTACGACGTGGCTCTACGGCGCTGAGGTCCTGCCAATAGCTCTACGAAGCAAGATTATGGGACTCGCAGCTGCTTCCCACTTCGTTGTCAATGTCGGAAGTACGCACTCAATTTGATCCCTTTTTTTTTCGTTCTTCACCTTTATATATGCTAACCGCTTTTCAAAACAGTTACTGAGGCAGGCCCTAGCGCATTTGCCAATATCAAAGAGAGCTACTACTATGTTTTTGTCGGCTGCAGCTGTTTCTTTCTCGTAATAGCTTACTTTTACTTCCCGTGAGTCTGCCTACCTTTCTTGATCTCATGTGGTCACGGAGGGCTAACATGCAGGCATTTTAGTGAAACTAAGAAAAAGGGATTGGAGGAGATTGCGGCTGCATTTGGGGACAAGGTTGTCACGGCAAAGGATACAAAGACGGGCATGGAGCCTACTGTAGAGCATAGAGTAAAAGTCTAGCTGGCGAGTCTGCACGCTGATGTACGCTTGTAATGTTTGTCGATATATAGATGAACACGGCCGATGGAGATGCTATATCGACAAGAGGAATCAAGGAAATATGCCTCCAGAGGGCAACCAGATTGGCTTGACCTCCAACTGCAAGGCCGTACAGTCATGATCCAACGACATGTAATTGGCACTAGGCAGTTACCAGTACGGAAGGAATGGGTTTGAAATTATTCCTGCAAAAAAAACGTTCAGTGAATGCATCTACTTAGTCTGGATGTAGTGGTCAAAGTTGAGCACTGACTTGCCCAAAACCTCACAGCTTTTGGCGCAGTCCTCCTTGGAAGTCCATTCCTTAGCCGAATGACTGATCCCGTCCTTTCCACGGGCAAATACCATGGCAGTGGGGACGAGCGTCGTCATCATGGTGGAGTCGTGAGCTGTACGGGTGATGGACTCGATGCCATCGTCGCCGCAAGCCCGACGCACACAATCGACGGCTTCGGGCCAAAACTCACCAGGCGGAAGGTCTAGGTCACGGTGGTACCTCATCTCTAGGCCGTGCATGTCGGCAATGGCCTTCATCTTAGTCTCGGCGGCGGAGCTCATAGCCTTCATTCCGCTATGCTCCACATGCATGAGACAGAAGGCCAGGTGCACGTCGGACTGGATGTTGCACGAGCCTAACGGCCCGCTGCGAATGTTGGTGGCCGTGGTGGAGCCACCATTGTCATAAGCGAGCTTCTCCAGCTCGGTGATGATCTTAGCCGCACCCATGAGGGCATCACGACGTCCGTACATGGGGTATGTGTTGGCGTGGCCGTCGTCGCCCCTGAGGTTGACAAAGTCTGTATATGCGACACCGCGTTAATTATACAACCCTGTACCCTAGCCCAGAGATGGCACTTACACCACACCATGCCCTGCCAGCCTTTGACCCATCCGACAGGCTTCCCGGCCTTTTCTAGGTCGGTGTACTGCTCGACGTGGATTTCAAAGTGGGCTGAAATGGGGAACTCCTCAAACGTGTTGGGCCCGTCGCCAATGTAGCCAATCTTGGCCAATTCAGCGCCCAGAGTCACACCAGAGCCGTCGTGGGTTACTGAGGCTTGGGCCTCTTCGAGTGTCGACCGTCCTACATAGACGCACGAAGATCCGAGGGGAGGGAAGAATCTAGCTCCCTCCTCGTTGGTCCAGTTAATGAGGGCGATGGGGGCCTTTGTCTTGATGCCCTGCTCCTTCATACTGCGGATGACCTCAAGTCCTCCAATGACCTGCATATCAGAATCCGAATCAGCCATATGCAGACCATAGAAGTAGAAGACTTGCGCCGTACACCTAGGGGTCCGTCAAACTTTCCACCAGTGGCAACGCTATCGAGGTGGCTGCCCATGGCAATCGGGGGAATGCTCCTATCACCCCAGTCAAATAGAGCAAACTGGGACCCTGTGCCATTGACCTGGTACTCGGCTCCCAAGGCAGTTACCTGCTCGCGAAACCAATCCTTGGCCATCTTGTCCTCGGGGGTGGCTGAGAGACGAGTAACACCTCCGGGGGACGGGAGACTGAATTGCGCTGTGTAGTGGATATCGCCCCTTTGTACAGTCAACTTCTAGTCCAACTTTGCATTGCATAGGACGGGATGAGTCGAGCTTACCATAGTCGATCTCCGTTGATGGTGAACTCCTGAGCAAGAAGGGAATTGGAGTCCGAGGCATAGAAGCGAGGACGGAAGCTCTCACAACGAGTCGGAGCTATGCTCATCCTCTTGAAGGCCACGCTGGTCAGCGAGGCTGACCTCCGGGACATGGCGATGTTGCACTTCATGACGTTAAATTGTGCAGTATACAAAATGTCGATGAGAAGGACTGGGTTGGCTATGTCTGTATACAAATTCTTTTTGAATTGAGGGAGATTTTATGTTATACGGGATAGTTCACATGTAACATATATGAATGTCTGCGCATAGCTTCTAATCAGCACCCCCATCCTGAAGCTGGACGCCGAACGCCGAGATGATGATGTATGCTTCCCTCTCTCACCTATCTATGAACCAGGAGCTCTGCTTCCCCTGGCCCCGCATCCTTCGGTAATAAGACCTGGATATAGTTCCTCTTATCTGGTGGCTTACACGAGGTTGCATCAGAATGGACAAAACGACGACTCTAATAGTAAATTCCGGAGTCGGGCTCCGCGCCCTGACCCAACCCTGTGTAATACTGTCTCACCGGCTCACCGGCTTCCCGTCCATCCCATGCCCATCTAGTACTGCGTCTTCGAAGTCTTATCGGTCAGCATATAATACTCATGGAGTAGACCTCCCACCCCAGCCCCTGGGCAGTCAGATAGCCGTTGATTAGGGAATGACCATCTGCCGAAAATATGATGACTTGCAACATCCGTGTATGTTTTCCAGTTCCAGAATGTGTGGGCGCCATTTCATTGGCATGCTAATCTGAGAGCATGTGTATTGTAGAGTTTTCGATAATAATTAGGTACTATTTAAAGGCTCAAGATGGTTGTTATCTGCATGCTGCAGTTACAAGGTTTCTCATCCCGTTAAGTTCTTGCATGATGTAAACGTGGTTATCTGTATCCTGATTTGGATGCGGTTTTTTCGGCGTTGGCAGACGTGAACAGAAGTAAATCACTCCAGTGTATTGCATCTCTTGTGTGGAGATTATGTTTTTGATCACAACATACCGTGACAAAACAATGGCGTAAGTTTCGTAGGTCTAAACTAGTCGGGCTCTCCCTACCACAATAATCAGCGGGTATTTTGAATGGCACCCGCTCAGTTATTATCATGATTTATTATATTACCAAGGTTCGAACGCGTTAGTCTGGGGTAGTCGTAGTGAACCCCCGTCCTGTTCGATACAGGAGATGTCGGCTTTATATGTCTGGTCTGCGTGGAGCATGAGCAATATACAATATCCGATGTTTTCAAATTCGTCTGGTCAAAAAACCCTTATTTATTCAATCAGCCTTATGCCTGACTATACCTCACATAATGATATTGAATGTGTGCTGGGCTTGGCTGCTTCACACCTATATCCGCCCGACGCAGAGCACTGGATTATGGAATTCCACGCCGACACGGCATCATTTCACGTTGGCCTTCTCACAAAAAGGACAACTGGAGACTTACGGCCCTTGTTATAACGAATATTGACTTACAGGATGGCCTCGTTCTTATCATCGTCGCCGTCACGGACCCATAATTTAGAGAAACGCGTGGGCCACCTGAGCGCAACAGAAGTGCCGATACCAATTGGTCGAGAGGTCCCTTGTTGTTCGAAATGAAACCACGGCTATGGTCCCTACTATTGAGTCCTGGTATGCCTTGATTGCCGAGAGGGGGGGAGGGGGTAAGGAGAAGGTCATCAAATAGGCGGCCGGGATTGATATGCACACTCGGGCGATAATCGACCTATTATCTCACCCCCTCACTCATATGCCGGAGGCGCACATTCGTCCGTTATAACATGCCATCATTGCGATATCAGTACTAAGACTTCAGTAGCGACAATCTGTTCTGAATATCCAACCCCTTCGAAATCTGGCAGCATCCCATGTGAGCCTACATCATAGGATTGGTACCCCAGCGTCGGAAGCTGGGACTAATGAGCCGATTGATCAACAACTGGCGTAGAGTAAAAAAAAGATTCAATAGATAGAGGCGTAGTCGATCACACCTCTCTGCATCCCTTATCTCTGCTGTACTCTCGCATTGCAACCTCACGACTGCATGCCTCCAGAGATAAGACATGTTGGCTCATTCGCCTTTCCATTCCGTTGCCACCGATGGAGGGCATCTCCCGTTGCAGCAGCTATCAGTTGATACCACATAGCTATAGAATCACGTCGATTGCAGTATCTGTATGTTGGGACATCTGGGTGCGGTCAAGATGTGACAAGAAGGGGGGATCAACCGCTGAACCAGAGCGTCGGGAAGCTGATATCCTACTCGAGAATTCTTCGTTTATTTTCACAATCGAGTATCATCTCTGGAAAGCTCCAGTCTCTAACCACGATCTGTTGAAGAGATATAATGGCTAGCGAAACTGTCATCCTCCCCCAAGGGGCGGGATACGGTGTCGTCGTCGGCATTGGTTTCTTCTTTGCACTGCTCATGGCAGGAATTACTTGGCTTCAGGTGAGTTTCTCTCTGTCGCGATGGCTGTTGCAGAAGATACATGTACACCTGCTGAACTAATGTCCAGAACCGCTACACTGATTACTCTACCAGGGGGAGTGAAGAGTTCAACACAGCCAGTCGCAGCGTCAAGGCTGGTATGGTGGCTAGTGCCGTCGTTTCTGCTTGGACATGGGCAGCTACTCTCCTCCAGAGCTCCACGGTAACCTATGAGTATGGAATCTCAGGTCCATTCTGGGTAAGTGATATCTTTCTCAACTGTCTCTCTGGGGCTCCCTTAAGCTAACCATACATGGCGATACAGTGTAAGTGCATACATTCTCGTACTTCAACACACAAATCACATCTACAGCTGTCATGCTAGCTGTTGCTCGACGTTAAAGTAAGTACTGACATGGATTTAGACGCTGCCGGTGCCACAGTCCAGATCTTCATGTTCTCTGTCATAGCCTGCAAGGTCAAGCAGAATGCCCCACGATGTCACACGTTTCTCGAGATTGTTTACGCGCGATATGGCCCGGCCACGCACATCGTCTTCATCTGCTTCGCCCTTACTACGAACATTCTCGTCGCAAGCCAGTTACTCCTCGGAGGAAGCGCCGTGGTCACATCACTCACGGGAATGAACGTCTATGCTGCCGTGTGGCTCATTCCCATGGGTGTAGCAGTATATGTTGTCCTTGGTGGTCTGCGAGCCACGTTTTTCTGTACGTTTTGCGTCTGATACTCCCGCATTCGGTATATAACTGGAACCTGGCGCTGACTTCGATGAATGGCAGGCGACTACTCTCACACCGTAATCGTCATGATCATCATCCTGTACTTCATGTTCAACACCTATGCTACCAACGACCTCATCGGCTCCCCGACAGCAATGTACAACCTCATCAAGAAGGCGGGCGAGGAGCGCCCCGTCGCAGGAAACTATGAGGGCTCCTACCTCACCATGAAATCCAACCTCGGTCTGGTATTCGCCGTCATCCAGCTGTGTTCGGGGATGGGCACCGTCTTCCTCGACCAAGGCTACTGGCAGCGCGCTATTGCCAGTCGTCCCTCCACCGCCGTAAAGGCCTACATCCTTGGCGGTCTGGCGTGGTTTGCCATCCCCTTTGGCTTCGCCACGACGCTGGGTCTTGCGGCCGTCGCCCTGACCGACCACCCGAGTTTCCCGACGTACCCTAACAAGATGACAGATGCGCAGGTGTCGTCCGGGCTCTCGGCCTGCTTCGGTGCCCAGACGCTCTTGGGAACGCATGGAGCTATTGCCCTGCTCATCACACTCTTCATGGCTGTGACGTCGTCATCATCTGCCCAGCTAATTGCCGTGTCGTCCATTCTGACTTTTGACATCTTCAAGACCTACATCAAGCCAACTGCTACGCCCAAGCAGCTCATCATGGTGGCCCACGTCATGATTTGCGTGTTTGCCGTCGTCATGGCCCTTTTCGCATCTATCTGGAACATCATCGGCATCAGCCTTGGATGGCTCTTTGTCGTCATGGGCCTCATCATTGGCGGCGCCGTCTTCCCCGCTGCCTTTACCGTTACCTGGAAGGGCCAAACCCGTCTTGCGGCCATTGTCGCGCCACCCTCTGGTCTGGCTGCTGGCCTGACCGCTTGGCTCGTTGAGGCCGAGGTCTATTACGGTACCCTCAATGTCACCACTACTGGATCTCCCTACCCAACACTGGCTGGCAACATGGCCGCCGTCCTGACTGGTCTTATCGTCTCCATTGTTGTGTCACTCGTATTCCCTGACAAGAAGACGTTCAACTGGGAGACTACCCGCAACATCAACGTCCACATTCCCATGGGGGCTGCCGTCCGAATGCCCGCTAGCGAGGGAGAGGGGGAGGTAGAGGGTGAGAAGTGTGACGACGATAACCGGAATACTGTTGCAAGGCCTGATACTGAGACCGCCGACGGAAGCGTCTCTGCAGAGGCTCCGACACCTAACGAGTCCGCCGAAGAGGGCGATAAGTCTTCATATCCGCAGCTTCAATCCCTCCGAAACCCAGAAGCTCTCGAAGATGAAAAGTTCCTGGAAAACCCCAAGGCCCTTCGTCGCCACTACTGGATCGCTCTTGTCCTCTCCATCGTCCTTTCATTTATAATGGATTTCCTAGTCCCCATCCCCATGTTTCTCTCCCACTATATATTTTCCCATGACTTCTTCTATGCCTGGGTGGTCATCTCATTCATCTGGGTATTTGCCGCTATGGGTATCTCTGGGCTTCTTCCTCTCTGGGAAACGCGACATTTCTGGAAGGGGTTCTTCCGTGAAATTGCTCGCAGGGAACACAAGGAGCAGAAGGCTTGAGAAATGTCCTACGTGGGCGTTGATATTCGCAATATCGTGAAGGAGGGAAGTGGGGAACTGGAACTGATGGCTCAGAAAATATGTCAGTGACGATAGATTGTCGATTTCGAGGTTATGATACTACTATGATAGATGTTGAGATTATATGCTCTTCTTCGCTCTCTTTTTTCTCCTTTTCATCTTCTCTCTCTCTTAGACGGGTGCTGAGCCATGTCTTTACCACTCAGACTTATCCATTCTTAACAAGCCCTTACGCACGTCTGACAGAGAAGCTCCGATGAAGTTTGTGATTGCCGCATTTCTTGAATAAACGCATGGTTGATCTTAGTTTGTGGTGACAACTCCTGGCTATTTCGACCATCATCAAGTGGTGTGATTTTGTGCTTCAGATGGGAGAGCTTACGTGAACCAGGCTTGGTCTGTAGGTTATCCTGAAACCTCTTCTCGCGATCAGGAAGAGCGTTGAACGCTTTGGAGAGTCGCCCCATGAACTCTTCATCCATGAGAGAGTTTATGCTGTGCTCTCTTTTTTTTTATACTTTTTTTTATATATTTCTCGATATGAACTATCGGGTTATCGGGATAATTGGATTTCGTCATACCCACTAGTTTCGAGGATGCTATGGCGCAATTGAACGTCCCACTGCAGGTTGCACTGCAGGTCGTAAGCTAATGGACGATTCACTCTCAATCAAGCCTTTGACAGCGTGATAAGATCCAGAAACAGGGCTGAATCGCATAGATCCTATTTGTCGGGATGGTTGGGTTCATCCTTTGAACAAAGAGTGCACCAAACCGATCTAAAGCCTGCCCACCAACAGTAATACACCAGCAGTACACCAGCAGTACGTACAGCTGGCTCGGTGGTCACCCTTTAGAGTGAATATTCAATCTTGGAAAAGCAGCTGCCGGTTGTGAGTACTCCCAAGATTCAGGTATAACTGCAGGTACAGACCGTTAGCCACTTAATGACATTCCTCTCAGAGACTTGAGATTCTATCTCGCCGTTATTAATGTGCAATCTGAGAGGAGGAGCCCAATACCACGGCCATGCAACCTTAGCTCATAAGGCAGACCGAACTGGGAATGGGTTGGTCCCATGTCATTTGCGGATGAGAAGAAAGATGAGACATACAAATATCAATATTCAAGTTTCGAGATGATTGATGGCATGAAGACGAGAATGCTGGAGAAATGCTTCACTTTCCTGGCAGTATTATTAATCCGTGTCGCTCCTGCCTCCTAGTCTTACAGTAATTGGGAATCGATCATTGGCGGTCTCGACAGTGGCCTAAAGTGAACTATACATGTAACTGTACAGATTACTAGTGGTGTACGGAGTATTCACAGCAATACTGTATTAATACGGAGTACAGCGCAGGGTATTAATACCTGCAGGCTACGGGTTACGGGCTCAACTATTGATGGGTGCATGGATGGAGGCGTCCAGTCACTTTTGCACCGGACTCTAGCTCAGTTGCTTCCGCCCCACAGTAATGTGATGTCAGGCGCTACCAGAGAGCCATCAGGGTTCCTTCCTGCTTCGGCATCCCCAACCCCGCGAGACTTGACCTTGCATCTACCATACACCGCTCCTGGCCCCATCGGTTGCTTCATGGACGCACCGAAGACGGCCTGGCACTAGCTGCTCTCTCCATTAGAATTAACAAACTACGAGAAATGATGCTGTCGCCGACGACGGTGCTTGCCGTGGCCGCCGCGGCTGGCTTGGCCAATGCCGCTCAGCCTGGTGCTGTCCAGCCAGTTGAGGCTCCCATGCGCAGCCTGACCTGGGGCCAGATCAACTTCCTCCACACGACGGATACACACGGCTGGCTCGGCGGTCACCTTTTAGAGTGAGTACACAATCATCAATAGTTTCATGCCTCGTCTCGGCGTAAGGCTGACACGGGAGAAGACCCCAATACTCAGCCGATTGGGGAGATTACATATCTTTCTCGCACCACATGCGCAATAAGGCCGACAGCCGCGGATCCGATCTCCTTATTATCGACACTGGAGACCGCGTCGAGGGCAACGGCCTGTATGATGCTTCTTCTCCCAAGGGGCTTTTCCAATACGGAATTTACGCCGAGCAGGATGTTGACATCCTCTGCACCGGAAATCACGAGCTATACCAACCTTACTCGATCGAGCGTGAACACAACACCACGGTGCCCAACTTCAAGGACAATTATGTGGCGTCAAACCTTGATCATGTTGACTTGGAGACGGGCGAGCGGTCACCCATGGCCCAGCGCTTCCGCAGGTTCAAGACAAAGAACCAGAACCTCGACATCATTGCCTTTGGTTTCATCTTTGACTTCACTGGCAATGCCAACAACTCAGTGGTTCAGCGCGTTGAGGATACTGTCAAAGAGGATTGGTTCCTTGATGTCATCAAGGAGAAGCCTGATCTGTTTGTCGTTACCGGCCACATCGGACTCCGCATGGAGGAATTCGAAATAATCTTCAAGGCCATGCGCAAGGAAAATTGGCACACGCCCATCGCCTTCTTTGGAGGGCATGCGCATGTCCGCGATACGCGTAAATTTGACTCACTGTCGTTTGCCATGGCTAGTGGCCGATACATGGAGACAATTGGCTGGATGTCAATTGATGGTATCAAGCGCAGCGAGGATGATACGTCGATTGAGGCTACACCCAGCTTCTCCCGCAAGTACCTCGACAACAACCTCTACGGCATGTATCATCACACCGGCCTGAACGAGTCCACATTCCCGACCGACAAGGGAACGAGGGTCAGCAAAGCAATCCACCGCGCTCGTCAGGCCCTGGACCTTGATTATCAGTTCGGGTGTGCCCCCCAGAGCTACTGGATGAGCCGCAAGCCCTACCCGCACAAGGACAACATCTACTCCCTTATTACAGATGAAGTCTTCCCGGGCGTTGTCATCAATGAGAAGCGCAAGGACAAGGCTCGGATTGCCCTCATCAACACCGGAGGTATCCGCTTTGATATTTTCCAGGGTCCTTTTACCCGCGACAGCACTTACATCGTGAGCCCGTTTGTCAGCGGATTCCGATATGTGCCTGACGTGCCGTGGAAGGTGGCCAAGAAGGTGAATGATCTCCTCAATAGCGGTGGCCGTATCTTTAGCGCAACTGGCCTCGACACCAAATTCATGGCCAACCCCGATCAAATGGAACCCATCGTTCAGAGAGTCGAGGAGAACCCACATCTCGAGCTGCGCAGTGTCCAGGAGCCTCTCGGAAAGAGCCAGCCCGATCTTATCGGCGGCTACACCACAAAGGACGACGTCGGTACGGACGGCGACGACACGGTGCATGAGAAACTAGAGTTCCACGCGCAGCCCAACAGTATCCAGTCAGAAATCGCCTTCCCCGCTGACGGGAGTGACCCCGAGACGGTGGACGTCGTCTTCATCGACTTTATTCAGCCGTGGGTCATCCCGGCCCTCAAGTTCAGCGGAGGTGACTACACCGACGATGATGTGAAGCAGTACATGGAAGGCACTTTTACATACAAGTTCTCGCAGTGGATTTCAGAGAACTGGAAGGGCGAGTGCTAATAGTAGTTTTATTTTTCTGGTTACTTATCAGGACGCAGAGCAAGAATGGGAATGTTAATTTTCAACGCGATCAACAATAGAAAGCACATCAAGTTTATTTATAACGCATTTTTCTGCCTTCCCGTACCTCTTGTCCTTGTCCCTTTTCATCGCTTAGAACGTGTTCATTGCCGAAAGCGTATTTCCTGCCATCTCCTCTCTACTTCCCCGCCACCTAGATTTCATACATTATATCCGCGACATCTAAATGGCTCCGCAATTTACATGGGTGCCTCCCAAATGCGGTTGATCTGCTTGCTACGGACCTTGAAGGTTGTTAGTATATCAAATCATAGAACATATATAAAAGAATGACGTGAAGAGGGAAACATACCATGGGGGCCAAGAACACGACACCACCAAACAAGGCAACGACAGTGAGTATCAGACTAGCCTTGTTAAAACCCTTGCCGAGGATATCAAAGACACCGCTGGGCGCGACGCGCGTAGCAAAGACGTCAACGCCATACGCTACGACGAGACTTGTGCTCTCCACGACAGCGGGGGCGGCGACAATGGCACGAACACCAATGACATCGCGCTCGTGGGAGACGATGCTTCGCGGATCGACCTCCAGGGCGGCGGCGTAGCGCTGGAGACCCTCAGCCTCCATCTCGGCAGGGGTGGGGTCCCGTCCCACCGGGCGACGGGGGTCGACGGCCATACGGGGAATGCCGACGATGGCGTGCGTCTCGGGCATATAGGCTAGGACCTGCCGGTTACTGATTCCTTGGCGGGTCTGGGTGACTGTCATCTTGTCGAGTGGCTGGCCGGTGACCCACGTCTGGGAGACGACCCAGGGGAGCGGCGGGGCCGTAGGCCTGTCGACGGGCTCAAGGGAAGACGAATTGGCCGCATCGCCGAGCGGGCCGCGGTCGTTGGGCGCAGCAGACTCGTACAGATCCGACGAAGCGATTTGGTATCCCTTGACTAGGCGGCCGGTGCCGTCGTTGAGATTGTACTGCCCGAAGAAGGAGCACACGTGCCAGTTTTCGGCCATGGTGCACGACACGGATTTGGTGCCATCGACGCCCTCGTACTCTTGCGAGGCAAGGATCTGGCCCGAGACCGTGTCCACGGTGCGGACAGATAGCGTGGACGCCTCTGAGTTGACGAGAGCCACAGTGATGCTGTTGGGGTTCAAGTACTTGTACTGTACGCTGCGGTCGCCAAGGACACGGCCAATAGAGGCAACCGGGTCGTGGAATGCGCGCGTGGCAATGTCAGCGATATGCTGGTCGGGGAGGGCCTGGAGCTGCCAGACTTCCTGCTTCTCGAGCTTTTCGCCACTGGTGACGATCTTGAAGCCCTTGAGCACGTCCTTGTTGTCCCGGATGACAATGGTGTCCTTGGGAACCTGATCAGTGGGAATGTCGCCGAGGAGCTTGCCCTCGGAGTCAAAGGACAGAAGCCAGGGGCCGTTGGCACCCTCGACAACGGAAGCGCTGGTGACGGCAAGTGGGGCCTCAGGGACGACGACGCTGAGGACCTCGCCAGTGATGGCGTTAATCTCGACATACTCACCCTTGGAGCCAGATGCGATGACGGTCGAGTGTGTTCCCTCCTTGGACACAATGCCTTTGATATCTAAGGACTGGCCAGCCGGCTGGGGGAAGACAAGAGTTGACCACACAATACGGCCACCGTTACCAGTATCAACACCGTAGAAGCGTCCACGACGGGTGGCCAGGACAATGATCTTGTTGAAGCCAAACGAGTCGCGATGGAGCTTGCCATCCGTCGGGGAGGACACCTCGCCAACGACGCTATCAATGAAGCGCCTGGGTATCGACTGGATCCAGGCAGGAAGGTACTGCAGGTCATTAACATGACGGTTGATACGGTGAATATAGGCAGAGATGGGGTTAGTGTGAGCCTCCTGCTCGAGAACCTTCGCCAGATCTTCATCTTCGGGGACATCAGCCCAAACAGCTGCGACGGCTCCACTAAGGCCCTCAGGACGGGCCCAGTCCTTGGCGCCGTTGCGGACTAGTACCCAGTCTTCGTCTACGGTGACGACCGCCGAGCGAACAGCATAGTCGTCACTGCTTGGCTTCTTGACGACTTCGGAGACGGCGCGGACGGGCTTGATGTTGCTAGCCTTGTCCAAGGCCCACCGGGCAAGAACGCCATGGGACTCGGACGAGACGATGATGGCTTCGTCCTCAGTGATGCGAGTGAAGTACACGTTGCCGGCGTCTGAACTTGTGGAGAAGGCATCCTGAGACTCGAGATGAGGGAGTTCGTAGGCTTTTTTGATCTGGCCATTTTTCAAATTGGTGTGGTAGACCTCAGCTTTGCCACCCGACGCGCTCCTGGCGTGTACCAAGAAATGCGGCTGAGACTGAAGCTTATGGGGGGCGTAGACAGAGACGGAAGTAGTGCCGGACGGTAGGGAGATTTCTTGCTTTCCTTTTGCGCCTAGGATGTGAACACTGAGCTTCGACAGGGAGCTGTCGGTCCAAGCGACAATGGGGGCAGCTGAGTTGGCGCCAACAAACATGACATCGGCAGCGGTCTTGACGTCACCCTTGGACCCGACGACCCAGTCATTAACACGCGAGCCCGTGGCCGTGTCGAGTGCCGTGACCTTGAGGTTGTAAGATCCAGGCGATCCGTGGAGCGAGATGACGTGGATGTTGGCAATGTTGGTCGATACCTGCAGGGGCACGTCCTTGTTGTGGTTGCGGAACTCCCAGATGACGGTACCGAGGGCGCCATGGATGCGTCGCAGGACAGTGACGCCCTCCTCATCAAAGAGGGCCAAGACATCCTTACGCGGCGTCTCCGTCATTTCCATAATCTCCAGATCCCTGACCTGCCCATCGAATTGGGTCGTCCAAACGTTCCTGCCAGACAGGGCGCTCCAGGCGTGTACAGACGAGCCGTGCGCCGCTACCACCCAGTCCTCGTCCTCCGGGGCGCGAAAGTGAACCCCGCCACCAACACCGTCATCATTCGTGATGGGGGCACCGTTGTCCGATATCTGACGACGCCAGACAATGGCGCCGTTGCTCGGGTTCACGGCACCAAAGACGCCAGAATCGCCCGCCGTGTACAGGAGGCTCGCCTTGTCGTCCTTGCGCGGGCGGTGGAAGAAGGTCGTCTCGGACTGCGGCAAGCCAAATAGGGCGTGGTGGAAGTCGACATGACCGACTTCATCCTGGAATACAGCCGCTGCTGGCGACGAAGAAACCGCCAGCAGCAGGAAAAAGTTGACTAGGCGCCACATGGTTTGTCTATCATGGGCTTTGGGGTGCTGTTGGAGCTACGTTTGAGCTTCGAGTTGCCTTGGCTCGCCCATGTGGCCACTGAGCCGCGGGGTGCCAAATGTGGATTAGTGCAGCTTTGGGTGCACAGGGTGGATGACTCAGCTTTTTCTGCTCCCATATAAAAGAGATATACATATACTATTATCTGTAGCATGAACAGTGAACCGAGGAGTTGAAATCATACAGCATGTTCTTCTACAAAACGTTACTGTCATGTTTTATCCAAAATCCGAATGAGAGCTGGAGATTAATATAGTTGTAAACCAAAAGCATAATATGTAATAAATACAAACGGCGCGTCAAAACTCCTTCCCAAAACCCCACCCCAAAGCTACTAGTAATACGTTATTCAGCCCGAGCACGCGTACTCGGCCCAGTAAACCATATACACAGATCTCCAAAAGAAATATCCCAATGTGATTCGCCCTCTTTATTCAGCGATAGCTGGTGAATCTGTACCGTTGCTTGCAACTTCTTCGGATTTCTTTGCATTATCATCAGCCTCCGTCGCCTTGGTCTCATGTTCTTGGGCGGAAGGCTCGTCAGCAGTAGTCGCCGGCGCAGGGGTAGTCTCATCCTTGGAAGAGTCCTCTTTGAAGTTTTCCTCCTTAGGGGATTCTCCTTTGGGAGACTCGTTCTTGGAGGTGTCATCGTCCTTAGCTCCCTCATCCTTGGAAGCAACCTGGTCCAGTCCACTCATGACAGTATCTATCAAGTCAGGCTCGTCCTTGGCGGGAGAGTATGATTCAGAGGTGGCTTCAGGCTTGGGCGCTTCTTCTTTGGGCTCCTCCAGTTTTTTCAGCTCACTATCAGCCACAGGAACAGAAGAAGCCTCCGCAGTAGCTGAGTCCTCGAGTTTCTCTTCCTTGGGGGGCTCAGCCTGCTCGGGAGCCTCCTGGATGTCAGAGGTCACCTCGGGAGGAGTAGGTTCCTTTGCTTCTTCTTTCAGCTTGTCGGCAGTACCAATAGGCTCAGGCTGAGCAGATTCAGGCTGAGACGGCTCAGCCGGCGCTGACGGAGCATTTACATATACGTCGCTCGACTCGGGCGTCTTCTCCCTTTCCTCGGTCGGCTCAGCATCATTTGAGGCAGAGGGCTTGTCAGACGAAGGATCCGCGTCAGGAGAAACAGCAGATGAGGCCTCTTCCTTATCTTGAGGAGCATCTCCGGACAATGCTTCTGAAGGTTTTTCTTCCTTTGAAGGCGAGGTTTCTTTGGGGGATGCTTTCGGCGAGGAAATGTTGCCCACTTGCTCAGGAGGTGGGAGTAGGAGAGTCGCATCCGTTGATGGCTCCTTGGCTGGGGCATCCGTCTGCAGCACCTCACTGGACGGCTCCTTGGGAGTAGAGGCTGAGCGCTCTTCTGCAGCGGCTGGCTCTTCAGCAACAGGCTCAACTGGCGATTGCGCTTCAGAGGCCAGCGCTTTTTCAACGGGAGCGTCAGTTATCAGCTCTGTCTGAGAGGTAGGGTCTGAGTTCACTGGCGGCACGGGCGATAAAATAGAGACGTTCTTGAGCGGACTGCCCTCAGTTTTGGGGGACGGAGGGGCTGGAGGAGCAATCTCGGAGGTGTTGAGAGATGACGACTCCGCGGGGACGACTGATTCCTGGTTGGTCTTCATCTCGATGTCTGCAGATTCAGCCTGAGACTGAGGTTCGGGTGCAGCGACAGGCTCCTGGATGGAGACAACATCCACCATCTCCTTGTCCTGCAGGCTTTCAGAGACCTGGGTGGTATCTCTCTGGTTGACCTCTGTCGTCTCGTCGCCCTCCCCTTCGTAGCCATCGTCGCCCTCGTCATCATCATCGTCGTTCTCATTTTCATTCTCGTTTTCGTTCTCGTCCCCATCAGCCATTTCGCTATCGACCATAGTATCTTCGACTTCATTCTTGACGCCCTGAAACTGAGTCAGATTTTCTCTGCACTTCCACGGGCGCGCGACTTGACTTACGGCTTCATCGTCGTTCTGCGGCTTGTGAGGGGCATCAACACCGGTTGGGGTAGCGACAGCTCTAGTGATGCCCCGAGAAGGCCCGTTCCAATGGCCCCTACCCTTCTTCCTGCCCCTACCAGGGCCAGCCTTCGCCTTCCTCTTGGGCGGCGGCGGCCTCCGGCGGGGCTGGGACTGGGTCGCGCCGAAAGCTTCTCCACCCTGGGCGGTCGAGACGGGCTCTATCCTGGTGGAGATGATTTCACCATCAACAGGCTGACCATCCTGTAGGGTGACATCCTCCGTGTAGGCATTACCCGCAGCGTCTATCCTCCTAACAGTGGCACGCGTGACAGTCTGGCCCGAAGCCCTGTCCTCCACCGTCTTGCTAGCGATGGTGACGGTGCCCTTTCGGCGTTTGGCGAGATATGACAGTGCTGGAGCTTCAACGTTCTTAGGGATCTGCTTCCACAGCTTTACGGTAAAGCCTTGGACCTCGTTCTCGTCCTTCTTGTCCAGCCTGTCGTTGCCGAGGATGTCCACGTCAACTTCCTCCTCCTCAACAGGCGGAGGGCGCTTGTAGAGTCGGCCGGATCTCGCAGCTCGGAGGAGCTCCTGGCTGTGCGGCGGAATCAAGGCCGAGTCTTTAGGCATGCCGTGCAGCAGTTCAACTGCCCATATGTCGTTTTGCTGCTGCTGCTCCGGGGGTGGCGGGGGCGCGACGGACGTCCAGTCCTGACGCCATTGGCGCACGGGAAGACCTTTTTCGAGGGAAACGTCAACTATCAGATGTCTCGAATGGTTTCTGCCATTGATCACAAACCTTCGAAGTCGTCATGTTCGACGTAGCCACCACGGTTGGCCGCGCGTCTAGTCTATCAGAAGCATCAGCAGTGTCGCAACGGTAAACAAATGTGCACGGGTAAGAGATACTCACACCGGGCGCCATCACGCTGCTGTGTCTAAAAAAAAGTAATTTACAGATGCAAAATCTCAAATTTGAAAAAACCACACAATATCTAAATATCAATGAGGTTTGTTAATACAGATGGGGTGGGGTCCTCCGATGGAAGATGCGCGTGGTGATTAAAAGCAGAGGCGAAAGCGATCGCGACCTGGCGCGACCGTTTCAACTATCTTTCGAGAAAAGAAGATTATGTAAGCCATTCCAAGTCCAAACAAAGACGTCGCACCGCAAAGGCAATGTGCCGAATGCCATAATATATATAGCATATCTAATTGGTTTTATTTTACGCATATGGGAAATGAAATACGGTATTATCTAGTTGAACTCCTGAGTCTATGGTTCCTCGGACCAGGAAACGCATAATCGCAGCCTGTGACGGATGCCGCGCATGCGTACTGCTGTCGACCTTCACCCACATTCTGACAGGGGTGTGGTTGTAAATGCGCACACTCTAAGCAATATTAATTCATATTTGCTTCGAAGTAGAGGAATGTTTCATTATGCCACCCAAACTCCAGGCCGCCTTTGTCCGTCGCAGCCGAACCACGATCAAGCCCGACCGTGGTATCAATATTGTTTACAATGTCGACGTCCGCCATGCCATCCCATCTCTTAGTACTGTACAGTGCCTCTTCAAAACCGTAGATATGTTAGTAGCTCCGTCTCTGCGACTCGACCTCAGTTGTGTCTGGAAAATGCTATTAGCCACAGCATCTATGCGCTAGGATGCCTTCGCTGAACTCACCCTGCCTCCTTTTGTATCTTGACCACTTCCCCTGATTACGTTGATTTCCCCTGTTGGAAAGATCGAACAGTCAGCCGCATCATAGAGTCTGAGTCAGAAGCGATAACATACCGGCAAGCCAGTCTCGACGACCAGACGATCCAGTTGGAAGAACTGTCCGATAATGGTTTGTCGCTAACAAAGGAGAAAACGTCAGCCAGTCCATGTCTGTGTTTCGATTCATGCGTGGTGCCGCAAGTACCTTCATAAGCTGCAGGTCGTTGAGGCCCTTTTGCACAAGCTCCTGGATTTTCCGCGGCTCCTCTACCGACATGTTCTCCCGAAAAGCATCTCTCGTCCGTCGCTTCGCATACTCGCGGTAGTTGTAGGCCGTGAACTGGCTTCCCTGGCGCAGGAGCTGACGGTACTGGAGGGGAGGCATCTCTGTTAGCAACCGAGCCCCTGTGGACAGATGGACGTGGTGTGCGCGCCGTCACGGAGGAGGGAGTCATGGAGTCGGAGCTTCCGCGGCAACCGGTAAATGTACAAAAGAGAGAAAACCATGGGTTTTAGAAGGTATGGGAGTACTTACGAGCGACCGTACTTGTTGCGGCATGTCGCCTTTCAATGTTCCAACAGTCGACATTGTGCTTTGTGTCCGTGTTGATGTGTGGTGCGTAATGTCTGAATGGCAAGCTCGAGAATATTTGCCCCGGTTGCCGCTTTCCTTGGGTCCATGATATAATCGCTGTCGGTGTTATCCCGGAGCGGAGAATTCTGTTCTCCGACCAATCGAATAAGCCGATTCGCACTGTGTTTTCTGTCTCGAATTTACCCGTTCTACACAGTGTGCCGGATTTCGATATAGGCTTCACAATGGTTGTCACTTCGGAATGTATGGTTTTTTTAACGATCCAGGGAATAATGGTTTGCGGTTCTCAATTCATCGGTATTGTTATGGGTATCGGAATATACGCACATACACCAAACTCCTATGGACACCCCAGACTCCTGGGTATGTGACAATAGCCAACAGGAAAGAACAATCTTCGATTCCGCGGCCAGCCTTAGCCGGTTGCAGATACGATTCTCAAGGGTTAACAAATCCAGTCCCTCGGTTATCTCATTAATGGAATTATTGACAGAGGTAGAACAGCATCCTACATGGGGCAGGATCTTGTCCATACATCAGTTGCCGTCTAGTGGGTTTGGTAGCGAGAGGGAGCGGGAAATAGACACATGTACATTTGCTGCCGTAGCTCTCAAGATGGTATTTCGCTTATCGTTGCTATTAGTTTGAACTCAGGTACCTAGGGCAGGGCTAAATGTAGATGCCTTCATGGATGCTAGCAGTTTGGGCGATATCCGCGGAATGGAGATTTCCTCAGCCTCGGTCTCCAGCTGATCGACTTCATCGAGCGACGAAAAGGCCATGTGTGCTTTCTGGAGAGTGTCCGAGCTAAATCCCTGAGCACCAAACATCTTGGTGAACCTTGAGTCGGTCGTGGAAGCCTGCTCATTCAGCTTGGAAGTGAAAGTGTGCAGACGGTGTGTCTGGCTGGGCTTCACTACCGTTACGGGAAGAGTCTCTTCTTCGGGGGGGATAATAGGGGAGAAGATGATATTGGTGACAGCAGCATTGACGTTGGCCAGCTGCATTGGTGTACCGCTGGGTGCGAGGTTCCAACGCAAAATCCTGCCATTGGCATGCCCAGTAAGAATGGAGGTGCCGTCATAGTTCCCGGCAATACAGTTCATCTCTCCCGCGTCATCCTCAGCAACAGCGAGAGGTTCGTTCACCTGAACGACAATGGATGGCGGCTCCTGGGCACGATACCCAAGAAGTGGCTTATCGCCGAACAGATCTACAAGGTAGACAGTCCCGCCACTGGACCCGACGTAGAGGGCGCGGGCACAAGGGTCCATGGAGATGCAGAGGGGGGGCGTGGGAAACAGGAGGGTGCGCAATACCTGGCCGGTCTGGTAGTTCCATATAATGCATGTCTTATCCTTGCTAGCAGACACGCATATACTAGACTCGGGATTTGCGCTGGAGGCGGCGACGAGATCCACAATGGCACCCCGATGATTGGAGAGGACGAGATCTGGTTCGGACTCAATCTGGGCATCAAGCTCCAACAATCTTGTCAGGGACCAGACATTGATATTGGAGTCCTCCGAGGCTGAGAGGACATGGTGCGGCGTTACCGCTATGCATGATATTGGCTGGACATGACAGGGAGGTGTAGTGACCTGACGGCCAGTGCAAGTCTATTACAAGACACGTCAGCGATCATCGTAATCTCCGTGCGGTTCTCCCCAAGTAGAGAATATACCGCAGATCAGAAAAAGAAAAGAGAGAAGAAGGGGACAAAGCAGCTAACCTCCCACAGTATGAGTCTGCCCTCTGTCGTCCCGAGAATGAGAGTGTTGCCGGTGAGGGCTATGCTGCGGATCCTCTCGGCAAAAGATACCAAAACTTCTTGGCTACCACGGGCACGAGAATAGACGTGGAGCTGGGCCTTTTGGTCTTGGATAGCAAATATGTGAGAGCTGCTGACGGCCAGACCATGCCTCGGGCACGAACTCTTCTTAAAGGTGGCTTTGACAGTGTACGTGGGCGCCAGGACTTGTGAATAGATGCCAATGTCCTTTGAGATTGCCGTGTTGGCGGCAATAGGAGGCCCGCAGATGGACGAGAAAAACCCTTCGGATAACATCTCGCCCAGTATGCCACAGTGAGGTGCGACTGAACGGATAAAATGAAGAACAAGAAGCGTCAGGATTAAGAGGACGGGTCGAGAACAGCGACGAGTGCCATCCAAGCAGCCAGATAAGGACGGCGAGGCCTATAGGAAGGCTCGAGGAGGTGACAGTTACTGGCGACAACTCGAAAAGCTGGTGAATTGAGGGGGTGTGCCAGGTATTGGCGCGTTCAGACCTCTCTGTCGAAACACTGAGGATTTGAAAGACGTCGACGGACGGCAGAGAAAATCTCGAAGCTGTCACCATAGAAGACCCCGGTTTATTCGAAGAAGCACTAGCAGCGGCATTGAGAGCGGCATAACAGCGCCTGTAACGCCTATGGCCAACACTCGCAGCGCCCTATATCTACCTAAGGCGCTGTCGAACTCCCCTGTAGCTCTGGCGGCTTCAATGAACGTACCAACGGAAAATATCGTTAGTGGCAGGAGCACCCAGCAAAGCCGCCGTCACCTGCCATCTACCATCCACCACAAACAATCCACCGCGAAAACGCGCACGGACAAGATACTATATCGCATTTTTCCATGGCTTTCATCTATCTCCTACATAATCTTCTATATAATATTCTATTAAATAATACTCCCAAGGGACCTCGAGCGCTAACTCGTATCCTATTAGGATCCCATTTACGCACTCTTAGCCTCCTATGGTACTTGATCGTAGTGGATCTTGAGTGAAGAAAGCAGTAGAAATATCATTTATGTAATGTAAGTAGAAACTTCGCTTGAATAAGTCCAGCTATCCGTGCGTATTTTGACTCTGTCCGTGCGTGTTTTCCGGCACAAACAATTGCTTGTTATTTTCTTTTGGCAACTTGCCGGATCGCTCCTTCTTTCCTTCCTTGCTTTTTCGGTTGTCTTTGATTTCTTTTCTGGGTTCTGCGTCTTCCCCCGTCCCATGGCATTCCGTCCTCAACATCCTCACAAATTTTCTGGTTCAATTGGCAATCTTCAGTTGACAATGTGACAAGATGTAGCTGTAGCCATCGTTGTCATCGGGTATGCCGTTGCCTGCTCTGCCTATCTCTGCTCCGATTCAACCTGCTTTTTTTCTGTCTTTTTGACATGCAGCTACACGCGCCAAGTTATATATGCACGTCCTACGTCGCACTAATATTACTTTTGCTGCAATAATATGCAATACGAGTACATTGTGCTGGAGCAAGATCCATCAACTCATCAGATCATGCATCAAGGATCTACCACGCCGCTACTACCGATCTTGACCAGATCCGTGCCCTCCCTTCAGTTCTTTGCATACGATTACAACGGCTAGACACGGCAGCCGGCAGGGGGGGGAAGCACCATCGAAAATGAGATGGTGATGTTGTATGGTATTACGCCTGCTCCCATGGTATGGCCAGCGGAACTCACTGCCATAAGAGCGAAAAATCCATATTACATGGAATTTTTTGAAAACGCGTCCAGCAGGACACCCAAATACCAACTAGACAAGGCAAACTTCTGCCAACTTATGCATTATTACCGGCTTCAGGACCACTTGAGTCTTGTCCAGAAACCAACCCTGCTGCCTCCCCCTCCATGATAGGGCGATCAGCGGGCCCTGTTGTCTGGCAAAATGCAATGTCTCATAACCGCAAGAGGTCCGTCCAGCCACCGATGCCTTTAGCCGCACACGCACCACCACCAGCATTCCTCCGATGACCCCCTGCAGAGGAAGAGGGAGCACATACGTCCTGGTGACGATGGTTGTGATCCCACCATCAACCCCTTAGCCTTGTTACACCACCTCTGCCTCTTCCTAGACAGTCGTGCGTACGGCTTGCTGCTCGTAGCCGTGAGCGCTATCGCCTTTTATTCCGGACAGAATGCACCACACTATGCCCACCGGTGGTTTTCAAAGTTCTCCATGAAACGGCCATCCTATTACATACATGAACAAATATCTCGACATCGTATTCCTGGGATGCCTTGGCTCCCGAGCAATTATACGGCTGATATGGGGTGACGTTGTAGGTTTCAGCAAAGCTTCCCCGCGGCAAATCTGGGCCTAAGCACAAATACGACGGGGCCTGAGCTGGACCGCATGCACGACAAGCGTCGCTCAGGCCCGCGACTAACAGGACAGCCCTACATATACATTCGCAAGTTAACCTTAGCTCCGACTATCACAGTCGGTGGCTCATACACTATGCAGGCTGTAGGCTACTTGCAATCGAGGGTTGCAGTTAACTTGAACCCGAGCATGAGCAGCCATTGCTGTATGTTTGACAGACTGGCCTCCTCGTTGTCCGTTGGCCCCGTCATGATCTCCTCGAGTATCCTTCAAGTGCGGCACGACAGCCATCTCACGGAAGCCCACCTGGAACACACTTGTCTCGGTCATCTGGCAATTTGGTTACTGTCGTCAGCCTGCGACACGAGGTGGCAGCAGCCTCCCTTGCTTGCTTGCCTACTCTGTTGCCTTTTCTCTGTTCAAGCTGCTCGCTGCATGATTTACTTTTCACTTCTCTTTCCTTGCGACACTCCTCCCAGCCTTTTCACATTCGTACATCTTCACCTACGTACATCAAACGCCACTACCCGTACATTGGCTGCCTGCGGGCCTTTTCTACAGCTCGGTCCATCCACACATGTTTGCGCTGGATACTCCGGCGGCTTCTAAGTCACCGGATAGCCGCCGTATCCCAAATCGTCCTCATATTCCGCGCTATAGAACCACACCTATACCGCTCACTCCCCCGATACAGGTCCCAGTTCCGAGAGCAGGACGCAGGAGAGCTTCGTCATCTTCATCCTTATCTACAGCAACCACGGTAACGACATCAACGAGAAGGGCTGTCAAGAGCATGAAAGGCCTTATGCCTCTCGCGCTCTCCCCATCTCTATCCAGCACCTGCAGCTACTCGCCAGTGGAGGAGAACATGGTCAGCAACAAGGTCGATGGTTACTTCCCTGAAATTCTTGCTAGGGATCTAGAAAAGTCTAGTTTTGCCTTTGAATCACGGAGCATGACAGCAGGACGGCCTATTCCAAGCCTTTCGATCGAAAACACAGATACCAAGCAAGTCTGGCCCTGTCATCTTACCAGCTCGTCTCACCCTGCCGCTCCTAAGCCTGGGAAGTCTCTCATCCCCATTCAGGAACAGAATTCGGCTGTGTCCTTCCATCGTCCATGGCACACATCCAAGTTTAACGAGACGTCGAGCGAAGATGATTCGATGACGGAAGAGTGCATGGCAAAGGGCTCAGGAGAACGGCCTATCAGCTTCAACGATCAGTCCATCGAGACAGCTGCAACATCCCTTGGATATTCCAGTCGCTGTACCTCGCCCAAGGAAGATCCCACTTGTGGACATGAATGCAGACAAAGCTGGATCGAGGCCGATTCCGACGACGATGAGCCCGGGATGCACATTGACGCCTTGGAGGAGAACCTAGCACCGCTCTCGCCCCGGCCCCCTACACCACCGGAGTCGGAGAGCAGCAGAGGCTGCAGCACAGACAGCCAAGAGTTACACCAGCCCCTGCACCAGTCACCCATATACCGCAAGAATATGCACAGGAAGTCGCACTCTGTCAGTGGCACTGCATTGGCGTCCCCATCAAGCAGGCGGCGCTCCGAGCACCATTCCGCATCATCGTTCCAGCAGCAGCCCCCTGGAAATCCCTTGAGCTCGTCTCAAGGCCATCGCAACAGTGATGGTCCTCCTACTACTCCTCCACCTGACAGGCGTCGCCGTGCCTCGAGCCTGCACACGCCGACGACCTGGAAGACATCGCACCGTATCGACATTTCTCACAACCGAGGTGACAGCCAAGGGTCAAAATCGGTTGCTGCCCTAGGTCCCACCTACATGGGCGATACCGGCACGGCCACGGGCGAAGAGACAGTGCCGCCAGCGGGCGGGGGCCCGAAGACAAGAAACCGTGTCTTCATTCGCCCGTCGCCTCCCCCATCGCCGCTTCCTAGTGTCGAGTCGTGGCTCAACGGGGCGACGCTGCAGTACGCTGCGCAGTGCCCTGGCGATGAAATGGCCAAGGCAGTTCCCCTCCCCCCGGACGTGGTTGAGACGCTGCGTGTCTCTGTCGCATGCTTTCCGGAGACGATGCTTCTCTCCTCGAGCCTCACAATCGAAACCATCCGCAACTACTCCAAGAAGGTCAGGCAGCCCAACGCGGACCCTGCCAGCAACAGCAGCAGTAGCAGTGGCTCCAGCAGCGGCACCACTATGGCAGCACCCGAGGCTCCGCCCGATTCCCCGCGGCGATCGCTCTGGAAACGAGTGTTACCTTACAAGAAGAGTCCAGCTCCAGGCCGACATCGCGCGCTGCTCGCAGGTACCCACAGTGACATCAAGGCGTCCATCTCTGCACCGGTGGAGCCCTCGAAGCCCTGGATCCCGCTCGGGAACATCTTTGTCAATTGCTCAGACTACATCCTCGATGCCCTCTGGGCACACATCTTGGCCTATAATTACATCTCGGCCCTTGTACCCCGCCCGCCCCCGCGCAGGACGTCATGCCGAGATCAGGCTGACGACAATAACGATGAGATACCCAAAAAGGCTGCGTCACTCCTCGGTCTGGCCATATCTACGGACACTTTCCAGCAGAATCAGCAGGATGGTGACCGAACGAGCGGTAGCAAGCTTCTGTCACCGATGCCGTGGGGTCTTGTCGGGGACGGCATGGTAGCAGATGAATCTCCTAGGGCAGCCAACCATGAGAACACGGCAAAGGACATACAGGCTGGTCTCATGCGTTGCATAATACGACTCATCGCCACGGCCAAGCTGATGACTGAAGATGGAAGCGGCCAGAGACGCGTAGTTGAGATGGAGGCACGTGGGGTCGACGTCCTCTTTACCCGGAGCCTGTGTGAGATTGTCAGGGTGGCTGAAGAATCTGTTTGATTTCTTTGACTTTGGTACCATCTAATACTTTTCTTTTTTTTTCTCCTTTGTCTTGTCGTTGATCCTGACTTTTTCTGCCCCCTTTTCTTTTGACGGATCCACACTGCCAGGCTCTCATTCCCTCTACCCAACACTCTTTTGCAGTAATTTTCCTTCTATTTCCTTTTCCACGTTTGTTTCGTTACTGGGCGTTGTTATCGGACCGAGTCGACTTGACGTTTTCTATATACCCTCTCGTATATATTATATATTTCGCTGATTATTTCCTAATTTCTATTCTTTTTGGGTACCATTTCTTTTTCCATTAGTAATGTGTAAGCATTACTGTCTTTTGTTCTGTCATATCATCCGATCACCGAGCTAGAGTCTGATTTATTCTTCTCGCACAACGTCCCACGAAGGTGGGAAAAGGAAAGGAAAAGTAACGGGGGAAGACAAGTGGAATCAGAGAGTGAGGCGACAAGGAATAAATCAAAACGGCAAAAAAAACGTACAGGATGCGAGGATCGAACTCGCGACCTTAGTGGACCCCTATCGGATGTGGGCACTACGTGATAACCACTACACCAATCCTGCTATTGGATATTGTTTTGGTCATGAGTTATGTCCTATATTCGACAATTGCATAGGCCAGGCTCCAGAGTGGCAATCTAACCACTCCAGGATCCGAAAAAGAGGAAGAAAAACTCGCCGTTTTTTCTCTCAATTTAAGGGATCTCTCGGGGTAGCCAGATTGGCATGGAACGGGATACGTATCTTTACCAGGAGGGGGACCTATGCGATATTAAGTACTACTCTCTCACGTCCTCTGCGCCTACTCCTCAGTTATCAATAATATCTGGTCTGCTCCCACCTTACTTAAACCCTCCAAAGCTCTAAATACGGTAATCCTTCCTTCGCGCCTAACAATGCCACCACCATCTTCTACTTCTTACCGTATTTCGGAATTGTCACGGGTGCTAGTATTTAACCAAGTCAACATTTGCCATCCAGCAGCGTGCCTTGCATCTACCGACAGCCCGCACTCCCTATTTTTTGATAGGGAGGGGCGACAAAGCGCAGCTTTTGTCTGGATTCTTTAGTGACGGTCCGGCTTTCAGTCGAGTTTTTAAACATTACTCACGGCTTTTCACTATTTTCCTGTGATGGGTTTTTTTTTTTTTTTTTTTTTGGGGGGGGGGGGGGGGGGTGGGAGAAAAAGGCNGGTTGAGAGGTTCGAGGAAAAGGATACGAGAGGGGCTATAAAAAAAAGGGGGGGGGGGGGGGGGGGGGGGGGGGCGGTGTTGCAATTATGTTAATGCTTACTTGGTGAGCATCTTGTGTTTTTTCGAATCATAGGACCGTCATTGCGAACAAACATATCTCACTGGTCTACCGGACTAGCTATAATACACAGTAATAGTAAGGAAACTACCAAGTGTCATTCTCATAATATGATTTGGCTCGCGCTGGGAAAATCCCCGCATGATACTGGGTCACTGCCTAATTGATATGTCATGAAGGCTTCGGATTCGCTGCCGGCTCAATGAGGAGAAAGGGAGGGGGAGTGGAAATTATGCTCCATCGCCCCGTCCATCACCTTCGCCAGAGCGGATAAGGGGCAGTCAAGCATGCGCTGGGTTGTAGCCTGCTCCAGACTCTCCCTACCGTGGCCGTCAGGCTCCTCGTTAGATCCAAAGACGTCACTAAAATAGAGCTGAGTGGGCACCCACTCACATACGATATCAACAATTTTAGCCAGGGGTTTCCTCTTCCCGTGCTTAGGGGTCATAGGTGAGTGGGGAGGGATCTGACGTCACAAGTGCGAGGGGAAACATGATGATTTATATGCATCCATTTCTTTCCGCTTGTCCAGTTATGAGGATTGGACCCGTCTTCTGTATCATCCCATTCAGCGGGAGAAGTTCAGCCTTGCCGCCCTGTTTGAGGAACTTGGGGGATGCAAAAACGTACCTTGTATTACTTCTTCAGTTGCACCGAATCCAGAGATGAATGAAGGTGGGATGGCGATATATTTGCGGCCGTTTACCCTACGCAAGCGAAATAAAGTATATGTGCTATTTCCATCATGATCCGCGTACATACTTGGACAATGCTACACGTGATGAGAAAGACGATCGAAAGCAAGAATTACCCAAGGCGGATATGTTGAGAGAACCGTGCCCAGCATAACAGTGCTTGTCCAGAAGCCTCACTGGGGTCACTGCGGCTATGAAAAGGCAGAGCTCTACTAAGCCATACATATCTATGTCCGTGTGTAACAACTAACTCTGCCATCGCACGTAGAGCTCGGACGAATAAACATGTCCCGTTGGTCAATTTCCATCATGATCCACAAGTTCCTCATTGCCACAATGATAGTGTGCCCCCTTCTTCATCGTTGACAGATGCCGGAGCAGAGAAATTCGGTAATCAAGGCGTTGCATGTCGAGAGGTCTATCTGGATACGGAACAGGTAACATCGCGTGAAGCATAGAGAGCTACTGAGGCGATCAGCTTTGTCTTAGCAAAGGCCGGTGAGGCCCAGACGTCTCCAGGCCACATCGAGCAAACGGAATCCTCAGCTGGAACAGCAAAGATGGGCATGATTGAGAGTGCTGGTCAGGCGCTTGACGACTGAATGGCTGTGGACTGGCCTTCGGCCTCTTGGTAGCTATCCAGAAATATCCAATGCCCGTAGCTAAGCGAGATTTGAATAGAAAACATGATACACTACGCCTCTAATATGTAGACATGATGCCACCCAGGCCACCGTTCCTTTGGATTTGTGTTGAGGCCATCTGCCCTGGGCGCATTACTCAGCTACGAAAGGTACCAAGTATGATTATGATTCATCTCGTTTCACAAATATATATATTTCTGCTCGCCCTGCTTTTTTTCTCTTTTCGTCATTCATCTGAACACTTCCCTCCCTATCCATTCACGCCTCGCTTCTTCCTTCTCCCCCCTCACTTCAGCCCCTCATTCAAAAGCAGAGATATCTCGATCGTGTTAGTGACGTGTGTGGCGGAAGGAGGAGAGCGAGGAAACATTGATATTATGCAGTTACACGTGATTCCTGCCGTGTTATCTTTATTATGTTTTTTCGTCAGAATGCTGGTTTATCTTCTCCATCATCCATCCACGGCTATCGGAAACCGACTGATAGATTAGTACCCTTCAAGACACTGCGTAGACCGCATTCGCCAAGTAGCTCCTAAACTCAACGGATAACAACGGCTCGGGTATCTACAACACGTTTCTCGGTGACAATCCCGGCTGCTTGCGTGTCAGCATAGGATGATGCTTGGTCATCGTTTCTTTTAAATACAAGACGTATACGCCACTCGGCTGATCATGGTAGGAATGGAAGACGACGGGGAAATCCGTAACCGCAACCGCGAATGGTGGCATCGAAACCACTACACGGGCGCCTTGCTCTTCAACATCGGGTCGTTCATCCTCCCAGCGCTCTACGGCACCCTCTCCAAGCTATGGGTGGCCGGCATCGACTCGTCACTGGTCGTCCTGACAGACGTGTACACATATATTGGGGTGGTCGCCGAGGTGTTCAACGAGGGGCTCCCACGCGCGGCGTGGGTGATCATAGGTGACAGGGCATCGCGTTCGCTAGCTCAGCGCCTGAGCCTCGCGTACACGCTCATCATAGTCCAGTCGCTTATCGGACTGATCATGAGCGTCGCCTTCGTCACGGGCGCCCCGGCATTCGCGAGGGGTTTCGTCCCGGCCGAGGTTCGCGCCGTGAGCCTGGAGTACGTGCGCATCAGCTCCTTCTCCGCGCTGAGCTCGGCTGTCGAGACGGCCGTGTCTACAGCAACTAGGACCCTGGACAAGCCCGACGTGCCGCTCATCATCAGCACTACCAAGTTTGCCGTCAACATCGTCCTCGACATGCTCCTCATCTCCCGCTTCCACGTCGGCACCCACCGGCCCTCCGTCAACATGCAGGCGGGCATACAGCTTGCGTGCAACATGGCGTCCGCCCTGGTAGGCCTCGGCTACTTCATGTACCGCAGCAGAGCGTACCAGGCCGAGACCGTGACGCAGTGCCCGACTGATGGGCGCGGAGCCGATATCGTGACTTCTGCTGCTCGTCCCAGCTACCGCGCTCTCTCGGTACTCTTGAGACCGGGAATCCTCACCTTTGCAGAGTCGGCGATCCGGAATGCACTGTATCTGTGGCTCGTGAGTACCATCGTGGCACTCGGTTCGCGATACGCCACCGCGTGGGGCATCTTCACCACCATCCGTTGGGGACTGGTCATGTGTCCTGTCCAGGCGCTTGAGGCGACCAGTCTCGCATTCGTCGGCCACCGCTGGGGCTCGTGGCGGAAGGCCATCGGCATTAGTACGCGGAGGCCGCGCCATGTGACGTTCGCTGCGCTGATGCCAATCGCCCGACCGGCGTTCCTGTCGGTCGTCATCGCGCTGGCCTTCGAGGTTCCCATCGCCATCTTCCTCAGTATATGGGGCGCCAGGTCCTTCGCCTTCTACCTCAGCAACTCGCGCGACATCGCCGACATAACCTCACACATGTGGCGGTCCCTAGACTGGTGCTACGTATTCTACGCCGTGTCGACGCAGCTCGCCACAGTCCTTCTTGCCACCCAGCCCAAGTGGTATCTGTACCAGAGCATGGCGAGCAATTTCCTCTACGTCCTCCCCTGGGCCATCGTCTGCCAGGTCAGGAGGCTGGACGAGTCCAACGCCTGGACGTATCACAGCTTCGTTTTCGGCGGCAGTTTGGTCTTTAGCTTTGCCGTTATTGTCGTCGTCGATGTGCTTTGGATGTGGAGCTTGGTGAAAAGGAGGACTACGCTTGAGGTGTTCCGGGATTGTTGACGGACGTGCCTACAGGTTTTGTGTCCGCAGAGGACACTCGGTCCTCCTTTTTCTTTTCCTGAATCGCACCTCTTTTCTTAATCTACTCAATCAAGCTATGTTGCTCATATCTTTTGTTAACTCATCATGTCCAAGCTACGTCGTACCGTAACAGGTCCAAACGTTTGATACTATGGGATGAAAGTGCTGATGAGCCGAGTACAGTATTTCTAGGGTGGAAAGGCGGTCAAAGTAATCATCTCGAATCAGTTTAACCCATTTGGCGTCGCTGGAGCAGTTCCTCAGTTGGGAATAGAAGTAGGTCAGGCCGCGTGTTGGGAGGCCTGCAGGTTATAAAGAGAGTACACTTAAACAGATTGCGAAACGATATGACAAGGCCACTATGCTCTTTTTGCTATCTAGAATAACAAAGTGAAGATGAAGTCTGATTCGATATTCATCAGCAATCGTATATAAACAAGAAAAGAAGGAGGAAAGCCGTAAACTCATGGTCGTATCTCATCAGCCATATGAAGCATCGGCAATCTGTACGCACTGAACCAACACTCCTTCGTTGCCGCCTAATCAGGAAAGCGTGACTCTACTAATCGTCCTCGTCATAATCGTAGCTCTGCTCCTCTTCGTGGTCACTGCTGCTGCTGCTGCTGCTGCTGCCAGATCCTTCGCGCTCCTCGGGGGGAGGCTCGTTGTAGTAGTTGTTGACAACTACGGGCTGCTGCTCGCCGTAGCCGCCACCACCGTAGGAGTCATAAGACTGGGGAGGTGGCTGGTTGTGATGCTCGTCATCACTGTGGTCAAGAGCCTCGTTTAGGAGGGCACCTCCAATAGCGCCAGCGGCAAGGCCACCAGCAGCACCCAAAAGAATGCCCGACTTGCCGCTCTTCTTCTTCTCCTCATCCCTGTTCTCATGATGGCCATCATCTGGGGCGCCAGAGTAGCCAGCCGCGGCTCCGTAGCCCTCGGGGCTGGGACCGCCGGGGTGGCCGCTCTGGTTAGGAGGGTAGCCACCGGGGCCACCCGGGTAACCACCTTGAGGAGGGTAGGGGCTGGGACTGCCATAGCCACCCTGAGGAGGGTAGCCACCGGGGCTTCCGTAGCCACCTTGGGGAGGATAGGGGCTGTGGCTGCCGTAGCCGCCCTGGCCGGGAGGACCACCAGGAGGACCGCCGTAACCTCTAGTGTCAGGGCCAGCTTGGTAGGCCGGGGGTTCCCATTGGGTACGTCCGGTGGCTTCCTCAAGGAAGTAGTTCCGCTGATAGTTTTGATCCCAGACTGCTCTCCAGCCGGGGGGGAGCGGGGGCGTTCCCTGAGGTCCGGGGGGGTGGTACGAAGGGGCAGGGGAGCCGGACTGGTAAGGGGCAGGGGAGCCGGACTGGTAAGGGGCAGGGGAGCCGGACTGGTAAGGGGCAGGAGACGAGTGCTGGGAAGGAGGTCCTCCGTACTGGTTCTGGTTGTAGCCGCCGCCGTAGGGCTGAGGTGGAGGTCCGCCTATATAAATAAGGTGGTCAATATGTCAGTAATAATTCCTCAATGTGCGATATTTGTGAGGATTGTAGACGAACCTCCTCCGTATCCCTGAGGGGATGGTGACCCATAGCCACTACCACCAGATGGGTACTGAGAATGACCCTCCTTCTTCTCGCCGGGGTTCATCTGCGACAACTGGTCGGTGATCTTCTTGAGGAAAGACATGATGAGATATTCGAGCGAAGCTCGGGAGAAAAGTTGACCCGTTAACAAGATGATGATGCTGGCGAGCTGAGCCCTGATGAAGTGTATCAGCAGCTCTTGGGGATATCGGGAGAAGATTACGAAAGAAGAAAGAAGAAGAAAAGAGTTGGGTGAGAGAAAGAAAGAAAGAAACGGGAAAATCAGAGGAGAAAAAAGAGGTCAGAAGACTACAAGGTTGAGCGCTCTGCAGGAGAGTTATATTCGCACTGGTCATAAAGACACACAGGAGGGAGCCCACATTCATCCACATCAGTGACAGGACAATAATAGGGAGGGGCGGTTTCGGGTACACTATGGATTTAATGTTGGGACAAGCCATGTGCCAAGGGCCAAGGCACCGTGTATACCCGTTTGTACCCCAATCCGGCAGTAGCGTCACGCGTAAATACACTGCTCTATTGAAGGCGAGGCCAGGTAAAGGACTGAGCAGTAGGCAAGCCATGAGAAGGCCGTAGTAGCGGACTGTCGTGTACACCATGCGTGCTGATGTGCATCCTGTTCCTCTACTCCATGCCACCCTCAGTCAGAAGCCAATGATCCCAATCTGAGGATGAGGTGAGCGGAAAGGGTGGGGTCGGAAGATGCTGCCAAGAAGCTATTCGCCCACTGGGTCCACGAATGCTGATGCGGTTAATATTTGTGTTTCTTTTGATGGAGGCCTGAAGACGGAAGATGAGCAGGTCCTTTTGTTTCCAGAGGTTCCGTTGGACCACTTAGTATTCCCGGGCGAGCCTATTTGTCTGCCATGTGATGCGGTGACGATGCCGGCCTTCTTTCGTTCATGGGCCGTGAGTCCATAAGTCCATGGCAGGTTCAGGTTGCTGACAAGACGAACAAAGGCCATTGGGTGTGGTCCACTTTGACTCTGGACCCTTGGAGATTGACTGTTGGCCGACGCGTACAGCGTACAGTATATCACTTGAAGAGCGGGGATTTTTCTTAGCCCTGGGGCGGCAAAGGCGCTGAGGCAGACACACGGGCTTCCAAGTGATGGATATGCCTCACACACAGGTAACATTGCATGATGGATGCGGATGGGCCGGGGATTTGGTATCCGAAGAGTATTACATGTGGTAATAAAACGTCTTGTGTTTGGCCAAGGGGCGTTATTGACACTGTACGAGTCGCGATGCAGGGACGAATAGTAGAATGGCGACGTGGTGGTGATGGATACTGAACCTCCATACCTAGACACTGGAGAAGTACCTGGACACTGGAGAAGCTGGGCTGACAGCGGGACAATACCGTCCATACATGATATCTATAAACCTATGGACCTAGAGGCTGGAGGGTACAGTGATCGTTACAGTAGTGTGCCACTCTGTAAGGTAGGAGGGGTAACAACAGCAGTGGGGTGGGAGGGTCACTCTTTGCCAAGCTACACGGGCTGTGGTGCCCTCCCGTTGATCCAGCTGGCAAGTGCGCCCTCGGCCCCCGCCCAAAGGTTGCTCCTGCCCCTCTTTGGTGTGTGCTTGCCCTCCACGAGCGTTTTTCGGAACGCAACTGCCCCTCAAAAGTACGCGTATGCTTTGCACCCACCGGCTTCGGCCTGATTGGATCTCGGAACAATCTGACAAACATCATGAGCCGCTTGACCTGAACACCTGCATACCCTATTTTCTATTATTTTCTTGGCCACCTTCCTCCAAGCTCTCTCTCCCTCTTTACCTGCAAACCTTCGTGAAACGACTCCGACCCTGACCCCGACTCCGACCTTCAATCCTTAGAATATCTCCTCCCCTTTTCTCCCGTCCTTTTCCCGACGACCCGATAGTTCGATCGCCCCCCCCTTTCAGCCAACCAGATCGACCGTCAAGCATCCACCCGCCTACCAGCCAACCCCACCGTGCACAATGTCCTACCCGGGCCAGGGCTATAACGGTTCCAGCAACCATTCAGGCGGTCGTCACAGCCAGGGTTACCAGCAAGGGGGCTATGGAGGATATGCGCCTCCTGCTGGCCCTCCCCCCGGCGCTTACCAACAGCATGGCTACGCTCCTCCTCCCGGTCCTCCCCCGTCCGGAGGCGGCTATGGAGGATATGCCCCTCCCTCCGGCCCCCCTCCCGGTTACGGCAACCGTCCCGCATACGGTGGTGGCGGCAGCAGCGGCCGGTACGATGAAGATCTCGCATATGGGAAGCTGCCACCGCAGCAAGGCTCGTACGGACAGCCTCAGGGCGGACACAATGGCGGCGGATACAGTCGTGGAGGACGGGGTGGTGCGCCGCCGCCGTCGGCGCCGCAGAACTTCGGCCACGGTGCCCCCCCGGGCTACCAGTTCAAGTACTCGAGATGTACGGGAACGCGCAAGGCCTTGCTGATTGGCATCAACTACATTGGCCAGAAGGGCGAGCTGAGAGGTTGTATCAACGACGTTCACAATGTCATGAACTTCCTCATCCAGCAGTACCACTACAAAAAGGAGGACATGGTCATCCTCACCGATGACCAGCGCAACCCTGTCATGCAGCCTACCAAGGCCAACATCTTCCGCGCGATTCAGTGGCTCGTCAAAGATGCTGACAGCGACGATTCACTGTTCCTCCACTACTCCGGTTAGTCTGTCCCCGAGTTTTCAACTTGCGAGAGTGTCGCGTCGCGAAGGGCGAAGGGAAGAACAAAGGTTGCTAATCCTTCCGGTACCCATCCAGGCCACGGTGGTCAAGCAAAGGACCTGGAGGGCGAGGAAGACGACGGTTACGACGAGGTCATCTATCCTGTGGACTACCAGACAGCCGGTCACATTGTTGACGATGAGCTCCACATGAGGGTGGTGCGCCCCCTGCGCGCGGGTGTGCGTCTGACTGCAATCTTTGACTCGTGTCACTCGGCCACGGTCCTGGATCTGCCCTACGTCTATTCCACCAAAGGTGTCCTCAAGGAGCCCAACTTGGCCAAGGAGGCCGGCGAGGGTCTCCTGGGAGCGCTCTCATCGTACGCTCAGGGAGACCTCGGTGGTGTCGCCAAGTCTGTCTTCAGCTTCGCCAAATCCGCGTACAAGGGAGACTCAGCCTTCAAGAAGACCAAGGATACGAGGACGTCACCGGCCGATGTCGTCATGTGGTCGGGCAGCAAGGATGATCAGACTTCGTGAGTACCTTCACCGGACAGAAAGCATTCCATGATTGCCAAGGAGAAGACGAAAGAATGCAATGCAGCTAACACGTACATCTCCCCCCGCAGCGCCGACGCCACAATTGACAGCCGGGCGACGGGCGCCATGTCTTACGCCTTCATCAAGGCGCTCAAGGCCAACCCGCAACAGAGCTATGTCGAGCTACTCAACAGCATTCGCGATATCCTCGAGAAGGGATACTCGCAGAAGCCGCAGCTGTCGAGCAGTCACCCCATAGGTATGTTTTCATGGACTCTACCCTTTCCCGAGCGTCGAGTTGTAGGTAGCAGTAACTCACCAGGCGATACAGACACGGACCTGCTCTTTATAATGTAGATGAAATGAATTACGGATTCGACATGCTGATGACGAGCGCATGTGTTGACGGTTAATTGGAATGGGATAGGATGGGACAAATGTATTACCTATTACACTACAAGGAAGCATGATCAAATCATCATCTATCAAATGTGTGTCCGACGTGTCATTATGGATTTTTTTTTTCCTGCAATGCCCCTTTCTCTTGTTTATTTTTACTAGTCCGTGTTGATCTGTCTGCTGGTCTGTATGTTATTATGATAGAAGCAATAGCGGCGAATGGCAGAATACGGCGAGACGCGACACATTGATCACACCCATTCAACCTCAGGGGACATGAATAGATGCCACTAAGCAGGGGGGGGGGAAGGAGGCAGTGTGTTATATATTAGTTGTTATTTTTAATTAATACCCCACAGATCACAGGGCTTTTACGAGCGATGAGTGGAAGTAACAGGGTTCTCTCTCCGATGCATCGTGATTCTTATCACCCATCGTACATGTATCACAAGTAATGGTATGTTGTTGCCTTGTTGATCTGGGTCTCAAACCAGGTTCATGCTGTCCATTAGCGAACCGTTTGAGGAAGGAAAAAATAAGTACCCAAGCCGAAGAGGCCAAGTCTCTCTTTTTTTCGGTCCAAGGGGGAAGTTGGCTGTTAGTCTAACCCAAGACGGAAGTGGCATGGAATAGAACGCCACCGGGTGTTATACTCCGTTGAGTATGGAAGTACAATCAGTATACTTGTTACTTCTTTACAATAGGGGGGAGCAGTTATATTTCTGCTATAAAGAGGAGTAGGAAAAACGGATTATGCAGGTGAATAAAAGAAGAGAAAAGGTAAAATGAAGAAAGAGGAAGAAGAAGAAAGAGAGATGAAACCATAGTTAGACCCTATGTTAATATATGAAGGCTATGCCCTGCGCTACTATACGTAGATACGAAGGATCCAGAGACCCAGAGTATTAACTCAGTCAAAATAATGCACCCGGAGCATCACTGAAATGCAACAAAGTAAATGCCTGTATCACTCTGTAGTCTGGACGGAATGAGTTATTACGCCGTGGTTCATGGTCCATGAATGGTCCCACGTACGAGAACATCCCTGAACGCGTCACCTTACTGCCACTCCATCCTTTTCTCTCTTCTCTATCTCCCTCTCTGTCTGTCTCTCCTGGGTTGGTTCTCATCCTTCGTTCTCGGCTCTAACCCCTTCCTGTACGAGTACGGAGTGCAGGTACATGCGTATAATACAGGTACGGGTACCCCCTTCCCTGCGGTAGGTAGCGTTGCTACTAATTATAGTCGACTATTGATTCCTGTATGGAGGCAATGCCCCAGGCCCAACAACCAAGTTTAAAAGACTAACTGCCCTTTTTTCTTCTCCCCCCTCTTTCGTTGCTTTAACCCTCTTTGACACACACACTCTCTCTCTCGTTTCTTGTGTATCACAGTCACTCGTTTATTTCTTCTTCTTAATCTTCTTCTCCTTCTACGCCCTCACACACCCAGTGGCGTGACTAGGACAGCTTCAATGACATCTGTACTCTAATGAGAAATAACACCCCAACAACCACTATGACATTGACCTTTCACGATGAAAAAAGACACCACTCACCCAGTCGTGCCTTGATCCGTCGTCTGCCCACTAAGCGAAGGGTTCGCTCCCTCGTCACATTGATCCTGGCAGCCTGCATCGTCACCGTGCACTTCCGAGACCTGCTTCCCTTTTCTTCCGATGACGACGAGTACGCCCAACTTAGCAAGATAGGCCTCGAACCTTGTGTCGGTGCGAGGGGTAAGCTCCTCAATGAGAGTGCCGATGATGCACTGCACAAGATCCAAGGTCTACGTAAGGAAATCCCATCTAACTCCCCGGGTCAGGGAACTGTCGGGTTTCGGCCGCATCATTGGACTGGCTGACCGACTCTGTCCTGGCGAACAGCATTCAACATGAGCCCCCTCTTCGGATCGCACCGCGAGCTCGGCCTGAGCTCGACCTGGATGACGGCCGACGGACGGTATGGACCCTATGGATTCGGCGAGGACGACCCCACCACCTACAAGCGGAGCAGGGTCGACTGGGACTTGCTGGACTGGGGGGAGCTTGTCGATCAGTGTCTCGAGCGTAACATCCACCGCTATCCCTTGGGTGTCCCCTCTGCAAGAGTGGCCGACAGACCTAGATTCACCCTGCGACCGGAAACGACAGCTGCTTCCAGACACGAGAGCCAACACCCGGCCATGCCCAGGCCCATGCTCAAGCACTCCAAGCCCAAGCGTTTCAAGTCAGATGATCATCCCCACACGACGCGCACCGCCTTGGTGCTCCGATCGTACGAAGGCTTCAACTACACCGAAGAAGTCATGTGGATGATCCGCTCGCTCATCACCGAGGCATCGCTCAAGACTGGCGGACGCTACAGCCTCATCCTCCTCGTCAACGTCCAGGACAAGGGGTGGGCTATCCATGAGTCTCCCGAACACTACCAGCGCGCCTTTCAGGCCATGCACATCCCTCCCGAGCTCTGGTCCCTGACGCTGCTCTGGGACGAGAACCTACTCGAGAGTTGGTACCCTCTCGCCACCGAGCACCGCACCATGTGGCAGGTCAACCAGCCCCTGCAGCTCCTGGCCCACCACTACCCAGAGTACGACCATTTTTGGCAGCTCGAGATGGACCAGCGCTTCATGGGTGACGCCCTCGAGTACCTCGACGCCGTACACACATTCTCCCTCCTCGAACCACGCAAACAAGCCCTCGAGCGTGCCACGTACCCTTACATTGAGCGCAACTACAAATCGTACGATGATTTCATCAACCAGGTCAGCCTTGCCAACAACGGTGGATCGCGTGCCTGGCCCGCCCTACGCATACCCGACGTGGAGCCCATCGGCCCCGAGCCACCCACCCCGCACCCTGAAGACACGCGTGGGTACAGCTCCTATGGCTTGGGCGAAGAGGCAGACGTCGTCCTCACCAGCTTCTGCGAGGACGTTCGCGACGTGCCCGAGTGGGTCTTTAATGACTGGTACAGGGGCGAATTGACCCAGGGCAGCGAAACCCCACGCTTTTTCTGCCCGCCCGCCATCGCTCGCGCCAGCCGCAAGCTTCTCGGCGCCGTGCATGAAGCTCAGGTCCGTACGGGTATCAGCGTTCCCAGCGAGGCCACCCTGCCCTCCTGGGCTCTTTGGCTGGGGCTCAAGCTTAGCTACCCGCCTCAGCCTGTGTACATGCAGCCTGCCGGTGGTGCTGTTGCTGCTCCTGCTGCTCGCGTGCAGGAAGATTATAAAGAAGAGGAGGAGGACGAGTCCTTTACCCACGAGGACCGGTTTGAAGTGCTACGCACCCTACTGGGTGACAGACCCTTTGATTCACGCGACGGCTTGGCGCACGCGAAACCCCAGTCGTTTGCCAGCAAGGGCCTCACCTACTGGTGGGCTAGCGACTACCCACGCCAAGTCATGGATGCGTGGATGGGCGATGATACAAATGACATGGATGCGCGTGCCGTGGCGCCCATGCTTGTCGAGCACGACGGGCAGGTCTATGCACCCAACTTTGTCATGCATCCTGTAAAGTAGACAGTTAATTTAATGTAGTTCTTCGGCAAAGGCGTTCTGGATTTCAGGCAATCTTGGAATTATGAGGGTTTTGATATATCTGGAGTACGGAATGGGAATCTGAATCTGAATCGGTTATATTGACGACTGGTATATATGGAACATATATATAGTAATGAAGATAAAGCACACTTGTACACAACAGGAGTTAGTTAATGCCATCGTGGTGAGGTTAACCAATTTCAAGGCCGTCGGGGGCAAACTAATTTTTTGCAGATCATTGGGAAAATTTGGCAACCAATTCTCGCATGGTGGATACGACACTTTCATATGTCAGTAAATCCAGACTGAAGCGCCCATCAGAAGAACAGAGCTTACGTGTGGCGATAGTTTTCATCGTCCTTGTAGAGAATTGAATCTAGGAGATTGACCCGCACAGAGTATAGCTCACCCCTGTCGTCGAATTCATCGGCCGGTTCGGCGGGGGGGAAGTGCCGGCAGTACCTGGCGCGGTATGGTGCTCCGATTTCGTTCCACGGCTGTCGCCAGACGGCCAGTTCATCTAGTTGGTAATATATCATATGAGCATATTTCGAAATTCGGGGTAAGAGACAAAGGGTAGAAAGAGAAGAGTTCCCACATTCGTTGTGGGCGTAGAACCCCGCAGCATCAAAAATAATGGGCTCGCTTGTCTTCTTATCTGTCGCAGTGTTGCCATTCCACAAATCTCCATGGATGAGAGACGGGCGTATCGGCTTGGACCCTGTCTCAAGAGGCCTCAGAAGCCGCGGCACCACCTCTTCAAACAGCGGTCCTGCCAGGTCCAGAATCTCGGCATTGCGCCCACGGGCTTCCTGCTCCATGTCGATGAGCACACGGGTGGTACGGATGAAATACTCCTCCCACGAGTCGGACCAGCCGTGCTCGATGGGCACGTTCCCGTGGTACGTGGTGCAGCCGAAGCCGAAACGTCCGTCTCGGGAGGTGATGGTCCGGTGCATGTCAGCCACCAGAGCGGGGAAGCGCTCCAAGTCGGGCAGCTTGCTGGAGTCCATGTCGCGGAATTCGCAGAGGAGGAAGTGCACGCCATCTAGGGAGTCGTAGGTGCCCCGGGCGAGAGGCTGTGGTACAAATGATGGGTTGTGCCTGTAAATTTCTGACATAGCCATGAATTCACCCAAGACCATTTTGCGGCCTCGCTCACCCGCGCAGGCCTGCACATCTCGTTAGGGAAATTTTTGGGCATAGCGTGAATATTGTAGTCCCTTCCTACCTTGAGAAAATATCGTTCATTGATGCCATCTCTGGTAGTGTCTATACGGGCGGTTCGGGTCCAGTAGCTCTTGCTGTGAGGTGATATACTCGTGATCTGCGTCCCGGGAGGGAGCTCTGTGAAAATGTGTCAGTGCCGGTAACGGCGAAGAGACGTTGAGGTAAAGAGCGTGAACAGACTGTTATGAACCTCCGCATCTACAGATTGGATGGCCTCAATGGGCACACCGATATCTTTCTCATAACTGTTAGTGCCGGAGGAAGGCATGATGTCAATGTTTACGTCGTGATATATCAACTCAAAAAAAGGCACGCAAGGCCCGTAGGGTGGGTGGTTGCTTCCGTTTCTGGCAATTAGCTGTCACCTTTTCTATGAATTAGGCATTACAGATACAAGCAGGAGCGACGTAGCTGTGATGGGGGAAGGAGCGTCCGATCAAGGACGGCTTAAGCAGGGGACCAGGCCGGCACCAACAGCAAATAGAAATGATATGATTGGTTCTTATCGTTGACAACCCCACTGTAGCTTCCTCCAGCGCTCTGCAAATCCCTGTAGCGCCCGCTGTATAATCACGTCGCACGGAGGAAATACGAGCTCTGCCGTAGGTAAAGACGGCGTACTCACCGACCGTCGGATCATATCCGAACATAGCTTCCCCCCATGACGTCCTCAACAAACTTTCCCCTGGATTTCCTCTTCTTTGTTCCAGCCAAGTGTCAATACTTGGACCCGAGGTCACAGTCAGCTCGTCCTTGAGACGTTGGAGCTTCTTTGACCTCGTCTTGCACCACACTTACCCAGCAACAACACTACTGATTTCTAGTCACATTGGCTTGTACAACCATGTCGACATTCTCCCTCGCCAAACGCAGGTGCTGTGCCGCTGCTCTCGCTAGTGTCCGATCTCCATTGTCGTCGCTATGTCATCGAAAAATCACCACCGTTTCTCCCAAAAACCGTCGACGTCCCTTCACATTGCCCTTATCAGCAGCTGCTTCCAAGCCAAGGTCCATGGGCAGTGTGGCCGAGAGACCGGAACCCGAAAGCTCAGACCCCGAAATATCGGAAGCCGAGGATATAGATACGGAAACGGGAACTTACAGTGAAGCGGACCACGAACACGCCGTCATCTCGACATTCGATTTGTTTTCTATCGGCATTGGGCCCTCGTCTTCCCACACCGTGGGCCCAATGCGCGCGGGAAACATCTTCATTACAGACTTGTACGAGGCCAACCTCCTGCACAGAGTCAACCGGATCCGCGTCGCCATCTATGGCAGCTTGGCACTCACGGGCGAGGGCCACATGACCCCCTCTGCTCTGCTGCTGGGTCTAGAAAGCCAGGATGTCGAGACTGTCGATACGGCCTACGTTCCCGAGCGATTCGCCGAGATCAAGGCCAACAAGGAGCTTATCCTGGGCCATGGCTTGGGCGAGGACAAGTGCAACAAGATTGCCTTTGACTATGAGAACCACTTCATCTGGGAGTGGGGTCGCAAGCTGCCCCTCCATAGCAATGGTATGCGTATCACCGTCTTTGACGATCAGGGTTATGTGCTCGCAACCAATGACCTGTTCAGCGTGGGTGGTGGGTTTGTCGTTAACGGTGCCCTGTCTATCAACCCGGACATGCCTCCTGAGGGAAAGAAGACGGCCTCATCCAACCTCTCCCTCGACCAGCCTGCCGCCGCCCACCCCCCGGACCTGGCCGAGAACTTGTACTACAAGGAGATTCGACGATCTGACGCTGCTGGAAACCGCAAGAGGGGATCCGAGATCAAACCATTGGAAGAGGTCGGCGACCAAGACATAGTTGCACTCCCCGAGTCCAAACAAGCATCCGAAGAAACATCGGCTCTGTCGACGGCTGGACCAAGAGAGGTCGACACCAAGGACGCCCCCAAAAAGGGAGACGGCTCCCCTCAACCACGCTACCCCTTCCGCGACGCCGCCAGCCTACTCGCCCTCTGCCACAAGCACAACCTGACGATAGCCCAGCTTGTGTACGAGAATGAGAAGAGTCAGGGATACACAGACGACGAGATATACCAAAAGCTCTTCCGCATCTGGCAGGTCATGGACGAGAGCATCCTCGAAAGCGTGCAGGCGCCGCAGGACGCCATCCTCCCAGGCTCGCTAAAACTTCACCGACGCGCCCCCGCACTCTACAGGCGCCTGACCCGTGGTCTCTATCCTTCCCCGGCCAACGAGCCCGCCGGTCCGGGACCCCGAAGCTCCACGTCCACAGCTAATGAGAGCTCTTCCAAGTCCCTGACCAGGCCGCAGAACGGCCTAGCCAAGAGACAACCCCCTCCCCGTATCCACGGGACCCTCGATCACCCCATCTCGCCCTCGCCATCTCGTCGCACAACCTTCCCGACGATGGACTACTTAACCGTCTATGCCATTGCGGTCAACGAGACCAACGCGGCAGGCGGGCGCATCGTCACTGCCCCTACCAACGGTGCAGCGGGTATCATCCCCTCCATGCTCAAGTACACCATCGAGTTCATAAGTGACGATCCGGAGCGCGATGTCCCAACGTTCCTTCTCACTGCCGCCGCAATCGGCATGTTGTACAAACGTGGTGCCACCATCTCCGCTGCTGAGGGCGGATGCATGGCCGAAGTCGGGGTGGCATGTTCCATGGCAGCCGGTGCTTTTGCAGCCTGCATGGGCGCCAGTCCCGAGACCATTGAACAGGCTGCTGAGATCGGTATAGAGCATAATCTGGGCCTCACATGCGATCCCATCGGCGGGCTGGTCCAGGCGCCCTGCATCGAGCGCAACGCTCTGGGTGCTATAAAGGCTATGTCGAGTGCTAATCTTGCCTTGAGCAGCGAGACAGGTACGCAAAAGGTCAGGTTGGATGATGCAATTCGAGCCATGAGGCTCACGGCAAAGGGCATGAGGAATGAGTTCAAGGAGACGAGTCTAAGTGGGCTGGCGACTAGTGTGCCCCTCAACATTCCTGTCAGCGTGCCGGACTGTTGATTCCTTCTTCTCAATCTTGCTTTCTCATGTGATTTCATTTTCGGGATTTTGTTTAGAAAAAAAGATTTGGGTCATGCCTTCCTGCATAATCTAGCGATGGAGGACATTTGGGTTGAATTTATCTGCATGCGATTGCATTTCGGCCTGGAATAGGCATCGGATTTCGACTTGGTTCTTTTGATACGACGCGGTCGTAGATGGCCCTTATAAAGTCGTTTCTGCATGGAGTTGGAAAATATGAAGGGACAAATTCTGGTTCAAAGAACTGTTACAGCTAAAATGACATATTGTGAGTTCCGTTCATGTACATGATGCTCCTAGATGCCAGGTCCATGTCATCCCGCAATGTTCAACTCTCGTCAACGCATTGAACTAAAAATTTCTCGACATTGATGCATCTTTCAGCAGGGTGGATTCCGAATCTTTGGAGGATGAAGCTGAAGGCGGCTATGGTGTGCATTACATTTTTATAAAACTGGGTGGGTCTCTATTATCATTGGGCAGCCACCTCCCGGGAAAGTGTCTGAGGCACTGTTTCCTCGTCCTTCCAGTCTCGTAGTCTCTCATATGGGAGGCGACGGGCTGCTCGATCCGATTTCCACTCTCGAAACTACGCCACACGTACATTTTAAGAGCATACCTGTCAGTACGCGCGCATTTGCTCCCATGGCTGCGCGGCTGACCTTGCGAGGCCCCGGTAAGCCTCGATGACGCACTGGACGACGACGACAATGTGCTTGCCGACGTCCTCTATCCAGCCTAGGTGGACGAGCTCTAGATCTCGCTGACCGCTCACAAGCCGGACATTGAGGAGTTGGTTCGCCGGTACCTAGTGGTCCCTTGGGCTTTCACCCGTGATACAGCCCTGAGGGCATCTGTCAGTTTTAGCATTGCCGTCCCTGTTCGCATCCCAGCTTTTGACGGCCGTCAAGCCACCGACACCCCCAGCCATATAAGATCGGCGGTAGAGAAAATACGTGGGAGAAGAAGGAGACAGAAATAGCCACGTACATGTGGCTTCGGCAACGCTGTCCTGACGTCCCCATCCCCGTGCTGCATGGCTTTAGTCTTCCTGACGGCACATGCGTGGGTGCTGTCTCTCTGTACGAGTGTATCCGAGCTGTTCCTTATTCCCTACTGTGATACAGTCCTCCCGCCCGCAAAACGCGCCCTTTCTGTCTAGAATCATTTTGGGCTGCCAGACGAGCATCTATCTGGCTGCTCGGCCTCCCTATTCCATCTCACTAACGTATTGGATCGCCCAGGTTCAGTCCGACGGGCGTCGTGAGCCTGTCGAACCGCCCGTTGAATATGTACCAATTAGCGGGATCTCACAGGTGGGAAGACGAATTCACACAAGCAAATGAACAAGGTCATAGGACCTCGTCTTAGATTCTCTCAGCTAAATACCACATTATCCAGCAGGAGCCAGGCGCGGGCGGGCAGACTCCTACCGCCGCAGAGATTCTCACCGTGTCTCACTTCCAGCTATGGTCTAGATAGGTGCGGGTCTTTCATGACCCCGGAGCGCTATCTGTGGCACATCATTTTCCACAGTATTTCGCTATTGGGACGGACCTTCACTCACAGTCTATAGATCCGAGCTCACCCCTTTCCTACGACCTGGGGATCGAAGTTCATGGCTGTAAAATGAGGGCTCATGCGCCGTATGCGGTCATCAGGGTCAATCTGTCTGACTACATGAGTGAGACTAGAATGGCCTCGCTGCCCCTGATGCTGACAATGTTTGCCCCCGAAACCGACTCTTGCTGGGTCTCGCCCTCGGCATCGCCATACTTGAAAGACTGTCCAGCCCAAGTGACATTCGACGCATCCTTTTCATCAACCGAGGGAGCCGTCAGTCTCTTGACACTTGCGCTATTCCGAATGTAAGAAGATAAATCAAGTTGAACGGTGTAATCGCTCTCACTGGCGTCTCCATAGTACGGGTTCAGATTGAGCAAGACAAGTCTGGTCACTCGTGCGTCACTTCCCTTGTAAAGGGCATATCCCGAGAACCGATCCGGGTCTACCCCCTCGGGCGCAGCAACCTGCCGTACACGCGTGCCGGACTCGGCAAACACCTCTGTGAGAAACAGCAGACCCGCAAAACTGGGCAGCACACGTGCCTCCCCGTACTTTTCGCTCTCGCGCGGGTACAGCAGGTTGTACGCCGAGAAGCCGGGCGTGTTCGTCTGCGAGCCGCTCTGAAGGACCAGCGTGGCGCCCTGGTGCTGGTACACGGATGTGGCATTCATGACGGCGTAGGTGAGCTGCGTGTCTATCATCCACAGAGCCTGCGTGAAGGTGTCGGTCACATTGGGCCTTCCGGAACAGGCGACGGAGTTGAATTCACCCATGACCCACTCTTTGCCATGGGCTTGCGCGGCTTGGGAAGAGGGGAGGACCTCGGCGTCGGCGAAGGTGATGATCTCAGTGTGATTGAGGAGGTTCGGAATGGTCGCCAGCTCGGTTCCCTCAGATGAGCAGGTGTTGTGCACGTACGAATGGATGGAGAACTGGCCGACTTGGTCCTCCGAGTCGATCCCTGCGGGGATGAGATCTACGGGCCGTATGCGTAGCTCGGTGTCGTCGGTTGTGGCAGATGAAGCCCACCACTTGATCTGCCGGGAGTTATTGGCCTGTTCGGCGGCAGCATCAATGTCGGCTGTCCACTGTTTCCATTGGGTTACGTATTTGGATGTGCTATCGTTCCAACGGGTTTCTGGATAGTTGTTCGGTTCGTTGCCTAGCTCAAAGTACTTGATACGGTCCGGCTGATACTTGAGCGAGGCGGCTGCGAGGTCCTCGGCAATCTGCAGACTGTCGTTGTAGAAGTTGAGCGTAGAGATGAAGCCAACGCCTTCGGCGAAGCTGGACCAGCTGCCGTAGTAACCCGGTCCGACGGTTGTCCGGTATACCTCGCCATTGTTCCCCATGGTGCGGACAATGTCCTCCTCTGCGTCCTGGTCGAAGATCAGACTGTCCTGAGTGATGCCGCCGGGCCGCAGTATAGGCTCGCCGCCACGGTCGGCAATGTGGTTTATTAGCTTGAAAAACAGGTCATTGGGCTCTGCTGCTGTCCCAACGAATTCTTGCCAAAAGGCTGTCTCGATTGAGATGGATGAAAAGGAAGGGTGGTGTTGAATAGATGCGTCTCCATCGTTTATGTCGGATAGCTTGACTGCAGCGAGGCAGGCTACAGCCTGGCATAAGAAGGAAGTGCCGATCCGGAAACTCATAATAGTAAACCGCATTCAGAGTTGGAGTCTTCATGACGAATCTGCTCGCATTTCACTCCAGACGAGGCCGACGTGGATCTCTTATACGTCTGTTGAACTCTGCGCACAAGCACATACATTGCTCCGTACCGGTACTATTAGTATGATGTTATTGAGATATAGATACGGGATGCAATATCCATCATTGCTACGTTGTAACAGCCGATCCAATGACCGTGCAAACTCTCATGGGAAACCTCTTCCGTTTACTTATCCTGAATGGTGCGGTAAACCAGATCAAACCCCGCATTACGGTACGGAACGCTCGAACATGCTTCAACATCCGTTTGTTGCCGCCCAGAGACAGGTCGGTGATTGATCGACGTGAATGACGATGATTTCCATGTGCATGCGTAGCTATACGTACAGGTATCTGTACTAGGAAACTTGAGGAACATTGAAGACGAGATGTTCTCCATCACAAGAGATATGTGAGCATGACAATGAATGAAGTATGAGGAATGAAAGAATAGGAGAGGAATTGACGAACAAGGAAAGAGGGAATGAGGGGGGGGAGGGGCAAGTTAATTACGTACAGGGTTCATTACATCATTCCTGCGGCTCCCCAGGGGCGTCAAACCCGCCAAATACCGGGGGATCTCCCTTGACTTGGCTCGATGCCCCGCGACGGCCTCCAGCGGATGTTGCCCCAGTTTATTATTAGCCACAAAACAACGCCATCCAAATGCTTCTCCCCCCCCCCCCACCATGAACTCCGTACGACTCCTTCGTGCGCCTTCAGATTTCAGATGCAACAGAATCGCTGATACTTCCTGTAACCGGGCTTCATGGTTGCGTGGAATCATGCATACGCAAGGGGCACGGTGCCCCTTGTGGTTCTCACCATCCTTTTGTTTGTCTTCTCCTCTCGCTCCTCCATAGGGCAAGAGCCACCAACTGAAGTAGAAGCACCATTGTTGGTGACACCAGCGGATACAACAACAACAGCAGCAGCAGCAGCAGCAGCAGCGGAAACAGTGGCAACAGGGAAAGAAAACATGGGGCCAAGTCAGCAACAGACGCAGCCGTTGGCCAGGGGAGCTCTGGGCGCCAACTACAACGAGCATCTGATCTGGGTCAGGCACAATGAGCTGCGGCGGGCAGGTGCCCAGTGGATCCGGGGTTTCGTTGAGATGCACTCTGTCAACGTGGATGATCCGCCTCGGGACCCCAACATTAAGGCCATCCTGGACGCGGCGGACGCTGGTTTCAGCACGATCCTCAGCATGAAATGGAACTACAAAAATACAGACTTCCCGGGCGCAGGGAGCCCCGAGCTGGCCGAAGAGCTGCTTCGCGTGGACACCATTATACGGGCCATCTGGGGGAAGGTGGACATTGTCGTCATTGGAAATGAGCCGTTTGTGGAGGCTCAAGAGGATCAGCGCGGCAGACGACTCAGTGACTTCTACCAGACCATGGCCGAGGCGGTCATCGGCTTCCGCAACGCCCAGGGCGTCGACGCCAACCTCACGCGGCTGTATATGGGCGCCCTGAACCGCATGGACTTGCCAGATAGGCACACGCCTCCCGTCGAGCGTATGCTGCGCTTCATCGCGTCGCGCCCTGAGCTCGACGGCGTGGACCTACACTTGCACATCCCCCACATGGCCGGCCACAAGGCCATGCTCGAGTACTGCCTGGCCCGCATCAGGCCGGAACAGACCTTCCTCGCCACAGAGTTTTCCATGATCTGGCACTGGAAGGCCCACATGCGCGATGAGGTGTCCGAGTACTACCGCACAGCATACCGCCTCGCGCCCGGGACGCAGGTCTACCAGGTCATCGACGGCGCCATCCGAGACCCCATCCCCGCTACCCAGTGGGAAGATTTCCTCGCCAATGAATCCTGGTACGCTGAACACCGAGGGTTCATCCGCAGTGCCATCGCCCTCTACCGCGCCACGGGCCGTCTTGATGTCGCGACATACTCGGCTTGTCCTATGCGTAAGAGGAGGCATGCCTTTTTGCCGACAGACACGCCTTGGATGCTCAATGGAATCATTGCTCCCTCCACGGTCCAGCCTGGTCCGGATGGAACTGCTGCGGAGAACTTTCCTTGGGGCGAAGAGTTTCGTCTCATCCAGGCTGTGCCATGATCAACCTCCAAATTTCCTTGCACTATTAGCGACCCGTCATTCCTGATAGAGCCGATAGAGCCTTCCTGTATCATTGTCTTCCTTTATTCGAGAATTGCATGTTTTTTTTTTCCGTCTTTCTTTTTTTTTATCCTCTTTGGGAAAACTTCCTAGAACTGGCGTTGGATCACTATCCAGGGATATCATTATAGAATGGATCATCAATTAGATCTCAGTATTAACACCTACTCAAATAACGAAGATGCTCCACGAGCCCCTGCATCCTCGTACTTGGCGTCGCATTCTTGGCTAGTCAGCTGCGAGCACAGAACCAGAAGCAGCAGACGGGGAGCCCCGATCATCTAAGGAAAACACAGTGCATGCTGGCATCTTCCCTGCTACAGCCGTTCCTCCAGTCGTTCGGCCTCGGGATGATGGACCGGGGCGACCGCGTCTACAGCGTCGTCGGCCTGGCCGTCGATGTCGACCCCGGTGCCATAAGGGTTTCAATGAAGGTCACGGCCCCTCTGATGTTCACCATTCGCAAATTCGTCCGAAGAATGTACGAGATCAATGACGTTCTCAGCTCGGAGATCAGAGGCAAGGTCCAGGCCATTTCGATCAATATGGAGTACATGAGTTCCCGGGGACAGAGGGAGGCGTTGAGAGATGACAGGGGGGAGGTAGATCTCACGGGGATGAGGATGCTTTCAGCACTTATCTTCAGCCAACTTAGCTTTCTTGAGTTGGAGTAGCATCGCACAGGGTTGAGATGTCGACGAGCGAAATATTGACTTGGTAGAATCAAGGATAGAAAAGCTGTTGATTGCAATGGCCTCAAGCTATTTGGAAAAAAAAATAGAAAAGAAAAAAAGATGAGCTGATGGTGCTCAAGACAGGATGATGCAAGTGGGAGAGGAAAAAGTGGTTCGGTTTCACGTTTTTAGAATGCTGCGAACCAAGCTGCTGCCCCCTCACCATCCTCCCTGCAACATCGCCATGAACAAGATCCTCATCCTCGACGGTGGCCTCGGTACATCCCTCGAGCAGACGTACAATGTGAAATTCTCACGGGATACGCCACTATGGTCATCCCACCTCCTGGTAGCAGACCAGGAAACGCTTCTCGCGTGCCAGCGCGATTTTGGCCAGGTCCCGGTCGACATCATCCTCACAGCAACGTACCAGGTCTCAGCGGGGGGGTTCGCAGCCACACGGACATCAGAGCATCCTCGGGGTATCACTGAGGAATTGACAATGGCCAGATACATCGACGACGCCGTTTCCATTGCGGAGAGGGCGAAGCAGCCCGACTCCCGTGTGGCGCTGAGTATCGGCCCCTACGGTGCATGCATGACGCCTAGTCAGGAGTACAGCGGCGCATACGACATTTCGTCCGAGCAGGTCGACGCGTGGCACCGCGAGCGGATGGACCTGTTTGCTCGTGCCGTTGGCAACATCCAGAAGCGCATAGCCTTTGTGGCACTGGAGACTATCCCGCGGGCCGACGAGATCCGCAGCATGCGCAGGGCCCTCGCCCGTCCGCTGGGCAGCGTCCCGTTCTGGATGTCGTGTCTTTTTCCCGGGGAGAGCGACACCCTGCCCGACGGGACGTCGGTCAAGGATGCTGTGAGGGCCATGCTAGATCCCAACGACGGTCCCCAGCCGTGGGGCGTCGGGATCAATTGCACCAAGACGCGGAAGCTGGACAGGCTTCTGCGCCGGTACGAGTCAACAGTGGAGGCCTTGGTGAGTGAGGGGGTCATCACCTCCTGGCCGGCCCTGGTGTTGTATCCCGATGGTACGAATGGCGAGGTGTACAATACGTCTACGCAGCAGTGGGAGATGCCCGATGATGGTGCACCGTCCGAGCCCCGCGAGTCCTGGGAGACACAGGTTTCTTATGCTGTGAGGGATACGCTAGACAGGGGATCGTGGTCTCAGGTCGTCGTTGGTGGGTGTTGTATGGCTTCTTATCATGATATTGGGAGGCTACGACTCGCTCTGTCATCTCTAAAGCTTTGAGTAGGGCTATTTGGGTGTTGCTGACGCTTATCAAATTCGAGTTTGTCTTGGCTATCACATAACACGCTCAATCAGTTATGAGCCTGACTTGCTATACTTTTTTGCCTCTCTGTTTGGCATAAAAACAGAGCTATCCTTGTGTTATATTTTGACAAGGACTGTGTCGAGTTTTACTACGTAAACGTCAAAATTCTTGAGTCCAAATGAATGGTCGAATACGCCATGCCACCGTACAACGAGATGATGCGTTTACGGAATGGATGACACGGGGGGGGGAGGTTGGAGGTTATACATCCCCGACTATATAATTGTAAAAGAGTCCAAGAACACGACATGGATATATTTAATAAAAGGGAATGTAGAAATAAGAGTCCTAAATGACTAATGAAAAAAAAAACGCGGGTTGTTTCTTTCGCTTCGTCACTTTACCATATGTCCCTTACCCCAAATTCCTCCTCACTAATGAACCGACTGGCTGGTGTTGACATTGAAACTCTACATGCACTTCATGAATAACTTCCCCGGAGGCTGTGCCAGTGCGACGACGACCAAGCTTCATCCAGCTCCAGGAATTCAAACATACAGCTTCACAGACACCTTCAACCCATTCTCGCTTCAACCTACCTTTGGCTAGTTAGTATATCATGGCTTCAGCTTGTTGTTTTCGCGGCGGGATCTCGACTGAAGAGCCCGCCGGGACTATTATGACAGTTCACGGACTGCCTGCCTACGTCGCCCAACCCGCCGAGGGCGTGGCTCCCAAGGGCATTGCCGTCATCCTGTCCGATGTGTTTGGCTGGAGCTGTGTCAACAACCGTGTCCTCGCACATTATTACGCTGCAAATGGCGACTTTCTCGTCTATCTGCCCGACTTTATGAATGGTGGGAGCGCACTAGCACCGTCAGACAAGACAAAGACACTGATTGCGATAACCAGGCTGTTCCGTCCCGCCGAGTCTCATACCTAGCATCGAACATGTCCTGGAACACGCGCCCACCTGGATCGACTTCTTCACCAAGCCCATCAGAGGCATCTACGTGCTCGCGCGGGTGCTTCCTTCCATACTGCGCGCCAACATCTGGGTCGCCTGGCCAGGGGTTCTGGCCTTCTTCCAGGCCCTACGCAGATCACCGCCGCCATTTGACACCAAGGATCTCCGAATCGGCGCAGCGGGCTTCTGCTGAGGAGGAAAGCATGTCATGACGCTCGCGCGCGACGACCCGACCACGCGTGTGGTCCGCCACGAGCCTCAGTCCGGTGCGTCGACAGATCCCCAGCCCCTGGTCGACTGCCTCTTCACTGCACACCCTTCCATGCTCAACATCCCCGGCGACGCGGAGTATGTACGGCTGCCGACGAGCGTCGTTGTCGGTGATATCGATACCATGCTCAAGCTTGACTCCGCTCGCGTGATGAAGAGCATCCTCGATAGCAAGGACGGCCATGAAATGGTGATATTGCCGAGTGCCAAGCACGGGTTTGTCATACGTACCCCGCCGGATGGTGAACACGCCAAGGAGTGTGCCCAGGAGCCTCGAGATCAGGCAGTTGCTTGGTTTAACAAGGCTTTCTCCTGACGACATTGTATTCCTCTATTGTGCTTTTCCCATTGGGCGTGGTTGTTGTTTGTCCGTGTGTGACTTCACACTGTCGGCTTTGCTTGTCTGTATTGAATGAACACTGAGCTCCAATTTCTTCCTGAAATTTCTTGTCCGCCAGTGTATTCTAACAGCTTATAAGCCAAGTTTGGTGATATCAGCGCTCAGCTCCTTGCCCTGCATCATTTCAGCCATGACCTTTCCTGTCCCTAGGCTCAGACTTATACCCCACGGTCCATGTCCAACAGCGACAAAGACACCCCCGTCACTTCCAGATCGCGTCTCGATCCCCTTTCCGAGATGCTCATCAGGGATTTTATCCAGGATAGGTGTGCCAGTGGGGGTAATTGGCCGGAAACACAGTCCGGTGCGGACAACCTCGAGATCGTCGCCCTCCTCAATAGCAATGAGCTGCCTCGCGACATCCTTGAGCTTGTCAACCGACGCCTCAACGGTCTTGGACCCGGTTGCCAGCGGCGGCAGTGGTATGGCAGCCGAGTTGACACCTGCGAGGTATATCACGCTGTTTGTCCGCGAGTATAATTCTGGGGACAGGCCGTCGACACTGCAGTACACTGCGTGGCAGGGGCTCTCGGCCTTGTCGTCCTCGTCGTGACGGTGCGCATCTGGAATTCTAACAACGAGCGAATGTCCCCCCAATGGCGTGACGGGGATGCTGACGGATGCATCCGGAAACAGCGACCGGAAGACTTGTGGTGTCCAGCATCCCGTTGATAGGAGCAGCATGGTGGCGGGGATTTCAATCTCGGTGGACGACTCAGTATAGCCTATTCGTACAGATGCCAGCTCGTCTCTCATGTCGGTGGCGATGCCGAGAGCTGTAGCGGGGTAGTGTATTTTTACGCCTGACTTCTTACACTCCTCCAGAAGGAAATGGCATAACTTCAGGGGGTCACTTATCATGAGTATTAGTTCTTGTATGAATGGAGGAGAAGAGGGAGAGCTCACACAATGGATGTCCCTTCACCATCGTCCATGATGCTCACATCTGCACCGGTCTTCAACCACCTTGGTGCGACGCCGTGCGACACTGCCCCTGCAGTTGCAGAAGCAGCTCTGCTCCCCTCTGCGGAGAGCCAATCCTCCTGACCTCTTGCGTCATGGCTCATCGTCACAGTCCTAGAGTACCCCCATTTCTCTCTGCCTCCGTGGTCCTCGGCCAGACGCCTGTGCTCATCGAAACTCAACTGTCCCAGGGAAGCGACACTCGAGGCGAACCAGTCGCGCGCCACGAATCCGCCTGCGTATCCCGAGGCCGATGCGAATAACTCCGGCGACGAGTCGACGAGATGGATGGTCTTGCCCGCCTGGGTGCGGGATAGGTAGTAGGCTGTTGAGAGTCCTATAATGCCCGATCCAAGTATGACTGCCCCCATATTCTTTTGCCTTGTTACACGAGTTTCACCGACATGTTTTTCGTTCGAGAAAGAAAGAAGAAAAAAGAGAGGAACAAGAACGAAATGCTCAAGTTGTATGACGTTCGAGAATAGCCCCACCACCAACCCCCACGTCCACAGCCCATTATTCCCCTTCCCTTTCCCCCCACCTCTAAGAGAAAGAGCTCACACGCACACACTCACACGTAGACACGCACACGACCAGATCGAGAGAAGGAAAAGAGAAAGCAATGTCGTCCAAAGTCTTCATCGTCACCGGAGCAAGCAAGGGTATCGGCGCAGCCATCACGCAGCGTCTGCTCAGCCAAGGCAACAAAGTCGTCCTCACGGCCCGGTCAAAGGATGCCCTCGAGGCTGTGAAAAGCTCGCACCCCGGTCGTGTCGAGTATGTCGCCGGAGACATGACAGATGCTGGCGTATGTTCTCCATACCGTTAAGTACTCGGGGGGAAATAGCCCGCGCGGCAAACCGAGACAACGCTGAGTCCCGACTGACCATGCAACGACAACGTCAGATCTCGGAAAAGATTGTGGCGGCTGCCGTGTCGGCGTTTGGACGGGTTGATGGCCTAGTCATCAACCATGGTATCCTGTCGCCTAACAAGCTGTCTGAGGCCCCCATTGAGGAAGTCAGGCACGTCTACGATGTCAATGTTTTTTCCTACCTTGCTATTGTACGTGTCAAATTCCCCCTCCACTCCTTTCTGCACATTGATAGTGTAGACATCATGGCGTTGGGTAGCTGACAAGGATATGAACATGGCAGGCCAAGGCGGCACTGGATGAACTGCGCACATCCAAGGGCAGCATCGTCTGGATCTCTTCCGGAGCTGCTAGCAAAGCCTACGCTGCATGGGGTGCCTACGGGTCGTCCAAGGCGGCAGTCAACTCCCTCTCTGGGCACTTTGCCGCCGAGGAAAAGGACATCACCAGCATTGCCATTGCCCCCGGACGTGTCAACACCGACATGCAGGCCGACATTCGCGCCCAGGGCAAGGAGAGGATGGACAAGGCTCAGTACGAAAATTTTGTCGAAGCCTTTACCACCGGTATTCTTCTCAAGCCTGAGCAGCCGGGCTATGTCGTTGCTGACTTGGTTGCCAAGCCGGCGAAGGAGCTCAGTGGCAAGTTTCTCAAGTACGTTTGTTCATCCCCAAATACACACATACACGTATGACAGCTATTGGATGATGATCTAACTGTTGTGACAGCTGGAACTCACCGGAGCTGGCGGCTTACCAGCAATAGGTTCGGCAAATACAATGCTGACAGATCGACGTAGAGTTCTCCTGTAATCTTGGGATCGTTAGCATGTTGCTAGACTCTGGCAAATAAAAACACATATTATCGAAAAGGGGAAATTGCAAGTCAGTCGAAAGATGAAAAGCTCTTATGTTACTCCACATGGTAATTCAGGATTAGCATGGAATAAGTTTTATCATCACGCAATTGTCTCGTGTTTTCCGCAAAACACGAGCAGGTTGTAAAAAGAAAAGGAAATAAGCCCTTACCATTTCAAGAGACAAGCCGGCCAAGTCTAGCCATTGTAGCGACAGTGCATTCGTAGGCACCTACATGCACCGATTAGTATGTTATTATCCGTCGAGTTATCGCAGTTGCGTATCGGATCCGGATTGGCGCTCAGGCTATCGTTTTTCTCCGTCATTTGGGATGTCGGAATTTGATAGTACCAGATAGCTAGGACATCATGGCAAAGGGTTGAAAGGATTGCTGTGTATCAGGGCGGACTGCTTACACGTCACGGCTAAGGGATCTGTGTCTGAAAAGCTGTTAGCTTCATTGCTTCTCGAGAAAAGTAATCCAGTGTGAAGATGAGGGTTGTGTGTGTCCATCAGCGAACGTCTATTTGGCTTAGACTGTGTCAATCAGCACAAGAAGCTTGTCGAACCTCTTAAGCCTGGGGCGACAACATATATCATCAAATGGAAGGGGGAAGGAATAGTGGAAAGAAAAAGAGGAAAGTAAAAAAGCTTACCCAGCCCACGGGTGTGTTACACACTATATCCTTTACCCTTCGTCAAGAGAAACAGAAAGAAATTCTCAAGAGAAAGTGTGTGGTGAGAGAAGAAGAAAAATTCCAGAGCAGCCAAGGAGAAAAATTATTTTATTATGCGCTGTGTGGTCCGTGCGCGACACTGATAACCCACATGTGGGAACGTGTCAGCCACAAGCTACAGGGCCACAGCTACCACTGCCTCAGCGCGCTGTACCAACAAAATAGGCCTAGATATAGTGCTACGAAATAGTAGCTTTAGCGGTAGCTGAACTGTATTACAGGGACTCCGTGCGGGCAGCAACTAAGTAGTATTAGTGAAGAAAATTAAAGTGATCCGCTCCTTCCATGTGCGTGGTAATAACGGTATGAGTACAGGCTCCTCCTGTCCGCAGCGTACATGTATATTAACCGCCTCCAGCTCCAGCTCCAGGCTCCTGCCCCGCTACCTGCTCTTCTTGTACGTTTTAACGCGACAACACACGATTCTTCTCACCAAGAGAGTCAGTCCCGTCAAATATAAGGCCACTACATACACGTCATACACGGGGTGATACCTCATATTCTGCATCATTATATTCACCTCCATTATTCAAGCGAGAGGGGCCAAAGTCAGTCACCGATACAAAGCATCGTTTGCATCTCAGAATAACAACTCGTTCCCTTCCCGTGTTTGCTGCCATACGCGCAACTGGTAGTATTGTCCACCAACGTGCAGCTTCGGACACCTGGCCATCACTTTCGTCTGCTGCCCGCCATGTCGGATCACGAGTATGCCGGTAAGTTAGATGTGCCTCTCTCGTTTATTCACGCGGCTCTCTTCTGCTTCGGGGCTGTCATCGTTCGTGTCACGTATAAATACCCCAAACACATGCCCATCCGGAAACGCCATCTAGCCTCCTCATCACAGCCATCTTCAAGACTCACTTGGCTTTGCATCGCTTGCTTGTCTCTTGTAGCGCACCCCTTCATCACCCATATCCCACCATGTCTCGTCCCCACACCACTCGTCAAGATGCATATTGGGCACGTCACGACGGCACCCATGACGGCCTCAGTCAGACCCTCTTCTACACCCCGGGGCACAAATGCACGCGCACGAGACACAGCATGGTAGCTAACGTCTGACAAATTATCAATAGGCAACGACGATTTGTCACTTCCCAAAGGTATATTTTGCAGCTCTCCCCCTTTTTACTAGTATGACAACGACTAACAAGCCCCAGCTACGGTGCAGAAAATCGTCGGCGAGATTCTCCCACCTCACACTGGGGTCGGATTTGCCAAGGAGGCCAGAGACCTGCTCATAGAATGCTGTGTCGAGTTCATCACTCTCATCTCCTCCGAGGCCAATGAGATCTCCGAGAAGGAAGCCAAGAAGACGATTGCCTGCGATCACATCACCAAGGCTCTAGAGCAGCTTGGCTTCTCCGACTATGTGCCTTTGGTCCAGGAGGCTGCGGCCGAGCACAAGGAAGTACAAAAGGTATGTCAGTGTGTGCACAAACATACTTTATATGTGTCTCTTCTAACGTACAATATAATATACACAGGGCCGCGAAAAGAAGCAAGACAAGTTTGCTAACAGCGGCATGTCAATGGAGGAGCTGGCTCGTCTTCAGGAAGAGCAGTTTGCACAGGCGAGACAACGCCACAACTAGAGCTCATATCCTTTTTGCGATTTCTCTGATTCTGTTTCGGTTTTACGTATTGCTTCTCGGTTTGGGCGTTACCTTCATGGGCGTTGATATTGGTTTTTGGAAGCGTCAAAGGGTGGGCGAGGGAACGATCCATGCCCGTCACGCACGGGCATCAGAAAAACAGGGGATTCGTTGTTGTATATCAGATACAGATGGTCTATTATTCTTTACGAGTGCTACATGTTCTTATACGTGCAATAACTGGCGGAGAAACGACCAACGTCAGATGTAGGTGGGGTTGCTGGCTTGACATAAACATCACCACAGTCGATGCCCTGTCAAACACGAAGAACTGTCTTCTGTGTTTTTGTCATGCCTGACGTATAGATGGGGTTTATCGATTACGCCAGACTATCGAAGAAAAAAAATCCCCCGCCATTAATATCATCATCAGCATCAGCCGTGCTCTTTACATTACGACGTACTTATCCGTCCCCCTCTCCCCCCTCTCTCTCTCATTTTTCTCCCATGTATCTCCAAGTATAGAGACACCCATACGCACCCCTCCGAAACGAGCTGCGCTCCTAACCTGACGTCATCCATCCTCCCCCGCCTCACCGCCACAATAGGCCGCCGCCGCCGCAACAAGCCCAACAAAGGGCCCCGCGTGCCTCGCTGGCTCCGCCGTAAAATGGGCCAAGACTCCTCGTCAATGGTGGATGACAGCGTTCCGCCCGCGACCTTGTCGGGGCGCAAGCTATCGTCTGTAGCAGAGTACATCAAGAGCGGGAAGCCGCGGCGTATAGTTGTCCTCACGGGGGCGGGTATATCCACAGCGGCGGGGAGTGAGTCTGTCCCTTTCCTGTCTCGGTCTCTCATCTCCCTGTCCGACTTTGAGGACTGACGAAAATTGCAGTCCCCGACTTCAGGTCCCCGGGAACAGGCCTATACGCCAACCTGGCCCGTCTCAAACTTCCCTACGCCGAGGCCGTCTTCGACATTTCCTTCTTCCGCGAAAACCCCGAGCCGTTCTACGTCCTCGCGCGAGAGCTGTACCCTGGCCGGTTCCACCCGACGGTGTCGCACGTGTTCATCGCGCTGCTCGCGCGCAAGGGCCTTCTCGACTTCCTTTTTACGCAGAACATTGACTGTCTAGAACGGCAGGCTGGTGTGCCGTCAGATCTGATTGTCGAGGCGCACGGGAGCTTCGCCACGCAGCGATGTATCGAGTGCAAGAAGGAATTCCCGGCTGAAGAGATGAGGCAGCACGTCGACAGGGGGGAGGTGCCACGGTGCCATGAGGATGACTGCAACGGACTGGTAAAACCCGACATCGTCTTCTTTGGGGAGTCTCTCCCCAGAGAGTTTGACCGCCAGGCCCATGTCCGCATGGAAAACGCCGACCTTGTCCTCGTCGTCGGCACGAGTCTGAGCGTCTACCCGTTTGCTGCGCTGCCCGACATGGCTGACCCGACGGTGCCGCGTCTGCTGTTCAACCTCGAGCAGGTCGGCAGTATGGGCAGTCGGGCAGACGATGTGCTCGAACTGGGAGACTGCGATAGCGGGATCCGCAAGCTGGCTGATGAGCTGGGCTGGCGGGACGAGCTGGAGAGCCTCTGGAGAGAGGTTGTTGGTGAAGATGAGGCTGAGAGGCAGATTGCTAGCCACAGGAAGGGTAAGGGAAAGGATGCCAAGGACGATGGCGACGTGGAGGACGAGGTTGCCAAGTTGACGCGCGAGGTTGACGTTGCACTACATCTCGAGGATAAGGAATCCGAGGATGAGCAGGAGAAGGAAGATGAGAACGAATCCAAGTTGGAAAAGGGCCAGACTTCCGAATCCAAAGCGGAAGTGCAAACACAGGGGACCGATGTCAATCCCGAGATGAAGCTAGAGGCCATCAAGCCCGAGGTAGCATCACCGAGGAAAGAAATACAAGAAAACAGCAACAAGATATGAGTACACGATGTTGTTTAATAATATAATAAGTCTTGTTCAATGCCACGTAGATACAATCTAGAATGCCATCATCTCCGAATATACCAAGAAGAAATCAAACAATATACTTTCGGTCTCCTTCACGATTACCTTCTCGGCCAATATGATCAAACCCGGAAAAACTCGTATTCCCCATGACAATGCAAGTCATTACCACCACAAAATCGCCGTCCCCCTTTAATTATGAACTGAAATGAAGAAAGGGCTAGAAAAGGATGAAAAGGATGGGGAAAAAACAGTGATGAGCTTTTTAAGGAAAGGACAGAAATAGTCATGACAGGCAAGCGACCTTGTAAGAAAAGATGCCATGACAAACGTGAAACCTTGGAAAGCCAAAAGAAAATGACAGGGCATAAAGCAAAGAAGAGAGGGAGAAAGGACAGGTAAGTCATGAAATTATGACAAGGGAGAGAATGAAAGGATAGGCATGAACACTCTGACAGAGATCAGAGTCCACTGTCAATCTGTGGCGGAATATTCGTATGCGTCCACTCAGCCCACTGGCGACAGGTTTCAGCCACAACACTGGGGGGCTTCATCTTGGCCAGCTTGTCGGGAGCTGTGAGGAATTGGGCGTATAGACCGGCTCCGACGTGCCAGGCGATGTGGCAGTGGAAAGCCCACATGCCTGGGTTCTGGGCTGCGTCGAACTGCATGACTAGATGGCCGTTGGGACGAAGCTGGATGACGTCGCGGCGCTGAGGGTTCTCCGGATGGACAATTGTGCCGTCCCATTCTCCGTCGCCCTCGGAGAGGATGTACATGTTGAAGCCGTGGAGGTGCATCGGGTGACTTTGAAGTTTTTATTAGTACTATTAGCATCTGAACATCCGAAAGGAAGCAAAGGATGTATGGTATGAGTGCGACAACATACGCGACTGCCCCGTTCTGGACGATGACCCGTACACTCTTGGCCGACTTGGTATTCTTGACGTTCCACTGATCCTCGAAGGTGTGGTTGTTCAGGGTGGCCAGGAGTAGGGTGGGACTGTTGTAGTTGCCGCGATAGGAGACGTCATCGAGGGTCCAGAGGGTGGTACCGGTCTCGTTCTGGAAGTTCCCGATGGACATGTTGAAGGTGAGGTCGGGCTGGGGGACGCGGAGCTGCATGACGGGCCTGGTGCGCTCGAGGTCGTCGTTGGCGCAGTTGCCCGGGTCGGTGAGGTCGCCCTCTGGCTGGGACTGGGGGTCCTCGGACTGGTCGGCGTCGTCGTAGTATATGGCGGCCAGGGCGTCGGGCTGGTTGGTCAGGGAGCAGATGGTGGAGATGCTGCTGCGCATCCAGTAGGCGTCGAGGTCGCCGTCGGCCTTGACGAGCACGTCGGTACGCTGTCCCACGCCCAGGGTGACGATGTCGGTGGTGTAGGGCTGGACCTGGACGTAGTCGTTGGCCACGACCGTCATGTTGTGGCCGTCGATGGAGAAGCGCTGCAAGGCCTCGGCGCCGACGTTGATCAGCCGGAGGAGGTGCGTCTTGCCCCGCTGGAACTTGAACTTGGACACGCCGGCGTTGTTGACGCAGGGGGTCTTGTCCGTCTCCGGCAGCGTTGAGCAGTCAAAGTTCATCTTGCCATTGATCAGGTTGTTGTCCGACAACAGCGGTAACGCGTTGGGCGCCATCGACTGCTCCACCAAGTTCATGTACGTGTCGTGGTACCAGTCCGAGAGCATGACAGGGCCGACGTCGATGTCGTAGGCGCGGCTCTTGGGGCCGTGGATCACCATCGGCCCCGAGAGGCCACCGGCGTACTGGGCGGAGTAGTGCGAGTGGTACCAGGACGTCCCGTATAGGTCGGCGAGGAACTGATACGTGAAGCTCTTGCCGGGCGCGATAGGACACTGCGTGACGGCAGGCACGCCGTCCTCCCAGGGGGTACCCTTCTGCAGCAGCCCGTGCCAGTGAAGAGCGGTCCCCTCGACGGGGTCGGTCAGGTTGTTGTGCACCGTCACCTGGATCGTGTCACCCCAGTTGGCCTCGATGAGCGGGCCGGGAAACTGTCCGTTTACCAGGAGGACGTCACGCTCGTAGCCGTCCGGGGAGATCTTTCCCTGGCCAATGGTGAAGTCGTAGGATCGTATGACGCCCGTGTGGGGAGGGTCGGTGTAGTAGTTGTCCCTGCTGTCGCGGTTGCTCCACGGGAATCCATTGGGGAGAGGGTTGTTTCTGAGGAAGCTGGGCAGGGTGGGAGCGCGGAGAGTTCCCCAGTCGGACCTCCTGTGATTTTGATCAACGGTTAGCTTATACAACAGTCTTTGTTCTCCTCTCGCAGCGTATGTTACTCTGCCTCACCCATTGGTGCTCATCTGGCTCAAGGCCCTTGGGGCAATGTCATGGACAAGGCCAACGTCCCTAGGGACAACGGCATTGCTGGGAAGGTTTCCCATTGCTGCGTGCTTATAAACGAACGAGTGAGAGATGTGAAGGATGAAGCAAGAGACGAGGCAGTCAAAGGGAAAACAGAGTTCTAAGAAGCTCAAATGCACAACCAACAGAGTCAAACACAAAGAGGGAGAGACAGGACGAGAAAAATTAACGACTGAGGATGATGATGGAGTTCTAGACGGAAAGGGGGGCGGCGGCGGCTCAATATATATATAATGGTGTTATTTTCAGTCCCAACCGCAGCCTTATCCCAGGCACACACGCACACACCTTTCCCGTAAGACGGGAAAATGCGTGAGAACGACCAGAAAGCGAAAAGGGGAAAAGCAATGAAATACAAAGAGGGGGTGTGTGAAAGGCAGAGGCGCTTGCAAGACGAGACTATGCACGGGTGTTAGCCTTCTCCGGAGTGCATTGGCCATATCGCGGGCCATCACCGAAATTCATGAGCGTGGGCGCCGCGACAAGCAGCAGCCCTCATGTCTCACATGATTTTATTTTCGTTTTCGGACGGATGAAAACAAAGGCTTAATGAATCCAGCATTGACATCACCTGCGTACATCGTACACGAGCAAGTCAGCGTCAGCCAAGTCCCCGTGCGGTCACGAGAGGGCGGGAAGAAAGAAAAAAAGAAGCTCGTAAACAGGCCAAGTTTAGCAACACACCCAAATGATGCGGTATTGGTTCGTAGAAGGGGGTTCCCTTATCCATCCCTCCTTGCCTTGTCAGCCGAAAGAGAAAAGAAGAAGAAAAAGCAAAGAGACCCTTCCGTCCAAAGAGAAAGTAAGCAGATAGGAAGCTCCCCTCCCTGTCAACACGAGCCTCATCGTCTACGATGGATGTGCGCCCCCAGACAACAACGCCGCCGACGCCGCCGACGCCGCCGCCCCCGTCTCGGTAGGGCTTATATGTCCACCACTCAGAGAGCGAGAATGGCTTGAGACTCGTGACACGTCAGTTCCAAGAATACCTTTCCCCATGTTCGATCGTTCCCATGGGGCCATCCGTTCGATCTACTACATGCACATTCCTCGCTTCCATCTCCTCCTCCCCCCCTCCATCCATACGAGGGTGTTGCCTGTTTGCTTACTTTCAGGAAGCCGACGGCTTGACCTAGGAGTTCTGAAAAGCCAACGTCGAGGTAACGGTGACCAGTAAACAAAACCAAGGAGAGCGGTGGTGACGATGACAGTTCAATGGTTCAACCGGTGTTTTATCGGTACCAGCTAGCCTCTTGTCAATTCAGTAAGCCATCCGGTCTTTGCAGTGTATCTGTCCGTGCCAAATGTTCGTTGACGAACGTAGGATGATGCTAATAATAATAATAATAATAGACCGAGTACGAGATATTTAGACGCGAGGCCGAGCCCAAGAAAAGCGTAAATGGTGTGGCGTCAGGTGGTCAATCCAATTCGTGTCGTATCTCGCTTGGTGTTTAGCTTTTTCTTTTCTTTTCTTTTTTCTTTTCTTTCCTTTTCTTTTCTTTCCCTTGCCTCGTTCCTGTCTCTCGTCTTTTCGTTCCGAATAGAGAGAGCGGAGCCTCGACTCCTCACATCAGCTGAGTGAGACATTTGGGAAAAGAAAAGGCTTGCCAGCAGAGCACATTGGCCGTCACCACAATTGATCCTCGCCCCCTCTGCACTGGATAAGAGAAAAGGAGAGGGGGAGAGGGAGTGGAAGAGAGGGGGGGGGGGAGAGAGGCGCGCACGGCAGGATTAACCGGAGTTGCAAAGGTGGGAAAGGAAGCCGCCATCGGTATCGCAGAAGGCTTGATGCAACTAGTAACCANATCAGCTGAGTGAGACATTTGGGAAAAGAAAAGGCTTGCCAGCAGAGCACATTGGCCGTCACCACAATTGATCCTCGCCCCCTCTGCACTGGATAGGGGAGAGAGGGAGAGAGAGAGAGAGAGAGAGAGAGAGAGAGAGAGAGAGAGGCGCGCACGGCAGGATTAACCGGAGTTGCAAAGGTGGGAAAGGAAGCCGCCATCGGTATCGCAGAAGGCTTGATGCAACTAGTAACCAATGCATCCCTCGGTCAGAAGTTGATTGCTACTAGTCTGGATGTCACTCGTAACAGTAGCCACACATGAACGAGAGAATAAGGAAAGAAAATGCCGACTTACATGGCTTATCCGCTATTCGCCATCCTCTTTCGCATGGGTGGTCAAGGTAGAGACCCCTCGACATGTTTCCAGCAAGCCACTCACAGATTGGGCACATTTCGTCCCAAGCTAGGATGGTTTGCCATGACTTTTTCCTGTCCTTTGTGTCTTGAGAAGATCTTGCCAGGGGGGTTACTGCTCTGATATATTAATATCAAGCTGCTAAGTGAGTATTATCTGATATTACTCATAGCTGGCCAAGTATCACTATTAGCAGAATCTCCGACCGACTACGTAATATGCACCATAACGCGCTTCTGAACATTGTTTTTCTTTTTTTTTTTTTTTTCACCAGAGAAATGAACTTGGGGAGCGCGTACGACTGGCCGACATAACCGCTCCACATACATCAGCAGAGCATCCAGGTATTAGCAAATTGTACGAGAGCAGCGGTAAGACCGGGCAAATTAATTGCCGATGGACACATTGGTGAAAATCCGGATTCCAATCATGCATAATCATCACCATTGGCACCATCATGGCTAGCTGACGCCGTCAAGAGCATGTGCCTCCCCTCTTGCAAGCCATGGGAACACCCCGGACATGCAGAGTGTGTAGAGGGATCCGGAGCCCGACCTTGAAGAGAGAGACGCAATATGGAACTCTCAAAAGAAGAGTGCGGCCCAGATATAGGCGACAGCGATGTGTTGACCATGTGTTCCCGTATACGAATGTATTCCCACCCCGTATTTCTCCTCGTATACTGTGCTGACTTGACCAGAACACTAATAGAAACCCTATCCAATCGCCGGATTCAAGAATGTTCGAACACACGTGGCGCAAGGCTCCAGCTTGTATTACATATTGACCCTGTCAGTCTGTTGGTCGTCCTAGCACCCTCCTAGACCAGCGAATAGTTGAACGTTGCTCGTCAGGACTTTTAAGTAAGGAGAAGCCCGGAATTCATGCCCGCAATGTTCGCTTAAGCATCTCCGAACAATGTAAAGTGAGCAACGATTAGAGAAGCGATGTCCTAACCAAGGAGAACTGAAGTGCTTATCTGGACAAGGAAATGCGATGGTATTATAATAGCGTATGGTACAGGTGGGGTGGGTGGTGATCTTGTTTTTCTACTTCCTTTGTTGGTATCGCTCGTCATGTACAAGGATGCAAATCTGTGAATCGCCCGCCTCATGACGGCATCGTATCTGAGTCTCACTCCCTTCCTCTAGGGGATTCAGTCGTTGTGTCGCCAGGCAGGGTGCGCCTGCCAAATTATAGGACGTCGCTGTGCCTGCATATACAGGTCGTGGAACTTGGGGTCGGCGTCTGACCGGATGACGCTGCCGATGCTCATGAAGAAACTAAACAGGACGAAAGGGGTATCTGGTCAGCAAAAAAAAGCCACCCCGTATCTGATGATGGTCACGGTGCTCTCCTCGAAACATCATACCCAAATGTGGCTCCAGATCCTGCCATGTACTGCCCCAGCGTCCTCATGATGCCGTTCGCGCCTGCTCCATATCGGAAGATGTTGACGGTACCTGCAAAGAGATATCAGAAAATGGAAAGCCTCACACCACCCCTTGCCCTCCAATCGTCATTCTTTCGGTGTCTCCTCGGGCCGCGCTTACCGTAGAGGAACCCGATAATGACGCCAACGCCTATGATCCTGTCAGCTAAGCCGAACCTCGGTCACGACCGATACTCTCGTGTTCCAGAGACGTACTTCCACCCATCATGGCGCCCATCTTGACTAAAAAAAGAACCTTTTGTTAGCACATCTTCACTGGAGCATCTAAACCCTCCAAAGATGCATCAAAGATGGCATACGCTTATCAGTTGTGGACGGCCCATGCTGGCCGCCGGGAATGGCTGCGACAGGAGGCATGATGATGTATATAGGAGTGGAAAATGATGGAGCAGTATAGGACAAGCGCACAAACGACGTTGATGCGAGACCGACAGGAAAGTGCAGGAGACAAAGGGAGAGCGCCGGTGAGGAGGAGGTTTGGCGATCGCAAAAAAAGTCCAGACTGTTGGTCGGAAGCTTTCATCATGGGGCGCTCTTCTTCCCCAGCTTTCTCTAATGACGCACGTTCATTGGTCAGGAATTATCGGATCGGCAAAAAGAGTTAATGCGGCCAGGGGTGCGGTTGAGCGGTCGATACAGGGTATCTTGTACTATTTTGGCGCTGTAGTAACCGTGACAGTCGCCGGTTGACGAATCAGGCGTCGTGACATGATCGGTCACGTGAGATTCCTTTCCCTCCTCTGCGCAATCGGTAATTCGCCTCTACGACGCCATACGACGACGTAGGTCTTCGCTCTATGACCTTGTCGGTTTGCAAGAAGACTAGGTCTCAACCCCAATCCACCGCCTTCATACGCTTCCTGCTGTCGCTTGAACGAGCTTTCTGTTGTCCTGGTCCCGGTCAAACGGCCCCACTGTTTTCTTGTCTTTCCCTCAAGCTTCTCATCACGCTAAACTCAGCGCTTAGCAAAAAAGCAAAAGAGGGAGAGAAGTCAACTCTTTTCCTCCACCAAGCTGCAAAGATCATCCGAACCCCTCGACCGCGACGACGCAGAGTCACGCCGTTAGCGAAAATTCCATCTCCCGGTAGGCCTCTTCGTCTTTTCCCTGCATCTGCCGTCTTTCTTTTGGCACTTCCCCCCCCCCTTATGGATGCGGCTGCGGCAGAAGGTGTCACGATTGGCCACACATCCCGCTTTTTGAGAGCCCAACACTGACGCCGTGTCGTCATCAAACAGAGAAAGGAGATTTTTCTCTTATATACCCAAAACATCGAACCGAGTGACAACGAGTGTTCATCTTTCGAGGGGAAGCGCCTGACACGCGATTTTCGCGTCGGCTGCATTTGCCCCGGGCGGTCTCTACTGAACGCAGAGTGGCGCTGTGATAACACCCTCTCTCCACAGGACGGATTGGAAGCAACTGGCACGGCGACACTCCTCTAGCAATTATTCGGGACTGCTCTAGTCTTCCCGCTTCTTCATCCATATCCATGACGGCAGTCGCGAATCCCCCGACCTTTTCGCAGATATCCCGGCCAGCATGGGGCCCCGTTGATGGCAGCTCGATGAACGCCGACGACGCTCGAGGCATGTTCATGACGCGAAAGACGCTCTCTCGATCAAACTCTTCCTCGTCCGTCTCCTCCAACTTATCCAACTCATCCACGTCGACGGTCCTCTCGAATGGGACCTCCTCCCAGACCAACGGCACCCCACTATCATCGACCACCGACCTGACACAGTGGTCCTCTTCTTCCGCCACCGCGTCGCGTAGAAAGCCGCGGAACGGCCAAGGCTGGCCCGCGTCCAAGGGAGAGGTCCAGACCGACTTCTCCAGGCTGCCAGCTGCGGGCCGACAAAACGGCATGATCCCGCAGCAGCACGGTCAGATGCAGCCCGGGCCAAACCAGCAGCAGCAGCAACAACAACAACAACAACAACAACAGATGTCCCAGCAAGGAATGATGGCACGACCCATGCAGGGAGGGGAGGGAATTTCTCCTGCACAGCCCACCCTATATCTCCTATCTCTCAACGGCACCTTTGAGAGGAAAACCATTGCCGTGCCGTTCGCCCCCGAGTCGTTGAGGATAGGACGCCAGACTAATCAAAAGACGATACCCACGGCCGCCAACGGCTTCTTTGACAGTAAAGTGCTGTCAAGACAGCATGCAGAGGTGTACGCCGAGCGTAATGGCAAGATTTACATCCGCGACGTCAAGTCTTCCAACGGCACCTTTGTCAACGGCGCCCGCCTCTCTCAGGAGAATCGCGAGTCGGAACCTCACGAACTGTCGACGGGTGACCATCTTGAACTCGGTATCGATATTGTCAGCGAAGATCAAAAGACTGTTGTTCACCACAAGGTCGCTGCCAAGGTCGAGCATGCAGGCTTCATGAACTCATCGAGCAACGTCCTCGACATGAATTTTGGCGACCTCGACCCGGCCAACAGCTCTGCCATGATGGGCGCTGGCGGACCGATGCATACCCGTGGCCGCGCCGGCAACAACATGCCCGCCGGGAACAACAACCGCATGTTTACAGCAGCTGGCACACCTAACAGCATGGGCCAGCAGAGGCCGTTCTTCCTCTCGCCCGTGGCTACAGACCAGATTCTCAAGAAGCTCTCGGTAAGTAACTGACAAGACGTGACAGCAGCCTTGCATTTTACGGTAGATGATGCTTACCACTGAAAAACAAAATCACAGAACGAGATGAGGAATGCTCGTCTTCAAGCCCAGGATCTCGGGCGAGCCAATCAGTTCATCGGAACACTCCTATCAAAGAACGACATCAAGGACCTCGATAAGGCCGAGGTCCCCGAACCGCCCAGACAGCAGATGCACATGGTCAACGGTGGTCTTCCCTTCCGACCAGACCCTAAGGCACGATTCTCGGAGCCCCCGGCACCGCCGCCGCAACAGCCGCTACCAGAGAAGCCCAACGTACTCCCGCCGAAGAGAGGTGTGACGAAACCTGGCAGCCCTGCGGAGTCAATGTCGCCTATCCGCCAGGAGAACACGTTGCAGATTATCCAGCTCACCGAGGCCCTCAATAGCGCCAGGAAGGACATCGACATCCAGACTGCCCGTATGAGGGAGCTGGAGACGTTGCTGCAGCAGGAGCGCGAAGCCCGGGTGCAGGAGCGTGAGGCTCGGGCACTGGCCGAGGATCAGGCCAAGCGTCTCGAGGAGTCGACGGCTGTCGCTACCCATATGAATGGCTCCGCCGACCTCGTTCCCGACACTCCCAAGGATGTTGACACCGACGTCACCAGGGACATCAGCGTTGAGAATGCCGATAAGGAAGAGGCGTCCAAGCGTTCGGCTGCGGAGACCAACCTTGCCGCGCAAACGGCAGCCGCGCTACAGGCGCACATTGACCGGATGGAGAACCAAGTCAAGGAGCTCAAGAGGCAGGCTGACGACTGGAAGCAGCGCGCTGAGGCTGCTGAGGCAGAGCGCGAAGCCGACCGCACCACTCTAGCTGAGATGGTGACACGACTCCGTGAGGAGGAGGCCAAGCGGGTGGCAGCCGAGAAAGAAGGCCGGTCGAGGTCAAGAAGGAGGGCAAGCAAGACTGCAAACGACACGACCGCGGACCAGCAGACCAGCCAACAACCGGACAGTCTAGCCAGCGACGCGCAAAAGCAGCCCATCTTTCCCGACGGCGAGAGACCAGACGGCGACGCCCCGATCAACAGCCAGGACCTCCCCGACGAGTCTTCCCCCCTCTCGAGAGGGAGCACCATCACCTCCCTAAACCCGGGGCGCACGGTGACGGCGGGTCAGAGGCAGCTACAGGCCGGTTTGCCTTATGCCTCCGCACTGGGTGTCATGCTGCTAGGCATGGGACTTATGGCGTACATCAACGGCTGGCAGGCACCTCCACCTCGAGCTGACTGATTGCGTCGAGGAACTTATTTTCCGTCTTCATACAGCCCTGAGAAGTTTATCGTACTTTATCTGGCACCATGTTTCATTTTGTCGTTTTTATCACCTCCTCTCTTTCCATTTTTGCGTCTCGACGCCGGAAAGTCTTTTTTGCCTAACGTCCACATACACACATCACTCCTTTTTCCTTGTCAAACATAAACATAATTCACCAACGAGACGAAGACGGTTCATGACAAGCCATACTATTTCCTTTGTCCATCGGGTTTTTCTTCTATCATACACCAAAGAAAAAAAACATGTCGCCCTATTCCCCTTTCCCCTCTGACTTGTTTTTTTATTCCTTGTCATCTTTCTGGCGTCGGCATCCCCCCATGTACGTTTATAGTGGATACAGCTTCTCAACATGTATTCCACAAGTCCTTTTCATTTCCTATTTCATGCTCTTGTTTATCTAGGGGGATCATGTCTGCTGTGTACGAGGGGGAAAGGGGAAGGAAATGGTATCAGTAGTTTTTTTTTTTTCTCTCTCGGGGCGTTTGTTCCTGTTACTCCGTACTACTTATAGTTCTTTTGTTTTTGTTGTTGTTTTTTTTTTAGCAGACGGGCATTACTATCTAGCGAGTAAGCGATGGCCTGGGGACATAAAGCGAGTTTATACTACACCACGTGTGTTTCTACCGTCTGAAGTTGATTCTCGACGATGTATATTGTGTGGAAAATCGCCGTTGCGGGTATGGTATGTCCATGGTGGTATAGAGTTGGTACTATGGTTATAGCAGATATTCTTGTCATTTGAAATGCCAAGCAACACTTGCCACAAAGAAAAGAAAGAGACGAATGAATAGAGGAGATTGTAGATATGTAGATATATAAATCTAACGCGATGCAAAGAAATCAAGGACATTGAGAATATCGGGGGTTTCTACAGGGTAGATCGGATAGAAGTCGGGCCGGAGTTGACCTTAGGTCATGTTCCTGATTGATCCGATTCTGCCACTTCTGTCGTCATCACCATGGGATTCCCTGAACAACGAAGACAACTCAACTGTTAAATTACCGAAGGAAAGCCTTACCACGAGGGGCCGACTGCAAATAAGCGACGACTACGAATACACGAAGAAGAAGAGAAAAGACTACAGAGTGTAGACCTGCCCCCCCGCACCCCCAATCGTAACCATGGGGTTTCAAAACAAGAAATTCCGGTCGGCAGGCGACATGAACAAGGCGGGGATGCGATACCGCGCCCTGATGAACAAGCACCCGTTCATCACGTTCGGTCTCCCCTTTCTCGGCATCATCATCGCCGGGTCGTTTGTGCTGACTCCGGCCACGGCGATCCGGTACGAGAAGCATGACCGGAAGGTGCGGCAGATGACGAGGGAGGAGGAGCTTGGTGTGCGGAGGGGGGCGGGTGCACGGAAGGTTGATATGAGGGATGAGTATTACGTGTGTCTTTCCTCTACTCTCTCTACATTGCTTTCTCTGTTTTCGGTCGCTTTTCCCAACGGTGCTTGATTGTGTGGTACTACTTGGCTGACAAATTGTCGTGCTAGCGCCTGGCTGGTCGAGATATAGAGAATTGGGAGCAGAAGAGGGTCGAACGACTACCTGGTGAGAGTGATGGTATTCTGCGGTAGAAGGGATAGAGAGGTCATCCGTGACTTCCGTCCTTTCCCCCCCTCCTTCCGCTGGCCGTGGCATCTTGTCATCCCGTGGCATCTTGTCATCCCGTGGCATCCGTGTATAAAACCATAGTGTACTCTACAATCATGTATGATTCCTCTTTTCTTTTTTTTTTTTTTAAAAAAAAAAAAGGGAACAAAGAAGAAAGGTATATACTGTGTGTTTGGTAGTCTCATTCTAAAAACATATAGATTGCGAGATTTAAATTGTATTAATACGAAGTAAGATGGTTAAAAAAGAATACCCCGATTTTCCGATATATCCAGTTTCTCTCTATGAGTACCCCATGAACAAAAAAAGTATGGTGACATCAGTGGCCGTTGCGAAAAAGGGGGGGGAAGGATAGACAATCAGGCATTTATTGCGTCAGGCAGCAGGACAGTCAAGTGTTGATCAGTTGCGTCTCACGGCTGTTGTCGTATGGTGGTTGTATGGGAGAAGATCGATGGTCAGAGCAGCTGAGCACGTCAAGGAATAATCCCTGGGGGTCAAGCAACCTGAGAGCACGCACGTCTAAAGCAGTTGAGCGGAAGAGCATGAGGAGAATGATTGATTGCACGTCAAAGGCTAGTTGCGCGCGCGTGGGGACAGTTGGAGAGATAAGACTTGAAACAACGCCGTCATGGATCGGGCAAGGAGGGCAAAGGACAAAAGTGTGTCAGGTTCTGTTCTTCCTGGGCGGTGTACTCGTCATACCTAGCAATTGGAAGAAAGGAAAGACAAGAGCGAGAAGCAGCTAAAACCTCTCTCGTACAGCTTGATGAGAGCACAAATAAGAGAAAGATCTACATACAGAGCTTCTCTCTCTCTCTCTCTGTCTCTCTCTCTCTCTCTCTCTCTCTCTCTCTCTCTCTCTCTCTCTCTCTCTCTCTCTCTCTCT